TCTTAGATGTCTTAGTATAGTGTCCAGATTCGGGACTAGAGCGGCGGATATAGCAACGACACGGAGTAGTATACGGAGCAGTCGCATCAAGAAACTAGGAGGTACATAGCAAGCAAAGCGCTTTAGCAAAGTTTCTTCCCGTGTGTGCTGGGACTGTAGAATGGAACATGCAGAATCTGCCCGTTGAATCACCTTTAGTGCCAGTGGCTCTAACACACCCCCTCCCTTCAAAACCCAGACTTGTTTGGCCTTCAGCGCCCCCTGGTAAGGGGTACTGTAGCGTCGGAATCATGCACAGTCATGAAATAGTTGTATACATGTCTTTCAGGTCCCTACCATTCGCAAACTCGCCACCATGATGAATTTTGGGATCGTACATGGCAAGACTAATCGCGGTTCGAACTGGAACCGATAGAGCCCTATCACCCCGGTCTTCACGTGCGTCCGACGGGTGGCTGTCGGTAATTAGATCATGGAGTATGGAGTACAGCAGTTGACTAGTTGTATGTACTACTCCGTACTCCGTACGCATTAGGGACAAGTATGTAATGTGGCTAGAGCCGGACCGTTGACACTAGTTCCATCCTTTCGAAATGGTCTAGAGAGCGTACGAGTATAGTACCGAAACAAAGATACACAGTTTAACATCGAATATGATACAATAAAGTACCTCTAGCATGGCGCCGTCATGATGCACCTAGATCTGATATTTTAGTTGGTCCCGATGAGGAGTTCGGGGGTCCATCCCACCCTGGTTATTCGGGGAGAAAAAACATCGAGATGTTAATTTAATCTAGTGGGGCAAAGGGAAGGAAAAAAGGAAATAAAAAGAATTACAGTAGTACGGAGGACACATGTAGTCAATGAAAGACTATCTTCTTAAATTAAATCGCAAAGGCGTAGCCTCATCCATTATTGCAGCGCTAGACACGATTCATATCCCGCTTTATTGATGTAGGTACTGTAGTACTATGGTACAAATCCCGTTCTGTCGCGATGCAGCTATTACCTGTCCCCTTCCCCATTCCTGACCAGGTTACGACTCCAATCAATCTAGTCGGCGTAGGATCCTGGCCTGTCAGTGTGTCAGGCACACGGACCCGGAACACAAGAGGCCTGCACGATCCTAGGTACTACTGTATGCGCGTTATTTTTCTGTCATTAGTCGATCGTTTATTATCCAGTAGAAAGGAATCAGGCTTTGCGAACCTGAGATCAGATAGGCGTACTGCATGACTAGCTAGATTTCCTTTCGCCCCCTAGTGTAGACGAATTCCTTTGTGATGCCTCTTTGGCATACCTGCTTTTGTGACAGCCCAGCTGTCAAATTACTCGTTTTGATTCTAAAAGATCGGACTGATTACCGGAAGAAATCCACACTCCTCGGAGACTTCAAGCCCGAGCGAGGCCCCAGTGACGCCTACTGGAAGCAAGCCCGCTTTTCCCCCACCCCCCCTTTTCCCACCTGGCACCCAGTGCTACGGTCGAAAATTGGGGCGCGTGCGGACCTAATTTTGGACTGGTGCCAAAAGGTCTAAGGGCAAAGAGAAGGGGCTTGCTTGGCCCAGATCCCTGACATTTTGTGGCGTCACGGAACGGTCCTGCTAACGGAGGTTTGACTGCGTCGAGTAGCGAGCATGAACCGTGCTGCCGCTCGCCTGGGCCTTCGTGCAGAGTGGAGTCCCCACCCTGTGTTTCTTTTCTTTTTTGTTTCTCTCCTTGAGCTTCATTGTCTTTGTCTTTGTTTTTCCCTTCCTTCCTGATGTTAATCCTCCGTACTAGTACAGTATGCTAAGTAGATTGCATTGGATGCATGGACGTCAGCAAACTGCTACTAACTCAGTACGGAGTAGTCGATTGGAAATTGGCTGAACTGGTGTCGGCTCCGGGCTTTGAAGGGCAATAGTACAATCAATCCTGCGCGGCTCAATTGTCTGTCCCGAGAAGATGGGTATAGTGGTGATATCGTACTTTGTACATAGCCCTACGCCATTGATATTTAGATGAAGAAAATCAGATAAATGATTCACGAAAAAGGCAGGACCCCTTCCCGCGGTCTCTTGTATCCGAAAGCTTGTCCTCGCGGCGCGCTTCCTGGAGAGGAGCTAGTCGCCATTAACATCGTCATGACGGTAAACAGCAGGTTATCAGGTTAGTAGGTTGGAAGAGTTGTCAGTAGTAATTACCCCTTCCCCTTCTCTATGGTCGGTGTTCTGGAGGCCGAGGATGTTCAAATTAGTACTGTACTCCCTACTTTGATCATCGCTGCGAGGGGACAGCAGCCAGCATACAACACTGGCAGGCTGGAATGTGGGCGGATTCCACTGTGATCGACCACGGTCTTTTTTTTCCATTGATATGATAATAACAATAGTCATAGTCAATTATAGTCAATTTTCCTCTTTTTTTCAATTCGGTGTTCCGGGCGTGACTTTCTTGAAAGGAAACGAGGGGATATGATTTCCCTGTCCACTTAGTTCTTGTGTGTTGTTCGATGGAGTCAACAATTGACAGCATCTGCAACACAAGATGGATGTGAAGGGCGGACTAAAATTGGGATCGGATCTTAATCTCTTGCCAACTTGAGCAAAGGCGTCGCTGCTCATCTTCTTTTGTGGTTAGGATTATCTGATCGTCCTCTTAGCGATAGGTCAGACTCCACTTCTCAGGGAGGCTGGGACGGCCCCCTCGAGGTTACTGTGTAACTGTAATCCGTATTTGGGTATCTACAAGTTTATTTAATTAACCCAGTAAAGAGTACGGAGTACTTGTTCAAGGAGTTATTTTGGGGCCTATTGATTCGCGAGTGTCGAGTCATCAACATAGTCCGTGGTCCGTTGAGGGATACAACTTGTCCAGTTGCTCAGTTGCTCAGTCAACGAATCGACTCATCCTGCCAAATTGCTCAGAACACTAGCCATCAATCTGGCTAGTCTATCACGCTAAACCGCAAGCACTCAAAGCCATTCAGGGCGGAACCCAAACGGTCCTAACGGTTTGCCCCCCCTTCTCGCTGTGTCGCCTCTCTCTATCCAGCGCGATGTCGATCATTTTCCTTCGTCTCCATCTATCCATACCCTGTTTGTGCTCTGTTCGTCTGTTACGTCTCGAACCCGTGCGAGTATCATAGTTACACAATTCCTGGAGAATTCACAAGAAAAGAAAGACCCAGCCGCAGGCCAGTCGTATCGGATCTTTTTCTCTCGGGACTCGCTCCTTTCTGACTAGCTCGCTTCTGTCCACTCTCCAACTTGTACCCAAAACAGCAATTTTCTGTCGGAGGCCCGTCCCATGGGTCGGTAGTTGAGTCGATCTGGTCACCTTTTTTTTGTCCGGGGGGAGCTTTCTGGGTGGGTGGATCTGAGCTTATGGGTATATGGTTATTGGTAAATTCCCCGGACATACTGCAGTTCTGCATGTCTGTTCTTGATACCGTGGGTATAGGGGGATTCGCATCATTTCTCCACTACCGAGTCCCGCCTTGGGCTAATTTTCCAGTTAACAATAGCAAGCGGTGTGCTCATAAGGTGTTCTACTATGTATTGTGCAAAGAGTAAGTGGATAGTACCTGCGAAAGATATCCGTTGATGGTTCCCGCAGGAAAATCCTCCAATTCCCTCTGACAATACTCCGTACTTGGATAGTCGTTCGAAGAATGGAGTTGTAGATCGTATGGATAATAGTATGTAGTAACAGTTCCTCCTTCTCCAGTCTCCTGCTGCCAATAGCTCCGCTCCTACGAACAGTTTCCGCCCCATGAAGACACGGTGAGCTACGTATTAGCAATGGAACGCACACTCCTCTACATACCCCTTCATCTTATTCAGAGCACGCCGAGCGACCTCCATCATACAGAAATGATGCACGGTTGCCGAAACCAGGCAACCGGGCATCAAACTCTGATGTGCACTCAGTCCTCCCATACGAGCAGGTTTGGGAAAGGCAATCGAAGAGAAGGGAAGGCGGGTCCTTTTCGGTCTTCTTTGCATCTGGGCTCGAGACTAATGCACCCAATCGCAGCGGTCGTACTCCCGTACTCCGTAATCTGATCTCGTACAACCTCATGCCCACACTGCTGTGACCGGGCTGCCGGTCACGATTCCGATGGCCCAGATCGAAAGCTAATGCGGCGGGGAAATCCGGGATCCGGGTCTGTCTGTTGGGTGATCCTACTTTGAGGGAACCTTGCATAGATGATCTAGATACTTTTGTCAGGATGGAATAACCCCCTTCCCCTCTCGTCTATTAGCTCTCTTCCTGAGATAACGGCCCAGCCGAGAGAGAAAGAGAGCTGCGGGTGCGCTAGAGCACGCACGTTGTGGAGTCACCCTTTAGGAAAGGCTTTCAATCCATCGTTTTGGAGGGGAAGGAGAAGGATGAGGAGGGGGTGGATGGGGCAGTTTGGGGCGTATCTGAATTCGGCACAAAGGCGAGGTGACCTACCGTGCATGCGACTAAATCTCAGGTGTGCACGGCACGCATCGAGTAGTGGCTGAAATGGTGCGATCCGGGTGGTGCTTGCTGGATCAGGACTGTGATCGGCTCTGCGTGATGTAGCGACTTACCGATGAAGATCGATTGCTCGCATCGTCAACAAATCCTTTGTCTCCATGCCCTCCGAGAATTGGGATTCTGACCTACTCCAAGGTGTCGGATCCCCGCCGGGGAGGAAGCTGGTAGGTGGTCCAGCCCTGGAGATCGATGCATGTCTGCTGCTACCGTTCCCCGATGCTTGCTGGTGGACTGCTGGAGACAAGTGCTTTTCGTTTCTTTTTTGTTTCGGGCATATCTGCAATCGTATTGCGTACTTTTCTCCCTAAGCATTTACATGCCGACCGCATTGAAGTTGTATCGTAGCCAGCATCTATAGATACGTAGACATGGATATATTCAGATGCTACTTGTGATGGGCGTATAGATGTGTCCCTCGTATGTACTGTATATGTCTGTACAACGAGGTGCCGCCGGGTACAGGCCCGGCAGAGTGGGCATAGTACATCATGGTTAAGCCAGCCACGGCTGCAGGGGGTGTGCAAGAGAGGCCGCAAGTGGCAGCGAAAAGACCGAACACACAGAGGCCACTGCATGCCAAGAGAGCACCTTTGAACCCAGATCAACAGAGTCCGTTAGAGGTTCCGAAGATCTCACCTCGATTACCTTTGGCGTTGGACCAGTCTGAAGCCGCCCGGCCGACGTTTTGGCCCTTGGACCGACCGTTAGCCCATGCACCCGCTATGGGTCCTGGAGTCTGTGCACCAAGCCCGCGACTGAGCACAGGGAGGGAGAAGAAGGAGGGAGAGCGAACAAGGAATCCTCATTGCAGATGGGCTACCGCCGCGGAACGAGGCTGGGAAAGCTACCGTGTTGTCGGAGTCGAGCCTGGAAAGGAAGACTTGCGCGTTCTAGCTACGAGCTAGTCATAGATGAGAGCAGGCAGAGCGAGGCTAGGCAATGCCGTTTGTACTCTGTAGCTCGGTCAGTGCCTTCGTAGCCTTGCTAGGATTAAAATGGTCTTTGTCGTCTGTGCCAGTGTGCTTGGACCTGGGCAAGGGGCGGAGAATAACACAGAAAAGGATCCCTGATGTCGGGTATGACATGCTAACGGCCGGGGGGTCCACTAAGAGGGGGAGGAGCCACAGTGCCACACTCGCCAGGTCGAAACGGAGAAAATAAAAAACGAAAAGAAAAAAATACAACGGGAAAGGGGGGACCACAGAAAGTAGGTTTGGTAGCATGTCGACAATATGCGATCATAGAGGAAGGAGAATGAATGATACTAAGAAGTTAGGATGTGGGTTTTCTGTGCTACCATGTCAGGCTTTTCTCGATCCTTGATTTCTCGATTATTCTCTCAATTTTCCCTCCGATAAGCTTACACCTACTACAGAATCAAGCGCGGCATCGCCGGATTAATATAGAGAAATAGATTAAACCGTCAATAGAACCTTCCATGACAATCTGGTCTCCGAGACAGACCCATGATCTAGTTTAGCCACGATCCGGTTGTTCCATAGTCGTATATCGCGGATTCGCGGTGCCCCAGTGCATGGACGGTTGCACGATGCCACGATTGGATACGCACGCGGCCGGGAAAGGCAATGGGCATCAGCGCCATCCCGGGCATAAGGGCCGAATCTCCTTTTAATCCTTCAATCGAGATGTAGATGCGGACTCTTACGTCACTGTATGATCGTGAATGGACATAAATTCTCCGAAGGAGCATTATTATCTGTGATATGATGATCATAGCGCGGAGATGTTGCACTTCACGATTCGAGTCGAAGTTTAGCATCGTCTTGAATATTGATTCATGTGTTTTGGTTTTGTTTAGGGTATCCATTATGATTGTACTCCGTCTGTATACCGTACCAGTACCTACGGTATGGGCCTGGTGTTTAGTATTTACGATCTCGATGATGCAGCGGACACGCGCAACCACGATCTCACCAGTAACGTCCCGTGTGGTCCGATCTCGATCCAAAGCTTAAGGCGATGCGCGACAACATGAGGTGATGACGGCCATTGGCGGGTCTAAACTAGTTCATTATCGGGAATGATGCTAAAGAGGGAAGTCGACGCCGAGAAGAAGAAGAAACATCACTAGGAAGGCACTGAAAGTTAACTGGCTCAATCGGGTAAGTGGGAGGTGCTTACTGTAGATAGTTAAAAATGGATTCATGGCGATGGGTTTATTGAATTCCGTAGCCTGGAATGTATATTGATGATAATATTCTTGTTCTTGTTAATTACTTGTAGGTAAGTTGCCGGGCTACTCCGTCCTTGGCGACTGGGCGTTCTTCTTTCCTGTTGTATGCCATGGAACCATGATGTGGTGATAAAAGGTTTATATCTTCATTCTGCTGGCTCTGATTTGGCGGTACGGTCGGGAAGTGACGTCGAAGGGGGAGAATATTTCTGATTTCACTTTGGTAAATTGCGCCCGCGGTGCGGCGGCTGTGCCCGAGATCCAATCCAGCACGGGAGTTGACACTATGCCGGACTGAGTAAGTAGTATGGAGTCCAGTATGGTTATCCAGGATGTAAGTGGGGAGGTATGATAGAGGTATGTATGATTTTGGAGTCTGGGTATGGCCAAGAAAACGATTTTAGGCAACAGGTTCAATTGGGTACAATTAAATATTCAATATTCGTATATTGAATCTGGAAAGGGCAATACTGAAGTTATGCCATCTCGTAGTCTGTACTGGAGATATGTATGTATCTCAAACAAACCCAGAATATACATTTCCATCCTCGACATCTCCCACTCCATACAGTAGTAGTAACTCACACAAGTTCGGCCCCATGGAACGTTGTCCTCCGTCAGGCACATCTTCCATCTCAGATCTGAGGTACTGTGCAACCCTTGTTCTCCCCGATGATTGGAGGGGCCCGAGCCAGCCGATCGCTGTGATCCAGTAGCAGTTGCGATTTCAACAGTGAGGGGGGGCGGCTTGTGTGACGGTGGCGGGTTTCCCCACACTACCCATTCCTCAGATCGCGGGTGCATACCAGTTGGCTTCGCCAGTCATAGTATTGCTCGTGGTCGACTAAATACTACATCTGCTTTGATCACGCGAATTGATGTTGTAGAATTAATCTACGAAATAAGATCGAGACCAAGCATGAATACTGTCTGGTAATTCAGATCCATCCTGCTAAATCCATCATTTCTACGATGAACTCGTCTCCTGCGACCTGCTTGCTTGATTGCCTTGATGGGTTTGATAATTTCATTCTTTCCTCATGCACCTGTCGCTACCCCACTCGAGGTCAGATCTGTTCAACCTGAAGGCTCGGGATTCCTCGGGGGGTTGACATCATGCCCTTCTCCTAACGGCGCATTAATAATAAGGCTAGGAAGGGGTCTGAACACCCCTTTCATGCATGTCCGAGGCTGACGAGTCGAGGGCGCTTCGAATACTCAATCGGAGATCGCTGGCTCCATGTGACAACCGCGGTAGGCTTTTCTAGTTGGGGTATTTGAGGGGGATGGCCCCATCTCAACAGTTGCGTATGGAGTTAGTCCGGAGTAATAACTGGAGTGGTTAGGTTTGGTTATAGTTAATTAGTCTGGTAGCCGATAAAGTATAGTCGCGTCGCTTGCCGTGGCCTATTGTTCCCGTTCACCATGGTGCCGGGTCGTCTATTCTTGACCTACATATGACTCCAATATAGTCATGTATGGCTAGCAAGGTAAACAGAAGGAAATAAATCCAGATCGAGAGACCATGTCCGTGTTTGCCTCAAAGCTTTTTTTCCCTCTCAAAAGGAAAGGAGATGTTGCTGTGGATGTGATAACCTCGATTTGACCTGAGGCCTCGTACATAAATTTGTGTGCATGCATAATTATCTGAAAAAGGACTTGTGTTGGAGGATGGATTGAATGAATCCCAAAAGCACGTACAATGATACTGTATGGAAAGTAAGAAAAAAGGAAGAACAGCCGTGCATCTTTGTTATGTACAAACCCGTGACGTTGCAGGACATGTATACACTAGTCTCCCGCCCCATGGACAAGCTCACTACCCTATGAGGAGGGTAGTTCTAGAAGGCTGGAAGCACAGGAGGATACTTAAGAACACAGTGGCACAGCCTCATGTGGGAGGGTTGCTTTTTTGGTAATGAGATTAGGGAGGACAGAGTAGCCTGATCAGGTTGGAGAAGGGGTGTACCTCCCACAGCATACATATACTTGGAGCTTTGGAAGTAGCTATCAGCTTCAATGTTTATTTTCGTATTGCTCTATACAGCATGAAATCTGTATGCTCCTATACCTCTCAGTCTTCACGAGTTGCTTCTCTACGCCGAGTCCCATCAGAATATGTACTACTATTACTTCAAGTACACATTATTTATTATTATTATCATATTCTTCCTATTCTCTGCTCATGCTTTCCCTATTCTCCTCTCTTTTCTTTTCTTTTCCCTCTCCCCCATGCTCATTAAACCCACCTCTCCACTCTACACGCGCCCCCCCTGGGAACCCCACCGGCAAGCCCCAAGATATCCGCCCATCGCAACTAAAGCCAGACTAGCAGTGATAGGTATGATCCCAGCAAAGTCAACTCCACATGCGAAGATCCGCAGTTCGCCTGTACCGTAATTTGCCTCCCAGTAAGACGGGGTCATGACCGATCTCCCAATTTCCCAGTAATTTATTCATCTCCCCTGGTACACTATGACTATGAAGTATGAAGTATGGAGTATGGACTTTGTACTTTGAGTCACAGTACCACTGTTATTGATAGTAGTTAATTGTATGTATTTTGCTAACCCTGCAAAGGTGTTCCTCCCGCCATCTCTTGAACTGGTACCTTTTCCAGGTCCCCACCCTGCTCAAATCAAATCTGTATAGTCGGTACGTACGGAGTACATTACCCTCGATAGTACAGCACCGATCCGCCGCTCATCTCGATCCACTCGATTCCTCCGATGCGCAACGCTCTTTTTTAATTTAGGGAATTTGATAATATTTTATGATTATTTTCATTTGATTATTATTTTTTTAAAGTTCCTGTTGGCGTACCGGGCTTTCCATTCCTTTCCCTTTCCCTCCCCCCCGTTCATTCCAATCTAAGGCCTAAAATGATGTTAGTCTCGATCCCCTTGATTAATATTCTCCTTAGTTTTTTGTCATTCTCTTTTTTAATTGTTTTTTCCATTATTCTATCGGGTTTAGCTCCCATCCTCCCAATACTTCCCCAGTACTGTATTTATTCCCCTCCCTATTACCAATCAGATTAATTTCTGATTTTTCGAGTTGATCATTTTCTTTTCCTTTCTAGCCTGAATATTCTGAATATTACTCTTCCTACTAGTATTACTGTACACTACTGTACACTACAGTAACTGTACGGGATATTCTTGATTCTGCTCTCCCCCATTATTATTTAATCGCATATCGAATTATTCTATCTGGGTATTATTCGATATTATCATAATCATAATTCCTCCGTACGGGTTCCTTTCCACCCCCCCTTCTGGGACCATCAACTCTTCAATATCGATCGCGGGATCGAAATCTTACTTTATTTAACTCTTTACACCTCCATTCCTTTGGCTGGGCTTCTTATTTTATTTTTATTACCCTTTTATCTCGGTCTCTCTCCCTCGTGCGCTTGTCTCATACTTGGATTGACATTCGGCATTCCCTCACCACGCCGTGCCATCCATCTCTTTACTCTCCCCTCTCCTTCCCCTCCTCTCCTCCTCCCACGCGAGGCCGAACCTCGACCCATTTTCACACTCCCCCATCCCTTGCGTTGCGATTCTCCACGATCGATCTTGACGCGAAAAAGGAAAAAAAAGAAAAGCAAAGTTTGACTTTCACGCTGTCATATTCCTTTGGCTCGCTTTTCTATTATTAACGACTTGGATCCGGTGTTGCTCTCACTATCACCTCTCTTCCTCCCCCTCCAAGCTCTCACTCTTCCGCTCAAGGGAATGTTCCTGGACTCCAAACAATCAACACTCCTCTAGTATATACTTGTGTATATACATTAGGACCGGAAATACCTGGAGACGTTGAACACTTTGAACCGTCGAAAAAAGACCGAAACCTTCCTACTCGCCCGATCGCATCGGAGTTCACGCCACCCAATCTCAAAAGATCTTGGGTCGCCTTCGCTTGTCTGTGACGGCATCGCATCTCCGAGTTCGCCGCCACCCGGGGACCCTTTTTTCCCTCTTCCTCCTCTCCCTCAACAGTGGAACGCTCTTCCTGGCGAACATCGGTTGCATGAGAACAGGTCTCATCCCGTTGAATTCATTCGGCCGGATCCCGGATTATATTTAGGGTGTCCCTCAGATCTTCCCTCCTCTCCACCTCTCACTTCCGGGAACAATTTGAAAGTCATCGGACTCTGAGAGATCTTGGGAATCTTGGATACGCGATCGGATCGGTGCCCGCGCTACGATCTCTGGTTGAATGAGGTCTGGATCTCAGTCGTGACGGATCTCCTTCCCTTCCAACCGACTTCGTCTCCCCTCTCAGTCAACATCATACCACACCACCCCTTCTCTACTCCCTTCCTCTCAGAAACGTGATGGGGTCTTTGGAAGCCGCGCCCAGGCACAGGTGAGTCGGACGCCTCTCTTTTCTATCTCCCCTCCTGGAAGCCAGCTGTTCCTGCGCAATCAGTCCAAACCTCAATGCTGAACTCCCTTTCCACCTTTTCACAGAGACCCTTTGCCCGCCATCGGTTTCCTAGGCAAGGACGGTTCGGGGTATAATCCCAAACATCCCATCGCCACCGGTTCACCCACCCCTCTCCTCAGCCCAAACAACATGTACGCCGGACAATCACTACCCTACTCCTACGCGCCGACCACCAGCGCCCCGTCGCAACCAGGCTACATCTCACCGCCAGAGTCGCGCCGAATCCTTGAGGATGATAAAGAGAAACCCAGCGGTCGCCAATCCTTGCCCTCGATACACGAGGCCTTGGGCAACGACAATCATCTCCCGTATCCCGCGCCCACCTCCGCACCACCACCACAACCCGGCCACACCGCACCTCCTCCCTCACATCTCATCGGCCGGTCCGGTGCCGAAGGACCTTCAGGACCTCCCAACCCGTTCTCCAATGGCCCCGCCACGGGTTCATTGATGCGGGAACCGGGCTACCCTGCACACCCAAACCAGATCCAGGCCGATGCCTCGCGCACCAGCCTCGTCTCCATCAACACGCAAGAGTCTCGCAATACGTCGCTGCACTCGAAATCGCCCACGCAAAGCGCGAAGACTGGTTTCACCTCGGTTTCTGGGTCGCAAAATTCCTCCGCCTACGACTATAGCGCGCCGCCTTCTGCGGGCAGTGTCGCCTCGCCCAATGGCTATAGCCATTTCACTCCCAATTACTCTTTCCCTCCTTCACAACAACATCAGCAACCGCCACCACCGCCGGGCGGCCCGTCATACCCTCCGGCGCATTACGATAATCGAGCATACATGGGTGCACCGCGAGTGGAAGAGGTTAAAGGTGGATTTGTGGGCCGTCCAATGCCGGGACAACCCCATTCCGACTCAGTAAAGCGACATCTAGATGTTTACGATGTGGAGACGTCTTTGAATGAGGTATGGTTTTCGTCTCTCTTTTTCTGTCCTTTTTGTTTATATGCTCGTCGGGGCTCTATTTCCACCTGGCAGCGGTGTGACTGGCAATCTTTTTTTGACATTCCTCGTGCGCGGGTGGGGAAACTCTGATTTGCATGGGAAATTACGATCTGTTGATTTGCGCTGTTGGGATTGGCGGTGCCAGAATTCGGGGTGCGGAATTTGTGGGCTGACATATGCTTCTTTGGGAACAGATCTCCGAGCTCAGCACGCGAACGTTGGACTTTTCAAGACACTACGCTGCGTTGGCTCACCAGACGCAACGGTCTGGACCCGTTTTGGGGTCTCTACCCACCTTGAACGAGGTGGAGGATATACTCCATCTGCAACGCCGAAACCAAGATGCTCTGATCCGGATACGGACGGCCGTGGTGAACCAGGAACAAGCATTGGCGGAGCAAATGGCGCAGCGCAAGGCGTTTAAGCCTGGGGAAGATGAGCACATGGCCATGTACCAAGAGGAGTTCAAGGGTGCCGGTGGATTTGCCGGGCCTGACTCGAAGAAACGGCGTGGAGTAAGTTTCCCTGAATCCCCTTGTCTCTCTGTTTCTCTCCTTGTCAATTTCCTCTTTACCCGTTTATCCCCATTCTACTCCCCATCTGACGCCATGGTTGACACCTGCCAACCGGATTGTCTCAATTGCTCTTGACCCACCGACCATTGCTCAATTATGGATGGCTAACCAGACTTCTTCTACGTTCTTACAGAAGGCGGCCCCTCCTGGTCGTTGCCACAGCTGTAACCGAGCCGAAACACCAGAATGGCGTCGGGGTCCAGATGGTGCCCGAACGCTGTGTAACGCGTGCGGACTGCACTATGCCAAGTTGACCCGCAAGATGGGTGCTAACAAAGCGGCGACCCTGGGTTCGAACCTGAAGCCCAAGACGGTTCTCGACTCCGCATCTCCAACCAGTCATTAAGCTTGCTTTTTTTTCTCATGTGGCGTTGGAAAAGGGCGGGAAATAGAAACGGGGGGCAAAAAGGAGTTCAGTGTTTGACCCATTTATCCTTGTTATATTCTTTTTTTTCTTCTGCCCTTTCTTTTCTGTCTGCTTTTGATTCTGTTTCACCTATATCTTGCTGTTCTAATTTCCTTGTTCATCGGTTTCTCTTTTCCGGGGACTTAAAGTGTGGGCTTTTGCCCTTCTCCCCTTGACGGCATATCTTGTTGTTTTTGACTCGTTCTTGGGTCCCATTGGGATGGGACCTGAGTATCGTCCTTCCCAATCGGTTTACCGTTACATAATACCCTCGCAGCGTTGGGAGCCCGGCTTCAAAGCATAGACCTTCCTTTTGATATCGGATTTCTCGAGGTTTTCCTGTTCAAGACTGTTTCTCTCTCCTTTCTCTCTACGGCTCCTCCCTGGTTTTCTGGCTTCTGGTTTCTGATTTCGATTTTGGGTTCTGATTCTGGATTATACCCTGCATTTGACCTACTGTGTCCAACGAGCCTTTCTTTTTTCCTGTTTTTCTCTTATTTGTGTGTCCATGTGTGTCTACCCCTGGACGTGTCTCTGAGGATGTTAGCTCTTTCTCCCTCTCTGTGATGTGTGTACGATCTTGGCTCTTTATAGCATCTCTACGGACTCTATTGGATGAAATTTTGCTTTTTAACTCTTAATTCCTATCAATTATCGGCCGTAAGTAAATCGTCTAGCCCTACATTTTCTTCTTTTGCATGCTACGCGTGCCCATTGCATTGGAAAGTACTTGCGTGTGCCACTCGCTCTGACACTGACATTTTGGATCTACACGGAACGATGCTGCTTTTTTCTTACTTTCCTTATTCTTATTTTCATTTTCATTTTCCCCATAGTAAGTCTGTACAGTAGTGTACTTCTGCAAGATCGCCCCCATCGAGATACCTGAAAAAGTCAATCTTCGATCTAAATCCAAATTAAACACGTCAACCGCCGCCATTCTCCTCACTACCATACAACTCATCATGGCGGTGCTGTAAGGCGACTTTGTCGTTGCGTTGCCACTCGTACTGTTCCAAAGCGTTCATTCGGATATGTACCTAGCTCGGCTGTGTTCTAAGCTTCTACCCGCCGGCCGAGAACGATGAAGTCACCGATCCCAGAGTTGCGGCAAAGCCGAGCCTTCAGTGTTTGGTTCACCCGGCGTGGCATGTCGGAACCGACCGTGGAATCCTTGGAATCTACTGGTTCCTGCTAGTAGATACTATTGTTTCGTCCGAGGTTCCGAGTGTTTACCATTTCCGTCGTTGTAAGTGTGGTTGTTTCGCTAGGGATATACTAAGGTGGTAGGTAAGTCGCGTGCCAAGCATTGAATACAGAGATTGTAGTGTGTAAATGCATGGAGGCGAAGAAGAGTTTTTTACTGATTTCAGATTTTATCCTGGTTCTGATTTGTCTGGGGAGTTTTTGACCCTTGTTTCTCTAGCCAAAACGTGGCGAGCGGCGAGCGGCGATAATGCCAAGGGCTAGGTTCTTATGTGGTTATTGTATGGATGGGGTCCATAGGGTGATCCGTAGGTCCATGGACATTGACTCCGAATTTGAACGGTGTAGGTCTTGTACGGCCCTGCAGAAGAGAGTTAGAGGCGTGAACTGCTGTTGCAACTATTGGATCTGGCATTTCTAGCGATCTGGGAAATCGAGGCAGATCCGTCCGAATTTTCACTTGATCGAGCGATCGTATGCAATATTACCATTGTGGTGTGTAGATCATGCATCTCATTGATGAAGGCATAGCCGCGAATGGACTTGGCATATGAAATGGAAACCCTATGTCTGTGTTGGCTTATTTAGGGCGGGGATGGATCATCATGATCTTCTTTGTACATACATTCGCGCTGCTGCTCCTCCGTACTCTTTACTTACAAATGTACAATATTATTGACTAGTGGAAGCACTGCAAGCAAGTATCCAATTAGGCGAACTCACTGACTCAACAGGCCATGACCGACAAATTTCAGACTCAAGGCAACGGACCGAGGCTGCGAATGTGTTGTCCATCGCATCTGCACCTCCCGTCCCCCTCAATCATGAATTTCAAATTGTGAACGTCAAATTATTAACCACCATATTCTGCACCTTCCAAAATCTTCCATCTCAAATACTCAAATACTTCCCCCGACACCATCCCCACCTCGAACCCGCCACCGCTAAGCCCACCAGGCGGGAAAAAGGAAACAGTCGCAAATCATTCGATAAGTTTACGGTGCGGCGTGTTGCCGCGTTGCGCGTGTCAGAATTTGTCACGGTCCGCGGTGTCGGGACCGTCAGTAGCTGTTTTTTATGGGGCGATCGATTTGTTACTCTTGATCTGGAATGTGGTGATTTTGAATCGTGAGGGGATGTGTATTGAAGATTGACAGGTTGGTTCGTGGGGTGTTTGAGTATATACAGTACATATGTAAGGAACCCATGTTTCCGAGGGTCGGTGGAGTCGATCGTTGCAGAGTGGTGGGTGGTTTTATTCAGACATCTAGCCTTGTGAATTGTGAATACCAACTCTCGTGTCAGTCTTTCAGTAAATCATGTGTATACTAATTGCTGACGATTCTCTGCACGATGTACTGAATATGGCAGGACGGTCTAAGAGCTGAAGATGGATGGGGACTGAACGCTAACTGAATCTCCCATTGAAAAACGAAGTCTATACAAACTGTATCGAGTTAGTCAATTGCTACTCCGGACTCATAGACCCCGATCGGGCGGAAATTTTGGAACAGTGAGACTGAACCCGGCGATCGGGGAAATTAGTAAAGGTGGAAGTTTCTGAAAATCGGAAAACACGGTGAAGCAAGTCTAAGTGGATAGTAGTTCGAAGATTCGGGGGGCCAAGGCTGACACTAGCAGGGATGTGCGGTATCGATCGAGATCTTTAGATCGTGTGAGGTCGAGTATTTGAAATTGTGAACGCACGTCAGCAATGCCCATTTCGTAGCACGCATGATGGGCATATCATTATTTTGGCCTTTGTCCGAGAGCGACTCGGTGGGGACAGCGAGGATTTGGGTACAGAATGTATTGGGTCTTTTTAGGTTAATTGATTTCTTTCTTTCGCCTTGATGTTACTTGGAGAATCTACGGGGCTTAGAAGTATAGGATATTGTTGTGGAGATGATAATCAAGAGTCAGATTTAAACATGTGTGCGGGCATCTTACGGAATTGTAGTACATACTGCATACATACTCAAATCATGAGTATGGAGTACGGCGGCGAACTCGAGGTATACTTATCGAGCATGAGCTACTTCATCAGTGGCAAGGCTAGACAAAGTTTGTAAATCTCCTCCACAGTATATGTATGCAGACCCATACTGCTATCGAATACACGCTAAACTATCCCAACAAGTGTCGACTAACTGGATTTGATAGAAGTTTCCGGGACGGGGTTGTTGAAGTTGTTGTTGTGTGCTGGCAATGGTGATCCCTGTGGAGATCGTCAGATCGCAGTCGGTCATGTCTTGACGATACATCGTACATACGAACCAAAATCAGATACACAACCGGGTCTTCCCAGATGTGGGACAGAGTATATAATTTTGGATTTTAGCATCAGATTATCAGGCTTGTACGCATCTTTCTGGCCTGATCTGTATTATCTTTTTTAGCATAGCGGAAATTTCCCTTCATCGTTTCAGATTATCTACTCCATCTCCATCCCGTCATGATTCAGATCATGACTGAGATTTTGTTTCGGACCAAGATGGCCTCGAAATTCAGCCAAAACAATCCCTGACTCTTCAACCCATCGCACCCACAGCACGATGAACCTTACAACCCTTCAATCCCCGGCATGCGAACTACATCCTTGCTTAGCGCCGCATACCTTATATCCACGAGGACGGTACACTAGGTTACTTAGGTTACTAATCTATGAACTATATCGCACTAGTCGCTCAATTAAAGAGACAAAACACAACCAAGAGAAAGCAAGGATTACAAAGAAGCAAATTGCCCACACTCTTATTTGAATCAAAGCCTGAGAAAAAAGAAACAAATCGGTGTCAGGCCAGATGGCAGCACTGCATCGCCGTCCCGAGATCCGGCCCACGCCCCGATCGCGATCCAGGCGTCGTGCATGACACGCAACCACCTGCCGGGGGAGATATTTGAGATATGATTTCAGATTGTGGACACTGTTGGCTGTAATGTCAAGATCACCGCCCCGCGAACGCCGGTGAACTCCGTCCCCTCGTGTACTCCGTCCGTCATCCCTTGAGTGGGGGAGGTGATAGTTTGGGGAAGGGGGAGCTTGGTCGCAAGCCGCAGTGGCAAATTGATTGGAAATATGTCAGATCGGGAATAAACGAACTGTACAAGTCTATACTACGAAATATAAACTATGCCTATTTGATGAGACTGGCTTCTTATAGACTTTACACTTTGATACTATGTATGTATGTATTTCCCTGGCCGCGCACATCAACGGCTGCAGATGCTAGCTAAAACAATTAAAAGACATGGGCTCTCGAGTTTCTCGTTCTCATATCGCTGTCAAAATAAACACAGTTGCCGAGCTTGTGTACCCCGTACAAGTGATTATTTAAGAAGAGTCGTTTGGTCTCCACATGTCTTAGTATTCAACAAACAATGGGGTCAAATTGCTTCATTATTACTGTAAGCAGTAGCCTGATAAGGGAAAAGAAGACGCAAGAGCGGTATGTACGGAATACTTCCAAGTGCATCGTCGCTGGCGATCCATTCTTAGTCTTAGCTAACCTTCTGGTAGAATTGCCAATTTCATTTCAATTATAAAGTGTACACATACATAGTGATTCTTCAAGGCAAGAGTGAGATACAAACTGGTTTTGTCTCTTGGATCAATGCTGGACCTAATCGGGCGCTCGAGCATCCCCCCAAACCCAATCTGCGATACGATCGACCTAAGATCGCGCTCCCACTATCGAAGTCCGTTCCAAGGGTTCTTCTTTCCTCCCCAGTTCGTCCTCCTATCTCCTGGGACCAAGCTAGTGACTTTGTGAAGCCGCTCTGTCGGGTCAGGCCAGTGATGGGGGTGGAGTTTTTTTTCTTTGTCCCGTATTTTTGGGGACCTCCACCGCGGGCTGTTAGTCGTTGATTCTACAAGGATGTTCCCTGGTCGGCACCAGTCGATCAGATTCAAGGTGGTCACCGAAAATGTCGGTCAGAACTCAAGCATGAGACTAGTTATGATACAGTAACGTAACCTGCCTTTCTTGAGAAAACGGCTTAACGCTAAATGACAATCTTTGACGAACGTGACGATTATAAGCCTATTTGTCTTCTCTCCTGGCAGGTGACACAAAGACGGGCCCCGTTGTTCAACCTTCTCGTCGCCTAGTTTGACCTCAAAACTTGCCGCTCTGCCCGGCTTTTCATCGCATTTGACCCGCTATTTCAAGGTCAGCATCATCATCGTGGAGATTGCAAGGGCTTTAAATCGGTAGATCTGAATTTTACCGGGCTCTCGGGCCTCCCGCTTTTCCGTTCTGGGCCCGATCGTGACGGTTTGGTGTGGCTGTGGAGCCTGCGCTTGGACTTCACTGGGGCTTCTTAAGTTCTTCTAGCCTTCTTTGCGTCTTTCGCGGGTTCGGGGGTTGCTTAATTTGGATGCACTATTGATTATACGAACCGGTAGATGGAGTCTGTGTTTAATTAGGCACGGGCTACGGAGTACGGACGAGTGAGTACTTACTTCGTAACCATGTAGATGCTCCGTATTTCGCAGGAGACTAGCTCTCATTTCCTTTGATAAATAGCGTTGGTCCCTTAATAATAGATCATTTCTCGTCCCCGGATCTACCCGGAAGGAAAATGCATACCGAGGCCGAGACAAGGCATTCAGTTGCCTGAATGCCTTCTAGCAGGGGTCCTTCTGATTGTTTGGGGCTATTATGCTGTCCCATTCTGCTCCGTGCACTCCTATACTTCATGATATCAAATCCCCCCCCCCCCCCCCTCGATCCCTCGATCTCCTACGTACCTGCACCACAAATTAATGGGTTAGCAGTGTACGCGGGGCACACAGAAACCGGGGATAAAATAACCAGTCGCAGCTTACAGGCTCGCTGATTCTGAGTTCCGATTGCTCCATCACGGCCGATCTCACTGGTCGTTCCCGAGCATGCTGGTCACTAGCGGCGGCTGAGGTCCGTGGGTCACCACTCACCACCCGCGGACACAGACGCTGTTGGAGAATTGGGCGAAAGTCTATCTGGCGGCCTGGGATCGCGGGGCCAATCGAGAATTGAACTCACTAGTGGCGCCAGGCGTGGAGCTCGAATCGATGTCCCGAACTGCTGGGTCGACTATTGATTTTGGCTGTTATTATTAACATATTATTAACATTCTGCGAGGTTTCCTTTCACGGATCGAGTGAATCACAGAAGAGGAGCTAGCAGGGATAGGGGTTGGGGGCCATGCCAGATCGGTTCGTGTGCTATTGCTGCGTTGGATACCTGTATGTATACGGAGTACTGTAGTAATAGACTTGCTTGATACAATATTACGGGAACCGAATAATCGCGTGTGCCGCTAAAGTGGATCAAAGTTCCACGCCGAGTCATTCTTATTTCTATTTCCTTCTGTTTACGGTAGATGATGTGGTGGAGCCTATAGTAGTACAGTTACTACGAGAAAGACTACTGTAGGATGGGCAATAGTCTCACCAGTTGATGCTAGGGATGAGAATACGCTGCTACTGCAGGACGGAGCAGTAGTCCTCGGAGATCGAGCGCCTCCTGCAGCTGTCCGACACTGTATCCTACTTGCAGATTGAGGTTTACAGATCGCCCTTACCCATGGCATGCATTGTGCATGGGACCCCCTCAATCCTCTGCTGTGCGATCTTCGACCGTCGAATCTTGTCGCTCATCACTGCATCGTAAGGCCTACACTTGCATGTCGTGGCACGGTAGGAATGAATCACAACAAAGCATCACAATTAGGCTTGGATCTTCGCAGCGCATGAACAGATATGCACTGTAGGGGGGATCTTTACTTTTTTCAGGGCCCCGCTAGGCTGATGTGGGATCTTACAGTAGATCGGCTGCGCAGACAACCCACGCGCAGGATGCAGCATCTCGCATGGCGGTGTGTTTCTTTTTCTCCTTTTTTGTAATCTTTACATCAGACAAAAAAGTTCCGTGAACCTTACAGAGTATGGCCATTTTGTCAATGTTTGTTTTTTCTTTCTCCCCCCTGCGCCTTGGGTTCGTGTCAAGGTTCAAGGCTACCAGATGGTCCGATCGTAGCGGGTTGGGCCGCGTCACTAGTTCAAACTTCACCGAGTATCCATCATAAAGGAGGAATGTCACTGGAAGGGTTTCTCTTCCTGCGACTTGGCCTGTCGGCCAAAGCCGTGACTGGAGATAGGGTTTCATCCACAATGGAAACGAGCTGCAGCCCAGTAAATAGTTCGTCCTGTGTAGCATTCCCCGATACTACAGTGTTGGTCGGAAATCGGACCGAGAGGTCCACACCATACGACAACCGATTCTGATTTTTGACGCGCTGGAAGAAAACTCCGGGAGACTATTTTCACTAGTGATTGGTCGGAAACCCATAGCGGATAGCTTTTGTTCATATGTGCTGATCTTGATGCGGCTCGTCGTTGAGTTTAGCGGATATAGCGTGCTCGAAATATGGTTCTTTTGATATTTTTGGCCCTCTCTAACTGTGGTTGGAATTGGACCACTCTCAGTAAAATAAATTGTAGACTTTGTTTGTGAATCGTATCGTCCCAACAATTACCATAGCGGTGTACCGTGTACGGAGTACTGTATGTCCAATTGGGAATGGTCAATGGAGCTCTGTCGACCCGAGAGACATTATGGAATTTCTGGATCCATTTAAATCACTGACTTGCTTACGCTGGAAAAAGGGGTCTTACGCATCCCCACACGCGATCTGGATCGGCATCGGGTTACCGATCCGTTCTGCATTGCACCAAATAGGCAAATAGTCCATTTATGTGTAGGTAGCTCGGTGGGACTGAATTTTGGTTAGAGTACAGTACTCTATTGTTAGCTATTCTGCGGAGAGCGAACTGGAATAAGTAAGAGCCTTGTCTTGGCCTTCCATTTCAAATCTGTTTATGCATTAGCGACATGAACTATTGTTTTGCCGATATCACACCCTGACTAAGCCCACGGTGATGGTTCGGCATCATCGGATGCGACGGAACCACCCGGCCAGATCTATCGACGAATGGACCAATAGCGATATAAGGTGATGTCTCGGCGGAGCTTAGATCGGTCCGGCCGAGCTTGAAATCCCTGATCGTGCACGTGGAGTGGTTTTAATCTAGTTGGGTTTACGGAGTACTCGCCATTGTGGTTGAAGTTGTCGTAGCTATGATATAATATAGCCGAGAGTACCGTGAGACACGTCCATTTAATCCACTTGAGTCTTTGCTAGTAACAGGGCTTGTTCTTCGCACGATACTGCCGTGGCGTCACCGGTACAAGACATGGCGTAACCATTGATATAACATACCGAGAACAAGTATGAGATTGCGCGGATGAAGATACTACGACAGCTATATACAACGCAGTACAACACAGATTCATAAGACTGACCTCCTGTACCACCTTATACAGACTAACTAGACCTCTTGTGAACTTCATCTACCGCCAAACTGCCTTCGCAATCGCATTGATATAGTCAATCCCTTCTTTGCGCCAGGTATCAGCCTCCATATAACTGGTGGTATTGGCACTGAAAAGCAGATCAACAGGCTTATCCTTTCCATAAGCCTGCCAATGGATCGACTTATTCATCACGCCGGAATTTGGATTCAAGTCGTGAATGAACGAAGCCCACATACTCGTCATCATAATACTAAGATCGATATACGACTGTGGCACACCCGCAAAAGGCTTTCCGTAGTGGTAACCTAGTCCAGCAATATTGTGGAATACGAAAGCGACTTCCTCGAAATGGGTTGCTCCCACAATGAGCGGGACATCGGCAGAGTGCACGTCGAATCGGTAACAGTACGCTGGTGTTGAGGTTTCGGCCCATGCCTCGCATTGTCGGCGCCGATTCGCATGCATGTAGAAGTCACCCGCAAAGGCACTGGTTCGTCGCCATTCATAGCCCATTGAGGGTACACGCTGGTCACCAAGGAATGCTGGAATACCCTGTGATGGGTCGTCGGGGTATAGTTCCAAGATGCGCTTGGCAATGGGTGGTGGTAATTGCTTACCCAATGAGCCATCTGAGCTGAGGTTAGCTATGAACCTTAGCAGGAGTTGAATTTAATCAGCCTACCAGTGAGGTACTCATACCACTGCTCGGTGGTATTGATACCCTTGGGCCCGAATGCAGTTCCCTCATCCATGTTCGTTCCCGATATAATAGGAATTTTGACAAATTCGTGATTGTTCAACTGCACACTACCATAGGTTCGTAAGAAATCCCCATCAACCACAGGCGAGAAGTCGTACGCCGAGGAGCCATCAGTGCCGTTCAAAACCGAGTTGAGGGTTTCGAAAGGAACCTCTCGCAAGCATTGTAGAGAGTCCACTGCATTGGAGCAGTTGACACTAGCAGCCAGGGTATCATAAGACGACTGGTACGTCGTAAAGTTACCGGTACTGGCTGAAATAGATCCTCCAGACTCCATAATACCAGCTCTGAACAGTTTGTCATCTCGGCCTCCATATGCTGTCAATTGATAGCCCACTGACATGCCACCGGCCGACTCGCCCCAGATTGTGACCTTGGTCGGATCCCCACCAAAGGCAGCGATATTCTCCTGGATCCAGTGGAGGGCCAATCTTTGATCTCGCAGGCCGAGATTGGTGTTACCGCTGCCGGACACTTCACTCGAGCTGATGAATCCCCAGGCAGAGAGTCTGTAGTTAAGGGTGACGGCAATGAATGGTTTACCTAAGCGTCATTTCAAGTTAGACTTGAGGAAGCGAGATGAAGAGAAAGCTTCGTGCGTGTATAATTACCAATCTTGTAAGAGTTTGCAACAATAGCAGACATGTTGTACCGCTCATCTCTCCCAGATCCCTCAAAGAAGCCACCACCATGAATCCAGACTCCTACCGGGAGCTTGGAGTTTCCCTTGACGGAGGAGTCTCGGATGACGTTCAGGGTTAGACAGGCTTCGGACTGGGGGTACCAAATAGAGTCGGTCTATCGTAGAGTCAGAAACTGTAGTGACAGGGATAGGAACCACTTGTTTACCCCGTATCCAACGCAGATATCAGAATACTCTTTTGCGTCGCGTGCTCCACTCCAACTTTCATTCAATGATTGTGGCACGGTGAAACGAAGGTTTCCCACAGGTGGCTGCGCATAGGGCATACCAAGGAAGAAATCTTGGCCATAAGTTGTACTATGCACGCCTGTATAAGTTCCATTGCGAACATCAACAGTTGGAGCGGTTTTTGCGCTAGGAGCTGCATGGGCTACTGCCCACACAGCGAGAAAGCCAGTCGCAAGAGCGAACATAGTAGAAAGACTCCCCTGGCAATGAGCTTACCGCGGAATTTGCACACAAAACGACCATCTTCTCCGGTTCTAGGGGTCTCATTTATAGACTATCTGAGAACAATCCAGGGATATACATCATGCGGGGAAGGCAACGGGCCCCACACCCAACTTGTTCATGATCAGCGCTCGCTTCACGGAAGAGAGAGGCTAGTCGGTCAAATTTTGGCTCCGAGCACGGCCAGGATATGCCGTGAAGGACTGCCGTGATGTTTCTCGAAGGTATTAAGCTTCGACTTGCGGGAATGGCGGCATCTCTTTAGGTCCGGTGTCCGAGGAAGTATAGAAGAAGAGACATTACTTCTGCAGGTAAGGTGGGCTGGGCCTGCCCAAAGCGCACGCAACTACCTGCTTGCGGGCTGTAGATGCGGAGAATTAATCTGGAAGCCGCTTTAAATTAGCGGATGAATGCCCGGATTGGTGATCGGCTGGTAATCCTACTGGTTATAAAGTTAGTGGAAGACCGAGGTTTATCCGGAGAGGGGGTTTCTGGCTTCATTATTGTGTTCGCCGAGGTAAGATTGTAGCGGGTTTAGAAATTGATGAGAGTAAGCTTTCACCTTAGCGGTGGTGATGAAGTCAAAGTGTGGACGTCTATTCAATGAAGATTCGAGGATGGTGTGCTGGTGGTCGATGAATCCTGGGGATCCCGCATATCCGGGATGATCGATTATTCGGGGAATTAGCGGACAGGGAATCTTGCAGGGAACAATAACGAGTCTTCGTTTGTGGGGTAAGTAAATGGCTGCGGGGTTTTTGCTCGGTAGCATAGGGATAGAATGGATTATAAATTAATGAGACTTTTGCACACACCAGGCGTGTTGGATGCACTTATTCGGCCATCTGTAGGCTTGTGTTAGATCGCAACCACAGTGACCAGGGCAACAGTAACTGAGAGCTGGAGTCTATAAACCGTCAAAAACATTTGACTACCGCCTGGATGAGTTGGAAGTTTCCGTGTTTGAATTTATTGGGTCCAGTATAGATAGACCAGCGTTCGCAATTTCCCGTTCCCTTCTTGATTGACACATTGATGGATTTATAATGGTGGTAGCAAGTCTCTCGCAGACTAAGAGAAGCAAGATGACTTCTTTTATACATCACACCTTCTCTATCTGTTATCCAATTGGCATTTTGCTTCTCTCCATTTATTGTCGATCTCTCGGACAATATGGGACTGTCAGACTAAAACTCATACTACTGAAGCTTACAATAGCACAAGCACATTGCTTTCAAGAATGTAGGAGGTCAGAAGGGAACTGCCTCTCAGCCTCTCAGGCAAACTTCCCTCTATTTATGGTGAACCGAGAACACGAGAGCTGACCATGTCGTCCGTATAACGGTCGCACCACCTATCGCGTGGCGTCAATCATGATTTCAGCCCTTCCTTGGCCAATCTGGTTGGATCTGGGCATTTGAGGGGGGGGGGGGCGCTGGGTCGAGTGGTTCTGAGACCCCCGTTGGAATAAACGTTAAGCTTACTCGACCAATCCCCACGTCAATGATACGAGCAGATTCCCGCATCATACTGTAAGTTTGGACAGGCATCTGCAATGCTTTGAGGAATGATCTGCAAAGGAGCGAACAAGAGAAAATTGGGATAGTCTTGAAATATGTATGAGAAGAGATCCTCGTTCGATTCGATGAATCGACTTGATAACCTGGACGAGTGAGTATATCCCAAGTCTCTGCTACAGCAAAGAGATCGCTATCAAATCAACTGGAAAGCCATCGCAGCCACCAAGGAATCAGGCTTCATCCGCCCGCCCAAGTGAGCAACATACCGCGAACCCTGCAGGATAAAGTTGCACATCATTTACCCGAAGCAGTAAGGATCAGACATAAGAATGAGCCCTACCATCCAGTTGGAACATGGTGATGTTCAGCCTCGGAGCGCAAGATGCATTAAGAATACGAGGTCTGAGTCCTTTTCATGCACGCTCCCTCCACCATTGCCCCCTTACACTTGTTTGCAGATACATAAAGACAGCCTGGCGGACGCCTACAACGCTAACCTTGGTCATAGCTTAATTCAACCTTTAATTCCAAGTCCATCACCCACATTGATTGCCAGATGGACTTAACACTGATCTTTCTAGCGCTACATGTCCTATCCGTGTTGCCATCTGCGTATGCATGGACGTTCGTTTGGCGCAATGCATCAGACAACGCATTCGTGGAACATGACCAGCAGCCCATGTCATGTAAACAGATAAACAATGCACAAGGAGAACTCTTCGAGTGGGACTCTGAAGATGGGCCTTTCGCCATCTCTCTCTATGCGAACACAGACTGTTCCGGTTCGCCGGGGGGCTACGCAACACACATCTTCAACAAGAACGCCAGCAAGCCGATACTTTCATTCAAAGTCGATTCCACCGCTACAACGACGACCTCTGCTTCTTCAACAAGTACCACGTCAATATCTAGTCCCACCACTTCGAGCACTGCCCAAACCCCGACAGCCCCTGCTGCAACTGCGTCACCCTCCTCGTCTCCTTCTTCGTCCGGGGATGCATTATCTGGTGGAGCCATCGCAGGCATTGTGATCGGGGCAGTCGCCGGAGTTGCGATAACTGGAGGTCTTTTATTCTTCATGGGTCGGGCAAAGCGCCAAAAAGTAAACCCTGATACCGGCCCAAGTATGGCTTACACCGACCCCTCGTTCAGGTCCCCATCGTCGTACACTTCACCTTCCTCGCTGGGTCCTGGATTAGCTGCTCTGGAGGCACAAAAGCCACCACAAGCTCGTGCTGCACCAGGTTCAGGTACGGGTCCTGTTCGGGTGGTCGAGCTTCAGGGTGATACCACGGCGGCTGAGTTGAGCAATGCTCATGTGGTGAATGAATTGGAAAGCCCTGTCATGACTAAGTCCCCACTGAAACGAGGATGGGATTGAGAATACATAAGACAGATGGGATAGAGTTATAGGTCTGTGGGATGATTTTACGAGATTATGTCTTAGCTGTTTATGTATTATGTATTGCTCTAGCCAAACGACGAGTCCAAATGTTTAGCAGCGACTGTTCTTGTGATAAGGATCAAAACAACAATGGAGAAAGCTAACCGGCCCCTTACAAATATTTTATACTTTAGGACCCTCCCTCCGAGAGGGTCCGCCAGCTCAATGATATCGCTAATTTGCATACTAAACGGCCGATTTCAAACCGACGAGATCAGCCACAGATAAGCATTTTAGTAGTTAATTAGTAGCTTAAACCCATAGGGAGACTTAGTGCTATGATAGACTGATATAAAATTTCTATAATTCTAGTTCCTCATTATCATACTTTTTGCTCTATGTATAGGCATTTACGTCATGATAATGAAACAGACTGTAGAGGTCGCATACCCTCTAGAATTATAAAGTAACACTATTATTTAAGATTAGCTATTCTAGTATGAGATCTAAAAGAAAAACTTGAATAAGGCCTTATTGGTGACTAGTGAATCTAGTAAAAAGAGAGGGTGTTTAGTATGTAAATTGGCGATATCATTGAGGTGGGTAATATCGTTGAGGTAGCGGATCCTCGCGGAGCGAGGGTCTGTAAAATATGAAATATTTGTGAAAGGCCGGCTACTTGATCGGAGGTTACGATTTGACGGTCAATCCCAACGAACATGATGACGAGCAAAACGAAGGCGTTTGTTAGGAGTTATCTGTGCGCTTCGCTACGCTGCGGCGCACCCATCCGCTTCCGCGTATGGGCCTCTATCACTACCACCTTTCCATCACCTGTGTACCTTTTGTATAGCCTCGCCATATAAGAGTTACATCACCGTCAAAATCGGGTTTCTTGAATATCTTAGTATTTTACTAGGGATAGCTAGAATTTATATAGTAGGCTTATAGTTATAATGCAGAGAATATTCTAATCTATAGTACTTTATAAATTTCAGCTCAGAATTAGAGTAATGAAATGTGATTAAAATGAGCTCATAGAAATTTTTTCTTACAGGTAGAATAGATCGATAATTATTCTGCCCTTCTAAATCTAATTTTTTTTCTTATTAGTAGGAATAGTTACAAGAAATAATAAGTAGTCCTGTATATAGAGAAAAACAAGAAAAGAAACTTTACTTTGTATAAAGCGATATCCGAAAAGCGAATTTTTATGATGATGTATCTTTTGTATGGTGAGACTATACAAAAGGGGCACTGGTGCTGAAAGGGTGGTGGTGATGGAGGCGTGGCGCGCCTATACGGGGAAGCGGATGGGTGCACTGGAAGGCACGAATACTCGGTTTTGTTGTGTTGTGATTTTTTGTTTTTCTTCTTTGTTGGCATTCGCGGTTGTTCTTACTTTTCGACATGATGGGGCTCTCCGGGTCCGAGACGCTCAATTCGTGCGAAGACTAGGTACTGCCAATTTACAAGATTGTATAGGTATGAAGGGAATGAGTTGTAGGATTGGTGTGGCTGTAGAGGGTTGCCTCTTATTTGCCTGCCACGAAATATGTGCAAAAATCGATTCATCATCTCTCTAAATGTTACCGCCAAAAACAAACCTCCAGGCTGTCTATCAGCACATGCAAATGCAAAAAGGCTTCTGTCTAATTCTTTCTACCACGCAGAAGCTCCCAACCAATGCTGCCATTTTTGCCTTCCTTGGCAGTCACCTCCTCAACCGCCTTGACAAGATCGTAAGTGATTTCTTCAGAAACAACGCTATCATGCTTATAGCTCGGGTGCTTAGCCACGAACTCGCGAATCCACTTCGCACCCGTCCACAGTGTACCGTCAGCGCGTTTCCGGATCAGGTCAAGGTAGCTGGCAAGGAAGCAGCGTGTTTCGACGTCCACGTTGACGCTGTTGAGATATGACTCCACCAAGGGGATCAGGCCGGGAAATCCGTCTGGGCAGCCATTCACAATCTCGGCGATGGTCATCAACTCATACTCTGTCTCGACAGGTCCGAGGGGTGGCGATGGTGGAGGTGTGTTGACTGCTGATGATGTGGTAGAGGAGAACGTGCTGCCATGGGAGGAGTGCTGCGCTGCATGCCTGGGGGCCCGGCGTCCGAACGGATCCTTGCGGAAGTAGAATTTGCTATCAAGCACGGCGTTACGGGCATGAGCCGTTTCCATGTTCTCGGTTGTGCGCGGGATGGGTAGATAGAGATTGAGGTCGAAGCTGAGGATAGCACGAGTGATAAGGACGATGAAAATGCTGAATGCTGCGTTCTCAAAGTCGGTGATTTGGATCTCCATGGATCGGAACTCAACGCGCCAGCCAATGTCATCTTTCTCGGATGGTGGGGGCTTGAATCGCATGTGTTGCCAATTGGTTGATTGGAGATTCTCGAAATGATCTCCCTTGTGCAAGTCGAGCTCTTCTAGGTCTTCGGAGAAGATGACTAGCGGGTCGCGAATGAAGAGATGTGCGAAATGGGTGGCAAGCTGATCATCCATGCCTCCTTCTATCAGCTTTTTCTTAATATCCTCGTCGACGACGAGATCAGGATCCAGATATTCCTTGCGCAAGCGCGGATCTTGGGAAATATAAGTGGAGTTAGAAGCGTATCGCGACTTGGGAATTCTCCATCGATCATTTTTGAGAGGCTAGATGGAAGTCAGTCGGCAAGAACATAGAATAGAAATGGAAATAGATCACTTACAGCTTCACCAAGCTCTTCGGGAGTTCTGTCATCCACGGCGTTGCCAATCTGATTCCAACGCACATCCGTGTCAACCAGGAATCCCTTATAGATGGGCGTGGCGGCAGTCAGAGCTAGAAGAATTGGCCCGAGAGGACTCAATTGATCATAAAGCTTCCGTCCTTCAGTCATATTCTTGGCCTGGAAGGTAATCTGCAAGCAACAGCTGCCCATGCCAAAGGCCATTGCATCCATATAGACGTGGTCGTCTTTGGCTGCACCATTACGAACGTCGGCATCCTCAGGCCATTGGTGAAGATCATAGTTGACGGTAGGATCTTTGAATGGAGAGGGAGTATTCTGGTCCTTGAAGACTGGCACATTCAGCTCCACCTTGCGCCCGCGACGTGAGCGAATATTGGCCGCCAGGGTTGGGAACCGGATGTGTGGGTTGGCAATCTCGTCAGGCACGAATTGCGAGCGAAGTGCAGGCCCAGATGGGGGATAGTAAGGCTGGATGTAGTCACCCTTTGTTCCCAATCGCGGAAAAGTCGTCAGGGTAATAGGAGATTCGTTAGGGGCCATGTGCGCCTTTGCGATTTCTCGTCTCCACTTCATGTTGGATTCCACCTTCAACAGATCCTTGAACCCGATACCCCAGGGCTCTCCAGGAGTGGCTTCCAGCATGAAACGTCCGAACTCGGGGTGGAAGTGTGGAGGCTTCTCTCCCACGCTGATAACAGTGTAAGACAATAGGTCCCAATTAATGTATTCATGGGCAGGCCAGACTTACTGGTCTCCATGTTCACCATCACTGCCAGAGCCTGCCGTCCAAAGGGCCTCATCACGAGCGAGGGACTTGAGGATCTCGGCCTGGGCCAGAGACAACCGTGCCTTCTTGGCTGCGTCATCGAGGGCTACCACGAGGTATTCGACCTATAACATTGAGACATATAAGTAACTTTCTTAATAGCATTGGCCGAGTTGGAAATCGGGTCGGCCTACCTCATCACCCCAAAGTAGAGCATCGCGCTCTTTGCCCTTGGCTCGTCGCCAGTTCGCCAGAAGTTGCTATGAAATCAGTCAGCTCTTGCGCGCGGCCGTAAAAGTGACCAGGGACGATCAAGCAGCGATGCCCGCTCTCTTCGCATACCTCAATTCCCCATTGTCGCACTTGATCGGCTTTCTTCTTAGCCTCCGGCCATTCCAAGGCAGTTCCCAGCGCTCTTTAGAGGGCAAGTCAGATATGATTGCTGTTTCGAAATGCATTCCCATGCCAGAATTGAAGCAGCACCTACAGAAGACCCATCGTGCTGGTATGGCTATGTAGATTGCCGTTATGCGCTCCAGTAGTCCAGCAATTACCCAATCACGATAATGCGGGTAAGGATGCGATCAGGGTTCTTGATCAGAGACCGAAGTCAAGAGGAGCCCACGGGCAAAGAGTAACAAGGACAGTGAGGTACCCGAAGTGAGATTTAAGGAGTAGAAGAACAACGGCGCATAATCCCCGCGTTCTGACTGATTCTTTTGAGTTCTCGCATGAAGAGGGGAATTTTCAGACGCCCCAATGCTTCCCGGCGGGGCTCAGGCCTGGATTACGGCGATAACGGCGCCGAGTGGATTTCTAAGCAGTCAGGTGATGGTTCCGCGTTTACTCAAGGGTCAGGAAGTATATCAGGTTCAAATCAGGTTCATTTTTATACTTGATCTTTCATATTTGATGAAGGAATTCGCTCTGATATATATACTTCACTTCAGGCCTTAATTCTATAGGATCCTAGTCAGAGATCCTGCAGTCAGGAACCGGCGCATAGCGCGCCACACTATTTTCCAATCACACCACCATCGACCAGTCCCTGTCGGAGGCACATCCCCAATCTCCAACAGATATGCAGTATCCCCCGCAGAGCTCACTTAGATCTTTAAGCCACCAAATACATTTTCCAATACGAGGAAACAAGCTACTCCAATATCGAGTACGGAGGGTCTGGAGAACCCGACCTTTCATTATGCTGACAAATAGGAAGACCGATGGACTGCCAAAGCTGTGAGATCTACAAGTCCAAATACCCCGCGACTATTATCCGATTACGTACAGCGTACATAGGGCAATAGTTCTCGTGCTCTGATCACATAAAAAGATTATGTCAAGTCTGTCAGATACGAATGGCTGACCAATCGGCAGAGACAGGTCCGTCTCTTTCTCGTTGGGCGTTTGCGGAGACCATCAAGTGTCTTGTGCAGCTCTCGGTCTTACACCAGCAGAGTTGGGGCTGTAGAGCTGCTCCAATATTGACGGGTAAAGAAAGCAGTGATCGCAGTGGTCGACCACGATGACTTGCTAGAGCAAAGGAAAAGGCTGGCCAAATCTTTGGGTGCTTCCCAACGCCGTAAAGGCGGTCCATGAGCAGTCTCGGTATATCGTCTATGTACATAACCTGCTGCTTTCCCAGCAGCCCTGACCGCGCAAACACATATCACAAAATCGACAAGCTTAGTTGCTGCGAGCGCCGTCCTTGGAGGCGCGGAGCTCGTCCATCTTGGCAACGCGCTTCTTGAACTCCTCGTACTGGCACTTTTCGTATGAGTGTCGTTCATCCTAAAGCAAACAGAAAATTGGCATCGGTCAGCGGGCAATTCGTGAACAGCGAAATATGTAGGGAGTGTGGAAGTCCAGCAGAGACGCGGTCATCCGGGTTAAATGCGTACCTCGCACTTCCAGGGAAGGTAGTACTCGGCTTGTCGGCAGCGGTTCAGGGGAATGAGAAGGTGTGCGCAGGAGTCGCGATATTGCATAGGAAGACGGGCCTCCGACATTTCCTTGCGGGTGGCTGGACAGCATCAAGTTAGCTTCAGGTCATCAAGATCCAGGTGCGGATGATTGGCTCTCAATTGAACCGGGCAATCGTACCCGAGGTCTCCCCAAGACCCACGGCGTTCTTGACCGACTCGACGACAGTCATTGTGAAGGTATTCGGGGAGTGGAAACGGTTGGGAGGATGAAGGACAGGGCGAAGACGGCGTCGGATAGGCGGTTTGCACCGTTTCGCTATGTTCCCTTTGCTTCCCGATGTAAGTCACATGACCAAAAGTCTGGTGATCTACGACACGTGATTTTACGCCGAAAGCGGTTTAGCTCCCAAAATCCACTTTACGCGGTCTCATCGCGTCTCTGCGCGTACCTGCGATGCCACCCTAGCTCCACCCAGCAAATCGTGTCGCTACACCTTGGGATCGACTTTGAGAGCGTGAAATGTGTCGAAAGTTGATGCATTCCTGATACAATTGACTTGTGGATCCTTGAGGCGGTTTCGGGCGCCTACGTGCGTGCCACAATCGCTGCTCGGAAACGTACTGGTTCGCCGCGAACCCTCGACAACTCAACATGGCGGGGATGGGGTCGATCTATTCTGCTACCTACAGCAGTGTATGTATACCATGGACATAGCCTTATGTTCTGTTTCATTTTATCTCGGACAAAATCACCTTCCTCCTCGTTGTTTGTCTCGATCGTGGCTAACGTGTATCGATCCTTCCAGGTCCCGGTGTACGAGTTCAAAATCGACGGCGACAGTGTGATGCGACGGAGGGCAGATGACTGGGTCAACGCAACACATATACTGAAGGCTGCTGGCTTTGATAAGCCTGCGAGAACCCGAATCCTTGAACGTGAAGTGCAAAAGGGCGTGCATGAGAAAGTGCAAGGCGGCTACGGCAAATACCAGGGTAAGTGACAGTTATCAAAGCTGAGGCAGAAGCGAAATGTTTGTAGCTGACAAGCCGGCCCGTGACAGGAACATGGATCCCGCTGCCAGATGGTCGCATGCTGGCAGAGCGCAACAACATCTTCACCAAAATAGCTCCCATTTTCGAGTATGTAGCTGGAGATCGCAGTCCTCCTCCAGCTCCGAAACACACTTCGGCTTCTTCGAAGCCCCGAGCACCTCGGAAATCTACCAACCGCGCTGCTGCTGCTGCTGCTGCTGCTGCTGCGCCGCCTCCAGAAGTTTTCAATGTTGTCCAACCTCAGCGGAGCATGGGCCCTCCGAGCCTTCCTCATGAACAATATGAGATGAGTGCTGGGTTCGATGACAACGAGTCAATCGAGCAGGCGACTATTGAATCCTCCTCCATGGTCGCAGATGAGGATATGCTTCAGATGTCACAGCATACAGGTCGCAAGCGCAAGCGAGGGGTGAATGAGGCAGCTGTCATGTCCATTACTGATCAGGAGCATATCATCTATGGTGACCAGCTCCTGGACTATTTCATTACCGTGGGCGATGCCTCTCAGGCGTCGCGCATTCAACGTCCAGAACCACCTGCCCACTTCCAAGTTGACCGTCCGATTGATGACTCTGGCAACACCGCCCTGCACTGGGCTTGCTCAATGGGTGATCTTGAGATCATTCAGGATCTCCTTCGCCGAGGGGCCGATATCAAGGCTTTGTCTGTTCACGAGGAAACCCCGCTTGTGCGAGCGGTTCTGTTCACTAACAACTATGAGAAGCGAACATTCCCTGCTGTGCTAGATTTTCTCTTGGATACCATCTCCTTTCGGGACTGGTTTGGTGCAACTTTGTTCCACCACATTGCCGAAACCACTAGAAGTAGGGGCAAGTGGAAGAGCGCCAAGTATTACTGCGAGGTTACCCTTGACAAGCTATGCAAATCATGTTCGCAGGACGAGATCGATCTACTATTGTCGTGTCAGGACGACAATGGTGATACCGCTGCCTTGGTGGCTGCACGCAACGGCGCTTTTCGTCTGGTGAACATGCTTCTCACTCACTGTCCTCGCGCCGGCGACCTGATGAACAAGAAGGGAGAGACAGCCACCAGCATGACTCAACGCTTTGCTCAACGCTCGCATCATACAGACCACGATATCCCACCCGCTCCATCATCCGTGACCATGGCCAATGACCAAGCCGACGGCATCGGAGGCGATCTGGTGCCTTCAGACCATCAATCAATCGCGCCGCCCGTTGACTCCGCGGTCACGTCGGAGCTTCTCTCCAAGATCGGAACCATCATGTCTGAAGCTAACAAGAAACTCGCCGTGACTTACGGCAATTCCAAGCTCAATCAGGAAGACTCCAATGACGTGGCTAATCCGGAAGCTCTGTACGAGCAATTGGAGACAGATCGCCAGAAGATTCAGAAACAAGTTTCTGCCCTCACTGTCAAGGAGGCAGAGTATGAGCCGAGTGAGATCCAGGTTGGCCGATACGAGAAGGTTCTAAGCAACTACGAGTCCCTCCTCGAAAAATTGCAACATGCCCGCCTTTCATCGCAGTTGAACAATGGAGTCCCCTTTGAGGGTACCAAAGCCGAGCCATCTTCTCTTAGCCATGAGGATCTGGTGGAACGCTTCAACTTGGCACGGGCTCTGGTCACCGCCCAAAAGACCCGTCGTAACGCGGTCAAAGATCTCGCACAGCAAACTGCTGATGCTGGTGTGAGCACCAAGTTCGATGTCCACCGAAAGCTTGTGGCTCTAGCAACTGGTCTCAAGGAGGAGGAACTAGATCCGATGGCCGCTGAGCTGGCCGAGACGCTCGAGTTTGATCGCATGAACGGCAAAGGTCCATCTCCCGAGCTGGATACTAAACACCTGCCGTCTCAGAACGACTCGGTCACCATGCCTCCTCGTGTCGTTGCTCCAGTCATGGATGCCTAGTCGACCTTGGTCACGGTACCTTACCCTTGACCGCCTCTTCTGTATCCGTAACGACTCTCATTGTGTTTCTTCCACTTCTGGCATACCACTGTCTCTCTGCTAGAGACAAGGGCTCCATGGCCAGCAGATACCCCATCGTTTCTCTTCCGTGCCTTTTCTATGTTATCTCAATTCACCATGTCCGTTGAACCACTTTTCTCGTGGGAGGACAAGGTCTGTACCAATTCTGGAATGCTTGCATATTAACTCGCAACTTATCCTAACTTATCGGTGATGCGTATCACTTCCCTACGAGGGGGTTTCTCTTTTTTGTCTGTATAGACAATTGTTTGTGTACATAGGAAACCGATCAACTACTCTATGCGAGCAGCCATTTTTCTCCGGATATCCTCATTAGTTTAGAGTTAATAGCTAAAACTGCATCCTTGAGCTCCGGAACTGCAGCGAACGTGTATCCCTCACATCTCGGCATGGGCGATAAACAAGTTCCCCGCTGCCGATCTCTGCGAGACAAATTATCTTACGTACCAGTAAGCAACAAGCAAGATCGATAGTAGTCCTCGTGGCTTCGGCGTCCAGCTCATGTGGCCAAATTGAGACCGCCATGTAAGATGCCAATGTTCACTAATCTATACTTACTGGTCACATCTCAGCAAGAGTCAGTCTTTCTACAATGATTGGCGGGTCAAAATACAGTTCTACTTGGTTTCAACTCGACGACAGCTGGATAAAGCTCTCAGCCACCATGTCCAGTTCCCAGTCTCATGGGATATGCAAGTCACTCGATCGTTTAGCCCTGGAGAAAGGCTTGTGTCCGCCTTGCAAGTTGCCACAGAGAGCCTCAGCAATAGAGACAAAGTGAGCCTATTGGCTGTGGTAGGGAGCTTGGCAACAGCGCCGGGCGGCTCTAGGGGCACTGTGAGACGCCGGGAGCAAGTTGACTGGCGATTATTGTGATTGACTGGCCAGAGGCTGGCCACTGGGGGGCGACGCTAGTGGGCGTCTCCCGACCAATGGATGGGCCCGAGATGTGATGAGGCCAGAACCTTTGGCAGCGGTCGGGCGCTGAAACCGCCCCCATTGGTTGTGTTGGGGGGCGGAACTGCTTGTTCTTTGTTGACTGTTCCCCACTGGAATGGCAGGCAGGGGATTGCTCGCGTGTGAGTGGAGCTACTGTAGAGGAGAATCGAATTGTGCTGAAAACCGGTCATGTTATGATGTCTGGGATGGAATACTTGATATGTATGGAGCACCGTTGACAAGAAGACCAGCAAATGGCCCAAGCATCGAGACTCCACAAATTGTCTAGATAGGCCTAAGGGGCCAATCATGTGCTTACACTAGTCCCAATCTGGTCTAGTGGCAGTTCTGTGCCTGACACCCATCACTGATCGGCGCCTCAGGCCACAAGGCTCCAAGGCACGCCTCCCTCCCCACATCCGCACTTCGCCCTCTGCTCTTCCTCTTCTCTTTCACTCCCCCCCATCCTCTTCTCTTCTCCCCCCCCCACGGATCTTAATCTTCACTTCTTTCTTTTTCTTTCCCTGCATTCTTTCATTACCAGCTCGTGTTGATTGGGAAAAGTTTCAGAAAATCATCCTCCGCAAAAAAAGGATACTGCAAATAGTCTTCCGATTCGTTCCGCCCCTGAGTGGTTCAAGAGAAAAGGTTGCTCGCGTCTGGCCGACACCCGAAAGCCCGATATTCGCCCTTCGACTCGCTTTCGATCTCTACTTCTACCTCCCCCCACTCGGTCTCTCTTCGCATCAACCATCGTGCCAGGGGTTCTTATTTTGTTTCGCTTCGCCATTACTTTTCCGCCGGTTCTTCAACCTGCCTTTTCGGTCGTGACTCGCACTTGGTTGTGTTTTTCTTCCAACCTCCCGAGTCCTCGTGCCCCAGTGACCGCGTCGAACTTATTTTCTCTCCGGCTGGGACTTGCAGAGCATCTCCCCATCAACTACTTTTTGCTTCTCGATCTCGTGTGAGAGACCGTGATATTCTCATAATCGCCTTTTTGGTATCTTTGCATCGCTTTTTTCTTTTCCGTCCTTTCACCGTTTCCCCGGCTTCTGGACCCTTCGACCTTGTAAAAAAAACAAGCGCTCGTGTCCTTCTGTACAGCTCGATAATATTGGCATCTTGCATTTCGCGGTCTTCCTCATTGAGCCAGTCTGTCGTTAGCTCTTCACTGCATATCTTCGCTTGTGGTACGCGACCCACTCTTTTCTCGACCGTCTCTTCAGCGCTGCATCTTGCTTACTTTACATTCTCGACACAGACATCGCGACTTGTCCCTACGATCACTTCATTCAATCTCACCGGAAAATCATCGACTCGACCTTGATTTTCGGGTCGAAACGTTTTCTGTCATAGAACTCCAATAATCACCTAATCACTCCGGGGCAAACGAAAAGCTTGAAGCTTTGTGGTTGATCCCGAACGCTCGCACAACCCCGTAACGGAGAACTGAACGCGACTTGACGTTTCCACTCTCAGCTCCTTGCACATAACCCTCTTGACCCGCCAATCCTCTTCCGACACTCCACGAAAAATCATGAGTATGGACGCTGGCGGTCTTACTCAAATGACCTACAACAACAACTTCAATAATGGCACTTCCCTCGGTGTCCCGGGCTCTGGCTTCGCTTCACGGGGGAAGGGCTCGCATATCAAGCGCTTGAGCGTGCCTCCCCAGGTCGCCACCATTGATGAGTCCCAGGCTTCTGCATCCCTGCAAACTCCGCGCACGAGCCGTTCGCATCTTCTGGCCGGGCTCCGAACTGCCCCTCGGTCTGCCACGATCCCCTCGCAACACCAGCAGCAACACCAGCAACAGCGTGGTGGCATGGAGAGCTGCCGATATGGGGGCTACACCAGCCGAGGCAACGATCGTGTCCCACAAACTGCGACGGGAGCTGGATTCCCGCAGCACGCATACACCCAAAACCATGGAATGAACGCTCACCATGCTCGTCCTGTGTACACTATGCCGGAACAGGTGCTCGCACCTCCTACTCTTGACATGGTTGGTGACAATGGCGTCGATGAGAACCTGTACGCCGAATTGATGTCGACCAACCTCTTTTTGGCCGCGCAGCAGCAGCGCCTGCAGCAACAGCTGATCAACGTTACCGCAGCTGCTCAGCAATTCCAGGGTCTCAACCTGGGAGGAATGTCCCTTCCTCAGCAGCAACCCATGTCTGCGCTTTCGATGGGTGCTAGCATGGGATTCTATCAGCAGCAGCTTCAACAGGGCGTGCAGCCGATTGTTCAACCTGTTCCCGGACAGCCTGGCTGGTTCTCCGTCTACAACCCCCTCACCGGCCAACAGAGCTACATCATGGACAACAGTTTCCAGGATGACAGCCTGACCCATGGCTACGCTGAGAACTATTCGTCTGGCCAACAGGTTCCCCAGTTCCGTGCTGAGATCTCTCCACCAGCTGAGTCCGTTATGTCGCCAGTGCAGACCTCTCAGCCGGTCTCTCCTCCCAGTGGTACACCTTCTCCTCCCACCGAGTCTTCTGCTTTCCGTCGCAACAACCGCAAGGGTGCATTGTTCAACCCGACACTCAAGACTAACATCGACACTGTCAAGGCGAACATTGGAGCCGGGCCTCGCTCTGCTGTTCTTCCACCTACCCCGGCCACTGGGACTTTCGGTCCCGGACAGGCTCGTGCGGGTGAGCATCCCATTCGTCAGCCCCGTGGACCGCCTTCCCTTGAGGATCTAGTGGCCAAGCCGACTTCTAAGCATGAGGGAAGCAAGAACTTTGCAACTCGTCAGCGGCGCCGTGCTGTTCACAACCTGGTTCGCGCTGGAATCGAGCGTCGAGGTGATACTCGCAGCTTCGGATACAGCAGCGGCGGTACCAACACTCCCGCCAGCGAGAAGGAATTCACCTTCTCCGATGGCGACGATGCCACGGTGCGCAGTGGTAGCCTCTCCAGCAAGCCCAGCCTGGGCAGTCTTCGGGCTGCTGCCAACGGTGCTATTGGATCTGAGCGCAAGGAGAAGACCGGCCGGGACCGCAAGTCCCCCGACAGCCCCTACCACAGCGCCACCCCAACCAGTGAGGATGGCTACTTTGGGTCAAAGTTCTCGGACACTATCTCATCGCCGGCGTCTGGTACTACCTCCCCCTCCGTTGCCGCTGTCGTTGCGGGACAGGGACAGGCTGCGCAGCCAACTGAACGGCGTAAGACACCAATGCTTGTCTTGTCCAGTGCTGAAAAGCGCAAGACTCCTTTGATGTAATGCCGACTCCCATCATGTGACAGCGACGTATGACCTTTTCTCTTGTGTTTTCCTTTTTTCTCTTCATTTTTTCATTCCATTGGGTGGGCTTCTATTATTTTCCTTCATCGCCTAGGTTCGCCGATGACTCTTACCCTTCAATTCGCTCCTTATTCCTGTATCCTGACACCTGTGTCAGAATTTTATGTGTGTGTGTGTGTGTGTGATGAAAGCCCTGCATCAGTCTGCAATGACCTCATTTCATTTCTTGACTCTTGTCGGCTGTTGCCATTTTTTGACCTTCACTTCTCGCTGTCTGGCTTCCTTCCTTGATCGAGGTTGGACCTACCGAGTCACATCCATTTTTTTTACTTGCAGATTCATGAATCGCAAGCTTTTGAGGTTGGATTGACAGTGTCGATTTGACCCTGTCGTCTCTCTTTTTGTCTTTCCGGGTCTCTGACGTACATCCGGTTATGTACAGTCTACCCTCAGGTACCTAAACAAGGGCCTTCTAGTGCAATCAATCAATCAATCAATACATAGCTCTGCAGCTAATCTCGTCTCTCTGCTACTTAATCGTACAACGCTTGTAAATTAGAGATGGATCCTCTCTTATCTACTCCTCCCCTACTATCGTGCAAGACAAGCAACAAAGGTTCTTAACATGGGATGCCTCTGGTCCTTTTTCTTTAAACCCGATTTTTTCATTCTCGGCTTCGATCTTGGTACTCGGTGGGAATTTACTTCACCTAGGGCCGTAGATACCAGGGTACATACACCTAGTGCCAACATTCACATATTCATTGCCTGGTATGCATGAAACAGCATCAAATTCGCTAAAAAACAGACAGAGTCCCCAACAGCATGCAACGCACGAAACAGACTCCACAAAGACCGTTGATAAAAACATGATGAACACGAGCAGAGACATAAGGTAGATATAGAATACCACTTCGCTGCATAGATACACGATTGATAAACGACAGAATTGCCATGAAACTACCTTGTCGGGAGATAGCAGGAGACTCAAAAGTTCAGAATGGAGGCCAGTCAAATGAAAGGTAGGTAGGTAGGTAGGTATGAAGAAAGGCCAACATGGACGGAAAGGCTGGGGGGCTTGGATGATTTTGGTCGTGACTCGTGGGAATCGTGGCTTCTATGTATGGCCGGATAAACAGGGGATGAACATGGTGTTTTCTCCGGGTGGATGGATGGGTTGACGTAGCCCTTTTTGGTGTACGAGGGAATATGAGGAGAACTGGAGCGAAAGGGGAAGACAAATTCAAAATAAGGGCGTGTGGTATGAGGGAGCAATGTTTAATTCCTCAACAATCAACGCGATTTTGACCTCGAAAAATGGGAGTATTTTGGCAGAAAGTAAACACCAAGGAAGTTCCTGCCTCAGTCCGCTGATGGGTAAAAATCTCACTCGAAACATGATATCAAAGACGTAGCCTTGAGTAGGGCGGTTTGGATGCCAGATGTCCAAGGGACTTGACTATTGTCGCAAATGCCTCGTCAACCCCGAACGTGAGACGTGAGCTGGAGTGGAGAGCTAGAAACTAAACAATCCACTCCGCTTCTTACCCAACGGGTATACCACAAGAGCAGCAAGGAATAGGCCCACAGTAGTACCAATAGCCACCTGGACCATGCCATACCCAATATCAAAGACAACGCCGTAGTTTTGATTCTGCGCTTCAGCCGCAGACAGGTTCTTCACGGCATCAACGAAACCCTGCGTGCCATTAGCAACAATTGAGTAGGGCGACCGGGTCATCTCCTCTGCAGAGGTGATTCCCGAAATAAGTGATCCACTGGCAGCGAGACCGGAAGGCACAAGGACGAATATCGCCGGCAGCATTGCAGCTGCTGCGAGGCCGTGACGGACCCGACTGTAGACGTTTCCCATGACACCGATGACGAAGGCGCCTAGGGGCATTGGACACTTGCGTGTTGGAGTAGAAGCGCTTGGAGCTAAAGTAGCTGACCACGTATCCGGCCAGAGAAATAACCATCATCACGGGGATTTGTTTCCACTTGGCGTGGTTGACGATGGCGAGACAGGCAGTGAAGAGGAGGACGAAGGGGAAGCGTTGGAGGTATTCGTTGTTGATTGGGCTGGCTGGGCATGTATATGCTGTCGTTGCTTGGGAGTCGAGTAGTCCGTAGACGGCGGTGCCGATGGTAATTCCGAATCCGAGGAAGAGCGAGTAAATAATGGCGTAGACCATGCGGACAGATCCGGCAACGATACTGCGGGATTGTAGCTCGAGGCTGGCGCAGAGAACTGTGTATCCGGGGAGAATGAGGGCGATGGCTGACTGTGCGAGAGCGGAGAAGCAGAAGAGTGGCTCGCCTTGGTATTGTATGCTTCCGAAAGCGCGAGCTAGGAAGGACGTGAGTACTGCTGCCGAGATCTCGAAGACGTTGGAGTATAGACTTGATTTCGGATAGAGAATGAGCTGCAATACGCCCAGGAGACATCCTAGTAGGAAAGCGATGGGCATGTCGATTGGTCGGGCATTAAAGGCAAAAGGGCCGACTGATGCACTCGCACACCCGTGCGCGAAGATCAAGAAGAGTATGTGAAACTTGTTTCGCCTCTTCATCGTCTCGTCGAGTCGCTGGATGGCTTCTTCCACACCGATCACATCGTGTATCACCTCCTTGTAGATCTCGTGTACGTCGGCCAATTTACCTAGGTCAATGCCCTGGTTTGACCGGACGACTTTGACCTCCGTTGTATGCGTAGAGGCGTCGTCAAAGGAGATAATCATACACCCCGGGATATACAAGAATTGACCGTCAATTTCCAAAACACGCGCAGTCATCCGCATATACTCCTCCAATCGGTGTGTGGGCGCGCCATATTTCATCAACGCCCGACAGAGTCTGATCGAATAACGTTGTCGGGAGAGAAGCTCTGCAATGTGGACAGTGATTCGAATCTCGTCTTCCAATTTCGGTTTCGCCCATCGATGTGTCCCGGACCCTCCCGTAACAGCACCGCTGCTACGGGAGCGTCTCAGCATGTTAATTGGCGAAGCTTTTTTAAGGGAAGCCGTGAGGGAGATGTTGGATTGGCTGGGTGATTTCTCGTACCACTTCCTGGGCCGGTGTGGTTTCAAGATAGGATCTGGGGAATATCCACGTCCGCTGGATTCGTCAGAGACGCTGCTCTGCCGGGAATTTCCATACCGGCCGCGCCCGTATGGGGAGTTGCCGGGGTTGTGATTATTATACCCGCCAGCTTGTTGGTCGTATAGCTTCAGAATGGAAGATAGGATACCGTTCCTGTAATGTTTAGGCCGGTCGAGAGAGCTCTCCGAATGCCGGCCCTCGGATGGGGTAATTTGGCCAGAGAGCGGACCGGGCGAGGGAGGTCGGATGCCGGTAAGGAAAGAGGAAAAGTCTCGTCGGGACATTTGGCCCACGATGTACTGGGCTTCGGCAGTGCGTGTTGTAGATCGCCCGTCTAGGTCGCCCGCTTCCTCCTCATCTGTTATCGTGATAGTCGCAGCAGCGAAGTTGTCAAAAAGTTGTTGTTTCTCGGAGATGCTGAACAAATATACTTGATGGCCCTCTTCGGAAGAAAATACCGGCTCAGTGGGAGAAGTTGAAGCAACTGATGACAACGAATTGTTTCGAAGACTTGGCTTCGGGGATTTTTGGTGCCGACTCATAAAGGATACAAGTCGCCGGGCCCTTTGGCGGGCATAGCATATAGCTCGCCCCTTGTCAATCGTACCTCGTGTGGCCCCGCGACTGATCTCATTGTTACCAAGTACTGTCAAGCCAGTCTTGCAGTTGATCGCCAGGCCAGTGACATCGGCTGACGCGCCTGGTAGCTTATCTCCCACTGAGGGTCCCCGCCGAGTGTCCGTGGTCCTCTTTTCCTGGATAAATGGAATGTTGGCGGTGGGTGCGGGTCTTTGAGGAAGCTGCGAGCGCTCCCTAGCATCCAGTCGGGATTCAACCGCCACTCCACCACCATTGGACTCATTCGGCTCGGGATCGCCCACGGTGAACTTGATACGATTGGTGTTGCATAGAATGCCGGCATTCCGATGCGGGTCCTGAGCGCCCACGTCATTGGACCTTTCTGACAAAGACTGCGGGCCTGCAGCGCTGATAGCATCACTATATGTTGGCAAATAGGGTGTCTGCAGGTTTGCAGATGTTTTGGTGGATGCTCCCATGGCATCAGAAGTACAAGACTGGCGCGAGACAGGGAGGTTGAAGTATCCCCCCGCCATTCTTTGGCGGATACTTGTGGCTTGCAACTCCCTCGAAGATCGTCCTTCTTTTGACCTTCGTTGTTTCGGCTAAAAAAATGAAACAGCAAACTCTCCAATTTTAAGAGACCGCTAATAAAGCTAAGAATAGCACCGTCAAGATGGAGTGGTCGTTGGTGATGGCAGGTTGTTCGCCTAGCAACAGTCAACTATGTGAGATTATATTGCCCGAGGGAAAAGACCTCGAAGACGAAAGTGGCCTTTTTTGTTTGATCCATGAGATCATCTATCAGAAACTCGACAGACAGGAGAGTCATCAAGTGACTAACCTTGTTTCAAAGGTGGTAGTGAACCAGAAGGGTTGGCCACCTCAGGGCTCGCACGATCCCGTCCACCAGCAGAAGCCTAATTTTTCTTCACACAAGGCGCAGATCGGAAGGAGGCCTGTAATCAGGAATGAAGGATTATGTCACCAATGCATAGTAGGAGATGGCGCAATTCAGGATCGGATAATAACGAGATTCGGCATTAGATAACTGCCAGGGCGAGATGGGAGGGAGAATGAGAAATGGACTCGTAGTATAACCTCAAAGGCGAGGGACCGTAGCCTGGCGGGGAAGCTGATATAAAAGGATCGTGAACAACCCGGACCCCGCGGGTGCTTCTGCTATTTACACGGCTAGAGACAGGCTCCAAAGACGGTGCCGTTGAGCTGGGCAACACACGGGCCACATGAAGGCAGAAAGGTCGGAAAGCCCAGAAGCCCAAAAAAGACCAAGCCGAGCAGGTCGAGCACAGAGGTCCGAAGTACCTTGGGCAAGTGGTAGGGCCAGGAAATGATTTCAATGTGAAGCCGTCCAGTAAGAATGGAGAGGGGAAGGAATACCCTCTATCTGTGCTAGAATTTCCCAGTGATTTGCCAGTATATATTCCCAGTCTGCACTAGTTGATTCGCCACCATGAAAAATCACCGGGCTTGATTCGGTGCTTGGCTGAGAGGGATAGAGGCTCCGTAGGCATTATGGAGCTGGTCATCTCTTCCAAGACACCTTTGGGACCTCATGGTGTGGAGAGCGAGTCATCTAGGAACGATAGTGAATCGGCCATGCTCGTATGTTCCGAGAGTCAGACATCCATTCGAGGAGGCCAGCTTCCGTCGCCACAAACGGATCGACAGGCATTGGGGCTGATCGAAGCTTTCCGGATCAGCATAGTGCCGGTGCAAATAGAGCAGGACTATCGAAACTCAAAAAAAGAATAAAAAATCAAATTTATTCTTTCACCGGCCAGAAAGGGGCCCCAGGACGTCCGAGCTCCATTGGTAAAGGAACTAGCAAGGACTCCCGGTTCCACGGAGGGAGGTACCACAAGTCACAAGAGCCTATGGCAGCTCAGACCTGCCGTTTGTGTAGGGATTGAGCGGAGTGATCCGAATCAAATGTCGTAATGATGTGGTGGTGGTGAATTGATATGGTGGTACTGGTGATGGAAGAGTTGTTGTTAAGAAAAGGTTTCCTAGTCTGGTTCTGGAAGATGGAGCCCGGCGCTAAGAGGCCGACCCAACCGAGAGCATAAGCATAAATAACTCACAACTACATGCGAAAGAGACTCAGTCATGTAATTTGTCCTTATCTTGACTACTTAGTCAATTAACAACAAAGTCTATAATTTATCTGACTCGAGAAGCTCGAGGGGGCTTAGTATGGAGCTTGATGTTGGCTGGAGTATACCAGTATACCGGCGAACGGCTCCGTCGTCGATCATCGAGGCTAGTATGATAGATAGCAGCCATGGAGTTTGATCAGTTGGGTTATTGTGACCTATGTACTAGCCGTAGACATTCTTGGGCGGCAAGACCTATCATATCTCCTTTTCATGTCCATTCCGTTACAAATTGGGCCAGTCCATCCCCTCGTTAGTGCTATTCATGACTCATGATGGCCAACCAAAGTACTCTAAATCCCCAAGGGAAATCACCCGACAGGAGAAGTGGGCATATGCAAGATGCCTCGTTCCTTATTGATCAAAGTCCCACTACTCCACTCTAAGCCATCACCATCGGAAGGAATCTCGCCCTTTGACGCGGAGGCAAGTATCCTGAACCGCCCGTCTACAAACCCAGCCACGGGATCCACTCGATCATGGTCGTCCTGTGCAAGAGCAAGTCACAAGTCTCTCGCAAGCTATACGTATAGGAGATGTCAGGCATGTCGCACAATTTTCTGGGAAATAGTTGTTTGCTTTTCTCCTTCCTCTCGTGTCGGTTTCTACCTATATGATGTTCACAAAAGTACGTATGTGCCTAGGCAGTAGTAACTCGACTCGATCGATGTTTTGGAAACTATCAAACCATTGCAGAAACCAGATGAAAATCCAACATCAACATCAATTTGCAAATGCACATGCTCTGAGGTTGACCAAACCCTCCACTGCCATCCTTCATGATGTCAGCCGGTGTCTCAAAGTAGGAATCCTTGCGCGCCATTGTGCTACCCACCGGTTCATCGCCCACAGGCTACAGCAAGGGCGATATCGAACATGCAACTGACCTACATCAGGATGAGAGGTACCGGCCCTGTACGCCATCACTGTTGGTCAAGTCCTGGATGAAATAAGCTTCCCGTGGCTTTGGATCACTCTGGCCCTGACCAACGGTCTCTCACAGGCAGACAAGTCACTGCAAGCTGCAGCTCCTACTTCATTCCCATTGAATCCCAATCTACTGTGGATTGGTTAAAGCTGACCGCGCAAGCTGATAGTCAGTAATGCGAGCCGTGGATCAGGATGATGTGTCCCGAGTCGAGTTATCTTCGGGATGCCGATACCTCGCGTCCGCATGGACCTTTCCTTCTATAGTAGTCTAGATCTAGGCCCCATCTCTAAACATGCCTAAGCCTCAACCTCGGTTCACGATCGTCATCCCTTTCGTTACTTGACCTGAGAGAAATTAATCACACAAAACAAAGACCAAATCTTAAAATGCACCTCTCCACCTCTCTCTCCATCCTCGCTGCAGCGATGCGACCGCACCATCACGCCGTACCACCCCCTCCCCTCCCTTAGCGTTGGACAGCACCTACCCCCATCCCAGGCCTGCCGAGGATGATCGTCCAACCTGGACAGACGCAGGGACCAATACCTAATCTTTTGCCGTAGAGCCGGCTCGTCGCGCCCGTCATCCGTGATACCCCACGTCTGACACCTGCACCGGAGCCGAAAACAGGAACCGTGGGTGGAGGGAGTGGAATAGGAATAGTAGGATCATTGACACCCATTGGATATTTTTGGGTCTAATCTGACCCTCATAACGCCGTTAGCATACAGCAATCCGGTTTTACTGGATCTTGGCTTCCATTCTGGATTGCTTTGATCTCACTGATAAACACATTTTCATACATCAGGTAAAGTTAACCATTCATCGCTTTGCGGGAGTGAATCATGGACATGTCGGGGGAGACCCGGCGATCTACCCACCGATCCGAGACTTTGAGAATAAACAAAAGAAAAAAATAATAATGCGGTACTATTAGATTTGCTGTCCTGATAAGCACGCTTGTCTCGGCGAATGAAGAAACATGGAGCCTAGCAACGTGGCTGCTGAGAATATCTGAGTCGGGATGCAGTAGCTCCGACCTACATGCATTAGATCTAGTAGACATAATATGAATTTCTTTCCATATCCTTGACTATTGTAGTCACCCTAGGGTAGCAATTGAGCAAATACATTACCTTATTCTCCGTGAAGCGTAGCCGAACACCCGGTCCGTGTGTCAAAGGTCTCGACGCACGACTACCCTCTTTACAAGCCTTTTATCTGTTTCTATTATTTCGGTTATTAGGCGTTCTAATAGCCTCCGCTCATATAGTTCCGCCAGTCGAGCTAACTTCCGGGACTCTGTCAATGAAAACATGAAATTTTTCCTTCGCTGAGCGCTCAGGATGAGCCATTGTGTCTAGATCCTCTTGCTGACTGTCATGTGGACTGACTCGGCGAGGAGCACAATTAGAAGCTCCCAAGAAGATTAGAATAGTACTGACCGGGCCGACAGAGGAAAAGGAAGAAATATCTGATTAAATTGTGACCATATCAACGATTCTAGGTAAAAGGAGACATACTTCATACATTATCGCTCAACTGGATTGTACACTACAATCGCGAGATAAACTTCTGTACGGCTCAATGTCGTTATAGAGACATCATAGAAATCGACATCATAGAAACCGACATCATAGATCCCCATCTAGTTCTTCGTGCGCTGTATCTAAGCTATGGTTTGAGATCGAAGTTTCTCAAAGATTCTTCACCTGCGTCATGTGTATCCTAAGAGAAAACATCACGACCAAAACACACCTAGTCACAAGTAACCTTTGCCGCACAATTGATTCAATAGATTTCACCCGCCAAACATAAAACACAACCCCCAAAGGTAAGGTATCTGGTACACAAATAGCTACCCACAACACCCGTCCGGCTCTTGTCTACAGATCCCTCTAGCCGAATCGCCCTACCGAATCTCGCCACTTACCCAGCAATCTTGCATACCGCATCTGCCGTCCAACCAACTGACCTCATGTCTAACCTGAAACCGATTCCCAAATTTCCAAGTGAGAGAGGTTGGTCCGCAGATCGAGTCTAGGGCCGTTCTGTTACGGAGGTATGCGTAGAATTTGCGTCATTGTGCTTTCCTGGGTTTGAGGTTTTTCTCCCACGTGGTATACGTCCACTCTAGGCCTGTAATTATTCCGATGTTAGTGATGTTGTTAGGTGGTGGTGCTCGAGATATATTGTAGATATTTGGTAGAGGGAAGGCTACGGACGTATAGTACGTTTTGCCCATGTCATCTGTAATTATACTGTGAATCGCTCAAAGTATCTTCCCACTCGATAATCAGAGATATGCATGCAATAAAGGTGCACACGTAGCTGCAGATACCCAGTGCGTTTCTTACCCTCATCTCCTTTTGATGATAAGCTAGACACTGCCGAGCCATAGACAGAGAAGAGCTCGTTTCTGAATGATAGATACTTTACTTGTTACGTATCGAGTCGAGGGTACGCTGATTGTATAGTATGTCTACCGAATCAACTCGCATTCTGCCAAATGCGTCGAAGATAGGGCAGTCGGCATCAATAGTCAAATGCTATATCAAACCGCCCACGCGCAGTACCTCGCCAAAAAATCCGAAAAGAATAACCTTGATACTCTCTAATACTATTCAAAAGGCTATCAGAGAACTGGAAATGATAGAATATAAATGTTAAAGACAGATCTCCGTTATAAGAATAATGCTACCAAAAGAAATCTACAAAAAATGTACTCCCCCGCCTAGGGGGTGTGCCCGGCCGTCCGTGGCGCTTAAAGCGTCAACACTGGCCCAGTATTTTTCTTTCTACTTTTGTTTGCCCACTCCTCCAGGGCACACCTATGGTTCACCAATTCATGGTGGATACCAACTAGGCCATTGGAGGGGGGGGAAGGTGATTGTTTGACCTGGAAGATGGTGATAAGCCTTGTCTATGTTTCGAAAGTCCACACGTTATTTTGTATGGTGATTGTTGCTATTGCTATTGTATGCCTCTAAGGTTGTATACATTGTAGATATGGGTAAAACCTCATCTTCGCTAGGTGGAAAGCCCGTACACTAGTTTGAAAGAATTATGTTCCATTTCTACACATACAAGAGATGTATTTCGCAATATATGTATTTCGAGAAATACTGTTGGATCTGGCGTATGCAAGACATCTTTATACAAAACCTCAACGCCATAAAATTGCGTCAAATTCAACCCTATCCATAGGTAGCTACACTATTTCCATAAAAATACTGAAATTTCAACTTCTTCATTGACTGCACAGCCCGTCAATAGCATTGTAGCTAATACCAAAGCTACCTAAGCCTACTCTCATCACACTTAAGACTTAGAAAGAAAAACAAGAATAAAAAAACAAGCAGATCCAATCCGGCAAGCGGTATATCAAAAAGTAAGACCAACAACACAACACCATAAACTCCATGCTTGCAGAAGAAAGTCCAGCAATGCATCCCATCCCATCCCATCCTACCACGCGACTCCCAGAGACAGAAAGACCAACCCTCGTTAAACAAAAATTCAAATTCAAATTCAACACCTAACAGAATTACGCCATGCCTGACCCGCTTACTCGGCGGGTTCGTTCAGATCAGATCATCATCAAGAAATCCAGCCAGGCCCTTCTGCGCGGTGAATGACGATCAACGCGTAGCGCTGGAGGAAAGGAACAAATAGAAGAAAGGAAAAGAACACGCTGAAAGAGATTGCAAATCACTGCAGACGGGAGCTGAGAAACTTGGAACATAACGTAGCGCTGCTTGTTCGGTGGCTATCGCCTCTCGACACGACTAAGTGCTCCGAGTATAAGGCCCAGATCCTCGCGTGGTCGGGAGCGTGATACGCGTGGTGTCCGTTGTTCGCTGTCTTCTCCCTCGATAGCGAGTCGTTGCTGTGTATTCCGGGCATCGCGTTCTTCGAGACGTTGGGCGCAGATTCGTAGTATCTGGGAAGAGACGGCGTCTGCTGTGGAGCGGTATAGTTCGATGTCGTGGACTCCTGCGGCCAGGGTATCGAGTGTCGGTGCGAGAGCTGTTGTGATTCGGGAGAGACGGGCTGAGACGGTGGATGGTGGCATGGGTGGTTGAGTTGAGGAAGCAGCGTCTTGTGGGTGTAACTGAGATGCTGTGGAGGAAGAGGAGGTGGGGTTGAGAGTGGCGTAGATGGCTTGTTGTGAGGGGTCGAGGAGGGAGGTGTTGATAGATGGTTTCTCGGATTGGCGTTTGGATCGGGGGGATTTCTTAGGAGATTTCTTGGGTGATTCAACATCGATGCGCGGAATCGCCGGTTGTTTGAGGAGTGCGTTCAGAGCATGTCTCTCCTTTTGGAGTCTGTCACGTAGAAACCGGTCAGTCTGATGTCCTCTAATCTTTCATATCGTGTCTCAGGTTTGGGTCCATACTTTTGTATTTGCTCTTCCAACTCCTTGATCTTATCTGTGTTCTGCACGTTCCTCGGATTTGGCTTCTTCACGACCACTGTTGGCGGATTCACATCCTCGCGACTAAACCAATTGGATAGGTCGGAGTTGGATGAGAATTCTTTCAAGATCTCCTCTTGAATAGCGCGAGCTAGAGATCATTCATTAGAGTAACTTCTCGCCATAGTCATCAAGAACAGAATGGTTTACCTGCTAGGCGCGCACTGATCTCCTCAGAATGAGACCCGGAAGGCTTATCAGGCAACGCACGCGTCGCACACCAAATGAGAAGCTGCCGCATCCTGCGCGGCTCGGGAAGGCCTTCATCGGCAATGTGTTTATAAAAGTCCGCCGCGCTCACTTCTCGATGGGGCAGTGCTAGAAGAAATCATGTTAGCTTTCCCTTTCCTTTGCGCCTGATCACGAAGTGCTCATTGCGCAAGTGGATTCTCCTACCATTCGACGTTCCCGAGTCAATTAAGTCACTGGCTCTTCGCCCACGCATCTGCAGACTACTCCGCCGTCCTCCTTTGCTCGATTTCGCTCCTCTAAACTCCTTATTGCGCTGAATAACTGGCGTGTCGGCCGTCGGTAGAGCCACCTTAATGCCCGGGGGTGGTTGTTCTGGTGAGTGATAGCCGTTCGATTCATTCGTTTTCGCTTTCGCCGGTCGTCCCCTCTTCTTCTTCCTCTCTGACGGCTGCTCTTCGTGACTTTCCTGATTCCGTGATGAGCGCGCCGCAGATTCGGCATGTGATTCTGCTTCAGCATCTACCGCTCGTGTAGACCCCCTCGTGGGCCTCCTCGTCGGTAGATCGGCTGTCTTTCCCTTTGCTGGCACCGCATGCTCCTCCGCTCGCTTCTTTGGCGGTCGTCCCCTCCGCGGAGATGGTTTCGGGGTCGTATTTTCCACATCGGAATGAGCAAGGTGAGGCGCCACCGCTACCGAAGGTTTCGGTTTCTTTGACGGCAATAGCGAAAACTGGAATCCATCTGCATCCTCGTCGTAACCTGTAATCATAGCCAAAAGGTCCCCGTTAGCGATTCGCTCTATCTCACACCATTCCACTTCTGGCCGTAAGTCGCCACTCCACCACCCCAGTCAATCACTCACCCGCTTTCCGCTTAGACTCGTTATTCGAAATCTCCTCTAGACCCTGCTTACTCGCGCCCAGCCGCGTGCGTTTCTGTTCCCCTCCTCCACTCCTTCCTGCGCCGCCAGACGCGGGGCCAGAACGTGATTGCGCCTGTGTAGCCGCCATACCGATTGTCCTCAGCGGTTCGCGGCGCTTTGTTTTGGTCGTCGAGGCCGTCAGGACCGCGATGGTCATGTCAGGAGTTGGAGATTAGGCGGGCTTGTCGGGGTGTTAGGGCGTTGACGGACACCCCTCGGCGAAATTCCACCGACCAGAAAGATTGCGAGTCGTTCAGCTTGTGAGTTCTGGCTGGGGTTGTGGTGAGAGGGGGTTGGTTGCTGGCGCCGTTGGGCCTTTTTTTTCGCGTTGACGTTGCGCTCGAGTGTCGGATCCGCCTGGTTCTACGGGTCGTCGGTCGGGATTGGGGAGTCAGGGCGTGTTTGCAATGGGTGGAACGGGGTCGCATGTGTTGACAGTATTTCGACTGGGAATTCGAGTATCACGCCCGCAATGCGAAAGAAGCTGCGGGCGGCAAGGATGCGCAGAAGGTGGGTGGGTTTGGAGGGATTCGGGCACGCGGTTGTTTTGGTCGGGGCGCGTGGGGCGCTAGTCCTTTTTAGGTAACCCCCTCTCTATTCTGTCAACGACTGATTGGACTGTGGTTTCAATACTTGGACAATTGTCTACAAGGGAGAATCTTGTTTAAAGTTAAGCATTTAATGCAAGAAAAAAAAATACAAGCTATAGAAGAAATTGTTCAAACCATTGTATAATGTCTGTCAGATCCTATTTCAGGGGGTTTCCCCTCACGCGGGGACCTTCTCCTCCATGCTGTTAGATGATAAAACGCTATGTACCCAGAAAGAATCCTTAACGCCAGCATTGCAGAAGAAAATAACAGTCACACTTAATCAATATGTTCAACGAAAAATGGTGGAAATGAGTTGAGGCTCAGTCCATTTTTGTTTGTTTCTCATTTCTTGCAATCAATGCACATTCGAGAGTCAAATTCATTGTATCGTACTCAGCAGCGTTCTGGGGTCGGCAGGAGGCGCCAGGCTGCCTTCAATGCGGCGCTTGGCGTCTTGCATCTCTTCAACCGTGACATTCTCGGCCTTCTTGGGCATGTCCGGTTCATGCTGAGGGATGTCGGGGCTGTGGCCGACTGACATGCCCACTCGTATCTGGAGAAGCTGTTAGTATCGTTGAAATCAGGCATAGGGTAAGGTAGTGTACATACCAGTGTTTCCAAGGCGCCCTTGGAATTTTCCACAAGGTCAGAATCAAAGTTGACCATTCCTTGTTCGAACAAGACGAGAAGCGTGCTACCACCGAACTTGAAGTATCCTAGCTCCTCGGCTCGAGAAACCTTTTCGCCAGCCTTGCGGGTGATGACCGTGCTACCGACCATCATGGCTCCCACACAAATGACCATGACGCGACCATGGGCCACAGAGTCAATGGGGACGAGAATGCGTACGTTTTCACCATAGACATCCAACGCTGAACGGACGGCCATCGGGTTCACGGTATAGTACTCGCCCTCGATGGTCTTGGGCTCGCCCATTACACCGTCCACGGGAATATGGAAGCGGTGATAATCCTGAGGTGCCAGTCGGAACACGGCCAATGCGCCATTCTTGTACCGTGCAGCATCTTCTGGATAGGCATTGCCCAGCAATCTCTCGACCGAGAACTCACGACCCTTCACCCAGATGCTGGTGGCATCGCTCATGCGATCGAAGACGACGGAGCGACAATCAGCAGGCGAGACCACAATCTTTGGCTCATCGGGGCCAGAGCACGGGCGCGCATCGGGCTTCAGAGCGCGGTAGAAGAACTCGTTGAAGTTACGGAATTTGTCAAGAGGCAGGAGAACCTCGGACATGTCCAACTGATGGAAATTGATGAAGTCCTGGATCTGGCTAGCAGAGGCTGGATCGTCATACTTTCGGCCCTGCTTGATACTCAGAGACTTTAGGACGCGACGAACTAGCAGTGAAACGTTAGCATACTTCAGTTCTTGCAACGGAGGGATATCGATAGACTTACTTCTCTTCTTTTCCATTTCCTTGCTCTTGAGGCCCTTGTACAACAACCGAATTCCCAGACGGACATACACACTCATACGCTCCTCATTGATCTGACCGGTAATGCGATCCTGGACAAGGATATTGGCCGAGTTTGCTCCAAGGCGATAACCTCCGTACGAAATTTTGGTGATCACCTTGGAATACCACTTGCGCTGAGCCTGGCTGGAAGTCACGAAACCGCCCATAACCAGATTATCGACCTGACGCCAGTCACGGCTCGCGCAGGTCGCAATATGAGTGATGATATCCGCATCCGATCGTTTGGCGAGGCGAGGCTGATGGCAAAGCGGACACTCACGGATCTCAATGACGTGCTCCTCACCGCGCTCGTCACCAAGATCATCGGGCCGCAATTCGTCGTCATTCGAAGAACTAGGCTGCTCGTCACTGCTGATAGTTGGAACCGCTGTTTTTTGGGGATTAGCATTGGACGATGGGCGGGTACTGGTTTCTATAACGAGATCCTCGTCGCTGGATGGCTCCTCACTTTCTTGGCTTCCGACTGGTGATGGTCCGAGACCGGGTCTCCGTGGAGCGGGCATTGCGGGCACCGAGTTCTTTTTCTGAAGGTACCGAAGGGTGTCTTCCAAGCAAATCACGCATTCGTCGAAACTCAAATCGGCCGATTCGCTGGGTTCATTTCCGTCGCTGAATCGTTTGAAGAAGCCATCGATCGTTGATTCCTTGAGGGTGGATCCAAGAGTGTCGAGCATCGTTGTCATCTCGACCTTGTCGATGCGGCCGCTGTCGTCCGCATCGTATTGCTTCAGCATCAGTCTCCAGAATTGCTGACGCAACGCGCTGTACGGCAGAAACTTGGCTTTGACGAACAACTCCGGCGAGTGTTTGTCTTCCCACCGGTCTCGGTTCTTGAGGATTAGGGGAATTTTGTACTCTCTTAATCCTTCCTCGTTTGCTGGGGGAATTGAATCACTGCTCTCTGTCGCAGTTGCACTTGTCGCTGAAGCCGACGGAGTCTGTAGGGTCGAGCTACTGCTATCGACCTCAGAGCCACTCTCTTCGGGGACAGACGTAGGTGGGGGTCGGTTTGCCACTTCGAGCATTGTCAGGGATGACACGGAGTTGCCGGAGTTGCGAGACTTGAGTGCCGGTCTGCCCATCTTGGAGAGACTTTGGGAGGAAGGTGACGGGCTGACGGCATAGCGGGGACTGGACTTGGTAGGACTGGGAGGGTCCAGTTCTACGAAATGGTACAAACCCGACTCGGGGTCCGCCTCGGGGCCTGACTGAATGAGTTTCTGCAGAGGGAAGCTGGCGGAGGCGACAAAGTCATTGCCCGAGAACTTGTCTCGGTCCATCACGGTGAAGCTGATGGTATAGGTCTGCTCGTGTTTCATTACCTGGAAGACCATCTTTTCGTGATACACCGGGTTTAAGTTGTGTCTGATGACGGGCGTCCTGAGCGTCTTTCGTCCCAGAGAAGTGACGACGAAGGGGTCCATGTCGAACGATGTGCGAGTAACTAGAAAGGAAAATTGTCAATAACCTCTTCCGATGGGGAGAGATAATGAAAGCAAGACCAGAGAAAATCTTACCATTGCGTTCGGGAGGCAGGTCCTTGACCCGTACAATTTCCATAAACACAATGCCTTGGACCCCAGTGCCCGAGCCCGAAAATTGATATGCGCGGGCAGCCAGGGACTTGCGCCTCAGGCGAGCTAACCGAAGACGGCGGCGGCGCTTCTCAACGACCTCGGGCTTCGACGGATCATCCGTCTCATCAGAAGTCTCCTGCTCGAGCTCGTCAAGATCAAGTTGTGGGATTTGGTCGTCGGGCGACTGGTCATCCTCGTCGCCTGCAGAGACCAGACTCTTGAATTTCCGATATGTTTCAGTAGGTGAGGCGGCCGGGTTGGCTGAGTCTGACAGCGAGAACTGGAGCAGGATCTCGCCGGAGACATTGCTATCCTTCTTCTCCTTCTTCTTCTTTTTGCGGCTGGGCCGGTTGGAGACCCGTTTTGACTTGAGTGTATACCATGTGGGCTAGCCGATCGTTAGCGAACCGTGGCCTCAACCCATTGTCCCAATTGCATTGCATCATCTCACCTCCTGGTTAACCTGTCCGTCCGTGAAGATGTCCTCCAGTGCAATATCGAATTCGCCCATGTAGTCTTTGCCGAAGCGATCATGGTCCCAACAGATGAATTCCAGCAGAGGGACGCCCATGACGGGCATTTCGAAGGAAACGTTCCATTCCGGGTTCAATGTCTTGGATATCGTGGGGGTAGATTGTCTTGCGTCGCCCAATGTCACCACCAGGTACTGTCCGGAGCTTGTCAGCGAGTTGTCGATCTGGCCGGGGAGCCGCGCATTCCCTGGTCGCGTGAGGTGCTTACCGGATCACTTGTGCCACCACGATCTTTCGCCGCAAGATTTCGACCCTAGAATACCAGGACGTCTCCGGTCAGCGAGAATTCAGGCCAGGTGGCGCGGGGTAAGCTGTCCGGGCGTGGGTTGTCGTTGACTTACCTTGATCACGGTCACCTTGATCAGCAGTGGTTTTGTCTCCACCGAGCGCATTGGACTGGTGCTTCTGCTCTGCCCCGGAGTCGAGCTCGCGCTCCTCGCGGTCAAATGCGAGCTGAGCCGCGTGGGTAACGGCAACCGGACCATGGCGGAAGAGGCGACGGTGTGGGCGGGAATTCAGAAGCAGTAGTGATGGGAGGAAGAGAAAAAAGTAGGAATACGAGGCCGACGACGTGGGCACAAATACGAGTTGGGTAGCTTAGGCTCAATGGGTTGCGGCCCCCTGGGTGGCTGTTTGGCAGTTGTGGCCAGTCGTCCGAGGGTGGCTTTAATTTAGGGAGGGACCCCAGGTCGCGCGCTGATCTGCGATCCGGCTGGTGTTCGGGTCGATCCCACCAAGGAAAAGAGAGCCAAGACAAGTTAGACAAGAGACGGGTGCCACCCGACCCAAACAAGGCCCCAACAAACGCGAATATAGTAACAGCGGTCGGGCAATTGGACCCTGAAATCCTTTCGGCTGTTTGAAGAATTGGGGGCGATGACCGCCAAGTATGTCTTGTCTTGTAAATGTGGGATTCCGTTCTTACGTTGCGGAGTTGCGTAGGAAGGGACTGGACTGAGGAGGGAAACAATGTAACTAAACAACACGAAGGCCCGAGAGCGCGAGTCCGATGAAGGATGTCGTGTTTAAATGGCGCTTATGCCAGCAGGATTGTAATGGGTCGTTTCGACAATGGAAAATGATATTGTCAAGAGGGAATTAGTGTCCCCCCCAGTTGGTCGTTTGCGGGCAAATAGTTCAGTTAGTGGCAGAGGGGCCGAGACATCACGAATTGAACAAATCAACGTGAGTTAAATCATTGAGGCTTTGCGATGTCAGGTTGCTTGAAAGGGGGGGCTCCACTAGCGACACTGTGGGAGGCCCTTCTCCACCGCCAAATCACCGGTAGCCGACCAGAAAACTGGTGGGAAGTGGACTGGAGTGGTGGAAGGGAGGGTGGAGATGGAAGAGTGGGCAGAGGTGGGAGTTAAGGAAATCCGGATGCCTTGGGGGTTGGCAGCCTGATTAAACTGATGTACAACCAGGGCAATTGATGAGACACTCTGTACAAGAGTGTAGAACCACGAGGGAACTGGGTGTGTAAAACAATGTCTCTACTTCTCTGGGATCAAATTGTCAAGAATACATAAAAAGGTTAAGAAGTGCCTATCCCGAGCTCGTAATTATTTGCCTGCTGAACCCAGGCTTTGGCGGTCTAACGTCATACCAAATAACCCCCCACCACAGTACTGTAGGTATGCACTACGGAGGATGGACAAATCGCCTGGGAAATAGAAACTCATACCCCGCAATCACAGACTGTCCGGATCAATCAAGGCATAACTATCGATTGTCAACGATCAATGGTTACTGGTCAATGGTCCAGGGTCAAGGGCCAATGCACCTTCATGCTTTGCGTCAGACATGGTGACGGACAATTTCGGGTTCATGGCAATCTGATTGGGATAGACAATTCGACGGTGGAAGAACCACGATTATTGTATTCCTTTTTCCTATCGCCATCAGACCTTAGCAACAACGGAAAGTTAGAAGACTAATTTATACTATCCCCAGTGGAGGGCGTTGGCCGAATCCACAGTCTTCCCGTGATGGTGACAGGCAAATGTGCTGTCGTTTTTTCGCGTGGGCCACCATGGGATTTGTGGCCGCGATCAGAACCAGGCCAGCACCCGATCTTCAAGATCTTCCGTGACAGATCGAGAGCCAAGAATTATAGCAACATGAAATCTGGAACAACAATACTAGTTCTAGTCTTCTCGTCGATCCATCCGACCCCAAACCTCATCAGCATTCGCCTTGCCTTTGGTCTCCGGAACCCAGCGGTAAATGAATGCACCTAGGAGCCCCGCCATCGCTGCAAAGACCCAGTATACCTTCCCGCGGCCCCCGAGCGCATCATTCAGCATAGGGAAAAACTGCGCGACTACAAACGTCGCGGTCCAGTTGGCCGCCAGAGCACAGCTTTGCGCCGCACCCACCGCCTCGGGGCCTACGAGCTCCGAGGCCAGGATGAAGGGTACCGGGCCCAGCCCCACTGCGAAACAGGCCACAAACAATAAGGCGGCGATCGCGGATGCGATCTTCTGGTTAAAGTAGATCCCGAGCGCCAATAGGATCGAGCTACTGCCCATACCCGTGATGCTGAGCAGTAGACAGGTCTTCCGACCAATCCGGTCGGGTAAGGGGGAACACGCCAATGTCATGATGAGATTAATGGCTGAAATCAATACGGTCAAAAGGGCTGCCGTCGTGGGCAAGATGCTCTGTAGCAAGGAGACGCTGTACATGATAATACTGTTGATACCGGTAAATTGCTGGGCAATCATGACACCCACAACGGCGATGATGGCGGGACGGTAGTAGGGATCTCGAATGGCCTGCATTATAGTCACGGGCTCTTGCTTGGAGGGCAGAGTGCCGGTCTCTGGAGCCAGCAAGGATTCCTCTTCAGGAGCACTCAGAGTTCTCCAGGTCTGGGTCTCAGCTTCGATATCGGCATCCTTGCCGCGAATGCGCTGCAGAACCCGGCGAGCCTGACTCATAGAGCGGTGCTCGGCAAGCCATGTCGGACTCTCCGGGACCAGCAACAGACCCAGGAATTCGAAGGCTCCGATGAAACCGGCCACGGCGAAAATCAACCGCCAGAAGCTCTCATAACTCCAGAAGTATCCCAGGCCTTGGGTCAACAGGATACCGACATTGGTCATGACTTGGGTAAATGCGCCGAAGAAACCTCGAGATTCTGGCGGCGCAATCTCAGATACGTAAATAGGGCCAACCACAATCGCTGCACCGGACCCAACGCCGGAGAGGAACCTACCCAAAGCGAGGACTGGGATTCCGGGCGCAAGGGTCTCAGCTATGGGGCCTAGGACAAAGAAAACGGTTGTCGCGAGCAGCGCAAATCGGCGTCCGTACTTGGTCGATACCGGCCCTGCCAGCAGGGCTCCCAATAGACCGCCGAGAGTGTAGATTGATGAGACCAGACCGAACTGGGAGGGATTCATGGGAATGCATGAGGGCAGGCCCACTCTGGCAGGGCCGGAGGGATGAATACTTTTCTTGTTGCATGTCACGACTGCTTGCGGGGCATTAAGCTCGGCCTATATGAACTGTGTCAGTGATAGTTTCCTGGCAGTTGACAGAGATGTAAATGGCGTTGTAGAGCTCCGACGCTGGTGGAGAGATCAGGCTATGCTTACCAGATGATATCCAAACTGGAGGGGGCCCAACGTGGCAATAAACACGAGATAAATCAAGTACGGCGTGACTTGCGATCGGGTTGAGTCACCCGTAGCCATGTTGAGAGCTAAGGGATCATCAAAGTTATGCAAGTGAGGGAAGGGGTGGGAGTAGCAAAGCTCAAGATGACGTTCGTTAGATCGATTAGGGGAGCGATAAGGTGGAGAGAGCTGTTATCTTCGATCGGGGGGCTGGGCGGACTTGCGGGGACTGTCCAGTTAGTAGTACGGAGTACTCCGTACTACAGTAGCACTACTATTACTCACTGGCAACAGTCCGTGTGATCTCCGCCTCGTACTCTCTCCAACTCCAACTTCCTAATCTAAACCCAACCGCCCCTTTTCCTTGCCTTCCGCTACGAATACTCCGTACTATCACGGAGTAATCCTTCCCCACTCTTCCTCCACTTTCCTCCCAACTTTATACCGGGAAATTCTCCGATAATCAGGCCTCCTCACCGCTGACTAAGGTCGAAACTGCCTCCATCCATCCATCCCCATCCGGTTCCCCCGAATCGCCGAATCGTCGCCTCTCTCGAGTCTCCCCACACGCCCACCTTCCAATTGCGCATCGCGACGGAAACCGCCTCTCTGGTGGCCTTTTCCCTTCCCCCCCGAAACCCCCCATGGACGAGTAACGATCCAAATGAGTCTGACAAACCCGCCTTCCTCCTCCGGTTCGATCTCTGCCCGAGCCAAGACTGTCAGCCAGAATCTTAAACGGAGTCTCCAGGCCACTGTCGATGGTAATTATTATACATTCTTCAGTTCTTGGTCGCCTCTCTTCCTGCTGCCTCTGTTGAACATCACCTGTGCACGATCTATCCTCTGTCGTCCCTGTTGATCTCCACGATGTTTGGGAAAGGCTTCCCATTTCTGAATTCTGCTGGGGGCTTCTATCCTCGGGGTAATCCTTCTTTCCCTTTGTAAGCTACTGGGGTTGTCGTTTCGGATTATTGTTCTGGGAGTGAAAGAGGAGGGTGGCCCATGTCTCTGGTTTGCGACCTTCATACACCTTGTTGGTTTCATCGAAAGACGCTTGGATCCTTTGATTTGTCTCCGCTATTCTTTTCCCCGCAATGCCCGTTGCGAGACTCCGGATTTCCGTGCACTAGCTGACCAATTGCCTTGCTTGTATAGAGAGTATCGAATCCCGCCGGCCCGGGGGATATACAAGCAAAGTTCGAGTGCGTGATCGGTATCATATCGTTGGGTTCATCAGCAGTGGTACCTATGGTCGGGTGTACAAGGCGATCGGGAAAAATGGCCAGAAGGGGGAGTTTGCGATTAAGAAGTATGTCTTCGGCCTTGATGATGAGGTCTCTACACAATGCCATGGGGAGTCGGGCACTAACTCGCAACTTCTAGGTTCAAGCCGGACAAAGAAGGTGAAACGATCCAGTATACCGGTCTCTCCCAATCGGCCATCCGGGAGATGGCTCTATGTACCGAACTCTCCCATGCCAATGTTGTCCAGCTGGAGGAAATTATCCTAGAGGACAAATGCATCTTTATGGTGTTTGAGTATACGGAGCATGATTTGCTTCAGATCATCCATCACCACACCCAACCTCAGCGGCACGCGATCCCTGCGACAATGGTCCGGTCGATCCTGTTCCAGCTGCTCAATGGCTTGTTATATCTGCACACCAACTGGGTATTGCACCGTGATCTCAAGCCAGCCAACATCCTGGTCACGTCCAGCGGAGCTATCCGAATCGGTGATCTAGGCCTGGCCCGTCTTTTCTACAAACCCTTGAACTCTCTATTCTCCGGAGACAAGGTGGTTGTCACAATATGGTACCGAGCTCCAGAGCTTCTTCTGGGCAGTCGGCACTATACCCCGGCTGTCGACATGTGGGCAGTGGGATGCATCTTCGCCGAGCTCCTATCGTTGCGCCCCATTTTCAAAGGTGAGGAAGCCAAGATGGACAGCAAAAAGACAGTTCCCTTCCAGCGCAACCAGATGATGAAGATCGTCGAGATTCTCGGCCTTCCTCGCAAGGAGACGTGGCCTGGCCTTGTCGCGATGCCCGAGTATACTCAGCTACAGTCTCTAGTACTGCATCGACAGCCAGCCCATTTCCACCGTGGCCCTAATCTCGAGGGCTGGTATCAAAGTTGTCTAAAGAATGGAGGCTACTCTTCCACATCGAAAACGGGGACTCCAGGTGCAGATGGTTTCGATCTTCTTTCACGCATGCTCGAATATGATCCGACAAAGCGGATCACCGCCCAGGAAGCATTGGAGCATCCCTACTTCGCGGATGGAGGCCCTATCAGTGGAGACTGTTTCAATGGCATCGAGCACAAGTACCCGCATCGCCGGGTTACGCAGGACGATAATGATATACGCAGCGGTAGCTTGCCTGGTACTAAGCGTAGTGGTCTGCCGGATGACTCGCTGCTGAGAGCCACCAAGCGTCTGAAGGAGTAATCTCTACTTTTCGCACCGTTTGGCGGCGGGGTACATTGCATGTTGATACTTCTTTCCTATACACATAGCACACGGTGGGGTCCAAGGAAGGCCACTCGATCATCATGGGCAGGCTGGCGTTTCTAGGTTGTTTCAGGTCTGCTTTTTAGATACCATTTTGCATCGGATGCATCTCATCAAATGAAAAATTCCATTGAACCATCTTACGCCTTGAGTAATTTCTAGTGTCCAGTCCCATTCCCATTCCATTTCCGTGTCCCAATCCTGAATTCCTCCAAGCCGATACCATCAAGTGCCTGATCACAAGCCGTTCCAAGCAGTAGTCGGTAGAGTGAAACCCAACACCGTAACTCCGCAAGTAAAATACAGGTGCAAGCTCCTCATACTGAAAGCCAGAGGATCTCGCACAATCAGTATCCTGCAAAGACGTTAGTGACCAACGATCATTGAAAACAATTTCGGGGCATAGACTCACCATTCTGCTCACGGCGATTATCACCCCCAGCATCACCGCCACCACCGCCCTTCCCCTCAGCAGAAGCTCGACCAGCGGCATCCTTAATACCCTGCTCATCACCCCGAAGCTTCTCAAAATACCCCTTAATATCCTCAGCGCTAACAGCCTGTCCACTCTCTGCAAACGGCTTAAGGAAATCCTTCACCTTATCACGGAGATGGTTGTAGATCATCGCGCCTTCAATGGCACGCACGCGGTCGACGTTGCTAAGGGCTGCTTCGCCGCGCTCGAGAAGACTGCCTGTTCCTGTGCTGCCGGCGGCGTTGTCGCCCTCACCGTCGTCGGAGAGGGGTGGTTCGTAGGTGTCTTCTGCTTCGCGAAGTTGGGGGTGTGGGACTAGGTTGGGGAAACATTCTGCGCAGCGGCAGAGGCAGTCGTGGAAGTTTTCGAGGAGGAAGAGGGAGAATGATGCCTCTGGGGCGGAGTTGGGGAGGGAGGCGTGCTTGGGCTTCGGGGGGTCTGTTGTGGGTGTTTCGGTAGTGGTGGTAGGGTGGGTGGTGGATGGGTTGGGAGAGTGTTCTTCTTCTTTAATAGTGTCGAGTTTGGACGGCTCAACTTCAAGGTCATTTGTGGATGCGTCCTCCTCTTTGGTTCGCTTTGCAGAGGGTTCTTCCTGCGCGGGCTCATCATCCTCAGCCTTGCGCTTCTTTGGGTTGTCCTCTTGCTTCGGTGTCTCTGCAGCGGCGAGTTTCTCTGACACTGGTTGCGCGGGCTTCTCAATTCCACCGTTTCGATAAACTGGTGGAAGGAATCCTGGAGTTCCAGCATATCGCTTCAGCCATGGGGTGGAATCAATGCACTTAAAACAGATGAGGTGCTCGAAATCGTCCTCGTCCGGGAAACCAGGAGGTAGAGGGGTTTCCTCGTCTTCATCAGCGACATCAGCAGCACCATCGACAGCGCCTTCAGCAGCGGCGTCTCCACCAAAAGCGACTGCCTTCTTGTTCTTGTACCAATCACGCGACAGTCCAATGAGACACTCTGGGTGCCACCAGTCCTCGCCGCAGCCTCCAGTCTCGACAGTGCCGAGACCCAGGCATTGGAACATAGTGCCCTTCTCTTGGTGCGGGTCATACTTCTCGCCGCAGCCGCAGAACTGATTGCGGAAGTTGTGGTTGTATTTGTTGCCCGGGGCAGCTTCCTGGGAGTGGACGCCCTTTCGGCCGGTAACGGGGTCGTCGCGTAGAATGCACGGGGAAGTAGAAGGCATGCGAGTCGTACCACAGTCGCAAACGAAGTTGCGCTTGTTGAATAGTTCGACCAGGGTGTGCTCGCCATGGCATGCGATAGAGCAGGAGTAGCATACAGCAGCGGGAGTGTAGGCATCTTCGGGGTTCGAGGGGGCGGATTGCAAGTCAGACAGGCGAATAAATTTTGCCGAAGAGGGCCGAGGTCATGGGTGCAAGAGTCGAATGACTATACATTAAGTATTGGGCGCGATTAGTCTCCAAACGACCAGGGCGTTCCATTTTTGTAGCACATACGTATGGTAGAACCTCTCGAGCATCAGCTTCCAGACGAATCTGAGAGTCAATAAACCTGTGGTGAATCAGCTATCACATTCACGTCACTTCGCCAGTAATTCTTGTTTGCGAAACGTACTCTTTTGCCGTCTGAGAGTTCTGAGATCCGAAGCTCTCTCGGCGAGCAACATCGGCCTTGAGTGGCCCAGTTGGAAGGGAATCCATCGCGCGAAAGGAGGTCCGTGCAGTGCAAACGGTATTCCACTGCGAAAGTATCAAGAAGCCAGGCGTCAGGTTTGCGCAAAGTTGCGACTGAATGTCAAAGGAAGCCGCGGAGTCTGGGGCAAACACGATGCGCGGGCGGTGTGAGATTGGACGGTGGCCAACGTTCCGTGGTCAGCGGCGATACGCTTGTTGGCGCGAACCTGGGAGGAAAATGGGATTGCGAAGTTTAGAGGTAGGACTTGGGAAGGCGTCGCTGAGTGTTACGTGTGGACGCTGGTTGAGACGTTATGTCCTCAGAGAAAGGTGATCTCAAGTCGATATGTTCGTGTCGCGACTTGTTCTCCACGCCTCACCTGACTTCACCTAGCTTGCCTTACTTGACCAGATCATTCTAGACTATGGAGAGTCATTAGACTTGAGAATTTAATGCCATCTCTTACTCCCTATACTAACGGATTAATTCTGTGTGTACAGTATATCTCTGATATACTCTCCGTTATTCTGCCACTTATATTCACGTGACTGCCCCAAATTGGGGTTTAATTGAAAACGCGTCGCGTCGAGTTTTTGCCGTTTTGGGCCGCCCTCGACGCGTCTCGTAGTTCCCGCCCCTTCCTCCTCCTCCTCATCGTCTCCTTGGGAACTCCGTTGAGAAATTTACAAAGCTTCCTCCATTCCACCACTCTCTCCCTTACCCCCCATTCCGGCCTCAATCCATCCCGATTTGGACGATTGAGCTAAATACACACACAATATGGAGTCAGTATTGTTCGCCAGTCATTTATCTACTGGGTTTTTTTTTGTTTTCCAGCATCCACAAAACTAATGCACACTTCCAGTCCCCTCCAACCAAGCGACTCGGCCGCAAACCGCGGCCTCAGAGCCAACACTCGCAAGCGCTCACGAGAGCCAGATGACATGTCTTCGCCGGCGCAATTGCCTCCCTCTAGTCGTATGTACACACTTGTTTTCTATAGGGAAATTTTCGCGCCCGTGGGTCAGACTAACAAACTGTGAGCAGCTGCCGCGTTGGGGTCGTCACCTCCTCCCATGCCTCCCTTTGACGAAGGCGAAGACGATGACGAGGAGGAAGCTGAGATGATTCCCGACATTGATGATGTGGATGAGTTGGCTGAAGATGAGGATGGAATCGATCTATTCGGCGATAACTTCGAGCGGGATTACCGCGCTGCTGAAGATGATCGATATGTGAACGAGGCGTACATTGATGATGACGAAGACCACGATGAACTCGACGCCTCCACCCGCCGACAATTAGATGCACGACTGAACCAGAGAGATCGGGAACTCGCCCGCCGGCGCCGCATGCCTGCTGCGTTCCTGCAGGATGACGATGATATGGATCTCGACCTGTCGCGCCAGCCGCGCCGTCGTCGCCACCATTACGATGAAGAGCGCGAGGATATTGATATGGCCGATGAGGGTATGGACGAGCTGTCTCTGGAAGAATTGGCCGATGTCAAGGCCGCCAACATCACAGACTGGGTCACCCAGCCGCAAGTGCTCCGCTCTATCTATCGGGAGTTCAAGGCTTTCCTGACAGAGTTTATCGACCCATCTGGTCAGTCCGTCTACGGAAACCGAATTAAGACCCTCGGTGAGGTCAACTCCGCCTCGCTCGAGGTGTCATATGCCCACTTGAGCGAGACCAAGGCTGCGCTGTCCTACTTCCTCGCCAACGAGCCCACCGAAGTCTTGAAGGTCTTCGATCAAGTCGCCCTCGATGTCACTCTCTTCCACTACCCCCAATACCACGACATTCACAATGAGATCCACGTTCGCATCACCGACGTGCCCATCATTTACACTCTGCGCCAACTCCGTCAGTCGCACTTGAACTGTCTGGTTCGCGTTGGCGGTGTGGTGACCCGCCGTACTGGTGTCTTCCCCCAGTTGAAGTATGTCATGTTCCTCTGCCAGAAGTGTGGTATCACTCTTGGTCCCTTCCAGCAAGAGGCCAGCGCCGAGGTGAAGATCTCATACTGCCAGAACTGCCAGTCCCGCGGTCCCTTCACTGTCAACGCTGAGAAGACTGTTTATCGCAACTACCAGAAGTTGACTCTGCAGGAGTCTCCTGGTACTGTGCCGGCCGGTCGTCTGCCCCGCCAGCGTGAGGTCGTCCTGTTGGCTGATTTGATCGATTCTGCCAAGCCTGGTGATGAGATTGAGATCACTGGTATTTATCGCAACAGCTATGATGCCCAGCTGAACAACAAGAACGGATTCCCAGTCTTTGCGACTGTCATCGAGGCCAACCATGTTGTCAAGGCCCACGACCAGCTTGCTGGATTTAACTTGACCGAAGAAGACGAGCGTGAGATTCGTGCTTTGTCTCGCGATCCCGAGATTGTGGACAAGATTGTACGCTCCATCGCCCCCAGTATCTACGGTCACCAGGATGTCAAGACTGCTGTTGCACTTTCGCTATTTGGCGGTGTCAGCAAGCGGGCCCAGGGCAATATGTCTATCCGTGGTGACATCAACGTCCTCCTGCTTGGTGACCCAGGTACTGCCAAGTCGCAGGTCCTCAAGTATGTCGAGAAGTGTGCCCACCGTGCCGTCTTTGCCACTGGTCAAGGTGCCAGTGCCGTCGGTTTGACCGCTAGCGTTCGTCGGGACCCTCTGACGAGTGAATGGACTCTCGAAGGTGGTGCTTTGGTGCTGGCAGATCGTGGTACTTGCTTGATTGACGAGTTCGACAAGATGAATGACCAGGATCGAACTTCCATTCACGAAGCCATGGAGCAACAGACTATCTCTATCTCCAAGGCTGGTATCGTCACCACTCTGCAGGCCCGCTGTGCGGTCGTTGCCGCCGCCAACCCTATCGGTGGTCGCTATAACAGCACCAAGACCTTCTCGGAGAACGTCGAGCTGACTGACCCTATCTTGTCTCGATTCGATATTCTTTGCGTGGTCCGCGATCTGGTCGAGCCTTCCGAGGACGAGCGCCTGGCAAACTTTGTCATCGAGTCGCACCACCGCGCCAACCCGGCCAAGCCCCTGCGCAATGACCAGGGTGATTTGGTTGACACTAACGGCGATCTCATTGACATTGACGGTTACCGCATCGACGGAGAAGGACGCCGTCTTCCTCCATCCCAGGAAGAGCTCGCTCGCCGGGCTGCAGAGCAAAAGAGGGCCGACGAGGAGAAGGAGGGTGAGATCCCGCAGGCGCTGCTCCGGAAGTACATTCTCTACGCGCGTGAGCGATGCCACCCCAAGCTGTACCAGATCGACCAGGACAAGGTTGCTCGTCTGTTCGCAGACATGCGCCGTGAGTCTTTGGCTACTGGTGCCTACCCTATCACCGTGAGTAACCCCTTTGCTTCTCTACCAACCGTACAAATGCTCATATATTTTCTTGTTCAGATTCGTCATCTGGAAGCCATTATGCGTATCGCCGAGGCTTTCTGCAAGATGCGCTTGTCTGAGTACTGTTCCGCCCAAGACATTGACCGTGCCATCGCCGTCACTGTCGAGTCTTTCATTGGCAGCCAGAAGGTCAGCTGCAAGAAGGCGCTGTCGCGAGCATTTGCCAAGTATGTTGCCCTCAATCTTCCATCACATCCTGGCTTTTCAAGTTTTAACACATTGTCCTTCCAGGTACACACTTTCCCGGCCCAAGCCGCAATCCAAGCGCCGTGCAGGCATCCCAGTGTCAAACCCACATCTGCCTCGCTCTACGCCCACGAGTCACTAAGTATCGCACGGGGCTGGGGGGCTTTCTGGGGGTTTCTTTTGAGTAAAATACCATCTCTGTTTGCATCTGGTGTGTACGGCGTTCCCATCATATATGTCTAGTCTTTTTTATGGAGGGGGCCTTGCTGGTCGGGCCATGATTTAATGAATGAACATGAAAATTATTATCAAATATCAACAATGGATCTCTGCGTAATCTGAACAACCTGAGCCAAGGCAGGCAACTTGTGAAGTATGGCCCAGCCGTTGCTGAGATTTTTATTCTCTCGGAGGAGCTGACCTGATTCTCAAACAGAGAAGGTCGTCACCTTGACACTCGCCGCCGGGCTAGGTACGAGCCACGCGGCTTGCATCCTTGTATAGGCGGCTCCACAGTTCTGCAATCTAGACCGGCAATTCTGTATTGCAGATCATTCGATAATTAATTGCGCAAGACTTTGACGAAGACGGTCTCGGCCGATGCGCTTTGCAGCTGTCTGGAAACCACGAATCAAGGACGATTACCAGACTTCGGCCGATAAGTGGACTCTACACATCTTGGCAAATACTATAAAGGCACAGGGAGGTGTTGGGAGTCCAGCTTATGAAGTAAATCGTGATAACTATTTAACTCGAACCAGCTACACCTTTCATGTAAAAAGTGGGCAGCAAGTTGAAAAAAGAATCTGTCTCGTGGGTTGAAATTTGAATACATAAAGTAACCTTGTGATCAATAACTCAATTGACACACTCAGATACAAATACCTATTGAAGACCAACTACCTTCTTGAGCTCATAAAGGTCATCAATGCTCTTCACTTCCTCAGGACTAAGCTCAAGAAAAATAGCCTCAACAGCCTCATCATCCCTCCTTCTTACTCATTCCCAAAATCGGCGCCGTAATAAACAGCTTAGAAAGAGACCAAGCAATAGCCACAGTCACCATCGACACACCACGCTCCTTCGCAATCTTCTCAACTTGCTCATTGATCTTCTTATCCGTCTCTGTCGCAGGTTGACCGAGGAACCCAGCGCCCTGGCCCTCTCCCCGTGCAGTCTTTGAGAATTCCCACCAGGGTCGAGCCAGGTAGCCCATTGCGATGGGACTCCATGGTATCCCGCCCATGCCGAAATTGGCACAGGAGGGATACATTTCCCGCTCTTCTTCTCGGTAGATGGCGTTGTGCAGATTCTGCATCTGCATCGAGATGGACTCCGTCCAGCTGTGGAGGCGAACTGTGTACTGGTACTCAAGCAGTTGATGGGCCCACATCGACGAAGCACCGATGTAGCGCACTTTGCCGGACTTGACGATATCATGGAGTGTCTCCATTGTTTCCTTGGGTGGAGTTCGGGGGTCGAAGCGGTGGATCTGTAGCAAGTCGATGTAGGGCAGGTCGAGTCTTTGGAGACTGGCATCGACGCGATCGAAGATATGCTTTCGACTTAATCCGTATTGGTTCACGTAGCCGGCATCGTCTTTTTCATCATCTGTCATTGCCAATGGTTGTTCAAGGCCGCCGCCGACGGGGGCCCACACTTTGGTTGCGACGACGATGTTGTCCCGGCGCCATCTGTATTTCTTGATCGCTTTGCCGAGCATTTCTTCGGAAAGGCCATTGGAATAGGCGTTTGCGGTGTCGAAGTTGAGGCCGGATTCGTAGCAATGGTTCAGCACTGGTAGTGCTTCTTCTTCTGGGATGGACCACTTGAATCGGCCATCAGGATTTCCGAAACTCATGCAGCCGACACCAATATGGGCGATGCGAAGACCGCTGCTTCCGAGTTGAACATACTTCGTTTTGATGGAAGTGTTTGAATGAGGGAAAGAAAAAGAGTACAGTCTAAGGTTGGATAATAGGAATCCGAGTTAGAGATGACAAGTATGCCTTCACTTATACTTATACTTGCAGGACCTAGGACCCTCGGAGATTGAATAAGCTGTCATTAGGTCCACCATGCGAGTTGATGACAAAAGGCAGCTGATTGGTCAAGATTCAGCGCGAACTTTGGGTGCAATCCGGCCCTAGCCATTTTAATTCGGGGATAGGCCCTCAAGTCCGAATTTGATTGGTCTTCACCGGTGATAACCTTGCCAGTGGCTTCAAGAATCTATAACTACCTAATTTGGAGATGCTGAATAATAACCAACTTTCCCAAAGAATAAGAATCCACCAGTCATCTGGAACATCTTTGAATTGCCAACCAGCGATTGACCTAGCGGATGCGCGTGCGGAGATAGGCTTTGGGATTTTTGCTCACGCCTTATGCTTATGTCATTATATTTAGCGATAAAGCATCAATGTTAGCTAATCCCATCGGTAGTTAATTGATTCTTCCCTGGTCTTACCACTTGCAAATCTGCCAGTCAAAAAAAAGTGCGAAATAAGGCCGCTTGCTTTGTACTTACCTCCAGCTCTCCCAACCGTCCATTCAACACGAGTGTATTTTTATAATGGGACATAGTAAGCCATTAGAGGGTCATATCTACTAATGGTAGAAAGAAGCTCGTCATACTCTTACATAGAAGACATCCAAATTTACCCACTTTATTTGGTAGGATATTATCTCCATTCTATCAGAACGCCTGCCAAAAAAGTTGTCTCAGTCGGAGTATGATACATACTCATTCGATCAAATTTAAGAATTATGACTCTCGTTATCGCCACCAAGGAACCTTAATCCAGCAATGTCTCCAAATCGCTTGATGCAGAATTCACGCCATCGCCAGGGGTGCTATCATGCTGTCGCTATTGAGTTCCTCAATAGAGGGATTCCCGGCGTTCGACTAGGATGGGCTTTCTGATGATCTGTTTGGGGGTGGAGATGGCACGGCGTCTCGGGGAACTATACGTCCCAAGAATAGACAGCGGCTCAAGTCGAGTGGTTGAATTTAATTGACGGAGCGAGTGGTCTAGTTTTCAATTTGGCGAGGAGAATGGCAAATCTTTGAGCTGTAGGTGTTCATACTTGCTAAAAATTGAAAGCCGTCAGCTTGTAGATTAATCTATACACTCCGTAGTATAGTCATAGAACTCGAATGAAGTATGGGAACATATATCCCTGATGCAACTTAGAGAAAGAACTCGATAAAGACTCGATCTATATAAATAGAACAATCAAATTTCCAATCAAAGCAGACGCAATTCATAAATTACAACAAACCAAGACGCTCGAATGCAAACACTAACGTGGCAGGCAACCTAAGAGACATCGCGTCCTTGTATCATGCGTGTCTCGCAAAAGAGAAAGAAACACAGACGAAGAAGCAAAGATGGAAAGAAATGACGAACGAGGCACAAAAAGACAGTGAAAAAAATCATCAATCAAGCAACCGACTCCAATTCATGTTAACGCCATTTTCCGGCGCCAAAATTGCTGGCGGGCGAACAATGTTGGGTATTACACATAGAAATAACAAAAATCATCAAGGAACAGGGTCTATCAATGGACGTTGCTCCTCCTTTCTCGTCTTTGGTGCCTGCGCCATAGATGCAAAGTTGATAACCCCGTCTCCACACACACACACACACACACACACACACACACACACACACGCACATTCTTCCAATGCTTGTTTTCCCTTTCTACCAGGCCAATTGAGGTAGATAAGGTTATAATGCTTGTTTCATTCCCCCCACCCCCTCCCCTCCCCTACTTCCAAACACATGCTTAATTTAGTCGCTGGTCCGACGCTCGGGCCGCGGCTTGCGCAAGCTCTTCATTCGGTTCAAAAATCCGCCACCACCGGCATTCAACTTCGACTCATCGTAACCACGATCATTGGTCGACTTGCGCTCCAGGTTTGTCGATTGTTTCGGGCTACTGGATGATCGCGTCCGGCCGCCTCCGCCCTCCAGTCGCGCCTCTTGGATGCGCGCGGCCTTTTTGTCGTACTCCTCATCATAATCCTGGAAGAAGGGATTCCTCTCGCCACCCCGCGAAGAGGCTGAGTGACTTGAGCCCATGGGGGCTTGGTTGGGAGATGGGAAGTTGTGATGGGTCGGTGAGGAAAGCATCGGACGGCCAGTCCCGCTCTTCCCGCGCAATCGCTGCGCTAGGCTCTTCTTGCGCTGGAGACCACCGGACTCTGCGTCGTTGTTCTCACTTTGGCGACGTGCAATTGCAGAGCGACTGGCAGGTGCGCCATCCAAGAAGGTGCTCGTTCCAAGTCCCATACTCTCCTGGCCATGGACCGGGTCGATGCGCGCGCTCGGGTCAAAGGCAACGGTTTCGGTACCGCTGCGTTGAATTGTCGTGTGAGAGAAATCATTGTGGGCTTCTTCCATTCTGCCGTGGAATAGGTTGAGGTCAATGTTGGAGTTGTTGGGGCCTGCGCCGCCCAAGGCCATGTTGCTGGATCCCTTGGGGAATGCCTGCATGGGTGCTGTGCGCGCGCCCTTTCGGTTACGGTGAGGATTGCATGCATCGAATGGACCATCGTGGTGGAACACTAGAAGAGACTGTTAGCATATCAGGCAGAGGATGATACGAATGAGCCCAGAATGCACTCACTTCCAGTTCCGTAGATACTTGTGACATCCAGCTTGTCAATAATATCCAACCGGCGATCCTTGCGCGACGACCGAGGTTTGCCATCACGATGACGAGCCTCTCGCTCGCGATGACGCCGTTCCCGTCGGCGTTTCTCGTCATCATCGTCAAATAGCTTGGAAGCCCTATCCATCACGGAAGATTCCGAGTTGCGGCGAGGCCGGCGGGAGGAGGTAGGGTCGCGAGAACTCGACGTCGGGCCTCTGGACTGACTTGGGGGATCGGCAAAGATATCAAAGGGGTCCTTTGAACGAGCCTCCGCGGGCCGTCGGTTGGGGCGCTCTCTCGGGGGTCGTGGACGGCTGGAGGGGCCTCGAGGAGTCCCCTCAGGGGGTGGACGGGTACCGTTCATTTGAGAAGAAGGGGCAGGGGGTGTGGGTTTGATTGAGAGGTTCTCCTGCGACCGGTCAGTTCTGCGCTCACAGTTCCTGCGACTGGGAATATCCTGGCTCATGTTCTACATACAAATAGATCTCGGGTGTTGCTGGTCATGTCTTGTTTCTCGATCGGAGAAAACATCGAGGGTCCCGTTGACATACCAGGGGCCGACTGCGGTGACAGCGCTTCCGCGTCGTCCAAGAATGGGTTCGTAGAGCGTGGGCGTTCTGGGCGAGAGCTGGTTGAGCCGGCCGAGGGGGACAAGGCACGGTTGCGAAAGGGGTTATTAGAGCCAAAGTTAGCCGCCGTGGGTGACACCTGGTCTATTTTGTAGGCGATCGCGTCAGTCAGTTGGTTCGAAGATGTTATCTCAGATCAATGTGGATTGATCAACGGGGGCCCAGCGGCATCTTTTAAAAGGTCTCAGGTAGAAAAAAAGATAACGGGCGGAGGAAGCATGGACTGGCGATCAGGGGGGAAGAAGAGGCAAAAGTTGGCCATGGCCAACAAGCATTACGCACCTCGCGGCGCCAGCGACACACCGGGCGGGTACCCGAGCGCTGGAGGGGCATTCATCGTGGTGGTCAAGAGATGAAACGGAGGTTGAGTGGAGAGGGGTGCGTCAATAGGGTGTCGGAAGCCTTTTGACAAGGCGTCGCAATGTCGCACGACTGCGCAGCGGGAAGCGATGTGGATGGGTAGAGAGTGGGTGTACGGCCGCAGAAGGTGAAACGGGGGAAGAAGTGAGAGAAGCTGAGATGGTTGGATGAGAGATGAGGAGGAGGGAGAAAGAAGAAAAGAAGAAAAAGAAGCTTTGACGAGGGGAAAGGGAGAAGAGGAGCGGAGAGGAGACGAGGGGCGGCAAAAGGGAAATGGATCAAATGGTCATGGTCAAATGGTCAAATGGATCCAAATGGGTAAGAAAATGGGGACCGACACGGGATCAACGGGGGGGAAAGACGGAGTAGTAGAAGAGTACAACCACAGAGAGAGAATCCCTCGTTAATAATGACCACAGTATCCCTCGTCTTCTTATCCCTCTGTGCTACAGTCAATTAGATTTGGTCCTTGGCTATTGTTACTTGCTCCTATTTCCCTTATTATACTCTTCTCCTTCTTTCATTCAAGACAGTCCCCAACTGTTGTTCACTTTAGTCTCCCTTTGACTAATCCAACTAGTTACTGTTCGTGGCAAGTTTACTACTAATAATACTACTACAGTACTTTGTCTCTTATCAACTGCTGCAGAATCTCCCCCAGACTACTAACGTTCTAACTACAGTTTACTCTTTGTTACCCCTAACTTTCTTGACTCGTTTTAGGGTCCAAGTACAATCCAGGGGCAACTTCTAGCGGGTCAACTTGACTGGCGGCTTAACCCTCGCGATCGACAGGGCTCCACTCCCACCACTGACCAAAAGGTGGACTTAACTAAGTTGACTTAGTTCAGTTGGCTTTTCTGGGACTTTCCCCTTAGGCTGCCTGTCACTCGGTCGTTTTTAAGGGGGAAGGGAGCCACACCTTGACGGGAACTGTCCGTGTCCTCGAGCAAAGACACATCTCTCCTCTATCGTCATCCAGACTGATCCATCAAACGATGGATAAATGGCACAACTGAATAACCGCCCGATTGGAACCAGATTCCTTTTCCCTTATCTCCCAGCCCGTTTGGAATGACGTTAGCATTCCTGTTCTTCGAAGTTGATGTAATTTGCCTCGGTCGGAATGTGGGTAAGACATACACGCGAGTGGGCGTGCTTGTCCGCTGATCCCGGCCGCGGGATGCGATCTCGATAATCCAGTCGAGGTCTGTACATACTGATAGTTACTGTACTTCGGTATGACTATGACTATGGACTTATACATTGATGTTGTGCCTAGATCCAGACCCTGTCATGGTGATCATCCTATCGTTCATCCACGCCTTGACTCCGGGCGTCATTCATCGTCACTCTCTTCCTCTCCCTTGGCAGAGGATCCTTGATGACGACGGAAGGGAACGTCACTGATCCCAATTCCCAATGCTGGGCTACAGTACTCCGTACAATGTTTCTCACGCGGCCAGTGCTAAATGTGATGTCGAACATTGCTGATGCCTGATTCCTAAGTTCCAGGTTTCTAGGGTGATCAATCATGACCTATCTGGCCAGATTTAAACTTTGACTTTGGATTATTGATTGACAAACGACACATTTCACACATTCTATCCAGTCTATTGATTTGATTCTGGCCGGACAGTATTTGGCCAAGTGTTTTGTTCTCACACATTTCCTTCGCTTTCCGTGGAACGCATGGCAATGTTTAGAACAGACCCACTGCGCTTCCCAGATGATCCGTTATGTCGGGAACCACTCGGATGCTTTCGCAACGTATAGGACAGTATGCAGATGCATGTATTATCGAGATGCTCATTAGCAATCGCGATAGTCTTGAGTCTTGTCTGTGATATGCCTGCCTTGCTTGAACATCATCGCTTTCTTATTTCCTATCTTACTCTGGACCAAAAAGGTTCAGGCACACGTGAAACATTGGACAGATTTCAAAGAACCGCAACTTTCCTGAGTAGATCATTTACTGGTACCAATTTTGTTCTCGCTCTGTTCTCCTTCAATCTTGTTACTGTGTGCCGAACTACCCGTGCGATGACACTAGACAGTGGTTCCCACATTTGATATTAGATTTGATTAGATACAAACGTTTACCCTAATCCACATGTCCAATACTTTGATTCAAATCACTTTGAACATCTCCTCTCAAGTCCATGCTCTCAAGAAGTGATTCCCGCTGTGTTGCCCAACTAATAAACAGGCAATGGCACACCATCAAAATCATAATGCCAAGTATCAATCGAAGTCTGATCATACTCGCACGACATCTTCCCATTCTTCCAAATAGGACGCAAAGGCCAAGCACAAATCTGGCGGTTCTCACCCACATACTCTCCCTGCAACACAGTCGCATTCAGCGTCACGGGCTTAACATCCTTCTCAACCCAATTGATCAGAACCTGCAGGTTGGTCTGCGGGAACGGTCCGTTCGGCATGAGCGAGTTAGTCGCGCAGTGAGCTGCACCGGGCACCAGGTACAACTGGTACCAGTCCTTGAGGGCGTTGGCCCCGTCCTTGTAGGAGAGACTGGGGTACATGATACTTCGGACGGACTCCCAGTATCGGACTGATGATGCGGTGGGAATACTGTTGTCTGCTTCGCCGTGGAAGTGGATGACCTTTCCGCCGGCTTTGTGGAAGGGGGTTAGGTCGGGCCAGTTGGTTTGTAGGGTGGAGGCGTATTCTTGCATGCCGCTGATCATCCATTCCTTGAGAGTGTCGTATGTCACGCCGTTGAGGTTGGAGAGGTCAGTGCCGTTCTTATCGAGCAAGAGGGCGATGAATTCGGCTCCGAGGCCGTCGACCTCGAGTTCCCATTTCTTAGCGGTGGTGTTGTATTGCGTGGTCACATCTGCGAAAGTCGCAGCAGTCTGGTAGGAGAGGTAGACTTGACGACCTTGCGAGTCACGCAGGCCACGGATGACTTCCTTGGCGACCTCGACGGCCTCCTTGGAGACGGTGCCGTTTTGGACGGGAGTCGCTGCTGATGAGCCACCGTAGCCGGAGCTTGCGGCAGCGGCAGCGCAGTAGTATGGCTTTCCAACGACAGTGGACAGATCAAAGTGCAGTTGGCAGAGATCAGAGCGGGAGACCACGCCATCCTTCAGACCGTCGAGGGAGTCACAGGCAGAGATGGTCTCATTAATGATCTTCTCCATCTCGCAGGGAGGCGGGTAGTACCCTAGAGTCTGAGTGACAACATTCGAGTACAGATGCTGGGTCTGTTGGAAGGACCAGCGAAAAGCAGGAGCACCAATCGCCGCGCCATCCCATTCATCGCCAAAGCGCTGGATCTGACTCCATCCCTCACGACCACCTTCGGAGCAACCCTGATAGTACGAGTAAAGCTTGGTATTCTCGCCCATGCTGAAGAAGTTTCGGGTGAACTGCTTTCCAATCTTGCTAAGTTCCCAATGGGCCTTGTACCCGAACATGTACAGTGTTTCGTAGTCCAGAGTACCATTGGCCAGCAGCATTGCCGCATCCGCATTGGTCGAGAAGCTTCCAAAGCCGCCATCGGTAGCGCCAGCTACAGCACCGTACATGACTCCACCGGGAAGAGACTGGGAGCCAGAATTGATGGCGTAGCCTCCGCCGCCGGTCGAGAGGTACCGGTTCTCGAACTTGGCGGGATCGGGTAGCCAGTATTGAACCAGGACCTGGTCTCCCTCACGGCCATCATGGGAGTACGCCAGAGTGAAATTGCAGTACGAAAAGGTCGCAGCAGGGAAGAAGGTACCGGTGGCACTGGTAGAGGCATTGTACACGATGTTCGTAGTGACGGACGAAGGATCAAGGGTGATGCCCTGGATGAAATCAGAGGCAGGAAGCTTTGACTTGGCATACTCGACCGTGCAAACGTCCTTGAGAGAAGCAGTCGCTGCGGAGGCAGTAGAAGCAATCGCTGCCAAGGCCAAAGCCCGAGAGGTCAATGGAGTCCGCATTGCAAGAGAATGAGCTGAAGAAGGTTGCTTTCTCACAGTCTGCTAGAGAAATTGTGCTGAACTTCAAGAGTATTTATATTCATAGGAGCTCCTAGCTCCTCGCATCCAGGTTGATTCCCCGCGTGGATGAAATCAAAGCCGCGTATATGACCCCATCGTTTGGGCCGAGCGTGCGGAGACCCCAGAATACTCCCAGATTTCCCCGGGGATTAGGCGAAGAGACCGAGGAGCTGTCTATCCCAACGGACAAGCGGATATCCACAAAAATTTGTGGGGGGCTGTCCTCGACTTTTGAGTGGGGAGGTCCGAGGTCTCTCAAGCAAAGTACTGGTTGATTGCGTCCGAAGTCCGGGGTTGACATGGCTGAGCTCAACAATTGCGGGGGAAACTACCAGATCAGTTACTCCGAGATGAAATAAGGGTCGTGGCTGGTGTGGTTCTCTGGAAATATCGTGGGGTGAAGATGTCAATGTAGTCTGGCGCGGGCTAGTTTGATTGGCGCTGTTAAGGGCTTTTCCGTTAGCTTCACCTCTTTGCGAGACAACGCGGAGATCGTCAGGATCAATCCCAGTCAAGAGAGGGAATTATTGCCGTCCTCAGTCAAGCTTTGTGGCCACTAATGCTTGTCTGTTGTATTATTGTGTTACCCCTTCATCCGGGGGTCGGGATCGGGTTTGGCTGGGCCTCGACATCCAGGCTATTCTGAGTATAGATGGTACGAACAACCACATCGCTCTGAGCCACAAGGCAGATAACAATATACAGTACAACTGCTATAGGTAATTTAAGAATATTTATGCAGTATCTGTATCCGTATCCTATCAGCGGAGAGAGTACTTCTAATGAATTACTCGGAAGTCGGAAGAGATGCAAGCCAACCTAGCGATAACTATTCGCCGGAATATATAGTTCACGTAAGCGGGTATCTGTGCCCTCCATGATATTGCGGCCCACCCACCGCTTCCGCTTATGGGTGCGCCCTAAATCCCCGTCACCCCTAAATCCCCGTCACATTTTTACCATTCGATTTCAACTCCCTTTCCCAACCACCCAATATGCCTAAATACTCCAATTTTGACGAGGATCGCCTGCAGAAGGCCTGTAAAGCCGTTCTACACCAAAAAAAGCCGAATATCGCTAAAACTGCGCGTGAATTTAGCGTGTCTCGAACTACCCTTGCCGATCGCGTCAAGAAGGCCCGATCGCCCTTTTCTACCACTGAATCGCGCAAGAATGCGCTTACATCACATCAGGAGAAGGCTTTGACTGCTTGGATAGTCAAAATGTGCGATTGGAACCTACCGCCTACTGCAAAGCTTATAGAAGCGTGGGCAAATCAGGCCCTTACGCGCGCTGATGCGGGTCGGCAGCCGGTTGGCAAGAATTGGGCATACTACTTTATATCACGCCTTCCAAAGCACCTATCCCTCGCTCCAGTGAAGCAGAATCTAAAGGAATCAAAGCGCATTCAAGCCGAAGATGCAGGGGCTCTCTCTTTCTGGTATGATCAGCTTGCAACCCTGCTAAAGGATATCCCTGCAAGGCTAGTCTATAACTTCGATGAGTGTGGTTTCCAACCTGGCCAGGGCTAGTCTCGTAAGGTTATTAATGGTAGATTGCACTGCCCTGACCTTGCTGAAGCTGAGCGAGGCGAAACTATCACTGCACTCGAATGTATTGCTGCTGACGGCTGGCAAATGGATCCGCTATTTATCTTTAAAAGCGGCGGGGTCTTTATGGAGAGCTGGTTCCATAATAGTGAGGATTTACCTCTAAACACACTTACTGCTACCTCACCGAATGGCTGGATTTCTGATGAAATTGCTTCTGAATGGCTATATTATTTTATTTCAGCTACTGCTACACCCGACCGTCTAAAAAAGGGTGAAAAGCGCTTCCTACTCTTTGATGGCCACGGAGTATATCTTACCCTCGAATTCCTTGAGATATGCGAGTTAGCTGATATTATACCATTCGGCTTTATACCTCATTCAACACATCTCTGTCAGCCACTTGATGGTAAGCCATTTTTGAGCTATAAGCAGCAATTTCGGCTTATGAATAATGAGCTATCTTTCTGGGGTGGTCAGCCATGTGGTAAACCGGATTTTCTACGGGTAATTGGGCCTGTACGAGCGAAGGCATTTAACCAACGAATTATTCGGCAATCCTTCAAAGATCGTGGTATTTGGCTAGTCAACGGCCAAAATATAGTGGATAAACTAGCTAGCCAGCTAGAATTTACTCCTCTTCACGCACCTGATCTTCGCGCTCATGGAGAACCCCGAACTCCATCACCGGAGCCTACAAATTTACTATCATCAAGCGTGGAGAATACCCCTCCGAAGTCAATTGAAGCGCTAGAGAAGAATCAGAAGAAGATATCAAAGAAGGTGGCTACCTTTGACCCGAAGGTTCAGCGAGATATTGCAATGCTTCACAATCACCACAGGATAATCTACGAGCGGCTTATGATGGCGGAAGCGACTGTTTCGCGAATTAGGGCCGCTCAGGAGCCCTTGAGGCGCCCAATTACCAAGCGCCAGGTTAAACCGCTTAGCCAAACTGGTATACTAAGCGTTCGCGATGCGAATCGGTCAATCAAGACTAGAAAGGAGAAAGAGGCTGCTGCGGAGGAGAGGAAGCTTGCGAAGCAGTATAAGCAGGCTACTGGTTTGGATATGCCAAAGAGGCCCCAGGAGGATATTGATAGGTCTACCGAATCGGCTAGAGTAGCCCTGGAGCGAGGAGATCTTTTTTATTTAGGCTAGTTATCTAATTTGATGGTTTTTTTAGACGCATGGTAAAAATGTGACGGGGATTTAGGGGTGACGGGGATTTAGGGCGCACCCATAAGCGGAAGCGGTGGGTGGGCCGCAATATCATGGAGGGCACAGATATTCTCTGTCTAACTACTCCGTACTGCAAGTCATTCTAAATACCTCCAAACCTTCAGCAAAAGGAATGATTTTGAATAAAACACTAACTGAGATGAGAAAGTCTGAGTGGAAGCCCCTTGAATCTCAATTCTACATCTATTATTTAGAGTGATCGGCGTAAATCATCTCTCGAAAAAGGCGTGGAGCAGGGGATTACAGGGCTTGGCGTAAGGTTTCCACCGTTGGCGCCTCAGGTTAAAACTTGTAGGTTCCAGAGCTTCCCCCAACAGCTTCATCTTTCTTTTTGCGATCTCTCTCTTCTTTACTCTCCAAGCTCTCCGTCAACTCTCACCATGGAACCTGCGTCGCAACCCCCTCCCGCAAATCCTTCGAACCTTCGCTTTACCCTTGAGCTGGAGTTCGTCTCCTCCCTTGCCAATCCATACTATCTGTCCTACCTGGCCGTCACCTACCCAAACCTCTTGGGTGCCGCTCAAGCCGATGATGAGGACGACTCTACCTCTGCCCCGGATGCCCAAGCCTTCGCAGCCTATCTAGCCTACCTCTACTCCTACTGGAAGACCCCAGAATACGCGCAGTTCCTCACTCACCCCGGCCCGACTTTGCGCGCCCTGCGATTGCTCCAGGAAGACCGATTCCGTCGCGACATCATCCTGCCTCACGTCATCGAGAGCCTGGCCGGTAACTTGCCTGGCGAAAACCAGCCCAACGGTGTCGACGCCGAGGACAAGCAAGAAGAAACGAATGGAACCCATACGTGATGAGTGGTTGCGTGGGAGGGGTTTACCTTTCCCGAGCGCATCTTCACCCTCCCGCCACTCCATTCGACAGGGCAGAAAGGCTTTACTGCAGGGATCTACACCACTCGATACCGAACAACCAGCGAAATGCCGCCATTCAATTCGGTAATTCCTCTTGAACAGGGTCATAGGGTCCATGGCGGCGGAGGCATGACTTCATGTGTGACCGAGGTATCAGGCCGATCGGCCGGGGGGAATTCTTGTCGATCGAACCGCAACAGGACAGGAACCAGACCTGGCTCAAGCCCAGGGAACCCCCCCGGATCCCACACAGATTAGACTCGACATATCCATGCACTGGTTCGCCCCTGCGACGGCATTTGCGGGGTTACGAAGGACCAAGCGTCTTGTTGGGAAAAAACACACAAGGTACAACAGAGAGATACCATCGTGATGGAGGACAACTGGAATGCGATCCCGCCGCATGCGTCTACCATGTGGCCGGCCCCCGAGGCAATTGACCCAAACTAAAGACCAATGACACTCTAGTTCCCCCGTCTTATTTTCCAGTCCCAGCGGAGAGTTTCTCCCATGTAGGGTAAAATGTAGTAAAAAGTAAAGAAAAAAAAAGAAACGTTGTTAAACGCGCGCCGTCACCGTCTGCGTCCGAGTGCTCCGAGCTCCCCTCCCCAACCTTCTTTGTTCTTTTTTCGCCCTCCGCACACGAAAAATCGTTTCTTTCTTTGTTCCTTTTTAAATCTTTCTGAGAATTCATTCGGAAATTTCTTGTTGTTCTTGAGCGGTGTTGTTTCCATTGTATACCGTCGACATCCTTTCAGGTACTTGGGATGAGCCCCACCCCCTGGTGATCGGCCGCCAACTACCTCATCAGCCTGCCCCGTTCCCGTCCAACGCTGGCAACGCTGGCCCCCGAAACCTACGCCATTGCCAGCCCTCTCCTCCCCCATGGCTCTTTCATCGGCCTGAAAGATACACTCGCTTCCTGTTGATATCACTCCGACCTCCGTTGTTCAACCTCCCCCCGCGCTCCTTTGCGGACCTTCCTCCGGGGGTGCTCAAATCTGTTCTTCATGGAGTCCGTACGCCAATCGTGTCGCCCGCGGCATCAGGTTTTGACGCTAAAATGCTTCCCCAAATATCAAAAGGGTGTGGCGGAGGTTATACCGAACCCGAGTGAACTCTCATATCTGCTATACTATGCGAGCACGCGTCGCAGCAAGCTGACCAAGGTCGGCGCTTTTCTGGAAAAGAGGGTGGCCAAGGATGTCTGGAGGCGCCGGTTGGGGTAAGTCAAGCGAGGAATGAACGACACAGATACGAAAGGACGTCGGAGATCGAGAGGGGCAATGGAACAAGGCTAACATAGTCCGTCTCGTCATAGAAACGTCCAGGTTGCGCTTCACATTTTGACCGCGCTGATCGAGAAAGTTCCTCGCGAGTTGCCTATTTATGCACGCTACGTCCTATCCGTCATCGATACTGTGTTGCGATCCAACGACATCTCTATGGTGGAGGATTCTATCGCGACCTTTGAAACATTCTGCCGCCACCAGGATATCGCGATCATCGCCGCAGACCAAGCCCTTGCCAACAAATACCGTGAAGTTATTCGAACTTACGCCAGCTTCGCCGACCCATCCTCCCAGTCATACTCATCAGCTAAGCTCAGCCCTCCAGTCGCTATTCGATGGAGAAATGCCGGTCTCCGCGCGATCAAGGGTGTTGTCAGTTCGGAGAGTTTGGCCGCAGATGGAGGGACCTCTCTGAATATCATCCTCCCGGTCATTCTCGAGAACCTGTATTCCTCGAATGAGGATGTCCTCGTTCCATTGAAGGCAAAGATTCGGGAGACCGACGATGGTGAACGTGATGCAGCCCGGCTTCGCCGGCTGAGTGTCGCAACGGTGCACACGGTTGACACGGCGGACGGCGACCCTGCATTGGCCGCACAGTCGACAGCTGATGCGGACCGACAGGCGGAGATGGATGCGCGACTTCTAGCTCTCCGTTGTCTGGAGCAGATCATCGTCTCCGGAAGTAATCGTGGCCAGATTCGCATCGCAGCGACGGTTATCTTGCGGTTCATTGCCAACAAGCGGTTCCCGCGCACCGCAACTCTTGATGAGTTTAGCGGAATGAGCCAGCAAGATGGAAACTGGGCAACTTCGCTGATTGAGCTCATCGCAACTTGGTGTCCAGTTCAGGTTCGGTTCGTGATTTTGATGACAGCCATGGACATCTTGCACGACACCCACCCCAAGGAAGATGCGCTGGAGTCCTCATTCACTATTCTCTCTGTTGTGGATTGGCTGTTGAAATCGCCAGTCAACATGATTGGCCTCAGCGTGATGGATATCCTGCTCGGACTCATGCGGTATATTTCGGACCTTCTATCGCCTACCGACGGTGATGCCGATAAGAATGCGGATTCAAATGCCCATAGCGCTGTGTTCATCTCGCCCCGGAGGCGCGCTCTTCTCTCCCTTCTGGAGCAGTGCATTGGCAACTTGGCCACCCACAATTATTATGGAGATCAAGTCGCAGACATGATGCGGGCTATTCTTCGTCGTTTCAAGCCTACCCCGAACCACGAGAGTGCCGCACAATCTTCATTGGCTACTGTTCATGAAACTCGAGCAGTCTCGATGGCCCCCCAAAACTCTGAAATCGAACAGACTAATGGAGAGAAAGCCCAAGGCGAGACCTTTTCCCATGCCGCTGCCAAGTTGACTGCCCTCAAAGCCGTCAAAGCCATCCTCGTTGTAGCCAATCTCAGGGCACCAGCGTCCATCAAGGGCTCGGAGTCGAGGAATCAGGTTGGCATTCACGTTTGGGAAGGCACACAGGGTCTTCTGCGGGACTCTGATCAGGATGTTCGTCACGCTTATGCTGACGCTTTTTTGTCCTGGCTGCAACTTGAAACGAATAAGCAAGATCTCAAGGTCCAGTCGGATACCCCCAAATACGTCAAGCCAGCATCCAAACGCGACTCTGAAGCTTTGGACAAGACGTCCGGTCGACGGAGTACCTCGGCTCCTGGGAACCAAAGAGAGAAGGCCGCCGTAGCTGCGCAGACCAAGTTCCTTCGCTTACTGCATCTGGATATCTATGATGCTGCCATGGATAGGCCTGCTGTGGGATCCGAGGTGCTTGTGCTGCACCTTCTTCTGGCTAGCCTCGTTGAAAATCTCGGCGTGAATGCCGCCCAATTTGGACTCCCCATGGTATTGAAGTTGCAAGACGACTTGTTCACTTCGGTCGACTTGGGTTCCTTTGCGGCTCAGGTCAATATTGGAAGCCTGGTACATGGCTATCTTTTGGCTCTTGCAGAAAAATTCAACCTTGAAGCCACCCATGCTGGAGTGGAGGTCCGCAATGAGATTGAAAAGCGGCAGAGCAAGGGGCAGTGGTTTGCCAAGATAAAGTTGCCACCAACTGGTCTCGATGGCATTGCCATGGACGAGAAGGTTCTGGACGAAGACTCAACTCAATCAATTACACTCACACCCTTCCGAAATCTCGACGGCTTGGTCAGTGGTATCGATGAGGCGTATCGCCAAATAATTTCATCCCCGCCACAGAGCCCGCCCACTTCATCGGCTCGTGGATTCAACTTCCCCGTTCTGAACCATATCCCGGCAAAACAACCATCGCAGGAAGAGAATGGCCTCCCGTCTCCCGTCAAGGAGCTAATGCTGTCCTCTTGGTCTCGTGAGTCGTGTTTGGCTGCAATCGAGAAAGAAAGCATCAGAACCGCCTCTATTAGTGGCTCTCGTGGCGGCACCATGACTCGCAACAGCCACTTCAATGGCATGACAAACGGCTCACCCGTTGGTTCAGCCATGGACAAAAACCGCCCTATGAGTGTTCCAGATATCTCGTATACTCCAGAGCCAAGTTCAGGCAGAGGATCTCCCGTCCGTGTCACTGAGTTGCGCCGTGTGCTCTCGGTCAATACCGAATCTAACCTTCGACGACGCAGTCCTCTACGTGGCCAAGTTGATGCCTCGAATATCAGCGTCATTTCTTCTGGAAGCGAGAGCATGGCCAGCGGCGTCTACTCTGTCTCGGAGATGGAACAGGATGCCTTGTCGACCATGCAAGATGAAGCTCAACAGACACACGAAGACGGCGGAGCTGAGACACCCCGCGCAAATGCATCGGCTGTCGCTCTTTCAACGGATCAAGGTCAGGATTCAACGCTGAGTCGGGAACCCTCCTACGAAATTCCTCCAGTCCCTCCAATTCCCGCTGGATTGTCCATTCCTGGTGGCTTCCCCAACGACTCGCAGCGGTCATTGATCTCGATTGATCGCCCAGCCACGGCGCCGGATAACTCCCGACAGGCGCTGAAGAGCAGCGTGAAGTCGGACTCATCTCAGAACCTTCGAAATGGGAAGGCTCTGAATCGAAATAAGAGTCGTTCGAGCAACAACCTCGCCTACGGATTCTCAGATGGGTTCTACAATGCCGAGAATGACTCTGACACTCCCCTTGACACTGCTCAACGGGATCAACTGAGGAAACTCCTCGATGGTTTCCTCTCCCCCGAGGATAATGTCGTCACCAATGGAGACCGCCCATCCACTGCGGTGCCGACATCAAAGAACTCTCTTGCTGATGGATATTCGAGCAGGCGTCAAGTCAGCGGTGGTGGTCTGGGACGACCTCCATACTAATTTACCTTTTCCATTCATTACCTTGCCCACCCTTGTACAGTTGGTTCCGGGAAGTAAAGAGTTTGCCCGGTTGCCTCGCCTTCATCCGTTTCTTTTTTTTTTTTTTGCCTGCTTTGTACATGTTAATAATTCCTTTCAACCGCCCTCATGTTCTGTGGACCTTTCTTCTGGTTTCTTTTTTTGTGCACCTCACGCCTGCGGTTCTCGCTCTGACTGGTCAAAGTCTATTCGGGGCCTGGTATATCTGCTTTTCACTTCTTGTCGACATTCTCCTTGCCTGCCAGCCTTCGCTGCACTACTCGATCTTCGATCTTCTGTTCTCTTCCATTCATCTCTGTTGCATATGCTTTTCTTGTATCATTTGGCTACCCGCTTGCTTTACGTTTAGTGTCCGGGTGCTGTATCTAGCTAGCTCTTATGTTGGTCAAAGCAAAATAGACGGCGCTAGAGTTCGATGTCTGCACATGGTACTTGTTGTAGTCGATATGAAGTTTCTCTGGCACTGAAAGAATACGATCACCTTGTAGCCAAACGTGTTCATGGCTATGGATTCGACTCGGGACATAAATACATTGTTATAACATGACAGAAAGGCGGCCTTCAAAAGGGGAAACAGAAAGTAAGTAAGCAATGCTGTTGTCACATTAGCGCTTTGACGTGGAAAGCACTCGCTCAAAAAGAATAAAAGCAATAGAATATCGTACGAAACCACTAAAGATACCATAAACATCAACCGAGAAAATGACTCTCAGAAGCCCGGCTGCGCAACAAGTCTCGGAAGCGAAGTAGACTCCTCATCCTGGATAGGACCGAAATACTCCTTGAATGTTTTCTTCAACAACTCCTCCGTCAACTGCATATGTTGACCAGGCGCAGACTTGAAATGCAATTTACCCTGATCATCCAACTTCTTCAGACCCAGCCAATCTTCCTTGTAAATCGGTCGCTCCTGCAATGGCGTCACAGTACCATCCGTAGCATTGACTTCGGCGAAAAGCGCGCTCTCCTTGGGAACGGCAACGGTATCCTCGTCGAACATGAACATGGCGAACATGTTTAGCGATTGCAGGTTTTTCTTATACTTGACATTCTTCAACTCGCGTTCGTTGTTGATGTCAGCCAGAAAATTGCTCTTCTCAAGATACGCGTCTAGCTCGGTTGGATCGCGGAAGTACTGGGCTGGTACGACGTGCGACTGCGCAAAGTCCGTCCAGCGACCGGATCGTAGCAGCGCTTCTGCGCCCTTACATAGCCAGTCGCCCAGCGAGCAGGATTGGAACTCGGAGATCCCGTTGTGCTGGCTGCCGAATGTGACCAGGTTGCGGACGGGTGGGTTATTGCAGCGCTGGATATAGCCACGCAGGAATTGTCCGCCTTGCGAGAATCCGAGGGCGTTTACGGCGGGGGCAGAGCTGAGGATTGGGTCGGCGGCTAGTTGTTCGCATACGATTTCGATTTGCTCGGTCACGTTGCCGAAGAAGGTAGCTTGGCGATCGCCACTCCCTGTGTCTGCAAGTCGGATGATGTGCACGTATGTTCCTGGATTGACTGATTCGGCTAGTGTGGCTACTTCTTTCATGCCGTCGCGCTCAAAGTCGTCGCCTAGTCCGTGCCAGATGATTAGTGGGAGCTGTGTTGTGTTGTCGTCATCTTCGACGGTTGATGGGCTATGGACAGCAGCCGAGAGAGTTAGTGCGGCGAGTGACGCCCATATTTTGACGAATTGCCTCATGACGGTGCTTGAGCTCAGGGTTAATTGTGGTTGGAGGAGGTCGGGCACTTGTCGTTGGAATCGATGAGATCCGGGGAATGTTTATCAGCACGTGATGTCACGTCATCGGATTTTGGAGTCATCCAAACTATATCCGTACCATGATTTTACTGTCTCAATCTTGTACCTTCATCACTGTATTTTTCTTGAGATTTGTGAATACCAATGATGTTACTCGACGTGGCGCGCTACCCGACCCTACGTGAAGGCGATAGCACTATTCCGAACTTGGGAAGTCGAGGAAATGGAAGGTCAACGGCAGATTTCTTTGACACTCAAGCTCAGTTGCTCAGACAAGCCAAAACACAGAAAGCGTGGGGATCCACAGATTGCACCATAGCCAAAGATCCCTTTCAGTCCAAATTCTCGAGGGTCTTTCATCTAGGTGGCTGAGGCAGTCGAGTTCTCAAATGGCCCAAACAAAGAATGCCCCAGGCTGTACTTGGAAGCCATACAAAAACAAGATAACCCGACCAGTTTTACTGCTACTGCTATACTTTTAACAAAGCTCAAATCACCCTGGGAAATGTGTACAAAGACAAGGCTGAGTGAGGGGATCCGCTCATCCGATCTCGAGTTGCAAACCCAGCCAGTTGGCACAATGAACAGCAGCCACGCCCGACTCTCATGTATGACACTCGAGGCATCCCGTTTACGCTGGTCTTTGTTCAGGAGAATTACACTTTATGGTCGACCTCAAATTTTTGTTCTTTATGGAGACTTGGTCAATTCAATGTTGGCACTTGGACTTGGGGAACGAGTACCTCCCCCCCCCCTTTTCCGCCACCAGAACTGTGTGAGGAGGGCCTTCTAAGACTTGGAAATATCTCCTACTACGTGACCGATACAAAGAAAAAGTGGACTCATTATGGACTTTTCTCAATAAAGGATTCTTGAAAATCTTTGAATCATACGAAGCTGAAATTATTAACCAACCCTCCTCGACGGAGACCCTGCCTCGAATTTTTTTCATTGAACGAAGATCCATTCTTGATCGTGTCAGCCTGTTGAAAGTTTCTAATTTCATGCGCCCAGGGCACATTTGACCCTTAGTCTCTCATCTTGGCTCTCTCTGCGAGATCCCGTTGTCTCATCTCCTTATAATATACCCTCGAAGCTCATAAAGCCCCCTGCAAACCCAACAAAATGAGTGAGACCGAGGAAATTCCGGAGAAACCGGGCAAGTGGATCGAGAAAGGCAGCTTCAAGACGTTGAACGAGTGGAACTGAAATAAAGACATACTTCCTCTACGGAAGCTTGCTGTGAATACGATGTCCCCTGAAAAGGCTCAAAAGGCGGATATCTGGACCCCGCAATTGCAGACAATTTCTCCGAGTTCCCTCTTGGACTGTTAAGAACATGGCTACCTATCTTGGCATATATCTTGGCCTCTCTGAAGGTCGAACATCGCCCGCTGTTAGAGAGGATGTGGTCATGGCGGGACGTAGCCATGCTTCCGATAGTCGCCAGATTTTCCGTGGATGGAGAATCCCCATGCATTCCTACACCTATAGAATTGAAACAAGCGATGGTCCTGTTCATGGATCTAGTGACGAATGGTGATTTCACCCCTCTCGTCAAAAGGCCACCATATATTGGAATCCGACCCGCGTCGTTTCCGAGTGTTGAAGAAGCCAAGCAACAACGCGTCCCGTTGTCAAAGCAGATCTTCAATAACTACAACCTGTTGAAGATGCCCATGCAGAGACATGAGACGCTTTTCATCTCGGCATGGAAGAAAAACAGTGTAAACCTGCGCACCAATGTATTTGAAAAAGAGTGGTCTGAGATGAACCGGAATCATAATATGGCTTTCAAAGACATGCTGAACTGGAGAGCACCGACGGAACAGAGTTGCAAATGGCCACCTATCATCGTGGAAGATTTCAGTTACAAGGACTCTTTCCTAGTCTTCCTGAAAAGCCGAGCCAGCGTCGGTCCTTCGGCATTCTACTGGCTGGACAAAGAGTCATGGCAGATAGGGGTCGGGGCCAACATTATCAAAGTGCCATATTTGTCAGATTGAGGAATGATGCTTATGGGAAGAGAGACTATGGAAAGTTACGGCGAACTTTTCGAAAAAAAAAAAAAGACTGCCGAGTCTGCAAATTGGCGGATTCTAACGAGGCGAGCCTTGAATCTGCATGATGGCCTCATGACAATGGAGGTTCAGGCGCGCATTTATAAGTTCTTAGTCGACTGCTGTTTTGAGATTCTGCGTCTGGACAAAATCAAGTGGATGGGACTCAACTTTAAACCAGAGGTTGGACAATCTACTCTCACCCAACAGCCGCAAGACTTATTTGAGGTTAGAGTGGCGGAAAGAATTGTTCTAGCACCATGACTAAGGAAGAAATAGAATGAGAGTTCTAAAGGTCTTCTTGCCGACCGGCCTTGTGTGTATGGGACGCTGCTGATGGGTGCGATAAGGACAGAAAGTGGAGGAACACTTACAGCCTTCTCTCATTTGCCCCCGCGAGCCCCGCTACATTCTGGCAAAGGAAGGGGAACAGTTACTTATTGAGGTGGATAGTACAGTATGGGAATAATGAAATAATCAAATTTCAAATTCTCACACAAGTTAAAAGACAAGTTAGGTCGACCAACTAGACGAGCGAGGAGCGAGGAGCGAGATGAATTTACTGGAGCAACATAAGAGTGCATCATTTTCTGGAGGACACTGGATCAAGAGTTCAAATGGAAATTATCCACCACTGAAATCACTTTGATAAGATTCTCACTATCATCCTCTACCAATCAACACTCATAGAGGCTATCTCTACCCCATGCGATGTAGTCTGGGTTTCCACACGCATCCTTCCTGTTGTACGCGCAGCCTGAGTCCGTATATACTCCTTAATAATCTCATCTTCCTCATCCGGAACAGTTATAATAAGTTCTCTATCACCTTCTGCCTTCTGCCTCTCTAGCACGATGTGATACATTGACTCAGGACATACGATCGTAGATTTAACGGTCATGCCGTTATAACTGCACCGCTTTCCCGGGTAGTCATTCGCAAAAACCTCATCCGGGATCTGAAGGGGCCCGAGTTTTGCCGTTAGGAACTGGGCCAGCCAACCGTCGATGCAAGCTTGGTGTAGATTCATCTCATCTTCACCACGAGCAAAATAATCTGCATAGGCGTGGCGAAGGCCGAGGCGTTCTCGAGCGTTCTGACAGTTCTTAAAGCCGTAGTCCACCTCAACGGATCTAGTGGGCCAGACCTCTGTCGTCTGTGTGAATTTCTTCAACTCCCACACACTCTGGCGCCACTTTCCAATATCCCGCATGAGGGTCTCGAAATTGTGCAAGTTCGCGATGCCAGGATCGAGCTTGTATTTTTTGAAGAGCTCTACTATCGTAGATTCATCCATAGCTTTCCAGAACTCCTCGAATTGACACCTCTCGATGAGCAGTGCGTAGAGATGAGATAGCCATTGGATTTCATCCTGGTTGCGGGCTGTGCAAAATCCGAGAGAAACCCAATTATCCTCGTCGGCTCCCGGCATGTATTGGTTGAGTATCTGAACATAGAAAAAAAAGGCCGAACGTTTCGCTTCGGGCTCAAGCTCCGATGGCGCCAGTCGCCTGTCTTCCGCGCTGAGGTGCATTTTCATCGATTTAGGTATGCTTCCCAACCCCTGTTCTGAGTCCCGTGCAAACCCCTCCGTATGGCCAACCCAGACCCTTTCGCTACCCAGAAGAGACGGGGGAAGCTGTGCACACCGGGAGACAATAAATTCTTTCAGCATGTTTTTCTGCCATGCCTCTCGTATTTCTTCTACTGTGACCCCATGGAGTATCAACTTGCGGTACGTCTGGAACAATTGAAACCGCTCACGTCCGGATCCAAAATGGAAGAACCCAAAAGCTTTGAGTACGTTTTCCTCAGCCGGTAGTTGATCACCTGATTGACAAGCCTGTACGAGATAATGTGCTTCGTCCATGGGACGTCCTGAACAATGGAACTCGTGGTGTTCCCAATGCAAGTTGCGACAGTCATTGTCACAATAACTGACTGAATGACATTTGCAGCGCGACATCGGGCCTCGAGGATATTTCTTACAATAAGCACATACCGTCCGAGTTATTGCTGGCTCATCATGACTTTCAAGAGTTTATTCAGTGGATACCTCATCGCTTTCTGCATCTGATGGCGGAGGCGACCTATACTCATTACTCTCGGTCCTATAAGTAAGATGGTCTCAACTGTTTGATTCTGCAAGCTGTGAAGAATGAGATAAATTTACATACACTGGGGCCTCTGGTCGCCGACTAGACATTGAGAACCATTTAGATTCTCTCTCTCGCTGTCGAAGATCTTGACTTGAACTAGCGAAGGGATCGTCAACTTTAGCAACCTTGACTATCGGAGTAGTCATAGTTGACTCCCTCGCGGCATCCATATGCGGTAGGTCTTGCCGGCTGACCTCGGTGCGAAGAACTTGTAGGAGATGGTTGACAACAGGTTCCCATCTCTGTATGTAAGCGTCTTTGATCACAAGAACCGGCGGTAAGGTCCATAGTGAGTACATTTTGCCATGATTAGCCCGAGTATAAAACATACCGAGCTTCCGTACGACATGACCGCAAAGAAAGCACATTTTCTTGCTAATCCCAAGATATGTGAACAGCTGATTGTTGTTCTCACGGTTAAGCAAGTAGGTAATCATTCTTATCTCTGCATGAACCCATCTAGGTTCGGCTGGCTGCGCTCGCAAATTCTTCTCTTTGTTCGTCGTCGATGACTTAACAGTAGTTGTAAGCTTTTGCGGAATTTTTCTTGGTTTGTAGCCAATTAATAGTTGGATATGAATTTTTTGAAAGCTGGGTACATCTCTGGCGACAGCGAAAAAAGTGTTGGCGGCGATCTCAGGTCTGCAGATAAATGCCATTTCAAGATTTATTCGCTGGATTTGCTTGGGGCCGAGCTTGTCGTTGACCCAATTGGGCTGCGGTGCATACTCCTTGTGTTGGGAGAGGCTTCCCATAAATTCGACAAACTCGAGGGGTGATACGGTTTTAGACAAGAATTTTCCACAACACCACAAAAGAACAGCCTTGATGTGGGGATCAACATGTTTCACCAGTTTCTTGAGCTTCTCAGCATGATGCTGGAGTCTGGCATGATAGTAATTGGCAAGAAGCTCGCGAACGACATGAACATGGTCTTGCTGAGATGGCCCTTTGAATACAGTTAGGAGAAATGACCTTGAACTAGCAAAGGTTCGCCATGGCCTACCTCTGGAAATCATCTCCATTAAGTCGACAAGTTTATTCAAAAATACCTTGTCCTCCTCCACCCACTTCGCATTCCGAGCAATAACGATCATAACTTGGTCCTCCTCTCTATTATGGAGGTACATGTTACGTAGGAGGCATGCTTTTCCCGACATACTATTTCAGCAAGCCGATCGAGAAACTCCGTTTTGATTTGTTTCGTGCCATCTGTCGTAAGCTGGGCGGGAAAGACAGTCGATAGATCGTCATCGTCATCTGAGTCGCATTCCGCTTCATCATCTGGCAGAACGACGTCTAGGGGTTCTCGTTGTTGTTGCTTCAACTGGCATTGAGCAGCCAAGTTGACTATTTCAGATTCCTGCTCCTTAAAAAATCGCCAGATTGGGCTACCAGTTCGCTGTATAGTAGCTGGCACTGGAATTGTCGTAATACGATTCATTTTGTGATATTGAAAAGGAAGACCTCCGGGTTGAACTGGGCAAAATGAGGAATGGTATAGGAAAGCAGATGCAGTTGTCCTCACTGTTATCTAAGAATTGGAAGGCAAGGAGCAGGCGTCAATTGGAAGGGGCCAGAAGTGAGTTGGAGTCTCATAAGTCTTCTATCACCTTCCGAGTCGCTCTGTACATGCGCCCTCAGAAATTGGTTCAATTTATTTTCTTCTTATTGGTCTGACAAAAATTAGGTGGTAGTGCCGCAAGTAGGCCCGTCACTGGAGGCTGTCTCAAATTCCCGTAGAGAGACGGAGAAAATATATATCAAATGTAGGATCTAAGGTTACTGTGAAAGTAGATGGAACTGTTCGTTGATTTTTGGTAATATATATACGAGTATAGCTCAATGTGGTGACGGGCTTTAGCAACTTGGGGGGCAGAGAAAGATGTTCTCTTGGAAGTGAGCACCTATATGGCAAATGGTCTATCTCTGCTCACAGGCGTTCTGCATCATCAATGCTACGCATTTGAACAAGCTGCCCAAATATCTTCACGGGCGCCGCGGGGGAGGTGTCCTCCGCGCAACGAGTAAATGGACCAGAGGAGTTCTGGTCATGGGAGGGCACATAAGGTGCTCTTGTGGGCAGGTCAACATCCTTGGAACGAGGGAGCAGGGGGCTACTTGGGAGCACGCGTCGGGTTGGGTGCGGAAGCCAGCTTTGGGTCCCGGTGGTAGATAACGAGTCAGTAACGATGAGTGTGGGAGAAGCAGATAGTGTTTCCGTGGGACTACAAGCGGGCTCTCGCTGGGGCTGGTGTGATGATGAAAACTGCCGACCTTGGTCCGGCCTCTCTCCAAGTACTTTGTCCTCGTCCGTGATGTGACGTGTGCGTTGGATGGGTGACTTAGTAGAAGGAGGGATCTCTGAAGTAGAGAGGTCCGACCTCAGGTGGGCGCCGTACTGTGCATTAGCTGAGAGTCTGGACCTGAGTAGATCTGGGCTCTGTGAGCGTGTGAAGCCTTGATTGGCACATCTATCTGGAGGCGTATGTATGCCTTGGCTGTTTCGTGGGTGTTGGCTGTGAGGTTGGCCTGTGATCTTGATTTGAATCTGGTCCAGGGGATTGTCTCTGTCCTTCCAGTAACGGGACTTGGGGACTGCAAGTATCTTTTGATTCCCATGAGTCGCTGACAAACGCTTTCGGTCTGTTTCAGTCAACCTGCGTCGCTTCCCAAAGTGCTCCGCCTCGTGAGCTGAGGTGAATGCGATTTCCAGAGGGCGAGCTGCGGAGACTGCGGCCCAGTCGGGGTCTTGGAGGAGGCGGCGCTTCAAGTTATCCAAACGACCAGTGCTGTCAGCAGGAAAAGACTCGGCCAATGGAGACAGACTCGGGCTGAAACCCGTGAAGAGTTGAGGGTCAGTGCAACGACTCGAGAGGAAGGGGTTTGGCGGGGGAGGGGGTAGAGTGTAGGCCGTGGCCAACGGCGATGAACAGTTAACAGTACAACTGACTGGTTCTGTGCCTCTCCTCCCGTCATCTGCCCATCCCTGCAGGTCGTATCACCATCAAACCTATCATCACCACCGACATTCGGGTCTGGAACCCCGCGAAAGGTCGAGGGCTGCCGAGGCGCGTTGCTGGCCTGCTGGCGGGATTTGCCAAACTTCTGGTTCTGTGTTTTGGACAGGATGCCCTGGCGAGCAGAATGTCGACGCAACTGCCCTCCCGTCCAGTTCATCTTAGCGTGAGGTTGGAGGAGTAAATAAAGTATGTTGTAGTATGATTTGAGCTCATGATAGAGCCGTGGGAAGCCGGCGCCGTAGTGGAGTGTCTCGAGTGGAGACTGGACTTGGCCTGGTGGCCTGAGGATCATGGTGTAAATAGTGCAAAACATGCAAATACTATCACGTGACCTGTCGCACAAAATTGCGGCAATTCCAATTTTCCTTCCTCCTCTTCTCTCATCCAACCATTCAGCGCCTAGAATGGCCATGGAGATTGTGATGCAAAGATCTCAACCCGTCCAGTGACTACTAACCCACGATCTCGCAGGCAATTCCAGCTGTCTCCTATTCTTGGATTTGAACAATCCTGGTTCATCGCAACTGACCAACTCACCCGGGTCCACAGGTTGCAGCTCACAGGTAAGCTACCAACCATTTTCTATTTTGCGTGCTTTGTTGTGTGCGCGGACCTCCCAAGCCCAGGTCCATTCGACTGGACTGGACTGCCTTGCCTTTTTTTGTCTTCTCTTTTTCTTTGGATGATGAACCAATCTACCAAAAGCATAGTTCACCTGAGATCTTCGGATTGCTGAACGAAAAACTTGATCCATCTTTAACCTTTATCTGATATCCATTGTGTTACATTTTTGTGCAACTGTTTCGTGTCTTCGAAGAAGTTGAATCGTGGCTAATTCGAATATCCACAGTGCAACACGGCAATCCCAATATTCCGGGATTATTCCGGTGGCCGTGCAGGCTTTTGGATGTCCAGCAGCCAGTCACAGTTCGTCACAGAAGCACTCCTCAGGGTTAGCGGGTTGGGCACCCGAATCTTCTGCATTGCTGCCCAACGTGGGCCAAGATGGTTCGCTCCGGCCCGCAATGTTGGATCCATGGAATGATTGTTCTCTCTTCTATCCTCACTATTATTCTTCTTCTTCTTCTTCTTCGTACTCGGTAGTTTGTCGGTAGCAAATTAGAGTTCCCAGATAGACTACTCCGTACAATCTGCCTTGTTTCAAACCTGTTGCTCGCAACGCTACAGCATGCGCGATCCCCTGGTCGCATCACCTTCTGCCCTTGTTCCCCGTCGCTTCTCATCCAACGACTCTTTCTTGACAGCTGCAACCTCCAGCACTGCCGGCCGTCCCGTCGCCAACTGGTACTCCGGATGCATCACCCTGTTCCGTAACCCTCCGACGTGGACTGTTCATCACCATACAATCCTCGTCAACATGCGACGGAGCACCTGCCGATCGTCCAAATGGGACATCATCCTGCAGTGTCAGCGGCGAGGCGCATCCAATCATGATGCTGAACCTCTTCCGCCAAGCACTCGAGACGCCAAACTAGTCTCACACCGCTAGAACTGTCTGGGATTTCCCCCACTCGGGGCGCATCTACTGGATCGCATCGCACAAACCGGGTCTGTCGGTGCCATCACCGCTAGTTGACGAGTCCCCCCAGCACTGGCTATCAATGGTGCCAACAAGGCAAGCCAGCAACTGCATACTGCGAGTCTGGCACACGCCATGCTCGATAGTCGTGAATAGTCCCACAATCCCCTCTCCAAACCTCCTGAGAAAAAGCACGGTGATTTTTTGGGCGCTGCTAAAAACCCGCTGATCCCCCCCTCCTCTTCCAATTCCCTTTCTTCCTTTCCCAACTCTGGATACACCTCTACAAATCGACCATACTTTTGTGGACGACCATACCCCTTGCCTTGCTACATCTACAATCTTATATACCCTTCAACAGATTTCGCCTACTCCACACGCCTTCCAATCCCTTGGAACTTGGACAACCATTATACTCGACTCATTGCCGTGGTTTTCTTTTTCTTTGCCCAAGGATTTCTAGCCACATACTCCCTGGACAGGATTTTGCTGTGTTTTTGTTCTTGCCCAGGCTTTTTTCGTCTGCATCTATTGCCGACACACAACAGGTAGTCCCCTTCACATTTCTTTACACTTCGTGCGTTTTCTTCATTCCTATGCGAGCTTTGCTTTGATTTTGTTTTCTTGCCAACTGGATTTGTTCCGTGGATCCGTGGACATGTTTCTCCGACTGGATTTCGACACTTCTGCCATTTCCCTGGACTACACGGATCTTAGCCTTGACTTTGCTGGTACCTTGCCATTGTTCATGTCAATCTTGACAGTACAAACAAAAGATTAATGCTTCTTTTGCCATGGATATGTCACTTAGCATCCGCTAAGTGACTGGGCTTTTGATGAGTGCTGTTTAATGTTGCACGCTCTTCAATTCGACTTTCTGCCGCTGGATTACTTTGCCCTGGATATATCTTTCATCTGGTTTCCCTTCGTCCAAGCCTGGACTGAAGTGGATGGATTTCCCCTGGATTTTATTTCTGGCCTAGATACACTCTGGATTGCTATACTCCTTATGACCTTTTGAAAACAATGATTACATACTCCCTGGATTGAACATGGCCTTCATACACGAGCAGCCAACCTGGATTTTGATCTGGACTCTCATGAGCTGTTATGCTTTGCTCACCAACACAAGGAATCTTAAGCAGCTGCTTCTGGAATAATTATCTGGCCACTGATTGAACGGACCTGACCTTGCAAGCCTTTGTTGGTCATCGCCGAGAAATTACTGCTCTTTCTTGCTGGATCACCAAGGATTATGATGAATTTTCAAACAGCTATTGATGGCCATGGTATGCTCGACTCGACTCGACAGATGAAAGGCCCTCACTGGCAATAAGCCTCGTCAAAATATCCCCTGGAATATATGCCGCCTGTGATTACCCTAGGAACTTTTCTATTTCATCGGCCTCGGACTTGACTTACTCTACAACATGACTGTGGTGCGTCCGTAACCACCAAACCCACAGACCCCCGAGTATGCTAACAGTTCCTAGGTTGATCGAATACCTGGACCCTTGGACTCTCATGTTTCATCTCGTTTTCTTGATTGTTTTTGTTCTTTTTTTTTTTTCTATCTAGCTGGGGTGTAGATTACTGACTTGATGAGCTTTTGTTTCCCACAGACCTCACAACACACACATACACAATGTCTCCCAGGACCAACATTGACTCCGAGCGAGTCTCTCTTTCCAATTCCAGACAGAGCTCCATGCTATCAGGATTGCCCACTATGGCCTCAAGAACTTTCCAGGATGATGACTTGTCAAGCCAAGACAACTCGTCTTTGTGCTCCCCTCACACAGCCCATGGAATTCCCCAGGATATGAAAGACTGGAGTATGAACACTTCAGAATCTCTCGATCAGGCCATGTCTTCCAAAGAATCTCCCCAGGTGCAAATGCTTTCTTTCTCGCTGTCTCAGCAGCTGATGACCCCCACGGTCGGACCCAGTGATGTGATGTACACAGGCGTGGACTTCCCAGCAGTCTCAGACCTGCATGATCATGAAATGCCTCGGGACTTTTACTCCTTCGTGGATCTTTCTTCCATGGATAATGATGTCTGCGTGCAAACGAGCACTCCGGATGATGCTCTGTCTGTTGCGCACAGTTCCCACACTGAGGATGGCCAATACATTGCCGGTCACGAATCATGGAATGCTATGATGGCTGATGGCCAGTACCCTGGAACCACTCTGGATCAACTCTCGTCAAATCTCTTCCAGACCATGCCGGTCTCTCCACCCTTGACCGAAGCTAGTAATGATATTCCCATCACCTCTGCTTGCTCCCACTCTGGATTCCCATCTTTCATGGCCCACGATGATTCTTTCCTCGGAGACTACAGCACGTCACCCATCGGCAACCCCATCATCAACCCAGCGGAGCCCTTGTTCCCCAACACAGCGCCTCTGAGCGAGAAGGACCCTAACAGGTAGGTTCTTAGAACTAGTTCATCATCAACGAAATCCCCTCCCAATATCTGACCACTTGCCTCTACCCCTACAGGACCATCAGGCCCTCCAAGCAATCCCGCCGTGGAGCTCTGCCCGCATCCCAATCCCAGGTCAAGTCCGAGTCCGAGTTCTTCCCTCAGGTAAAGACCGAACAGGACTTCTTCCCTCCTCTGCCCGTGAGGGAGCCAACCCGCCAGAGATCCAAGGACAGTGCCGATGCCCGCAACCCGCGAGACCACCACTTCTACCATCTGGCCCCCCAGAACGATGGAAAGTACCACTGCCCATACTCCGGTGGAGAGAAGCCATGCACCCACATGCCCACCACGCAAAAATGCGCTTACCAGCAAGTACCCCTTGGCCGATCATGGCATCTACTCCCCTTACAACCATCGATTCAACAGCTAACCGACTCAAACTGTACAGTAAATACCTGGACTCCCACCTGAAGCCCTACCGGTGCAAGCACGCCTCCTGCGTAGACAACATGCTGCGTTTCTCCTCCAACGCATGCCTCTTCCGCCACGAACGTGAAGCCCATGGAATGCACGGCCACGGAGAATGCCCCCACCTGTGCCTGTTCGAGGGATGTGAACGATCGGTTCCTGGATTTGGATTCCCCCGTAGATGGAACCTGCACGACCACATGAAGCGTGTCCACGACTACGTCTCCTGCGAGCGTCCCACTTCCCAGCCCGGCTCCCAGCCCAGTTCTCCGGAGACCTCGCCCGGTGCTCCACCCAAGAAGAAGGAATCTACCTCCTCCTCGTCGTCGTCTAACCGCAAGAGAAGAGGGGTCACGGGCGCCACCCCGGCCCCGACTATGAAGCGCACTCGCTCTGTCCACTCCCAGGCTGGTTGCACCAAGGCTTCCCAGGCTTCTGCCCAGAATGGCCAGCGTCTCCAGAACGCCGAGCGGAACTACTACAAGGTTCGCGCTCGTCTGGTCGATGAACTCGCCAAGATTACCCCCCAGGATACCTCCATGCATGAGAAGGTCAACGCCAGCTTGCAGGAACTGTACACCCTTGGCCTGCAGTACCGCCACCTCGAGGCCGGCCATGCCGTTACTCGTGTGCCAAATGGACTCCCCGCGTGAAGAATTGCTTCCGAGAAACCCTGTACATGTACTCCCTTCTTTCCTAGCCTGGAATGGGATACGATACAGGATGGATTTTTGAACCTTTTTGAACACCAGTGGAGAAACCCGATCATTTGCTGCCCTCTGTGAATTGGAATTCCACGGCCGAAACTGCGTTTGCCCTGCTGCCCTTGCTTTTCATCTTTGAAAGGACCTACCTACTTGGCCATCGTGCACGGATTAAGTGTCCCTTGTGTAGCAACCCCGCTCCAAGGATTGGGGCATCTCCCGCGTTGAACCCCCCACACCGGGACTCGCCCACGGGCTTACCTCTCCCACAAGGATATCCAGATGGAAATCTTGTGCATCGGAGCCGGGCACTCCGAGTACAAAGGATTATTCCGTTCATTTCGAGTCGTTACTGATGAGAATATTGGTTAGACCTGGGATATGGTAGCCGCAAGGAGGAATGGATAGATATGGAAACATGGCAAAAAAGACCATGCTTCTCCAGGACTACTGAAGATGACAGTAGAGTGGATGTTAAAGATTGATTATGTTTGATTTTCCTGTTTTATAGATTTGTTTCTGCGTTAGGTGTTTTGTTTTCTTGTCATTCCTGTTTTGACTCGATGCTTTGTCTGTTCTTCCATGCGAAAAAATACAAAAGAATAAAAGCTTATCACTTCATCCAATCCACGTAAAAGATCTTGTGCAAATCGTAATCTCATTATCTCATGACACGCTATGAAGCTCTATCAGCATGGAGAGACAGTGTTTGCGTCTCTGTCTGGCGTCTATATAAAAATTCGAAGACACCCACATCTACACATCAGTATTCTCCACGCCCCCAAACTCATGATTCAAGAACCGTACAAATGCATCTCCAACACTCTCTATGGCCAACGAGCCCTGTCCCGCACCATGACCATGACCGATATACCTCCGATTCAGACTAATCCACTGCCGCCGCATACGCTGCAGCTTCGGCAATGCCAGAATTCCACCCGCACCGGCCAATTCATCCGTCGTACCGGTCGTGGCGACATGAGCAGGGATGAGGACTGGAATAGAAGATTCCGGGACCTCGATCGCGATGCCCTTCTGGTGCGTGCTTTGTGCCAAAGCCACCTCGGCGGATGGATTCGCCTGCGTGAATGCGCGGATAGCATTCACGACGGCCGTGGTGCGCTTTTCCATCGCGTAGAGGGCGCCGGAATCGGTCGCTACGGCTTGCACGGTGGCTTGGTGCGGGATGATCTTTGGGCGGGTGGATTGACCGCGGTTGAATGCTCGGCCTGAGGTTGTTGTGCTGGCTAGGTCGGAGAGGGTGGATGAGGCGAGTGATTGGGTGAGGTTGGATACAGGGGTTTCGGTAGTGGATTCGGCTGATGGGAGGACGACGCCTGATAGAGCTTGGAAGATGTCTGCTACTGGGGGCTCGGCGTCTGACCAGGGCACTGTGAAGAGGGGTTTGTCCCAGCGACTGTGGGTGCTGGGTTCCTCATAGCGGAAGATGAGGTTGTTGAGGAGTTCTGGTGTGTAGGCTTCTTCATCGTCGTTCGACTCCTCCGGCTTGGATGAGATATCTTCGGTGCAAATCGATTGTACCTCCTGGGGTGAGCTGCCATCCTTTTGCTTCGCTTCATCCCGACGCAGTCGAGCGTCGTTGTTCGCGACGCACTGATCGACGGGTGTTCCAACGTGAACCTGCGCAATCACATTAGTAACGATACCCGAGTTTCGCTGACCCAGCTCGGACACATACCACACAGCACGTTGTATTAGAAGCCTTGGCCTCACACCACAATTGATACCTCCATCCCTTGATGTAATTCATTCCATCCAGAATGACAATGCTGTCCCGGGCAAGCACACGCTTCGCTCGCGCATAAGCCACACCCCGGGCCTCCTTTTCCGTCCTAGCATGATCATAGACCGTCCTTGGGTGCGACTTGTCATGGGAAGGTACAACGTGGACTTTGTATCGGGACTTTAGCGGGGCTGGCGAGCCTGGCTCGGTGGATGCGAGGAGCTCATCTTGCGCCTTTTCTATTAGCGACGCGAGTTGGTTTGCGCGGTAGCTCAAACCGGAGCAGGGGTATCCGGTGAGAATGACGAGCTGCGTTCATGTCAGCTTTTCTCTTGCGACAAAATCATAGGTAGATATACTTACCGGCATCGTGGACGGTTGAGGTGTCTAAGTTCGCGAACTTTTTTTCCCGCGGGGTTGCGGGGACATGTGACTCCGGATCCATTTGCTGTGGCGGGGCTCTTCTACTGTTCGGATCATACTGTACTGTTCCTGCATAATGATAAATTGAGCCACTGCTGAGAGAGGATTGTTTTCTAGATCTACTGTTCTCTTGGAGTTGAGATACAGATGGATTTAAAGACCAGTTCAAAGAGCAGGTAACAACCAAATATATGACATGATGTTCGTGCTATTTCTCTATATATATGCTTCTTTGAGGCAAAAGAATGCCAGGGTATCAAGCGGTATTCTAAGCGGTTATAGATTCCAATTCTTCTGGCTTCCAACGAAGCTCATATCCGAAAACTGTCTTTCGAAGGGTCTCATCCTGCAAAGGTATTAGTGTCAATGTTTCCAAGGCAATGGCTTAGTATACTTACGCCTGGGTCGTCCTCAAAGAGCACGTGGTCCATCAGCTTTTGGAATATCTTGGTCACACTGAATCCACCTTCTTCCGCCCGCGGAAAGAACTTCTCGGTCTGAGGGAGCAGCCATGGCTCATAAGGTGTGAAGATCACCAATGCAACAGCCTCGGGGGTCTTCTTCAAGGTCAGCTGCATAGTCTTCACCAGGTTCGCATGCTCGGGATAGTTGTAGATCACATCCGCCATGATCAACACGTCGAATCCAGAGGGCTCCCCGTTGTTAGCAGGAGGCAAGTATGCCAGTAGTGGTTCAACTGAGTTGCCCCATTTGTATCCTTCCACATGCAGTCTCTCCTGCGAGTCGGGGCGCTTAGGAATCATCTCGCTGGCCAGGTCGGCATTATATTGCATGTTAGACACGAGGTCTGGGTCGTAGTAGTCGGTCATCACGACGGTGCGAGCACCTTGAATAGCGCTCACAATGCTGGGCACACCCGCGGCGGCACCAATCTCGAGAACATCCTTATCGCGGATCAGCTCGTCCGTCCGTTCCTCGATATAGTGGGAACTCGTTCGCCCAGCATTCCATAGGAGGTTGCCCTATTATAACAAAAAGGGTCAGCGGGTTCTATCTTGCCATTGAAGGGCAGATCATGCGATTTGCTCGCCTTGGGCGGGGTCGTACATAAAGCGGGTGGCTGCCCACGAGACGCACGCGCACCGTCTTCCCACAGAGCATCTGATGCTCGCTAAAAGTAGGGGGTTTCTCCTCGGGGTAGAACCCTTCGGGATCCTTGAACATGTCCCCCGTATCGAAATCGTCCTCCATGGCGCACTTTTGGCTTAATTGTTCTTCCAGAAAAAGACCACAAGAAACTGTGGAAAATATCGGTTATCAGCTTATCGGGAGCTTATCAGGTGGGGTGCCCGGACGCCTGAGGCAGACAATCCGATCGGTGGTGATATCACGGAGTATATGAGTATCTACTATTCCTTTCTTTAAAGGATCTTCGTGATAATGATACATCCTACAATTTATTGAATGTGATATATCACCCACTTTAGCACATGTAATGTTTCAAAAATACATGACAGGTCCAAGATCCCTGTTGATATATCCAGGTCGAGTTACTGTACGCACGTTGAACGATTGATGAGTGAGACACAGTATACCGGGCATAAGGCCTCTTATTGAAATAGCAGACTGTGATCTCCCTGTTCCACTAGCCTATCCTAGTTCCCAGTTGACTCTTCAGCCAATCATTCATTGCCGTGGGGAAGGACCCTTAAGTCTCCTCAGTGATCAAATCCTAGCTTGGGGGCATCGGGGGTGGGACTATGTTATGTTTGCACCTTTTATATCTAAGCAATATGAGCTAAATCAATATTGAAAAAGATACAAAAAGGTTTAATTTCTCCGCGATCTACCTTTAGAAAGCTGTTTGTCCCTCACTCATTCACGTTCTCTTTTTCCGGGCGCACCCTTGCAACAAGTCCACGGTCCAAACTATATGGCTTAGTGAACAGACTCGTGAAAAACATCAATCCAGAAATGCCGCAGCAAAATGCCCAGACCATTCTTAGACTATCAGCATAAGCCTGCTGAAGATCTCCCTTAGCTTGAGTGTCCTGCATCCCTCGAATAAGTTCCACCGCGCTCGCTGCATCGCCGCTGTATTTATCCGCCAACCCTCGGAGGGCAGGATACTGCAATAAGTTGCTCTTCATTCGATTTTGGAAAATGACACCCCCAATCGCCACACCTATAGACTGCCCAAAGCCTCGGAAGCAAGTCGATGTAGCCACCGCAATCGCCACGAGCTCAGTAGGCGCGGAAGCCTGCACTGCGAGTGCGACGGAGGGAAGAACCATTCCGATGCCAACTCCAGCCACAGCATTTAAAAAAATCCAAGCCACCGTCGTGGTATTTGTGTCCAACAAGCAAAGCAGGCCCGTTCCAATAGTCGAAATACACCATCCACTGCAGACGGCCCAATAGTACCGGCCTGTTCGACTGATGAGGAGGCCTATAATAACTCCAGTTGGGGCGACAGTAAAGGTTTCAGGGAAAAGCGCAATTCCTGACATGATAGGTTTGAATTCTTTCACGGCCTCGTAGTAGAGGGGAAGAAAGTACAGACAGCACCAAACCAGAAGGCCAACCACGGCATAGCCTCCAAACGATATGAGCGCCGTTCGGTTCTGGAAAATCGCTGGTGGGATCATTGGCAGTCGTGCAATTCGCCATTCATAGATCGCGAAGACGCAGAGTCCGACGGCCCCGATAATTAAAGGTGCCAAACTGTGCCATGAGTCCCAGGAATACAGCACACCCCCCATGTCAGCGGTATCAAGAACGAAGCAGAGCTTGGAAGAAATAGGGCGATTCCGACGAAGTCAATCTTGCGCACTTGGACGGTAAAAGCGCCCTGCGCAGTCAGGAAGCCGCCCGAGAAGGCAAGCAAGATTGCTCCGATTCCAATGAACGGAAAGTTGATATAGAAGATCCAACGCTGGATATTACTGTTAATAGAAATACTGTCAAAAAGTAGATAGCTTCATGCGTACCCAGGTGACTTTCTCTGCAAAGCAGCCCCCGATGACAGGCCCGGTCACTGTTCCCAAACTCCAGATTCCACTAAGCATACCGAAATATTTTGGTCTTTCGCTAAGAGGCACAATATCTGCAATGAGGATACCAGTGAGGGTAATGATGCCACCCCCACCAATTCCCTGTAGAGACCGCCCAATAAGCATATGAGTGAAATTGTTAGCGACACCAGCGACAATCGCCCCGATCGTAAACCATGCGATCGTCACAAGCACCAATGGCTTCCGACCAAATAAATCCGATAATGAAGAGAATACAGGTTGAAAGACTAGATTCGGGTCAGTATTGTTTATTTTTGTTCTAGGTGGATTTTGTAAGCTCACCGGCAGAGCAGAGTGTGAAGGAGGTTCCAGCCCAGAATGCTTCGATTGCAGTTCCTCCAAGTTCATGAGCCATGGTCTGTTGATGTCAATGTCAGCGATAAACGTGCTTCATGACCACAATGGTAGGATACAGTACGGGCAAAGCAACCGATATAGACGTCCCATCCAGCGCTGCCATCAGGCTCAGGATGGCCATCGCCGAGAGCGTCAAAATCTCTTGTTTTGTGATAGAAAAGTTCTCTCCATTTTCGACAATGTCTGAACTGAGAATTCCATTTTTGTCGTTATCCTTCTGACAGTCTTCAGGGCATGAAGTTTCCATTTCGTTGACTTCACACTGGTAAACAAAACAGTGGAATAGTACGGGACTGTAAATAAATTTTCGCGGATATTTTATTTTGATCATTGTTTTTCTAAGAAATATGGTCCATACTTTTCTCGACTGTCAATTGGACCCGTATGTGTTTGGCTGATCAGGGGTCAATTGGAACTACTAAGACTGAATGAGCAAGGGATTGTAAGATAATCAGACTATTGAAATAAAATCCCTTGTTTTTAAATTTCATGGCTAGCTGACTCTGCCTATGGAGGCTGAAAGTGGTTACCTCGAGAAAGCATTATCAGTATGTAACAAGAAAACGATCCACACCCTCGTGGAGATATTATGTAGTCCTGGGGTCAACAACAATGTATACTTAACGACAAATTTCCTCCCCTTTCCTACAATTTCACCCTGACCAGACAAGATAACCAGCAAGGCTATAAAAGATTGCTACACCGCTTCTAGGCCAAGGATTTGCCGATCTACCCACAGTGCATTAGCGCTGCATAATTTGAAAGTTTGGGGTATTCCACAAGAAATTTCCTATGCATCAGAGAGAGGTAAGATTGATCTAGTAACTGAGATACACGTGGCACCATTTGGCGCCACGGTGGGGATATTGGGAATTCGAGGCCAGGGACTGTATTTGCCGGATATATTTGTGAGCTGACTGTCAACAGAAAGGCAGGATGGGATGTATGTAGTCAAAATGCTCCATAATAATTTTTTCCCGAGCTAGAGCTAAGTAGCTTGATACAGGGATTTTGCCGAAGCGAGAGGCCTAAAAACCTTACTTTCGATTAGGCTAGCCGAATTACAGTTGGCTAGGCCCACCTACTATTTTTTGATTCGTTCCTCGTTCCTGCAGGATACAGAAGGATCTGACAGCTTGTCACGAACCACTCTAAAACGATAGTTCGTTCTCTATGTATTTCAGCCAGCCTTCCGAGACTGGGGCATGCAAGTACTGTGGTTTCGGATAACGCCGGTCACTCTTGGCTCCCGTACTATGAGGTTCAAGTCATCGCATTTTCCAATCCGCTGCCAAGACCGGTGGGTTCTAATCATGCACCCTACAGTAACTTTATAGTTTCCTTTTCCTTTTTGTTTTTTGATTTTCTTTCTTTCTTTTTTTTTTTTTTAAAAACTTCCTTCCCTCGAAACCAGGATGATTCGAGAGATTCAACTACCTGAATACGTCATGTCTCCTTATTGGCTACCTATACTTTCATCATTTTTTCTATAAGGCTCCTCTAGCTTATTCCCATACCATCACCATTGCCTGCACACAAAGATGGCCAATTCCCATCGTTCTTCAAGTCTGATCAATGTCCTAAGGGATATGAGAGCTCTAAGCTCTCGGATCGACTGGTTCCGCCTATGGATTACTGGCGGAGCACCCCTCATTGCAATAATAATCGGCATTATCTGGGTACCTTTCCAATACCGCACCGCAATTTTTCTCCTCGCTTATGCGACAGCATCTGGGATCAGCATCACTGCAGGTCAATAATATAACCAGTCCTTCTACTCAGACTTATTTTGACGGATACCATAGGATATCATCGCCTATGGGCACACCGGGCATATTCCGCTGGAAATCTGCTGAAAGTTATACTCGCGATTGTCAGCACCAGCGCAGGACAAGGCTCGATCAGAACATGGTGCAGAGACCATAGAGCCCATCACCGCTATACAGACACCGATAAGGATCCATACTCCGCCCACAAAGGGCTTTTTTATTCTCACTACGGATGGGTCGTGATCAAACGTAAGCGAGAACAAACAGGCCAAGTGGACGTCCAGGATCTCTCGGACGATCCAATTGTTCTTTGGCAGCGCAAGCACTACATTCCCTTGTTCTTTTTGACTGCATTTATATTTCCAACAGTGTACTGCGGGCTCGTGTATGGTGATTTTCCTGGAGGATTCATATGGGCCAGCTGGTTCCGATTATTCATGATCCAACAGGGAACCTTCTGCGTCAATTCTCTCGCTCATTGGGCTGGGGATCAACCTTATGCGAGCCGCCTCTCACCGAGAAACTCATGGTTCGTCGCTCTTATCACTTGGGGAGAAGGGTACCACAACTTTCATCACGAGTTTCCAGTGGACTACCGCAATGGGATCAGATGGTTTCACTGGGATCCGACGAAGTGGTTTATCTGGCTCTGCGAGAAAGCCAACCTGGCATCGGACTTGAAGCGGTTTCCCGAAAACGAGATTCAGAAGGGTAAACACCAGCAACTTCAACGCCAGCTTGAACTCCAGCGCCAAGAGATATCCTGGGGAACACCAATAGACGAACTTCCGATCTGGAGTTTTGAAACATATACCCAAACAGTGAGCAACGGTCGTCGTTTGCTTCTTGTTGATGGTGTTGTCCATGATGTTGCACAGTTTGTGAACCAACACCCAGGTGGCAAAAAGTTCTTGATAGAGCATGTTGGCAAGGACGCTACAAGACTGTTCCATGGTAGCGCAATCCATGCTCACTCCAATGCCGCTGAAAATTTGCTCTCAACCATGCGATTGGCAAGGATCCCCCAGACTGCCAAAGTCTGAGCTAGATTATTTGCTGGAAATTCCCTCCTATCGGCAGATTCCAAAGTTGTTTTTCCATACCCTGTGCTTGTTCTGTTGCACTATGACAGGCCGCTGCTGTCATCTTTCCTTCCTGCTTCCTGCTTCCTCTAGTGTAGGCATAACATATGTTTTCATTACTTTGGAAGCGATACATCGAGCGTGAAATCATTAGTAAACAAAACGGCCACTAGTAGTATAAGCAAGGTGACTACTCATATGTACCAGTCTTCGTTAAGTATACTCTACCTACACTCTCTAGCTACGAAGGCCAAAAGTGGCTAGACTAGGGAAAAAATGATTAGGCGCTTTTTCGGGGCTGAGGCGCCGCAGATCATAAGCGCCTAAGAATACGGACCCACATTCTGGTTGACGGTTCGGAGTATGCAAGGGGTGGGTCCGGCTTGTTAATAGCCTGCGGTAGTCTGACAGAGAGGCTTGAGGTGAGGGCTCAGCTCAGAGACACGAATTAGGTTCACGGCGGCGACTATTCTAATCCCGGCTCTGCAGCTCTGCCGATCTGTTGTTTTTGTCTATTGTTTTTCTCCACATCCGCATTTCATTCTATTTGACAAGTCACGTCAAATTCTGGCTAATGCCACGTCGGCGCTGCAACTCTTATGTGGCTGGCTAGTACTGAGACAAATTCTCTTTTCCAATATGCTACCCACAGGCCGTGGCCATTCGGTCTACTGTATAGCGGCCCAAGGCGGGTCTGGGTTTTTCACAAGCGGCAATCAAAAACGAACTCTTCTTCTGATTTTTCCCCGTCGGTGCTAGCTTAACAGCCCGGATTTTGCCGAAGCGAGAGACCTCAGAACATTACTTTTTTATAAGGCTAGCTGAGTTACAGTACTTAGGCTCACATGCTATATGTTGATTCGATCCACGTTGCTGCAGATAGGATCTGATAGATCGTCACGAACTACTCTAGAAGCGAATGATTATTTCCGCGGGCGTGGAGATATAAGCCACGTCACGGACAGTTGTCTTTTTTTCATCACCCAAAGTGCCGAGTCGGGGGCCGATCCTTCTTTATGAATGTAGGATCTGAAAGTTGGTCCTGAACTACTGTCCGAACGATAGTTCTCTATCTCAGCCAGCCCTCCGAGTTTGGAGCGTATAAGTACACCATACAGTAGTCCCGAATCACGCCAGCCACGAACCAATGGCATTCTAATTGTCCAATCAGCACAGACCTTGCGCAACACTCCGTCCCGTTTATGAGTACTGCTTGCAAAGAACGGGTGGACCCTGCTCGGCTATGTACCATAAACCGTCCTTGCGTTAAAGCTCATATATTCGGCAAATATTTGTCTTAGTTCTTATCTACCTTCCTCATCTGGAAATCTAGGCTGATTCAAAATAGTTGCAGATTTCGTCTGTATGGTCCGGCCTAAGGGGGTGGTCAACTGATATCCACTATGTCCTCGTATCGCGGCTCTTATATGTCTCTAAGCAGGATATTGATGATTTCGCAAGGTAGTATTAGAGTTTTTGTTGATTCCTTGTTAGGCAAGGGACAAGGGCCCGAGCCATAACGGGGCTTATACTCAGAGATCGCCTATACTTAGGGATCCACAAGGAGAGCGCCTGGACCCGCCCTTTAACGGAGATACAGATAGGTTTATCAAACGCCACGGTGGAGATATCAGCAATCTTTTGACCAGAGAGTGTAAGCCCCGGCTTGCATGATTACATACGATGTTTATTTCCCTATCCGTGTGGACTTCAACTTTTCAACCCTTCTCAAACCCTTCTCAAACCCTTCTCTCAAATCTAATGACATAAACCCTCAGGTCCGTCCACCTAGAATTGAAGAACAACAATCAATCAGTGCCCGTTGTTCGATTGAATTTAAAGAATCCCTGCGAGGGATTCATTGTTCTGAGACTTTGACGTGGTTTTTGTTATCTTTTTAAAATGTCTATTCCAAATCTCTTCGTGCATTTCCGGTTTCCTCCTCGTCAGGTCTTCGATTGGCCTCCTGGTGACGCCATGCAAGTAGCTTTTCCCTCGAAACAGGCTAAAGCAACATGGATACGCCCGATTGAGATTCCCTCTGTCATCCATTATGCTGCAGACGTGAAAATACCTTTGACAATCGCCTCCGTCTATGTCATGACTGTCGTTCTCCTCAACAACTTGAATAAGACCCGAGGAAACCGACCTTGGGCATTTGCTACAACCGCACCTTTCAATCTCTTGGTGATACTTCATAACCTCCTCCTTGCTATCTACTCAGCATGGACTTTGGCTGGTCTCTGCTTCGTGCTTTGGAATTGTTGGCCATCGATGTCAGATCCGAACTTTGGCGCTCGTTTTGCGAACACAATCTGTGAAATCGCTCCAACGGGTGAATTTGGCTATCTTGAACGCTCTGACATGCTGGGCAGCATGCCAGAGACCTTTGTGGACCATTCAAATCACATCTGGACTGCCGGTGCTGGTTATCTCTCATGGTTATTCTACATATCCAAGTTTTATGAAGTCGTTGATACTTTCATTATCCTCGCAAAAGGAAAACAAAGCTCATTCCTTCAAACATACCACCATGCCGGCGTCATGCTCTGTGCGTGGGCAAGTGTCCGATATGCATCACCCCCTGCTCTTATTGGTGTTTTCCTCAATGCCGCAATTCATACTTTGATGGTACGCAATCCTCTCGGTGCAACTGAATATGATAGCTAATAAGATAAATTTAGTATACTTATTTTTCAATGACGGCATTGGGCCTTCGGGTGCCCGTCTCAATCAAGAGATCTTTGACAACTTTGCAAATTGGCCAATTTCTTCTCGGTGCAGCCATCGCCATCTGCTATCTCTTCATTGGATACGACATTGCCACAAGTCAAGTTCTCAATCTAGAAGGGGGGCGCCTCATGAAATACAACCATAGCAGATTTCAGTCGGCCATAAATAGCCATTCTGATGCCGCTGCTTCTGTGCCCGTTGCTGGGTCTGTTTTCGAGGTCCAGGCAACCCCTTGTCTATGGAATAGCGGGCAGACAGTTGCGCTGTTTTTGACTCTGGCGTACCTGGTTCCCTTGGTTTACCTTTTCGTCTCCTTTTTCAGTCGTTCATATGCCAAGCGTGCTAGGAAGCTCGATTAGTAGCGAACAAAATCTCAAGGGAGGAAGGGTTGATGAGTTTAAACAAAAGTGTGGATGTATATGTAGCACAATAATACGGTCAAAATTGACACCGAGATTTTGTTTCTCAAAACATATTCTGCTGTACAGCTGGTCTCAATCTCTTTCGGTCTATATTGAGGGCTTTAAACCCCGTTTCAACCCCTATGCCGATGGCATTTTCTTTCATCACATTTTCACTATATTGCTGAGTATACTGTGCGATCCTATTATATACCTCCCTTAGCTAGTAAACTAGACTGAATTTCAGTAAGACTATTATCGCATCTTCCTACCTCAATTCCTGCTCAACCTCCATCGTGGAGGATTCCATACCATCATGTGATTCTCCATCCGGAACTTCAAATGCAGAACCTCTCCCTCCCATGAGATACTCTCATACGCTGAGAAGAGCAGATAACTCAGTAGAGCATGAGATGTTAGTAACGGTTGTTTGGTAAGTTATTTATACTTTAATAAATCATCAGAATTCTTCTTGCTAACTAATGTATTTACATATAAGTAGAGTTTTATACTAGAATACGGTCAGCCATGAAGATATGTATCTTGAGTAAAGCCCTTGAAGGCGATATACATGTGCCCATCACGTGACTTAGGCCGAGGCAGTGTCACGTAGTACGGTAATTTGCCACTGGGACAGGGCAACTCCGCGTGGGGGACCGAGTGGAGATACGGTAATGATACATAGCGGGTAATTGTCGGGATCGACTGGAACGGAATCGCTGCTCTTTTTTTCCATTTGGTGGATGGGGCAATCACAATCACGCCAGATAGCAACTCGGCGCTTTCCTCCTTTCTTCCAGGTGAGATTCCTCGTCTTCTTCTCTCCCTTCTTTCTCTATCTCCTCACCTCCGCCTTACCTCTTCTCCCCCGCTCCAGACCGTCACTCTCTAAGCGATCTGGAATCTACTCCCCGCAATATTTCTTGGCCGACGGTTTCCCTGCTCGCTGATCCCGGTTCCCTGCCGACGCTATCACCGTTATCGTCATTCGTGGAGTCGTGACGCTACGATCCCTTCATTTATAGTGACTTCCATCCGATATTCGGGGATTCCTTGATCCTACATTTTCCCGTTGCATCTAGGTCATCGCGCGCTACCTTCCGGCTTAAGAACGTCGTTTTTCTCTCTAGGGCAACATGGATACTACCTTGCGACCTGCCCATGCTCCCCAGACCCCCGCCCAGTCTTCCACCTTCTCCTCCTCCTCCACGACCCTTGGTAATTCCACCAACTTTACCGGCACGGTAGAACAACCTTCAAATCCCTTCAGTCTCCCTGCGAAACCCCTCAACCCTGCCTTTGCGACACCCCTCCAACCTGCCTCGGCCTATACTACACAGTCCGCCATGTCGCAGACACAACCTCTGGCACAGAATTTCTCTGATCCGGCTTGCTCCTCGGGCTTGCCAATCGCTTCTCAAGGCATGAAGGAGTCTGTACCAAGATCAGAGGTACTACCTGCAAATCAGGCTGCTGGCGACTACCCCCACCAAATAACTGGCCTGGGGGGACCTACAGCCACAGCGCCCTTCCTCCAGGATTTCAGTTTGGTCGCCGAAGCAGCCAAGCGGGCTCAGATGTCTATCGTCATGCGCGATCTCGAAAGCGTGACTCTTTAAGTTCAGACATTCGTCAATTATATTCAGCGACTGGCAACGAGGGCAGGTCCCTGGAAGAGGTATCAACGTGAAGTGCAATGAGCGTGTGCACTCCTCTTTTAATGGCTGCGGACTGGCTCCGTGCTTGGTGGAATTGTCTTGGTTTCCTCCGGCGTCCATCTCATGTGGGGTTCTCTCTTGGGGTTGAATTGGCAGCGCTTCGCGGGTACCAGCAATATTGGGATCGCGTTACCCCACGATGCATTTTGTCCTGTCTTTTGTTTTTGGCGTTTATATAACCGAGGGCGTTTTTAATTGGCTCTTATACTCCTATTCGATTTCGGGCCTTATACCACCGATACTCTCGCAAACCATGAACTTTACCTTTCATTTTCGCTATCACAGGGACAATCTTGTAGGTCCAAGTGTGTCAAGATCTCCCATGAGTCTTTAGGTAGCTTTAAAAGCGGATATAGTTCTCTCATCGTGCGGAGGAATGATCTCCCCCGTTTTCTCATTATTACGCAGGACTCGGTGGAGAATGGATGACGATCATCTTCAATTTCGAATCCAGCTTACAATTACCTAATTTGGAAAGATTACACTCTTTTCCTCTTTTTAACCTCGGGAATCTCTTTCTTGCCCCGACTAGCTTTACCAAACAAAGTATCGAGGCTCTGTTGACCTTTCTCCCGCCGCTCAACCTTGACCTTTTCACTTGCGAGTACTGGCGGCAATCCTTGTACACGACGCTGTGCATCTTCGAGTAACTCAATTTCCCGTTCTCGTTGACCCCGCACCGTCGGAATGGACCAGGACCCTGTTGTAGCTGACTTGTGTGCCAACTTATACTTGGCACCCGTCAAATGGGTCTCGTAAGTGTTTGCGTCGATTTTTCGCACGTGCTTATCATAGGGATTGTTAGATTAACATGCTCACTTGGCTCCTATACTTCCTCCTGGGTTATCGAGGCTTGTGTTTCTCACCTGATGTCCCACGATTAACCAGTGATACTCCGTGCCTACGGGCGCTCCGCTGCCTTTCGGTGCGTTGCGAGCTCGTCGCTTATTGGTCTGATAGTCGATTCGCCATAGATCGGGTTTTTCTTTGGTTTCTTTCCATGTGCCCGGGTCGTAGTTCCAGGTATGAGAACCGCCAACCGCCATACCGGAGTAGAGTTGGCCCTTGTGTGTCTTTAGCGCGTTGTATCCTCCTCCGCCAATGGCGTATGACTGCTTTGATGGTGCGATGACATTATCGGCAATGCCTTCTTCCAGCGGATTTTCTTCTTCGTCTAGCAATGCGGGATCAATGGATTCTGTTGAGGCTAGGCTGTTCGAGGGGCTTGCGCTGTCGTGGCTGTTTAATGGAGAGTGGTGAGTGGGAGTTGTGGAATTGGTGTCTGTCATGTTTGATCGGATTTCGTTGGCTGTCTTCCTTGCCTGTTGATAAAATGTTGGGAATGATTGTAATTGATTTGATTCTACGTTCTTACGGGCGTCCGATGAGCTTTCATATGATGTCATGTTGATGCTAGATACATACGTCCGGGGAACCGCGGCATCCTGGAGTCAACTATAAACCAGTACCCTAAAAGGAAGTATATCAACGTAGCCCAGTATTCGGAACTACCGTTTGGGGTATCTCCATGCATCATGTACATCAACCCCAATCGTGAATACAAAATTCAGCGTCTCGTATGTAATGATTTCGGGGAAAGTGGGTCACGACCCCTCCGCTTTTAGCTCGGATCGCGGGGAAGTGCTCCATTCCATCTTTGCCATCGAATTTCCCTTGACTTGGCTAATTATCCGACCAACCACCTGAGTCAATCGATGACAGCATCGCTCCCCGAATCTAATGCCCGGGTTCGTACCCGCACCGGCTGTCTACAGTGTCAGTAGGGAGTTCTTGTCCAGCAGTCCCATTCACTGACCCAAACAGGTCGCCAACGCAGAAAGAAGTGCGATGAGCATCGACCAAGATGCCGTCGATGCACTGACAATGACGCCACATGCACATGGCCTACGAGGATGAATCAGCCCGTCGATGGCCGACGACGTGAAGCCCGGCAATGGAAGAGCCAGCCTTCGACCGTAGCTGACGAACATCAGGGGTTATACGTCCATTTCGCCACGGCTGTGATGCCACGGCTGGTTCGGCCCCAGTGCCCGTCTGAGTATATTGATCAATCGTACATGCTGCATTTGGCCCATGAATTTTCTCCATTGATGGCGATCATGCTGGCCATCGCAGCGCTTGATCTCGGCAGGGAAACGCTGGTGATGGATCGCTACCTCTATTCGCTCCACAGTTTGCAGGAGCACCTGGCTGATGCAACCGATGCGGGTAACGAAGACGGTATTTTGGCTACAACTATTCTTCTATGCGTATTCGAAGTGAGTATTTACCGTTTTCCTTCGGTATTCGGTATTTTATACGTGAAATTTAAATGCTAAAGCATGGAAAGAATCTCCGATCAGATGCACCTCCAAGTATCGGGCTGCATGCGAAGGCAGCCGGCGTGTTGCTTTCTCGGCGACATCAGGGGAAAGCCACAAAATCTTTGTTCGAACCCGATGCCGTCTTTGAACGCACATGTGCCGAGTCTTTTCTGTACCACAGCACGCTCATGATGCTATTGGATCCTTCTCTGGACCTAGCCGCTGGGAACATTCCTCATTGTTTAACCAAGGCACAGGCCGATACGCTACAAGATGTTCCGCCGTTTATCCTGGAAGAATCCTACCAGTTCTTCATCATGATCGCAGAAGTGACCCGCCTCGCCAGGTTATCACGACCGTTGTTTTCAGTTGAGCGGCAAACTTGGACACGTCTTCAGGCCGAACTATTGCAATACCAACGTGTCGGCGCTATGGACGACCTTATGAAGAGTCTTTACGTACATACTGCACAAATCCTCTTGTTGAAAGTCGATTATACGCGAACAGTCATACAGCGAACCACCGAGATAAGGGCTCTCTTTCAAAAAGGAATGTCTACTTTGGAGACTTTGGATGTTCAGAAATATCTACTAAGCTACTCGCTGTGGCCCGTGGCTATTCTCGGCACGACTGCATTGTCTGAAGATGAGCAGTGCATGATCGACAATATTATTGACCCATGGGCTCGAAGGGGACGTGGACAAGCTGTGCGATTAAGAGGTCGGCTGAAGACCATCTGGGCGACGCCAAAGGACAACCAAGAGACTCTTCTACTACAAAGGCTGCATTTATTGATGGGAACAGGTTGATTGAAAGCTGAAACTATCTCATGCAATTAACGGCTCACTTGAGCAAGACATCCTCCACGATCCGCGCGTGTTGCACCAAGGCTTCATCCTTCTGCCGACGGCCAATCAGTTGCACGTGGCATGGAGCACCCTCGACTTCTTCAGGAAGATCTGGTGGAATCGGCATTAGCAACAGCACTTCTGTACTGGGATGAGGTACTCACAGGGCGGAATATAATTCACGTTTCGCACGAACTCGGCGTCATCGGTCTTGCATGACCGGCCAAAGGGAATCACACATGCGGGATACTATACTCTGTATTTAGTGCCCATGCTGATTCATGTGATTATATGTGATTGGGAGCAGATCTTACATCAACCAGATTTGCAAGCACTGTATAATTAGGCACTCCGAATGTATCGTGAGGCACAGCAGTTGCTTGGTACCCGGGCCCAATGATAACATCGAGGTCATTTTCGAGGAAGACGAGGCGCATTTTGGCCGCAAATTCTGCCTTCGCAACATTCAAGTCAAACAAGTCGCGAAGAGTCGGCTCGGGACCCTTGGCATCTAGATCGTATGTGAATCGAAGCGATGGGATGAATGGCTCGTCTGCATTTCGGATGTGTTGCACCTGTGTCTGGTCAGGATCGATGCGGAAGAAGCGGAATGAGACATCCGCTGCATCAGCTATGAATTTGATTTGTTCCGAGAGATCGACGAGTTGATGACCGGCCCCGGTGAGCTTTTCCACGGCTTTGCTCAAGCTTCGCTGCATGCTTGGGTGCAATGGTACTCGGGCATCCTCGGGCAAGATTCCGATTCTGAGTTTCTTCGCGGCCTGTTTGTTCGGCTCAATCCAGGGAAACCCAAGTGCCATATCATCCTTGTCATCAGCCGGAGCGTCAAAAACGACTCGCAGGAGCATCTCCGCATCCCGCACTGAGTGGCACAGTGGTCCGGCAACTGGGAGGATGCCTGTCATGCCTGGGCGACCGGCACTTGTCTGCCCACCATATGGCACTCGGCCAGCACTCGGCTTGAAGCCCACGGTGCCGCAGCACAAAGCTGGAATTCGGATTGACCCGGCAATATCTGTGCCGATGCCTAGGAGAGATCCGCGCATGGCCACGAGAGCGCCTTCGCCTCCACTGCTGCCACCGGCCGTCAGGTTGCGGCGGTTCGGGTTCAATACACGGCCGAAAACGTTGTTGTGCGAGTCGGCGGTCATCATGGTCTGCGGAACATTGGTCTTTACGTACAACACAGCTCCGGCCTTCAAGAGGATCTCTACCAAGGCTGAACTCTGGCTGACCGGGGGACGATCCAAGAAGGACACGTACCCCAGGGAAGTTGGGACGCCCTCAATGTTGAAGGTCTCCTTCAAACTGATCGGGACGCCATGCAGCGGGCCAATTGGCTTCCCCGTGGTCTGGAGATGCGCATCCAACTCTTGCGCTCTGATAAGCGCCTGTTGAAACATAGTCTCCGTCAGGCAGGACGTCACCTGCTGCGCGATAGCAGCGCGCTTGCAGAACGCCGTGGTCACCTCGACAGCACTGAGTTCTCCAGCGGCAAGCTTGTCTTTGAGAGCCGTCGCATCAGGGATCTCGGTAATCTTGAGCTCCTGGTCGCTGAGAATGCCACACTGTGCAGGAACGTCGAGAACATCGAGCTTGCCATTTTCCACCTGTTGGAGGATATCTGTGGAGAGACGCCATTCAGAGGGGATTTTGGCCCAGGCCTCAGCCTGTTTGGTGGCGACTTTTCCTTGCCATGTTAAGACAGTCATTGTGATGCACGAAGGATGAAAGAGTATCAGATTCCAAAATGCAGAAGCTTGAAGTGTAATTGTAAGTCTGAATCAAGAACGCTGGGCTGTTGTTCTTTATACACCGCGATATACATCATGTGGGGTCACAGTGAGGAGTCGCAGCCAATCGCGTGTTTTTGCGCCGTGACTGTAGCATCTTCGGCATCGACTCGCTCGAATCGGGCTAGCTCTCAAACATACCCGTACTTATCGGACCAATATAAAAGAGGCTTGCATTTCGCGCGCAAATGGAAAGAATGACAAGAAGGTTACAACCAAAGATCAGGTCCAAGCGGCCATCGAGAACTACATTGCCGATTTGGCACAGCCTCTACGTGCGCTTAACCAACAGGTGAGTGTTCACATTTGGCAAAGCTTTCTGATAATTTGCCAATACCTATAATAGATCTTTGAAACGCCCGAATTGGCATACAAGGAATCCAATGCCCATGAACGCATCTGCAACTTTCTTGAGTCGCTGGACATTCCTGTTACTCGGCACGCCTATGGCCTCTCTACCGCATTTGAAGCCACAGCCAAAGCTGGCAACGATAGTGGTCGATGCGTGAATTTTAACGCGGAATATGACGCCCTTCCCGATCTCGGACATGCTTGTGGGCACAACCTGATTGCTACAGCTAGCGTCACCGGGTTCGTGGCTCTGGCATATGTTATCGGTAAATTTGGTCTGCCCGGTCAAGCTCAGCTTCTAGGCACACCAGCCGAAGAAGATGGTGGCGGTAAAATTGATTTGATCCGAGCGGGGGCATATGGAAATGTGGATGCTTCTTTGATGGTGTAAGACCCCTAGCCCTCTGTGCGGGGTGTATGAATCCCAACTTAGAGGATAAACTAATTGACTTTTTAGGAACCCGATGGCCGAGGAAGAGTTTGCCAAAGACCAAGTTATTGGCATCGCAGGCCGATCTTCCATCTCCTGCTACGATATTATAGCAACATACCACGGCGTCAGCGCCCATGCGGCTGCTAATCCCTGGGAAGGGAGAAACGCCCTCGATGCTCTTGTCATGGCCTATAACGGTATCTCAATGCTCCGTCAACAGATCGGTCCAGATGAGCGGATTCACGGAGCAATCATTAAAGCGCCACAGTGACTAACGCCATCCCCGAACTTACTTGCACCAAGTACACCATCCGCAGCCGAACGATGAACGGGGCGCGAACCCTGGGAGAGCGTGTGAGAAAATGTCTAGAGGCAGGTGCCTTCGCCACTGGATGTACTGTGGAGGTAGAGGAAAGTCAGATCTATGCCGACTTAGTCGTGAACCCACCCCTGTGCGAAAGCTTCCAGGAGTGTATGAAGAATCTGGGAGAACCAATTCTGGCCCGCGATGAGCTTCTCATGACCGGCTCCACCGACCAAGGCAACGTGTCTCAGATCGTTCCTGCTCTCCACGGTCTCATTGGAATTCCGGTGCTTGATGGAGCCAAGTGCCATACGCGGCAGTTTACTGCGGCAGCTGGAACGGACCAGGCTCATCAGAGAATGATTACGGCTGGAAAGGCAATGGCGATGACTGGATGGCGGTTGCTGGTGGATGATGAATTTTACGGAATGGCCGCCTCGCATTTGCCGAAACGATGGACCGTAGATAGTTTTATACAGAGCGGAATCTAGTGCCGAATTCCCGCTTCCTGTCCCTACTACTAACTACAAAGATAATCTAGTTGAAACTCTAGCCAATCAACGAGAATTGCGCCCGCAATGGCGTGGTGGAGACTAGCCGAGACGTACTATCAATGTGGATCTTCCCCAGCGTTCTGGGATAGGACCCCAAAGTTAAAGTCTCTTTTGAGTTGAGAAACGATAAAGGGCTACTAGAGACGGAGATAGGAGGTGAGAAACATAAAGGTACTATCGCCGTGATCCCTCCCCCTATCATGCACTATTTTTTTTTTCTTGCGAAGAGAATTTAGCCAAAGTTGTACTTTTCACAACGACACTTACCACCAGTCCCGGCAAACCTGTCATGATTCCATTCAAGGATCTGAAATCAGCAGAGTCGCAGGAAGGCGTTATCGACCAGGACCTGGCAGAAGGCTCACACCAGGTGTGCCGAAAGGTGGATTGGATCCTGCTACCCTTGCTCGGCTTCTGCTACTTTCTGCAGTTCCTGGACAAACAGACGCTCAGCTATGCAGTCTTCTTGGGATGCTGCAAGACAATAATTTGCATGGGTCGCAATTCTCATGGACTGCTTCTATCTTTTACTTTGGATATATCTTCTGGTCGTATCCGACCATGTTCCTTTCCGTGCGCTTACCCATTGGCAAGTACCTAGGTGGTACAGTGTAAGCATATTTTAACCCGCTTGATGATCATGTTTATGAGCTCTCAACACTAACCGTAACTGTGTTCTTCGTTCATAATTGCCTGGGCTGCGGTCCTCATGTGCCATGCAGCCTGTGACAACTTCACCGGCCTGATGATCACTCGTTTCCTGCTCGGAGCCTTCGAGGCAGCTGTCGCTCCAGGATTCTCTCTGGTGACGGGTATGTGGTACACGAGGCGTGAGCAGCCCCTTCGCTACGGGATATGGTTTCTGGATAACGACATGGCCTCGATGTTGGGGGGCTTGCTCACCTACGCTATCGGACACAGTGATAGCGGACTCGCAGCTTGGCGATACTTGTTTCTTATCTTCGGTGCCATCACTGCGCTATGGGGGTGTGTCATGTTCTTCTTACTCCCAGACACACCATCCACTACCTTCTGGCTGAGCTCAAACGTGATGTCGCCGTCCATCGCCTCATTGCAGACGGTCAGGCGGGCTTCAAGGGTACCTTTCAAATGTCTCAGGTTATTGAAGCCCTGCGCGATCCGGCGACGTGGTTCTTGTCGCTGTACACATTTTGTGTCAACATTGAAAACGGAGGGCTCACTGGCATTTGGGTCACTAGTCATCCAAGGCTTCGGGTATAAAGGTCTCGATGCTCTATTGATTCAAATGCCGACAGGAGCCGCAGAGCTAGGATTTGTGATCCTGAGCTCTGCCCTTTGCTTGTGGCTTCCCAATATGCGCACCATCACAATGATAGTGCTCACTTTGATCAGCCTGACTGGTATGGCTCTTAAGTATGCACTCGATGCCAGTATCCAACCCGGTCGCATGGCAGGCTTCTGTCTCAGTCTAGCCTTTGCAGCCAATATGCCCCTCGGGCTGTCATTAGTCACCAGCAATGTTCGAGAATTTACCAAGCGGGCAGTGGTAAACGCTTGTGTCCTAGTGATGTACTGTGTGGGCAATATTGTCGGACCGCAATTTTCCAGCGTAGACGAGGCTCCGCGGTATAACAGAGGCATCACAGCTAGTCTGGCTGGGTTCGGACTGGGAGTATTTTGGTTAGTGTGTCTGCGTGTCTATTTACAGTGGCAAAACAGGATCCGGTCTCGAGAGGACGAGTCGAGTGTACCCCGAGAGATCCTTCTCATGGAGGATCCGACCGACTGGGAGATTCCTGGCTGTCAATATGTCTTGTGGTATACTTTCCTCATATATTGGCTTCTTTTTAAATCACTAATCTGGTGACTCATTCCCAGGGATGGGTTTGGTCTTCTTCTCTGTGAAGAATATGATTGGATCAGCGTGAAATCTCCGTGACTTGGAAGATGAGCACGGCATGTACAAGTTGCCTGGCGCTTTGGGCTCTTGGTTTTTAAATGTGGCTTCAAGTTGATTAAACCTCATCCGCGGTTATATTATTATGCCGTGAATATCAAAAGATACCTGGGATTGCAATAATTCGATGGAACTCACGGTCAATTGGCCATTCTAGGTCGGGGTGAGCAACCATTGCAAAAGCTGAGAGTAAGGTGGTTCTAATTTCATGTTCATGCCTCCATGCATTCTCAGAAGAATAATTTCTTTGACTTCATTATCATAAAGCTTGTCGATATCTGCTTTGCCACATAGCACGTTTGACCAGGCGGCACTTGGTCAACCAAATTGGGCCCCACGGTGATTGGTGACTGGCTGTCCTCACAGTCCAGTCCCGCCCACATTAATTAGGGTGGAAAGGTCAGAAATGAGGGCGAGCCTTATAAACCGACCTTACTCCCCTGCATTTTCTCCTCTTATTTTATTTCTTTGCATCTCACAAACCTACCATACCCTGAGTTTCCGTTCCCAGTATAACACCCGATGGCGTCCTTCGAAATGGATGTCGACGCTGAGCTGAAAGCCTTCTCTTTCACACAAAAGGCCCACCGCGATGTCTATCTTGCCATTGATCCCCGTCGTCCTGAGCTTTCCCAAGCTGGAAAGGTCATTATCGTCACCGGTGCTTCCCGTGGAATCGGCAAGCTAGTAAGCTTGACTACATATCAAGATACGGTGAAGTACTTGTCAGTTTGGCTAACAGCCTCCTAGGGCTTCGCGGCTTCATTCGCTCACGCAAATGCTTCTGCCATCGTGCTGATTGGGCGATCAGTTGATGACTTGGCCGAGACAGAGAAGCTTGTCAACAGGATCAATGCCAAAACGAAAGTTCTGTCAATCCCTCTCGATATCACCGATGCGACTGGTGTGACCAAAGCGTTTGAAGACATTGTTGCCCGATTTGGAGCTCCCCATGTCCTCATAAACAATGCTGGCTACATCAACCCTCTTGATACCATCATTGATGTCGACATTGGTTCATGGTGGAGAACCCAGGTTCGTTGATCGAAAAGGGGGACCAGTCATGATTCACCAACTAAAATTTATCAATCGCTGCAGGAAGTCAACGTTAAGGGAACCTTCCTCATGTCTCAAGCTTTCCTGAAAACCATTCGAGACACCCCCTCGACCTCTAGAACTATCGTCAATGTAGCCTCGATGGCTGCACAGGGATTCCCACCTGGCATGAGCTCCTACTCTCCTTCCAAGATAGCATTGTGCAAGTTCACAGCATATCTCACTCAGGAAAATCCCGAGATTACTGCTGTGAGTCTGGATCCAGGTCTTGTGCCGACGGATATGGGACATGGTGTGCCATACCTTGCCGGATACTTACATGATACTCCGGAACTGTCTGGAGGCGTTGCGGTGTGGCTGGCTACGGGTGACAAGAAGTTCTTAACCGGCCGATACGTTGCGGCAAACTGGAATGTAGAGGAGCTGGAGAGCAGAAAGGAGGAAATAAAGGATGGCGATCTCCTGATATTCGGGTTGAGGGGGAAGTTTGGTCTCCCTGGTGTCGTTGTCGAAGGACGGAAACAGAGATCACATTATCTGCAGAGCCCCAAAGGGAAATAATTACAGCGGAAGAATAGTCGTCAGAATCTTATTCAAGAAGCTAGATATCACACTGGTCTTCACAAGTATAATTCTATTGGTAGAGAGAGATTCTCCTCGTATCGAATCTCCGATAATATCATCCTTCTAGTACGGTATCCAAGTCTCACATGATGTCTGTCCACTTAATCGACATAGAAGTATCCTATTCAACGACATTAACACACTTTACAGTGGTAGTTCAAATTTTGAGTCTAGAGACCAGAGAAATCACCTAATAGATATGCTTCCACTTCCTGGTTTTTGAGAGGTCTTTCTAAAGGCCTTTTCAATCGTCCTTCTTGATAACTTATGTAGATTATCTTTGAGTCTATCATTCAACGTGTGACTGATAAGATGATTCTGAAACTTGGCCATAGCTTCAAACTTATGAAACCTCACTGCACAGGGTAGGACGAACGGGGACTAGATCGGCAGATTTGAGGAAGTGACCCCCGGACCCCCCACCAAAAGAAGTATGCTAAGATGAAGTAAACATCCATCGGCACTTCTCCTCCCCCACGCTCGGGTAAATAGTAAATGATCGGCGCACCGGCCAATAATCTGTAGATTATGTTGATCTATGCTGCATCTAGCCTGCTGAGCTGTCTTTGCCAGCCGCAAATCATCCTCTTTCGCAACCCCGACTCGCTCAAATATTACCTGTGGACTTTTCCCCCGCACGATTTTCCCCGGACTTCGGAGGGACGCCGACCTCGCATTTAGCCGGAATGATTGCATAGCTCGCTTCTTGTTCTCGCTTGCTATGGCTTTTACACTTAAGATGCATGGTCCCACTCTTGACTTCAAGGTTTCGTACTTCCTGAACAGGCCTGTTAATGCAACCGCGTCTAGTATGCTCCTTATCAGATTGAGGCTCTTTTTTACCAACTAACACTATTCTAATATGGCACTTGCGATGGAAAAGAAGAATCAGCCCTATTTTGGGCTGACTGGAGGATGGCTTACTTTCTGGGTCACAGTTCGCTCCTCTCGTTGACCTTATTCCGCAAAATTATATGCTAATCATTTTCTTCCATGAGTCTAGGTTGCTTGCGCAACTGATATGACTTTATTCGGTTACGATCAAGGCGTTTTCAGTGAATCACCCTCCAAGCTCCGACGAGAACGCTGCTTACTTGAACCAAGGTGGCGTTGTTATCACACAGAACTTCCTCGAACTCCATGATCTCGTCGGCCCAGCCAAGACCAAGACACTTTCCACTGTAACCGCCATCTACGATGTCGGTTGTTTCTTCGGGGCCATTCTCGCTTTTACAGTGGGTGAGCGCCTTGGACGGAAAAGAGCAATCATGGTGGGCACGACCATCATGGCTGTTGGTGCCATTCTTCAGGCGACGTCGTACAGTCTGCCGCAGATGTTCGTGGGTCGAATTATTGTGGGGTAAGTGCTCTTAACGATCATTATTCACGAAAGCTCAGGCTGATTCCTTGACATGTGTAGTATTGGAAATGGTGTCAATACAGCGACAGCTCCAGTTTGGCAGACAGGTACTATCTTTGCCCTGGTTCACGGTTTGAAGAGCAGCCCCGCTTATGATATTTCCAGAAACATCCCAGCTAAAATGGCGTGGCAAGCTGGTGATCCTCGACATGATGATGAATATCGCAGGCTATTGCATCGTCAATTGGATAAACTATGGACTTTCATTTGCTGGAGGCGCCGTTGCGTGGCGATTCCCGCTTGCATTTCAATTCTTCTTTTTCTTCATACTGTGGTCTACCGTACCTTGGCTTCCGGAATCTCCTCGGTTAGTATGTTGAATATCATCATCGTCTAGATCCCCAACTTATGTTCTACAGTTGGCTTCTAGCTCACGGAAAAGAAGATAAAGCTGTCGAGGTGATTAGCTGTCTAGAAGGCAAGTCCATCGATGATCCTTTTGTCATTGCCCAGCGCAACGAAATTGATTTTACCATTCGCTACGAGCATGAGAACTCGGTGCGGTGGCGCGACCTTCTAAAGAAAAGAGATCATCACACGAAAACCCTGCGACGGTTGCTTCTCGGTGCAGGCACCCAGTTCATGCAGCAGTTTGGCGGTATCAACATCATGTCCTACTATCTCCCGACAGTCCTGGAAAAGTCAGTCGGTCTTAAGGAGAGCATGGCACGTCTGCTCACGGCTTGTAATGCCATCTCATACTTGATCTTTTCCGGGCTCGCGGTGCTTTTAGTTGAGCGTATGGGTCGTCGTGGCTTGATGATTCTGTCGACATTTGGCCAGTTCTTGTGTTTCCTGATTATCACCATTCTGTTGCGGTTTGCGGAGACTTCGAGTAATGGCAAGGCCTGGGGATCTGCTTCGGTCGCTTTCTTCTTTTTGGTCAGTCTATGGCACGAGCTCGGCTCCCTCCATTCTGGTAAACATCACTGACGGAAAATTGTTCAAAGTTCCATGGGAGCTTTGGTATTGGAATGCTAGGTGTTCCCTGGCTATATCCGACCGAGATAAACTCCTTGCCTATGAGAACAAAGGGCGCCGCGGTAGCGACAGCGACCGACTGGTATAACTCCATTGCACAAAACGATTCTCACCCATCAGTGTTGACACGGAACCAAGGATCACAAACTTTGTCATTGTCGAGATCACGCCAATTGGTATACAAAGCCTTGGCTGGAAGTTCTGTGGGCGCTCCTATCTCTTAATCTATCTTTACCTTGAATGTGTACTGATGAAACCATCATGACAGGGATTGTATGGACGGTGACGAACGCTCTGTTCCTTCCAGTGCTATACTTCCTGTACCCAGAGACAGGTAACACAATGCCAAACATTGAATTAACTATGGTTGGCACTAACACTTTATCTAGCTAATCGGAGTCTCGAGGATATCGACGCATATTATCACTCTAATCCGTCCTTAATAGTGACAATCGACGCCGATGCCATTTGCAGAAAACGACCTCAAAAGTACATCGACCGCGAGGACGAGGAGCTTGAGAGAACTACTGCTAGCAAAGGAATTCGGTTGGTAGCAGCACAGCACGTGGAGGATAACGTGAAGTAAAGAACATGGGACGTAGGATCCGATTTGGTATCGCTTCGAGGCAAGATAATTAGGAAATTCATAGAGATCAAGCCATCGGGCTCCTCGCAACGTCCAAGTCAGATTACTCAATTTATTGAGATGTATAAATGAGGCCGGAGAAATTGAAACTTGGTGTCTGCTCTACAATATCAGTGCGCATCAATCCTTGCACTAAATACCTGTGAATTTACTCTAAATAGTATTTGGAATCATTCTTCCGCTCACTAAGCGGCCACTAGGAGGTAGCTTCGGGACAAACATTCGCCAATCCCAGAGAGACAGCCATTTCGTTAATCTATTATCCGTACCAATTCCCCCATGTCATTCTTCTGTCTCTCAAACTAAGCACAATCTTCGAAGGCAAAAAGCAAGAACAAAGACAGGCACCAATCACCGTCACTAGACCACTGATAGCCCCCAGTCCGAGACATATCGGGTCGTAGAGGTGGAGCCACGGATGACGCGGAAGGGAACGTTGATCTACCGTTTTACGGGGGCCTAGTTGCTAGTGTATTCTTGGAAGAGGGGTAGAGAGATCGGAAGAGAAAAGTGCTTGGTCAGTTATGAAAATGTTGTCGTAAGATAAGGTGACAAATGTACCTAATAGCACTGGTCATGATATCAAAGAGGTAAATCTGGACAATATATATTGCTCAAGTTGGTTTGAGATCCTGGCATCAATTCTGTGCCCACAGTATGGTTTTCAGAACAAAGGCTATGCAATCTATCTTAAGATGTCACTCCAGGCAATGCAATTGAGGAAATCCCGGGGAAACTACTCTCCTCCGAAAAAAGCGGGGTGTCTCAGGAAGTATTCGAAGGAGAAGATAACGTATTGTTCTGACTTCTTAGAGACTTGGTCGCTTGGAATGGGAGGCCTAAGAACCCACCATCCCGATGTCTAAACTGAATGGATACGATAGATAGATTTTTTGGTCTCATTCGACCCAGCAAATTGCAGGTCTATGCAATCCACGCATTCTCATCTCTATCCCCATTGCCACACCCAACCTCGGTAATACTCGGACACATATCAACGCCACTAAACGAACCCGACCCAAAGCTTGACCTAGCCGGCCATCCGTCCATGCATGTTTCACGATAAGTAAAACAAAGCTCGACCATAGCCACGAACTGCTGCACGAGTCCTTCTTTAAAAATATACCTATCTAGGCAACCATCAAAACACTGCAAGAGAATAAGCGATTGGAAGTCAACTCCTATTCTGAAACACGTCAGGTCGATGCAGGAACGGAAATTATAACACCAATTCTAAACCCAATCCCAGCCACATTGTTAATGTGGCTAACACCAGCACTAGCAGATGGTTTGGTTGCATGGTTGCGTCTTCCGTCTAGCTTTATTTTTAGATGCAGGTGTTGGCGTTTGCTGACGCACGTGGATCCACCTTGGTTGAACCTACTGGTTGGCTTGAAACTTTGGGGGCGCGCCTGGCGCGTTGGTGGCCGCATGTGGCGTTTCGAGGCGATTGGATCGAACGACCGTTTAACAGGAGGTGATCATTAACGTAAATACTCGAACTAGAGGCTGGTTGGACTTACAGATTAGAATGATGCGACTAGAAAACAATGCTGATGATCAAATATACTCGGCGAAGAGGTGACAATAAGAATCAAAAATAAATTTACCTCCAACGCCAAGCTATGCCGAAGTAAAATATCAGCGTCAATGTCAATGTCAATGTAAGACAGTTCCAGTTAGATGTAAATACAATAAACCTTTTCAAGTTCGCAGGATTAGATGGTAAATAAACCATTAAACGATGAGGCGTGCGCAACACAAATAGCACAAACAATATGTAAAACATGAAAACGAAAAAGACCCCCAACCCCAATTATATCATGGCATGATGTAAAACGCCGTTTCCCAAAAGGTGAAGAAAGAACCAATGCTCCGAAACACCCCTCCTTCCATGAGAAACCGATCGCATGCCCGCGCGGCATTCAGTCGATATGTATGATGATCCTCCTCGCTGTCTCTTGTATTATTCCGGTCTCTTCTTTTATGTTTCATTCAAATCGTCATCAAATCCCCAAATCGTGCGCACTTCTTAGATGAAACTCGTCTGACTACCAGTCGCATACTGCGTCGACGACCCAATCAAATTCGGCGACGAAATACTCGCCGACTTCGAACCGGTTGCAATCTTACTCCTCGTCGAGAAAATCGACAATCGCCGACTAAGCCTCCGACTCAAACCGCGTTGCGGCATGGAAACCGACAAGATAGACATCGGCCGCGAGCGCGGAGGCATAGGACCATCCGCAGTTTCCGGGCGCGGAGATGCGCCAAAGTTAGCGTCTAGTAGAATAGTGGAGCGACGCTTGATCTTGTTGGCTGTTGAGCGGGCGGGATCCAGGTTCAGCGAGAAGTCTTCCTTGATATCGTCGAGGGCGTGTGAGACGCGGCGGAATAGTTTGGGTTTTTCGTAGATGGATGGTTCGCGCTGTTCGTAGCCGTAGACTTGGAGCGGTGTTTCGAGACCGTCGTCTAGTGGTGAGGAGTAGAAGCGTGGATATTTGACGGGCATTGGGGTGCGGCGTGGATGTTGGGAGCCTAGAGAGAGGGTGGACATGGGCTGGTGGTTTTGATATGGGAGATGAGGGTCTGAGGAAGCGGCGGACGAGGAGTAGGTGCTGCTCGTGGCGGAGGATGATGTCAACATGGCTAGGAAGTGACTAGCCCGCCTTGTATATGTATAGGGAGTATGTAGGAAGGGATAAAGCTGCGGGGTGGTCTCTGTTTGAGGAAGCGCAGGGAGCAGGGGGAAGATCGAAGGAGGGAAAGTTCCAGGTCAAAAGAGAGGAGTAGAAAGAAAGAAAGAAAGAAAGAAAGAAAGAAAGAAAGAAAGAAAGAAAGAAAGAAAGAAAGAAAGAAAGAAAAAGACGCCATCGCAAAAGCTGAGCATCGCATTCCGAAAAAGACTAGCAACGAAAAAGTGGATCAAAGACATTCAGCGCTTTAGTTCCCAAGCTACAAGCGCCGGGCCCCGTGTAACACATAGATGACTGTAATCTCATGTTTCATATGCCCCTCCATGATGAAGCGGGTGACTGCGAATCCTTGTGGAGTATCAATGCATTCGCTTCATTTGAGAATCATGGTTCGACTGTTGTCTGTTTTGGAGGGAACAGGAACTGATGAGCTGGGTACGTTCGTTGACTGGTCGTCCACAAACGCAGATTCTGGTGATGCTGGGTTGGGATCGGTCCGAGTCCACTTTTTTTTCCCGTCCGAGCGAGAGATGCTCCGTATCAGATCATATCATCATTCCATACAGGCATACACCATTATTTCAGTGTCCATAGGATTGTCTTGGATCTGACACATCATGGTGGTCTTTGCTTTGTGTTCATCCGCCCATTCGGTGACGCGGCACTGGCCACCCCATCCTCTCTTTGTCTTTCTTCGTGGTGACTTTGACACCTGAAACAGCTCTACGCGGTTGACGACGTGGAAAAGCAGCGCAACCGGGGAACCGAGCTGTTGGACCCAAAAAGTTCTCTCATCGGAGGGGAATCGTAAAGAAGGAAAAAATAATGTAAAAGAACTGTGGATGTATCCACGGGTTCCCACCAGGATCTTCTGACGTGAGATTCTCATTGGACCGATTCCCGCTCAGGGGGCAGCCTCGCGCGATTAGAGAACCTTGGAAAAATCCGAACGAAGCCCGTTCAGCGCCAACGCAATTATTTGCTGCGGGTGAGGCGCAAGGGCTGCAGCCGACCGTGAAGAAAATGGATGACCAGTCAAGACTCTACTGTCATTTTGATGCTGGCCATGGAGAAATCGGTTGGCTGGTTTTCCTGTTCTTTTTTTACATACTTGGGTGAAGTTGGTGTTGGTTGGGGCCACGGGACTTGTGTGTCTCGGGTATGAGAAGCTGTTGATCCATTTTGACCCTGCGATTGTAACCCGGTGGAGATGCTCCAAGTGGACGGGCACGGGGGCCTGACAAACCACAGCCACGCATTGCGGCACACGAGGCCCATGGAGAGGGGTGTTGGATCAAAGGGAGACTGCCGCCCGGTAATCCCATTACACGGTGGATATGGAGGACTCGGTTCTCCCCCCCAGATCTGAGAAAGGGTGCAAAAGGGGTTTGGTGGCTGGCGAGAGGAACTGGCAGGGGTAGATGGGTATGCCCTCGATCAGAAGGGTTTGTCTGACAATGAACAGGATGAATCACCAGGAGAGGTACCCCAGAGCTGGGTCAGCGGAAGTAGGCGGATCACAATGGATCAATAGAATCAGCGACATGACATCGTGGGCTCATTTCTCGGAAAGTAGCTAGGCACAAAGATGCAAAGATATGTATGTACATGAACAATAGGCTAAACGATTGGAGAAAAACAGGTGGCGTGATCGACATTGCATCACATCACATCACAAAGCGGAGATTGACATCTGCCGCACGAGTCAGCTCGGGAGTTGCATTCAGTAGTACCGCAGATCAACTTACCAAGGGGATGGCTGCAGCTTAGCTGTGGCTTCTGGGTATATTTTCCATCGAGTTCCGCCCGAATGGTGTTGAGCAACTGCAGGTAACTCTGCTGGGGCCATTGTTGCAGCGATTTAATAAAGGCCCAGCTCAAGGCACCCCTGGCCTGGCCGTCCTGGAAGGTGTCCGCTCTGCGATGATTGTCGGTTAGTCCGGTCGAATCGGAGAGGGGAAATGAGATCAAGGGGGGAGGGGACGATGTGAGAAGAACAAAACATTTCCTCGGAAGTTATTTGTTTCTTTTCTTCTTCCTCCCCATCAAACGGGTTCACACTTACGATGTCTGAGTGTCCTTGGATCCGGAGAACATGACCACATCGGCCGGCGAGGTTTTGGTCTGGAGGGTCCGTTCCCGCGCCTGGCCTCCGTTTGCTGCTTTCTTGAAGAACCCAATGGCAGTGCTTGCCATACTGGATAGATCTCCTTGTCCATACGCAGTGAATACCGTGAACAAGTCTTGCGCGGCCTCCTTCGCCAGGTTGGGTTCCTTCAAGATGCCTTGGGTCGAGTATACGTATGGCAGATCCAGGGCCGTGCCGGAGTGGCAGGAGTCGAAGATGGCCGTCAGTCGTACACCGGGTCGCAGAGGCCGCACCATGATAGCGTGCATGTCGTCGTCGACAATATGTCCAGCAGATTGATAGTCCACCGGGTAGATCACATCGTCGAACCCGTCATCCTCATCACCATCGAGATCGGGGGTACGACCACCATGGCCGGAGAAGTGGATGAAGAGGGAGTCATGAGGTTGGGCATCCTTGACCAACCAGTGCATGGCGCGAAGGATATTGTTCTTGGTCGGAATACTCATGGGGTTGCGCTGGTCGTCAGTAAGAATGACCATATCTTCGCGCCGATACCCAAAGCGCTCGTGCAAGAAGATGGACATATTAGTGACATCATTGATACATCCATTCAACTTATTAGCCTGGCCAAAATAGTTGATGCCAATGAGCAGGGCTTTCCGCCGTCCGGTACAAGCCGAGTACTGGAACTGGTAACTAGATGGTGCACCATGGCCGAACTGCTGAAGGTTCTGTGGAGGCCTGGGTGGCAGATTCGGAGAATTGGAGCGTGGTCCTATCGTGTCATGGTTAGTGTTTGGGATACAACGAGGGCGTGAGAGGTGGTGCTGAGAAAGATGGTGGTTTACCTGTACCCTGACTGCTCACACTCAAGTTCAGGCGATGTCCCGGCTGGGGAGATGGCGTATGGTGCTGGCCATAGGGCGGCTGCGGAGACGGTGCGTGTCCATAAGGAGGCTGTGGTGAAGGAGTGTGGCCATAGGGTGATGCTCCCGGATAAGCTCCTGGCGGGGGACCCGAATAGGATGGACGCTGGCGATGTTGTCGGTAGTTGGGCTGCGGCGGCCGCGGTGGCTGCTGGTGATAGGGCTGAGGCGGGGGGTGCGGGGATTGCGGCCATTGGGGAGGAGGTTGTTGATACCCCCATGGAGGAGGAGGCCCCGGCGGAGGCCCCGGCGGAGGTGGTCCAGGAGGAGGGTAATACATGGTAAGAAAGCAGCTGTCCTGGAAGAATTGGCGATTGTGATTCTTATTCTGCCAGGGCAAACAAAGATGGACGTGATGACGGACACGGGATTTTTTTTTTCAGGCCAGACAGGTATTGAGGCGGGCTGGCTGACTGGTGGGTCTCGTAGATCCTCACAGGCTCACAGACGGGAGAAAGTTCCGTAGTGAGTCCGAGCGAGCTGAATCTATAATTGCAGAGGAAGAAGAACGGAAGACAAAAACAGAGGATGGAAGCTCAGGTACGCAAGAGCGACCGTTGTGCCCTATGGAGGTCAACCATCTCCGATTCGCAGTCCATCATCATGCCGTTTAACCCGTCCATGGAACCAGGCCGACTTGCCGGAACTCCACCTTTTTGGTCCCGTAGGGCTGCAGGGCCGCAGGCAACATCATTCGAGGGAGACTCGGCAGATTTGATAGTTTTGCTGGGTTTGGTTAGTTTAGTTGATTTGTGTTGTTTGACAATGGACAGACAGTACTCAGCCTCGTAGTCTCATGTGTCAGGTGACTTGGACTGGATTACTGCTGACGTGATCACATTCGTACCTCTTTCTTACCTGAGAATAGACGCATTTCCCAGTCTTCGATGAGGTAAACCCTGCGAGGCCATGCGATGTCATGCCCCATTCGGTGACTCGGGACACGTACTCAGCCCAGAATTGGCAGGGTGTACCAAGATGGATCTTGTACTACTTCTTACTGTGTGACCGCTCATGCCCAGCTGCTAGAAAGTGGCAAAAGTGCGGGGAATGGCGCAGCTCCTTGGCAAATCCCAGTCCCCGTTCCTAGTGCGCAGTACCACCAGCTTGGTGAAACAGGACACTGAAACTCTGATCCCGACCCTCTGACCTGTGAGACTCGCAAACTCTGGAATCAACCATCAGGTGAATCGTCAATATGCTGCAACACCATCACACGAGTCCGGCTTCGGAGGGGTCCCATCATCCATGGCCGGTTCGACAGGGGCCTCTGCATGGGCGATCCATGCGGGTCCCGGTCGCGAATCGCGAGTCTATATGTCCGAGTGGGAACGAGGATTGAGGGGATTATTTCAAGGTCTGTATCGATCGCATCAGTCACAGTGAGACAAGATGAGGCTCTTGGGGTCACCTGGAGTCATGATTTGCGAAGATGCGGAGATGTAGTATCCTGCAATACGATGACGGTGGGACCCAATTGGGGGCTTGCGGGAGGAGAAGTGAGCTAACGGGACTCCGTCACCACACCGCGATTGGGGGGGGGGGGATGCGGCTCTGCTTAACAGTCTGAACAATCTAGAGAGGATTGACCACTTTTGATCGGATGGGATTGGATGGAAGAAACAGGCAGTATCAGCCGCCTGCCCGCCAATAGCAGAATTCTCTACGCATGCAAAGGGCGTGAAGGGGGAAAATTCCAGCAGATGTGAGGCTTAAAATGAATGAATTTGGGATTATTTGGGCGGCTAAGGCCCCTCTTAGTACTACCTAGTCCCGAGTCTAAAGTCCAATTAGTCTATGAGTGATCCTATCATCCCTGGATCCTTCGTCAGCCTATCGCCCCCTCGGTATGATAGTAATACTATCGCTGGGTCCATCGTGAAGCTTGGAGCCTCACCTCCTCAACTTTTTTTATCGGGCCCATTGCGGCTCCTCATGTTCCTCTTTTCCTCACCCTTTTCATCTTCATCCCCTTCTTCTTCACTCTCCTCCTCCTTACATCTACATTCTCGACCTAACCACCTTCTTTCTATTATCCATTGGGATAATCTCGCGTATTCCCTTTCCCTGCCCTCTTCATCTGGCAGTCGTTATTTCAATTTCATAATATTTACTTAATTCAGCATGGTCTCCTCCTGTTAACCCTCACCATCTTCTCCTCTTTCAATTCATTCCTCCTGAATTACCCCCAGGCCGACTGTGGGGTCCTGCTGGGCTTCATCATCCCCAACAATGGCATCAGCCTCATGTCCTCCTTCAACGCTCGACTCCCTCCCATTCGATGTCTTTTATCAGATCGCCACGTTGCTGGACGACCGCGACTGCATTCATCTGAGCCGCACCAACCGCGCCATCCATGAATTAATGCAAAGTGACCTGATTGCCCGCAAAACTGTCGAGGTAAGAGCCGCATACTTTTGGCACCGAATCCTGCCCCCAATGAGATGAAGAGATCGAACACGAAAGCCAAAACCCACTCTCCAGGGTCCGCCCCCTCTTTTTTGCCTTTTGGGGCCAACACCCCAAGCCAAGCCCTAAACCCAAGTGCTTCCTCTCGCAGAATGTCCCCCCCCCCCTCTTTTCTCTTTGTCTGATAGACCGGGAATACCCACCGGTACTGCGCGGATGCTGACAGCCCACTTCTGCAGAGTGTCCTTGCCCACAGCAAGGAGGGCCGCGCCGCTGTGGCGGCCCAGTCCGGCTACCGCAAGGCTGTCGGGCACCGCTTCGATATCCATGAAGCGATCGCCACGGCATCCCCATATGCAGCCGCGATGCTGGCATATGCGGTTGACTTTGTGTACCACCAAGGCATTCTCTGCTATCGCGTTGGGCATGAAATGCGTTTGCTCAATGTGCATCGTGGGGCTTGCCAGGAGCAGGTACTAAATCTATACGAGGTCATTCCTCGGCTGGACACTGGCTTGCAGGAGTCACTTGTTCCCGACCCCGCGGACAGGGTTCAACTTCTCCATTACAGTAATGGAATTGTCGTGTTCCGGCTCGAGGGTATCGATGGCCAAGTTGACAAGGTGGTTGCCATTGACATGGCTCCCCAGCAGACTCGCCGTAAGCGATTACTCCTGCAAAGGCCTATTCCATCAGATGTCCCAGTAATTGTGCGACACAGTCGCTCATATCTGTGGTATGCCATCTTTATGGAGACGCTCGGTTCTCAGGGAACCTGGCTATGTTGCGGAGTAGATCTGGCCACCGGTGAAACGATCCAGTTTCATCTAGATCATGCCGCAGGCGGGGAACTTGGCCAGACTCTCTGCTTCGATATTCACCAGGACCATTTCTATGCAATTTCCACACAAGTCAGCTCGGAGGAAGATGAGCGATTTTCTTCATTCTACCACTGGGCTTGTTATGCGCCCCGGCAAAAGGCCCGGAAATGGAGTGGCCGTCTCTGGCGTCGCGAGCATCGCGAAGGACCTATCAACGAAATGTGGACGGATCTTTCTATCCGTAAAGACGAAACCACCGGGCGCCCAATGATTATTGAAAGTCGTCGGGAATGGCCCGAAGGGAAAAGTGAAAATCACCGAACAACTTATATTGAACCCCTATCCACACCTGCAGAATTACAAGCCGAACACCCCGAAGGGGACATCAAAACCCCCGACTTGGAGTGACGACTCTGAGGACGAAGATTCCGGACCAAGCAAAGACCCGGTCATCGGTCAGACATACGATCATCGCCCTGAGAAACGTCTTCGACGAAACTACCACCCCGAACACGAACTCGGTGACGATCCAAACGAGCGGCAGGAATTCATTCACGCATACACTAAACATCACTCCTACGACCTCGCCAGCTCCACATTCGTCGACCTAGTCAACGATCCCACTCCCCATTCAGACGGTGTCCGCGTACGAGATCGTCTCCGCCTCCGAACAGTCTCGCGCAAGCGGAAATGCCCCATCGACGAAGAGGGCATCGCCGGCGAAGACGGTCTTCTCTTCCTACCCACTCAAATCGATACCAACGGCCTCCCCGTTAAAAATTCAGAGGAACGATTCGTCTCCCGTGGCGTGCACATGTGGCCATCAGAAGACGCCCCGGCTGAACTACACCACCTCCTCTGTCCAGACAAGCGCTCCGGCACAGTGAACACCATCGCAGACGAACGATCCCTCATATACTCCATCTCTTGTCCAGGCTTACCAGCCGGTCACAAAGCACTTATCCTTATCAGTTTCGATCCCACGCTTCACATTCCCACACTCACGCCGCTGCGCTCATTGCAGACTCCGGGTTCGTTGGGAAATGCCTTCCCGGTGGCTGTGCCTACGCCAAAGGCTTCTAGTGGAGGTCTGATCAGACAGTCTGATCCGCTTTATCAAGCTATTAACCGGGGGTATTGGCTGCGATGATGGGATTGGATGGGACGGGATGAGCTACTGATACTGGTCCTGGGTTATCACTGGAATAGGTGATACACCATAAACATATACCTTTAACAAAAATGAACATCAAAATTTTAACTTAATTCATTCTTAATCAATAGCCGTAGCTTCCTTTCTGGTAACTTCTGAAACTAGTCCAAGTTAACGCACAAAGAAATGTACGATGCACTTCATCATGTCAAGATAAGAGGCATCTGGTCTCTACATTTCCACTAGCGTGAGACTCTCTAAGAACAACAAGATTGACAAAAGTCTCTCAGGCCTTACCCAACTTTCTCTTGCCGCTACTAAACTTTCTCTTGCCGCAATACATCTCATCCCACATGAGCAAATTCGTCTCAAAATAGTACGTCCGTCTGAAAAAGATCAATTAAAATTCGTACAGTGTCAGTGATAGGCTTTTTCATTAGATTGGTATCAATCAAGGTCGAGGCTGCTCGCATGGCATGCCATGCCCTTTTTGGGATGACACCGAGGAGAATTTAAATCAAGTTCTTTGCATAAAACATGCTATACTTTTGCAGTAGGTTCCATTAGTGTGAACCCCTGGCATAATTTCGGAATCATCGTATCAGTCACGAACAAACAGACATTCAAACAGAAATTCAAACAGACATTCAAAAAGATCTTTTGAAAAACAGAAAGTGGAAGCGTATTAGGGGGTACACCGTGTCGTATGGGAAGACAAATCGTCGTGCGAGAAGCCATAACTTGTTTGAACGCCTCAGTGGGGCCGAGCCCGGCGTTGTTGACCATGATGATGGGAAACTTCCTTTGGCAGAGCTAACTAGTGAAACAAAACAAATCTCCGCGAAAGCGGTCCATAACGTGATATGACACCTAGTGGTCGGTGCCCTTGAAACCCCATAATCATATTGCGAATGCCTCATCGTTCCATCGCGCCATCCTCGTATCAGATTGCGTCTCCATGTAGTCGTATCTCGAGTTCAGGACGTTTCATTGAATGTGGGAGGAACTCAAGGGTCTCAGGAATCGCCCTTGTCCTTCTTCTCGTGATCCGCTCGTCGCTTCTGTCCATTTTTCTCTGCGAATGCCTTGACCCGTTCCATATGTCTTTCCTGTTCAGAATCGTCGGAAACGTCACCGAGGTCACTTGGGGACAGTCCGGGTTTGGCGCGCAACTCATTGAGTTCCGTTCGGAGCTGTACCAGCGATGTTGCTCACGCCACGCGGTTCATGGCGTGAGCAACCTCGCTGGTACAGCTCAATTTCTTGGTACTGTCTTTCAGGCGGATGCTGCTGCTGGATTTAGTGTCAAATTCCTTGGATCCCCCTTTTCCCTTGAGCGCGGTTTGGCGCTTACTGTAAAGGGTTTTAAGGAAATATAAAGCGTTTAGGGCATCATACGGATCCATAGTAAGGTCCTCTGAGGGCCTGAGTAGCAGGGAATATTGCTGGGACATCGTTGATCAACTTGTAGGCGTACCACAAGGTGACCACGTTTGGGAAACCGTGCTTGTGAATCTCGTCCAAGTCTCCAAATACAGGAGGCTGAGCTGAAGAGAGGGCCTTCTGGAGGTGGTCCTTACCAAGCAGCTGAAGGAAAGTCTTGGTGGTGGTGAAGTAGGGGACCAAAGGGCCTATGAAAGCTTATGAGCTTCCTAGACTGGTATGTCGACCATTTCCCTAATATGCGACCCGAAGGCCAGTATCGGAAGAGCTACTCATACCCATAGGGATGTTTATCGTATAGTTCTAGGTCGGGACGATCGGCGAAGTTAACGTCTAGAATATTACGGTAGACTATCTACAGAATTGGTGTCTTGACCTCCCAGTGAAAAGGTAGTAGTGGAGAAGAGAAGAAAGTGGAGGCTGTGGTAGAGATACCGCAAGAGCTTAATTTAATCGTAACATAATAAAAGCTAGGTCCGACATGAATTGATTGCAACCCCACTGAAAGTCTAAAGCACCTAATTATCCTGGTGACAACCCCAGTCCCAGCTATAATGTAACCACAGAAATCAAGCCTTATGCCATTCCCACCCCCCGCCGTCATCGTGCATGCGCTAAGCACCTGACCACAGTCCAAGCTCAAAGGTTAAATTTCCAACGCCACGTTTAATCTTAAATTGCTCTGATCTACAATGGACTTTTGTCATGGGCGTTTGGGGCTGGGCACGGACGGTGCAGATTGTTTCTCACACGCATGTCAATTCCGGTTTCGATGGTTTAATTTCCGAGCCGTGTGGAGGGCGAGGTCAGTTACAGACATAGGCTACTAGAAGGGAGAGAAATGGAGGAAGTCAGTAATAAGTGAGTGTATCGTCTAGTCATTTATGTAGTATATTATCTTCTGCGTGTTGTTGTAGTCGTGATACCCGCCTCACCACTCACAATCCACCATCCATCATCCACTTTCCAATATAATCAGTAGATGCGGATTGTTGATTATCCAGTCCGGACGCAGTATCCGATCCAAATGTGCAGGTATATCAAACGTTAACAAAAATCCGTAAAACGCCGTAGCCTATCAATAATCAAGAATAGGCCACCATCAAAAATATCATATAGACCCCGGGGGGAATCACAAGTCAGGTTCGCAAGTTCAAGGTCACAAATCGTGTCGGCGTCAAGCAGAGCGTGGTCGGTGCGAGAGGCAGGGCAGGGGGCAGGGCGGGGAGAGGGCGTTTTCTGTACAAAGGGGGGAATAGTTTGCCCGGTCCGTGTTGCGCGCCCAAACATAAGAGCAAAATAAGATGAAAAATGGAGATCGGAATAAAAAGCGCTGCTTCTGCGGCGCTTACTCCTTCACGTAGAGATTTGCCAGCGAGTCGATTATAGCGTCCCGCTTGACGGGGTGCTCGTCCTTGAAGACATCCATGAGATGGACGTTGCGCTTCAACGCGGATGATACCGCACTGCTATCGGATGAGTTGAGACTGGCCTTTGCCTCGTCCACGGCCGAGGTGAGATTCAGGCTGGAGATGAGGGAGGTAAAGTTGCCGCTGCCGCTGCCGCTGCTACCGTCGGGGTGCAGCAGGGTGTGCAGGGTGTTCTTGAGGATGGAGACCAGGCCCACGTTTGCCTTGAGGGTGAGCTCGTGCATAACCTTGGTATAGTAGGGGACTTCGGTGCCGTTCCAGACTACAGACCGCGTGATGGTGTCGAGAGCTAAGTTTCCGGTCTTGAGAGCGGAGGCTTGCGATTTGAGGACCTCGCCGAGGTGGCCGATGATCTTCTTCAGGTCCAATACGCCGTTGATGGGGTTGGTGTTATTGCCGGGCTTTAGGGTGAGGCCTTCCAAGGTGGCGTTGCCAATGAGGAGGCTGCCGCTGTAGATGTCGAGGATGATGGTGCCGATCTCGATGGTCAAGACGGAGGGGTTGGGGAGCGTGGCATTGCCGATGAGGTTGGTGCCGTCCGAGAGGGGGCTTAGGAGAAGAGTGCCGTCGGAGATGCTGAAACCGGCGAAAGAGTTGAGTGCTGTTTGCAGGGTTAGCAAGATCAATGTTTTCAAAATGGTCAGCCTTCTATTGAAAGGTAGGTTCACGTACTCGGCGACACCACGTCCTTATCCATAGTCACACGCGACTTGAGCTTTCCAAGGAAGGAATTGGTCGAGCCATGGAGTGACAGCGCGGACTCCTTCTTGAACACGACATCATGCACGTAATTGGTCCAGACGGTCACGTTGGACAACGGGGTATGCTTATCGGTAACTCCGAGGGTGGTGTTGCCCTTGATAGTCTTGCCGTCAATGGTGATATTGCCCCAGGGGTTATCGGAGCCAGTGTCGCGGTTGAACAGGTTCAGCACGATTGGTTCAATGCGCACAGGCAGGGCGATCTTCAAGTCCAATGCGGATACCAACGTCAGCTGGATGGAATCGGGACGAGGCTGCATGACGGCCGCGTTGACCAATACTAGGTCGGACTTGTTGACGACCAATTGAGAAATGGCGGGAATAATGACGAGGAAGCTAGAGGTAGGAGATTAGTAAATCGCGTAATTAAAGGTATACTGTGGTTGGATTTTGCGAAGAGCGCAAAGATCCAAAATTGGAGATCCAGGGTCTTCTACTCTACTCCGTCCGGGCGAGACGCGACTTACAAGATGGGTAGCAAGATGGCCAAGAAGATAATATTGCCGACCAAGTAACAGCACCAGAATCGCTTCCAATGGCGCGCCATCTTCTGTTTGCGCGTCCGGTGGGTGGTCGCCAGCGAGACACCACCGACAGACTCGACCTGTTCGAGCTTGGAGGTGTCATCGTGGCCGGTGGGCAGGGGGCCACGATGCACACCGAGGGAGTATTTGGCATTGTCGGAGCTCAGGTAGGCCGGCCGGTCGTCGAGGTCTTTCTTGCCCATGATGGCGATTGGGGGAGGAGGAGAGGAAAGGGAGGGGGGGGGGGAGAAGAGAGGGGAGAAAGGGAGGAGACGCGACGAGGCGAGGGAGACGGGAATTATGATGGCAATCGTCTGGAGTATATGTATGGAGTATGGAGTATGGGAGACAGACTATTTAGTGGATTTTCTTGTCCCATTTTAGCGAATTTAGTATTTAAGATGATTTATTTAGTTCAAAATTTGGGGAATGTGTACTCCGTACTCACTACTCCGTACAGACACTGGGGTATCGGGCCTCCGGGGAAGAAGCAGCGCCCGTGGTTCGACTATCACCAGAAAGGGAGACAATCCTCCGTGAAATCTTCTTGAGAGGCAAAAAAATCAGAAGCGAAATCTCCACTTCTGCCCCAGATTGGGTCCATAGACTGACCCAGCACGAGACCTGGAGTAAAGACTGTTAGGATGGAGTGTATCCCAGTTTTCCCACAGGATGGCAAGCGGGGAGAACCCCATGAACCAGACTGAACAAGAGAGCCAGGGCCCAAGTGGATCAGGGCAAGCTTGTGAGGCTTCGGAGCACTATTCCTCATTTGGGATAAGATCCACGACGAACTGGTCCAAATCTGGTAAGGATGGGCATTGGCCAAATGGCGATCTACTGCGAACCGCGGCTGATGGGGAGTTCTGGGCTAAGCGTGCTGTACGAAAGAAGGTGCAAATCAAAAAGGGGGTGGGTCAACTTACCCTTAAGCACATTCACATGGGCCGAGCTGATTGTCCTAGCGGAATGACCGATGACCGATGACCGATGACCTCTTATTCTCCATACGTAGACTGCAGTCCTATCGTATCCGAATTAACATTATCGTCTGTGGTATTATTCGCCACAAATGGAGAGTATGGAGTCATGCACCCGGTTGCTTTTGCTCGGACGGGATTTCTTGGTCTTTCTTAGTCTGGGGTTTTCGGTTGCGGGGACTGGGGGAGACCAAAGAAGAAGGAATTTAATGGCGAGCCGACAATTCTCAATTCTCAATTCTCATATGCTCCGAATAATAATTTATTGAGGTGGACGCCAAAATTCTTGTTCTTAGTTTAGGGCCTTAGTTTCCCCAGACTCTTGCTATCTCCATCTATATCCACCACCCCCCTTAATCCTGGATAACTATTTACTCTCTTCTCTGACAACACTCTCTCCTCTGTAATATAATCACCACTCTTGATCATCATGTCCTCCTCCCCTCCTTCCCCCATCGACGAAAAACAATTCGAAGCCAACGGCACCACCACCACCCACTCCAATGGCGCCTCCGCGTCCACCAACGACTCTGGTCGCCTCCACGCCCTCGAACAACTCGAGATCCTCCCTCAAATCCTAAACGAGGGCATCCTCTTCGCTGGCTCGGGTGCCGCCCTCCTCCTCCAAGCTGCTCTGCCCGCTATCCGCGACACCGAACACCCAACTGGCGGCCACAAAGCCCTAGCCACCGAGCTCATCGACGCCCTCCAGGCCCACATCAGCTACATCTCCACGCTGGTCTTTGGCACCCGCGCCGAGCGCAAGACTCTCCTCGACCTGCTGAACCGCGGCGAGGCCCCCGGTCTAGGCGGTGGTCGCAACAACCGCTTCGCGCATCACCCAGAACTGCAGCTATGGATGGCGGCGACGCTCTACGCGACCGCGACAGACTTTTACCAGCGCGTCTACGGCCGCGTCGATTATCAGACGGCCCAGCGCGGATATTCCGAGTTCACCCTGTTGATTAGCTATCTGGGCGTGCCGGCGGGGACATGGCCCGAGTCCCGCCAGGCATTCTGGTCCTATTGGGATGACCAGGTGTCCAAGTTGGCTGTGTCGACTGATGCGGCGCAGTTTGCCAAGGATCTGCGGGAGAGTACTGAGATGCCCGGCTGGGTGCAGAAGTTGAAACCCTTCCTGCGGGCGGTTACGATTGAAATGTTGCCGCCGAACCTGCGGGATGCGTATGGCTTGCGCTCGACGGGGAGTACCCGGTTCTTGTATCGGACTTGGATGGGTTTTTCGACGGCCGTGTATCCGGCTATGCCGAATAAGGTGCGCTCGTATCCGTTGAAGTATTATCAGGAGCGGCTGCGGGAGAAGTTGAATGTTGTTTAGTGGGGGAAAAGAACGGAGTAATGCAATGCAATGCACAGGGACAGGCACAGGCACACGAGAGATTGGCAGGACAGTATGATGATGGATGGTTGATTCGGTTTTCTTTTTTTTCTTTGTGATTATTTGCTTTCATCTTGTTTTGTTTTTTTTATATTTGCTTTTCATGTGTATATACCCATTCTATGAGATACGCTCGCTGCTGTGCTTGATGAGGGCGTCCCCGCATACCCGAGATGACTGTACAGAGTTGAAAGTTTGAAAGTTTACAATAATTCGAGTCTCGTTCGATTTCGTATGCTATCGTCAAATCATATTCTTTCTGAAAGTTATAAACATGTAACAAAACAAGAACAAGAATGGTGTAAATGAATAATCATGGCCTCGTTTCCTTTTCCATTGCTTGGCATTGGCATTGCCAACATCTTCTTATAGTGAGCCCAGCACACCACCCAGCAACTTGGAAATATCCTCCACCAGCTGTAAAAAGGGGAATTGTTAGTCTCTACACTCTCCATCTATTGTGAAGTGCAAACATACCGGCGTAGCATCCCCAATTAAAGTAGTCGTATTCCCCACGAACTCCTTCGTCAACAAGGTATGCGCATTACCCAGGATATCCTGCAGGACAACGATATTATCCGAGGAAAGCAGCTTGGCCGCTCCATCAATGATGGTCTCCAGCTTGGTGATGGTATCCTGGCTGAGCAGGGACTGGGCGCCGGCGAGAATCGTCGGCAGCTCTGATAGCAGGCCGGTGCCCTCGGGGGCGGGGGCGGCGACGGGGTTGGGGGCTGGTCTGGGTTCGGGAGCGGCCAGGGCCAGAGGGACCATGGCGAGGGGGAGGAGGAATTGGGTGAAACGCATTGTGAGGGTTTGGTTGTGTGGATGAGTATGGAGAGGGAGGTTTAGTTAGAGGGGAGAGAGAAGAAATGATCGTCAAATTGAAGGAACCGAAAAAGAAGCGGTTTTAATCACGATATATGTGTAGATAAACGTAAGATAGGCGTGCTCAACCTCGTACTGTAGTCAACAGCCTAAACCCACTTAGTTTCTACTGACCAGTCTTATAAGTGAGACCCTCATCCGGTAACTCGGTAGCTTCCTTCCATCTAGACCGAAGTCTTGGTTTCGATGGAGAGTGTGAGACCCTGTAGCCTGTAACTGGGGCTCCGCTCATTGCCTTTCTCCTCTTCTCCTCATTCTGTCTCCTCTTTTTTTTCCCTTGTCCGGGCACCTACAGTATCTCGACGGTATCATTCCTTGCTTTCTAGCCAGGATAGTACAACGTTAACAGATCCGAAAAAGTGGACACTACAAAAAATTCCCCGAGGCTAAAAGTCTGACCCGTCAACCCGTTAGCCAATGTGTGTCCAGTAGTTCATCACAAGCAGTCGGACAGGGTTGGCATGGATCTCTTTCTGTCTGTGTCAGTCTCTCCACGGTCGAGAAAATCGGGACCTGCCACGCCGAGGTCGATCGCTCCGGGACGAGAATCATGGAACCATCAGAATTCCAACATGTGAGAGGAGGACCGCGAGTCACAGTCACAGTCACGGTCCATAACGGCGAAGTGAAATAATCGTGGAGCGTGAGATTTGATACACTCTGATAGGTTGGACCAACTGGAAAGGCTGGAAATTCGGTTACGATCCCCGCATCCTCCATTATTATTGCCCAGTGCCCACTTCTCCCCCGGATAGCCCCAACTCGGTAAGTGATCAACCTCCGGGCGATCGGACCCCTCCGAGGGGAAAGAGAACCTCGTGCAAGGACCTTACTCATGGGCAGAGTGGCTTGCTCAAAGGAAGGCACTAACAACTCCCACTAGACGTGGAAAGAGTCTAGTTCACAGCCAAGTTTCCAGTCGGTTCGCCGAACGGAGTAGTTAGTGCCCGCCCCGGCCCAGGTGTTATGTGGACCGAGTTAATTGAGCATTCGAGCATTGAGGCTGGTGATTGGATACAACTGCGGACTGGACCTGTCACATTGCAGGTTCTCTCTGCTTTGAGAGAGACTTGCTGGTCGGAAGAAGACTTCTTTTTTCATGTGATCTCCACTGATGACCGCGACCGTGGAGTAAATACGGAGTATTGTAGTAGTAGTGCTGCATTTCGGAGCTCGAGTTGACTTGAGTAGCGATCGGCGGCTCCCGATGTCGTACAGCGGAGACTGGAAGCGACCTGGTGGAGGATATGGAAGGTTATCCATTCCGTATTCTTTGCTATACCTCTATTTCATACTAAACTATGGTATTCCATTCCATCCAAGACAATGTGGTCCACCATGGAAGATCATTAATCTATTTCATGGCGACGAAACCACAAATCCTGCAACTTCATATACTCGGGCAAAGCATATGAAAACAACGTATGAACCGAGAAGCTCGAACCCTCGTGAAAATGTGGGCAGGCTTAGGCTCAAAAAAACGCCACGGTTCGCCGAGTGAGGAGCCATGGGAACGACGCCACCACCCCGAAAAGCAGGAACCGAGAATTGGAAACTGGGACCTTTTGGAGACCGGAAATGGAATGTTAGGCGGGGTAAGAAGCATGCACGGAATAGATAGCCTTATCTATGTAAATGTACTCTATGAGCATGGCCTCGTTTATTGGATCTTCATCATTGGGTTGAAATGGCAGCATTGCGACTATTATCAGTGTCATGCACTCTCATCACATTCACAGAGTAGAGTGCTTTTTTAGACTATCCAATGCAAGATTATAAACTAGTAGTATACAGTAGGAACAACCAATTATGTTCCACTCATAACTACGGTTATCCAACCACAGATTCTAGATCATGCCAGGCCCTGCGGCTCTATCGGTTAAAATTGAAGCCATCAACGACTGCATTTACTACTGCTGTACTACTGTAATCATAATTGCATTTCCTAAAATTCGTATATCCCATAATCATTTCTCAATTTTTCATCCACCCCACTCTGTACACTATACTTCCCACCCCGTAGCAAAACCCAAGACAAGCCCCGACAAGCTCTTCCCCATTCCCTATCCACTTTACAACACCAATGCCAATCCAAGTACCCCCAAAGCCCCAATAACCGACGCAGTCAACCCCGTAGGCTGCGCCGCCACTGCCAACCCCTTCGACGTTGATGTCGCTCCAGCACTACCCCCAGTACTCCCTCCCGTACCAGTCCCAGTACCAGTAGCACTGCTACCAGTCTTAGTAGTAGTACTCTCATAAGCCAAACCCGTCGTAGCAGTCAACGCACCCCCCGAAATCTGCGACTTCACAACAGACATGTAACTCTTCACGTCCGCGGGGAGACTGCTATACCAAGCCGGGGTGCTACCGGCGCTGAATGCGCTTGCCAGTGAACTGCGGGATTGCGGGTTGATTAATTCCCAGAGGACTGTTACGGGGACGACGGAGAGGATTTCGGGGATGAGGGATCGTGGGGGTGGGGAGATGTTGCCGAAGTTGGCGGTTGCTGTTGTGTTCATGGGGAGGTTTGCACTAAGAAAGAGAAGGGGGAAATGTTAGATTGGTTGAGTAGAGGTTGGTATGTGGATTGAGGGATTGAAGGGGATGTGAGTACAGTGCGCTGGAGATTTCTCCAAAGTTGAAGCCGCTGGTATCTGTTGGGTTTGTCGTTGCTGCTGCTGCTGTTGCGGTGTCACGTCGCTGGGGCTGGGGCTCGATGGCCAAAGCAGACGCTGCGAGAGCGAGAACAATGCTGGTGAGTTTCATCGTGAGTCGTAAATTCGTGAGAAAGAAAGAAGAATGGAAGAATAGAAGTTCGGATTCAGAAGAATGACAGGTTAAACAATTTCCACGACAAAGTAGAACAGACCCCCGCCTGGAACCAGCACAAGTATGTCCAGTACATAGTACATAGTACCGAATCAAGTATGGAATATCAAATGCTTAACACCCCCACCTTCTGGACCGCCGATCCGGCCGTCCTCGGTAGCCCGCGCGATTTCTCCGCCGGTGCCAGCTTACCAGCTTATCCACTGTATGCAAGACAAGAGGAGGAGAGGGAGTGATGACTGGCTGGTCAGATCTGTGTATTCGTCCAATCCTGTTCAGCGGCGTGCGGGCTTAGTTGGGGCTGGACTTTGAAACGGACCGAGGATGGGCGAGGTGCTGACGGTGATGCTGATGGAGGGAATGGGTTGCTGTTGAGGCGGGGTTGCAGGTTGGAGATGCATGTCACTTTGGCTGTTGATCTCGGAGAATTCTCTGACGTAGTCCTGCTGGATGAATAGTGTTCTTGCGGTGCATGCATAGAAGTCCTGGCTGACATGTCTGCGTTGAATTACGCCGTTGCACCGTTACGGGATAGAGTTGGATCTACGGCCGATCAAGTAAATTTATAGATCACTGGCACCAACATCTACTCTGTGAAGGTATTCAACGTCAAATTATTTAGCTCATGCCTACTTCATCTACTGCAGTCTACCCACACAACTACACCATAGTACAAGGTCAAGTTTAATTCATATGTTCAAGTCAAATTGTATTGGATATCATAGATCGGTCGTAGAGTCGTAAAATCAAAAACACCCCGAAAAAGAGCAAAAATGCTAGCTAGCTAGCACCCATTTCCATGAAGATCATCCCTACCCATCGACAAGCACAACCATGAGCCACAGCCATCGCCTTACCAGCAGCTTTAGCCATAGCCATCAAGTCGACGTCAAAGAAGATCCTCCCTTCCAAGCCTAAGCGCTTAGCTTAAACACCCTGGTGCTTAGCCATATCGGCCTCAGCACCACGCTGGCGCACCTTGCCCTCATCATGTATATCCTCAAACTTCTTCTGCTCCTCACGATCACCAGTGATAGCAGCACCAACCGCACCAAGGTGACCCTGAGCACGGTCCTGGATACCCTCACCCCAATCCTTCAGCTGTCCCTTAGCCTCCTGCTCCTTGCCCGCGGCGTTCTGCTGGGCGCCAGTCTGGCGCAGGTTCTCGTTGCCGATCGCGTTGCCGATGGCTTCCTTGGCTGAGCCGATGGTCTGGTCCCAGGAGCCGTCGGCGCGCTTGCTGTTGTCCTTGGCGACAGCGCCGGTGTTGGGGTCCGCAGTCAGGTTGCCCAGTTTAGCAGTGGTGTGGGAGTTTTCGTTTTGGATTTCGCCTTCGGTCTGAGAGATTTCGCCCTTGGCCTTTTTGAGGGTTAGTTTTAAGTTGATGGTTTGGGAGGGGGTGAAGGGGGTACTGCATACCTGAGTGGAGGAGTCGCCAGTGACTGCTCCAAAGGCGCGCTGGGCCATGCCAGTGGCCTGGTTGACGTAGGAACCCAGAGTGGAAGAGTTGTTGTCAGACATGTTGATGGTTTCGAGGTTGATATGATGTTTGAGTTGAGAAAGTAGAAATATTGGTGGTTGAGGATGGAGAGTTGTGAGATGGAAGAAGATTGTTTGTTGATCTGAGAAAGAAAGTAGTTCTAGTCATGGCATTCACCTTCTTTATATAGATATCTTGCTGCTTCCTGCTAGGGCCAAACAATCAAGACGCGCGATCGATGACATCATCTCCCACTGATGTCATCACACGTGACCGGCGTCCACTCTCCTCAAGCCTCACATCCACAAACTGCGTCATGGAAGAAAAAGGAACGGATAGAAAGCTTCCACTGCATCAGGTTGGGCTGATCATGGATAGCTCGTGGGCAGCTTGTTGATAACAACTTGATGGAGCTTGAAGGAGGTATGATGACATTGTACAGATACACGGAGGACTCTAGACTACATTGACTGTTGTACCTCGAGAATAGTTATTCAAGTGTCATGAGCATTGTAAAAAAAAGTATATACAAAACAAGTAACTCATCGCTAGGATGAACCCAAACGCCGGACACCCAGGCTCGTTGCAACTGCAAGGAACGTAGATCATGCTAAATGCAACGCTCATAAGATGAAAAAGAAAGAAAAAGCCAACAGTGCATCGCTCCTTGTGGTCACTACATCACCAGTGGCAGATCCCACCCTCGCTATCATCGGCTGTCCATGTCCCGCAAAGACCAACAACTTCCAAATGACCATCGGGCTGCTCACCAACCTTGCTCAATGAGGCAGAGTCGACAACGCCAGGGCTATTGCTGAGCAAGCGTCGAGCCCAAGCGTCGATAGCAGGCTCGCCAGTCTCGTCTCGTGCCTGCTTGAGGAACGGAATGAGTGCAGTGCCGCCGGTTCCACGGAGCTTCTTGCTGTCCGTGGGGACAACCGTGGCAAGGTTCATAGCTGGTGGTGCTTGACCAGACTGTGATGCTCGACGGGCACCACGAGATTGGACGATGATATAGCGCGAGACGATTTGGATATGCTTGTCGCGCATATTGCGCAGCATCGAGAGGCAAGCATCATAGGCGAGTCGCAATGCAGGGTCGCTGCGTCGCGCTTCGACAAAGGAGCGGATATTGGCGATAGAATCGACGTCCTCCAGGAATCGTCGATGGGGACCGGGCATGTAGGCGCGCATCTCGTGGATGAATCCATGGCGGGACTTGGGCGCATCTTCGGTCGATGGGGTGCTTTGGTCCTGGCGGGTCACGCCGGTAGGACGATGCTCCACGCCAAGCACGATATCGAAGAACTGGATGAGTGAACTTTGAGCATTGCTTCCGCCGCCATATTGACGATACTCGGGTGGGTTGCGGCCATCATCGTAGAGCAGACCGTGTGGTAGCCCGGCGTCGCCCATGTTCTTGCTGCCCGCCAAGTAAGGTCGGATGCGATTGTAAAAGACATATGGATCGCAGTTTTCGTATAGCCGTTGCAGCAGCGAGGTAATCTCATCCAGCATTTCCGCCAACCGCTGTAGACATTCCGTCACCACGCGAACCTTACCCATTCGGGCAGCGGTGATGGCTTGCAGCATCAATGGGATCGACGGGGCACCCCGAGCCTCGATGGCCACGGAGACCAAGTAGAACCATTGCTCATCCAGTGAGCCGGTAAAAGTCTGTAGGCAGGCCAAGTTGCTGAGGCTATCGGCGGGCTCGTCCGGAAAGATCGGCTTGTAGTTCCAGAGGCAGACACCGGCATACGTTGCTACCGGGGGCACCTCCAATCGTTCACAGACTTCGAACAAGGGTACCGTCAATTGTGGAGGAATCCTCTATGATACCACGATGCATCAGTATATGTTTGAAGGATTGGTCAGTATGATGGTTCTGCGGTGTATCATACCTCGGCTGGACGATCTCCACCCCAGACATAGCTATGCAGAATAAACACCAGAACCACATAAGCTCGACGCCACTCGGCATCTGTATGCAAGTGCTCTGTGGAGAGAATAGGCAGGCGATCCACGACTGGGCGAATGCGCTTGCTCAGGAGCAATGGCTGCAGGTTCGCCACGACTGCCTCCCACTTGGCGTAGTAGAGATCCGGCAAGGACTCCAGAGGCGGCTCTGGGGAGAGAAAACCATGTTCCGGCGAGATGCCGTAGGTAGCCGGTGAGGGTACGGGAGGGAGCATTCTGAATCAAAATGTGGACGAAGAACGGAGTAAAAAGGAAAGGAAATTGAAGCACGAGGCCAGGCACGTGGGTTTAAAGGTGAAGCACGCGATAGATGAGAGACTCGCCCATTCAGATTTCGATTCCCAAATGAGTAGTCAGGTCACAGTGACGGTCACAGTGATCATGCAGGTGTCAACGGGTGAAGCACAGGTCTTCTTGGTATTTGTATAAGTAGAGAAGATGGAGAGGTGGGATGATGTTTTTCTAAGGAACAGGCACCAAAAAGAGCCCCCTCTAAAATGACCAGGGAAGGAGGGGTGGCGGGTGTTCCAGAAGAAGTCGAGTCACTGTGGTCCCGAAAGGCTATTCGACAACCGGATGCGAACGGAGGGAATGGCACAACCCGGAGAAAGGCGTCAAGTCAAGGGAATAATAGACTTTGAAGTCGAGCCGTTGATCCGAAGGAAATTAATCGCGCCCGGGTGGTGGTGATGAGTTGCTAGAAGAGTATCTACGAGGGAAGAAGTCCCGCGGGAGAAGAGGGTGACATTCTGATCATCTTGAAGCAGAGTTTTTCATATTTCTGGTCCGGCGGGATAATCGCCCGAGAAAGAGCACGTAATAGTTCACCGTGAGGAGACATTTCTAAGCAGCGGGCGGGAATTCCTAGATTCTCGTTAATTCCGGCTAGAAGTCCGAAACAAAAAAGATCATCAGACTAGACCTGTCAGGAAGAAAAGCGCGGGTGAGACTGGAAGACTGGGACCACATCGGGTCCGATATAGGATGAGGATGTAGGCTGTTTAGAGGGGGAGGAACACGGTTAATTTGGGTCGGTAGTATATCTTAACCTGGGGAATGGGAACATTGGGGACAAAATAGAGAGGGGGGGGTCAAATGAATGGCAGACATTCGACATTCTAGAGTTAGGTTCAGTTTAAAGGAGTTTATATCGAGCCCATTCAGATCATTGGCTTCCAGGGAACAGACCCTCTTTTTCACCTGCATTCCGCGGATGACCCAAATTAGATTGGGTGATGGCGAGACGGGGTCCTCCCGCTAAGGGGACTAGTCTGAGTGCTAGAGAATGAACCGGAGCGGGCGCAGTCTGGGTGTCAGAATGGTTGTCTCCGATCGCCGGTCGCTAAGCGAGAGTTTAGCTCGTTCGCCTTCACCTACGCTACCCCAAAAAGTTCACGGTGAGACGTAGGGGTGGCGATCCTGCGGATGGCAGTGTCAACGTCAAGTCTGAGCTTGTATGGAGGAGACAGTAGGAGGAATAGGGTGTATGACATGGAGAAAAAGATTGATATTCCTGTTGGAGAGGTTCCCCCATGGTAGACTGTCTTTGAATTCTCACTGGCATCATCGTGTCTTTCTTCCATGTGGTCGTTCATAATTCCAGATGCTGACTAACTGCTTATTATGAAGTGTGCATAACTCCAGAATGGGATTAGTGAAGTACGCCCAAGTGAGGTGCGGGTTGGGTGGGTGGGCAGGTATCGAGCGCAGATCGCTCGGGCATCTTTTTTTTCTTTTTTTCATAAATTTTATATCAATGTAATCTTTGAAATTTGGAGAATCTACTAATTATATTTTCGAAGCATTTCAAGAGGGTTAGTGGACCCAAATGTGGTGATATTTGTTGGCTGCGGCATTGAGGAGGATCACGAGGTGATCAACCCATCACGGTCATGGGTTGTGTAGGAAATGGAAAGTCGAGGGTTCGAGTCGGCAGGGCCGCGAACTGGGGAATTTTGGAATTTGGAGCGTGTTGCTCGTGTGCAGGGTAGAAATAGTCAGAGATGCGTCCAGTTGCTTGGAGTGCCTCATTCATGATCTTGCGGACCGAGAATATGGGGATTTTTGGCCATATGGATTAGTAGCATGGAATTTTGGATTGTAATGGGAAAGAGCTAGCATATCACGACAGCTCTAGCACATCGTGTTGTATACGCGGAGTTCTACACGCAAACAAACATGTATGTAAGGAAGACGTTGCGAAAGAACATGCTCAGTTAGCCACATTACCAAGGCATGGAAGTCGATTCCTTGCTATCACTCTGGATGCAAACGCCCACAAGGATGCAGGCACAAAGGAGACGACGGCTCGTGGCTCATGGGTGAGGGCAAAACCTGCAAGTGTAGCACACCATCTAGACGCTGTGTCAAAACAGTAATCAGGAACCTCGCCGTGGACTATCCAACGTGTTCTGCTCCGGTAGCCAGTTGCGATGATCGGATGTATACCGAGCAAGTACACATTCGAAACTGGCCTTCAATTTCAAGTCCTCGAGAACCTTATCGTTGATCAAACCCTCTATATGAAAATCCCTTGGATTTGAATAGGGCACGGAGCGGCTACTTTTCAAAAAAAAAAAAAAAAAAAAAAAAAAAAAATGAGCCAAGAAATATCCAATTGGAAGATTTGTACCTGGGATTCTTGCAATAACGTCTGTACAAGTAACATGGAAGAATAAAATAACAGTCTATCAACATCATTTTGTACATTCCCATCCATTAACCATGCTGCACAATAACAGCCGGACCATCATACTCTTTGCGCCCCTTGACCACATACATGAAGAGGCTGAGCAAGAACACACCTCCAAAGATAACAACACTCCAGTTGAAATTATCCACTGTGATGCTGCTCTCGCTCGGCCACAGGGACCAGAACAGAGCGAAGCAGGAGTAGATGAGTGCAATGATGTTGACGGGTAGTCCCCACCGTCCCATATCCCACTGTCGAGCTGGGAGACTGTCCGGGTTCCAGATCTTCTTGTAAATGACGCAGCTGATCGAAATGATATAAGTATACATCAGTGCCGCCACGTTAAGCGAGATGATAGCATTGAATGCCGTCGAGGATCCGATGTTGATAAGAGAAAGGGCACAGCTGAAGATGCACGATAGAGCGATGGCGTTGACGGGAATGTGACGCTTTGGATCGACTTTGCTGATGAAGCGAGAAAATGGGAGGCCCTTGTCACGAGCAAAGGCAAAGGTTTGGCGGGATGTGGATGCGTTGAAGAGGATGTTGCTGAAAATGACTGGTAGAAGAATAATCGAGGTAAGGCCATTCACACCCGCCATCGATGTCGCGTTTTTGAAGGCATAAATGAATGGGAATCCAGTGTTATCATTCAATGCATCTTCCACCGATGGGAGCGAGAAGAGAAACGTGACTAGCAGGATTGCAGCCATGATACCGTTACTGAAATATCCCCACGCAATAGCAACGGGGACGTATCGGCCAGCATCTTTGACCTCTTCGGACATATGGGCACATGCATCGGAGCCTATCACCCGCAGTTAGTATGCTGTAAAAATCACTCCAATCCTTTCAGTACATACTCAGAGAGCCATAGATAGCGGAGATTTGTCCAATCATCACGCTCAATCCCATACTGGACCAACCTCCCCCATTCTCCCACCCAGTAACAAACACGGTCTTGGCGGATTGGTGAGGCGCCATCGCCCACAGCACTATCAAAACCACTGCCCAGGATAGGACATGCAGAATCATGAGCAGATTACTCAGAATTGGCATCAGATCCGAGGCGTAAACATTGGCAATGTAAATCACCAACACCATCGCAAACACAAACAGAGTCCCCTGCCAGTTTTTGGGTTCGTACTCCGGATTCCGCACACTGATCAAACCCTGGATGATAGTTCCAGTCAGGAAAGATCCTGACGCCGCTCCAGCCTGCCAGGCCAACACTGACATCCAACCCGTGATATAACTGAGGAATTTTTGGTGTCGCGGGGACGAAAACTCGGATACCCAGTGATATTGTCCGCCTGAGGTTGGCGCCATTGATGCCATTTCCGAGAGGGAGGCGATGATAAACCCGAATCCGATGAAGGTCCAGATATACGACCAGAACATGCCCGGTAGACCGCCATTTTCTAGCCCTTGGTCATTCGATCTGAAGACAGTCCAGTCCACTGTTAGTGCATTGCGCTTGTATCTCTTTCTCCCAACTTTGCTTGCACGCCCGAGTATACCGCATAGACAACTCACATCAAAATGAACTCCCATGTTGCCTGTAGAATCGAAGCAAAACTCAAGGCAGCCACCGGTCGCATATTTCGCTAGTCGAGGAATGTGAGATTGAGGGGTTCAACTTCAATCAGGGGGGCGGGCGTGGCCCAGTTTCGGCTGAAAGAAGCCGACATACCTTGAGCTCCTGTATTTTTCCCATGCGCTGCATGTCATGGTCGTCCAAGACGGTCCCTTTCTGAGTTGGCGGCACATCTTGATCAAGAGGATGGACCTCCATATCCATCGTCTCCAATCTCGTTGACTTGTTAGGGGCCTGCATGGTCGGCGATCGAGGTGTTTTGTGTTTTGTTTTGGCGACGACCGGGCGACTGCGCAGGGGTGAACAAAGGGCAGAACAAGGGCGTACAGGTCCAGAGAAAAGAAGCGGACCACGGCAGTTGATGATATAATATTATTTATTATTATTATTGATGGAGCGGGGGACGCTGATATTGTATTAAACTTTTTGCTAAATGAAGTACTTGACGGAGAATGCACCGAAGTACAGTAGTGTGAATGGAATACTGTGCTCGAAGATTTGCATTCTCCACTGGGGCTGGCCTACTGACCCCCGAGTGGCCACAACAGTATTACAATCAATGACTTTGGCTGCTTGCAAGTCGTTCTCGTTCGGTTTCTTGACTGCACTTAGTGGGCCGGTTGTCGATCCTCGATCCTGCTTGTTCTAAACAAGTAGATTGGTAGGTCACTCGGACTAGCTAACTACCATGGCTTGTCCACACGCGGGCCGCCCGCCTTGGCCCACCTATCCCATATTAAATTGACGTCGTTGTGCCCATGTATATACAACCATATGGTTGAGAATGTCCGAGCATGCTTTAAAAAAAAAAAAAACGGGACGAGCGCGGTCGGTAGAAAAGCAGGACAAGCACCTAATAAATGCCAAGGCAGCTTACGTGTCACGAGGATGAGAGGTCTACAACGCTAAAGCCCGACTCACATTGCGACCGCAGCAGCCGATTCCCATCGCGTGTTGACCATGTGGGGAACTATTTGCAGGGCCGCATGCAACATGATCCTAAGGCCCGCCCCCTCTTTAGTATCTGGAAGTCTCTGGAAGTGGGAAGCTAATGGCCCCATTCCGAGTCGTGATAAGGTTCTGAGAACTTGTATATGTGTAGCCACTACTCCGTATACAGTATTTTGCAAGAGAGTAGCTGTCTTGGATGAAACCATACAACCACACCCTAATTTCCTAGCCCATGGCGCCACCATTCGGGGCTATGCGAGTTTCAGGTGTAACTTGCTTGGCGTTGACCTTCCCAGGTTAGCCTTTTGTTTGCTGGGCTACCTCCCTGCATATGTACGGCGCCTGAAGAAGAGCTGATCTTCAACACCGACATACACGGGCTCATGTGCTTACCTGCCGTAGACCCGTGTTTTTACCCGGGTGGAATATAATGAGTGAATTATGAGGTATACCATACAAAGTACTGTAGACTCTTATAGTTTATGCCATAGCTGTATGGATCATGCCATATAAGATATCGTAGATATTTAACATGGCCAATATGGAATCCTGATGGAGTAGGTGCTGTACCAAACAATAGCTTTCTATAATTACAATAAGACCATAGACCAACCAGACTCTAGCAGGATATACTCCCATGCACAACGCCGATCAGGCTAGGCGTACCAGTCCCATCATCCATCATCCCATGCCCGGCCGAAGAAAATGCAAAGTACCACGCATCATCTCCCTAGTTTGCGCCCGATCCCACATACCCATGTTGTGGCAATTATTGGATAAACCCTCGTGGCCCCCTTGGGGAATTGTTCCATTTTCCCACCGATTACTGGACTAAGGAATTGTTGTGCAGCTTACTGCCAACAATACCTAGTCTTCAGCGAGTCCAGCCCTCCTTCTTCAGCATTACCTTTCCTGCTTAGGGCCCCCACCTCCTCCCTTCTCATAAACCCTGCCTAATGCAAATAAGCCAATGAATCCCGGCTGTACCCTCGATGACCGACCCTCCGAAACACAAATAGAAAAAAAAGGCCAAGGAAAGGAGGATCGCCCCGGCGCTGAAAATCACACCTTATCCTTTTCTGATGTATTAAAAAGCTTACATCCTACTCCGGGCTTCCGGTCCATGCTGTGTTTATTTGTTGTTGGTGCTATTGCTGTTGCTACTTGTTAGCCAGCCATGTCGATGGCTTCGCCAACGCCGCTGCCTTCGGGGGTGAGTCCTCCTCTTACGACGGATAATGAGGATAATCATGGCGCGTTGATCGTGATCATGACCTCGTTTACCTTGGTTTTGGTACTATCTTCTCTGGCGGCTCGCATCTATTCTGCGGCTCAGAGACATATCTTCCAACGAGATGATCTTCTATTTGGCATACTTGTGGTAGGTCGATCCAAGGTCTATCCATCCCTTGGCATGCGATGCTCAGCATCTTGTCTACCCCTCTCCCTTCTTGGAGTCCAATTAATCATTTGAAAATTAGATTGTAGCATTTGTTCAAATCGCGGTGGTACTTTCCCAAGTGCATCAAGGCTGGGGAGTTCGGACAGATTTTCTCACTGTCACAGATGAGCCTATGCTCAAGGTAAGTCGAGTGAATACTGCCTGAGGTATTGACACTGACAATAAAGCAGACCGCATATGCGGCAGAGATCCTCTCAGTGCTGGTCCTAGGCTTTTCAAAAATCACCTCCAGCCTATTCTACGAAACTCTCTTCTCACAGATGAACCTTCGGCTCATTCGGAGCATTCTCGGTGTGATGATTATTTGGACGATTCTGTCTGTGATACTACTGGCTGTTCGCTGCAGCGATAAGCCCTGGTACGATATCAGTGCTGCTCAGTGCAGTACTTTGGTAAGTGATTGAGACAATACGCGAGACGAAGCAAATATCAGAGTATTGACCATGTTATAGTTCCCCCGCTGGATCGCAATTACAGTCTTTGATATCGTCACTGAGATCCTGCTATTTCTATACGCTGGACTCGCCATCCACAAAATCCAAATATCATTGCAGAAGAAGCTGATGGTGGGAGTCACCTTGGAAAGTCGAGTCTTGTGAGTTTTGTACACTTGATGTTTTCGCAAACAAATTCCATGAACCGACTGACCCTATCTCTCTATCTACCAGACTGATTCCCCTCGCCGCCATTCGACTCTACTACGTAAACAAACAAATCATCTCCGACGACCCAATCCTCCTCGGCGCATACTCCACCATCACAACCGAGATATACATCGCCATCTGCGTCGTCTGCCTCATATCCGCATTTCTCAAATCCTTCATCGCCGTATTCGAGGACAAAAATGGCCTCTCCTATACAGACGGGACGTCCGGGTCTCGGCCAAAGTCGAAGCAATTCGCCTCGGGAAATACGGCATCTGCATCGAATAAGATGGGACCACATAGTTCGGCGAGTGCAGATCGGTTGAAAGGGTGGGAGCGGGAGGAAGATCCGATTCTTGATCAGGCTGATGGGCGAGGCTTGCATATCTTGAAAACGGTGCATTTGGATGTGACAGATGAATCAATAGAATTGGCTGAGCAGGGGAATGCGAGAACAAGTTCACCCGGGTGAATGTGTTGGGATTTTCCGGTTTGAATGTTAATACATAATATAACTAATGAATAGAATGGACCAGTTAGACTGGGAGATTTCAGGAGACTGTACTGTGTGGCTCTAGTTGGCAGCCAGAAGAGAACTAGTGTGCAACGGCCAAGATGCGTATAGCTTTCGAGATACTTTTACTTGTTAAAGATGGGAGTATTTGCATTCTGTACAAAGGGTTGTTATTGTTACACCAAAAATTTCAACGCCATATCCGAGGAGACTTTTGAGTTTTCTCCAGCGAGAGTATTAATGCCAAACGGAGTCATGCAGATAGATAAAATTGAAAGAACCAGATTAGTGTTGGCTCCACTCAATCGTGTTCAAGTCAATGCCCTCCTGGACCAGCTCCCAGAGGGGGCTCAGCTCACGCAAGAAGTGCACGCGATCCTGGACAGCCTTGAGGACGTAGTCGATCTCGGCATCGGAAGTGAAACGACCAATACCGAAACGGATACTGCTATGGGCGCTCTCGTCGCTGCTTCCAAGGGCACGCAGGACATAGCTGGGCTCCAGGGAGGCAGAAGTGCAGGCACTACCGGAAGACAGAGCAATATCCTTGAGAGCCATCAGGAGAGACTCACCCTCGACATAGGCGAACGAGATGTTCACACAGCCGGGGTAGTGGTGCTCGGGGTCACCGTTCAGGGTGGTGTGCTCCATGGCGAGCAGGCTCTCTGAGAGGCGCTTGGAGAGACGCTCCACATGCTTGGTATCGTACTAGATGGTGGGATAAAAGTTAGCATTTGCAATTTCCTTGATAACCAGCCTGGTGTTGCCCCTTGCAAAGTAAATTCTGAACCATTTCATTACCCCTGCAACGGCGTCATCGACCTTGAGCAAATTCCCCAGTGGGAAAATGAAGCTACAGCCCAAGGCCTATCTGACGATTCTCATGCAGTGTATAATCATAAAGCATTTGGGTTGATCGAGAGAAATCGCGGGGGAAACCAAAGAAATGCGAGTCTTACCTCCATATCCTGCGCGGCGAGGCGGCAAGCCTCACCAAAGCCGACAATCAAGTGGGGAGCCAGAGTTCCACTGCGTAAACCTCTCTCCTGTCCACCACCCGAGATAATAGGTTCCAGACGGACACGAGGACGACGGCGGACGTAGCAGGCACCGACACCCTTGGGGCCGTAGATCTTGTGGCTGGAGATGGACATGAGGTCAATGTTCAACTTGTTCACATCCAGAGGGATCTTTCCGACGGCCTGGGCACCATCGGTGTGGAAGAAGACTTTCTTGGACCGGCACAGCTTGCCAATCTGCTCCATGGGCTGAATCACACCAATCTCATTGTTGACGGCCATGATACTGACGATAGCAGTGTCCGGGCGCATGGCGGCCTCCAAGTCCTCCATCCGAATGAGACCGTTACTCTGGACGGGCAGGTAAGTCACCTCAAAGCCCTCATCCTGCAAGTGCCGACAGCTGTCCAAGACACACTTGTGCTCTGTCTGGGTGGTGATGATGTGCTTCTTCTTCCCTGAGCGGCCAAAGAAGCGCGCAACACCCTTCAGACTCATGTTGTTACTCTCGGTCGCACCACTAGTAAAGATGATCTCCTTCGGGTCGGCACCGATCAGCTTGGCGATGTGCTCACGGGCTTCCTCAACAGCCTTCTCCGACTCCCATCCGTAAGCGTGGGTACGCGAGTGGGGGTTACCGTAGATACCGGTGAGGTAGGGGAGCATGGCGTCGAGAACACGGGGATCGAGGGGGGTTGTCGCTTGCATGTCGAGGTAGATGGGACGAGTTCCCTGGTCCATCACAGTAGCTTGTTTGAGGATGCCAGCGGAGGGACTCATGGCGGCGTCGGCCGAGGTTCCGGAGCCGGGCAGGTTGACATTCTGAGGCGCAACACCGGTCTTCTTCATAAACGACTTCTGTTCCTCTTTGATGGCGGTCTCGACGTTGACCTGAGCTTGTCCGGCCTTGGTTTCGGTGACATAGGAGCGGGCACCGCGCACGCCGGGGGTGGCAAGGGCGCGGCGGGGGGCAATCCAGGTACCTTGTGAGGAGAGACGCCTTGAGCAGGCACGGGATGCCTGTCTCCAAGCAGCAGAGCCAGCAGCAGACATTATGGTGATGATATATGGAGTAATGTACTGCAAGTGAAGGGACAGGAAAGAAGAAGGAAGCCCAAGGCTGGGTGATGCCGGGCGGTGACATTTTCCGATAAACTCGGGGATTTCCCGTTTGGGAGCTCGGAGTCTGGGTTTCTCCGCGGTACTCCGCGCGGCAGCCTGAGGCAGGAAGAAGCTGATGAAGCTGGACATTATGTCATTGCATCACGATGAATTAGTTCAAACATAGTGTCCAGTACTATCGACATGGATGGAGAGATTGATAGTAATAGTAGTAAAAGATGAGACCCAGATCAAGGTCATTCCACGGGACGGCTTGCTGTAGCCTTTTCAGAATCGAAAACTACGACTTTGTCGTTTCGAGTATATTCCTCGGGCCGGAGACTATGAAGCACGTCTCGGCTGTAGATCACTATTAGTGATTCTCCCATTCTGGAAATGATACAAGTTCGGCCTAAGTCCCCGAGTGCTAGATATTCGTGGGTACAGTTTAGCCATGCGCTGAAAATGTCACTTTCAAGAGAGTCTCAAGAGCCGTGCACACCAAGGACTTCGCAGTCTGGATTGACAGTCTCAGACAGTTGCCAATGGATTGCAAATTTGCAATTGAATTAAAAGGTTCAATTTCCAAGGGATATTTCTCCCAACACATTTGATAAATGGAAGACCATTGCTGCTTCGAGCAGACCCATTATCGCCAATTTCGAACGGCAGTATGAGTCGACGCTCGTTATTAGATTGCCAGTTGTAATATTCGTCTGTCGAGGGGAATTGCGGACGATTCTTCGCATCAGCTCTTGGACGGAAAAGTGGATCATGGGTGATTGAAAGATCTAATTTCTACAGGTAACTACAGTAGCAATTGATCATCACGTGAATAATTCTTAGACAGCCCTATGGAGTCTGTAGTATTATACTGGGAATTCTGGTGCCTGTCCGGTTCGTGTAGTAATATGCGCCACAATGGGGCAGCACAAACGGGATAATTATGGTATCTCTAGAAGGGGTCCGAGGGCCAGAGTATTCGTCATTGCTAATTTCTAGCCATACACATCGGTGAATTCTCCAGAACCATAGGGCGCAACAGCCGATCCTCACGATCGGGAGGCACAGCCACAAGCCACAGGCAACCGTCAGCTCCCGGGCACCCGGGGGAGAGTCTTATGTCATAGTTGAAGAGCGACTAGCAAAGTCAAGGTTGGGAACGGCAAGGCCGCAATAATTCCCCCATCTCGTAACTTGAACTCCTCCCCCCCACCCTTGGCATTTCCGCCTGCTCTCTCTTTCCTTCTTCTCTTCTTTCACCAATCTTCCTTGAACGATCATCTCCCCCCACACGCCATCATGAGTTTCAAGGGTTTTCAGAAGAGCATCGTGCGTGCCCCGCAGCAGCTCAAGGTCAAGTTCAACATCGGTGAACACACCAAGGATGCCGTCTATACCGATGCCGAGCGTCGCTTCGACGAGCTTGAGAAGGAAACCAAAAAGCTCCATGATGAATCTAAGAAGTACTTCGAAGCTATCAACGGTACGAAAGGCTCCCTCCGGCACTCCCGCTGATCTCGGCCGGGCTGAGCGACGCACAAAATTTGCTGACTGCTTGCCCAGGCATGTTAAGCCACCAGATCGAATTCTCAAAAGCAATTGCCGAACTCTACAAGCCCATCTCCGGTCGTGCCTCCGATCCCGACTCTTACATATTTGAAGGAAATCCCGAGGGTATTCAGGCCTGCGAAGACTATGAGGCGATCGTGCGGGAATTGCAAGAGTCTCTCGCCCCAGAGCTGGACATGATTGAGAGCCGAGTCATCAGCCCTGCCGATCAACTGCTCGAGGTGATCAAGGTGATCCGCAAGGTCGCCGTCAAGCGCGACCATAAGAAGCTGGATTACGATCGCCATCGCGCATCGCTGAAGAAGCTGCAGGATAAGAAGGACAAGTCGCTCAAGGATGAGAAGGCCTTGTACAAGGCGGAGAACGATGTCGAACAAGCGACCCAGGAATACAACTACTATAACGATTTGCTGAAGGAAGAGCTACCCAAGCTGTTCCAGCTCGAGGCGGAGTTCATCCGCCCACTATTCCAGTCCTTCTACTATATGCAACTCAACGTCTTCTATACGCTACATGAGAAGATGCAGGGCATGAACATCAGCTATTTCAATCTCGCTCTCGACGTCGAGGAGGCCTTTGAGCAAAAGCGTGGCGATGTCCAGGAACGTGCCGAGGCCTTGCTTATCGTGCACTTCAAGACGAAAGGACTCGGCCGGACGAACTCGAAGGTGAGCTCGCTGAAGGCCTCCGAGGCCAAGGCTGGCCGTGGACGTGCATCTTCAACCGCTTCCGATAACCCTCCACCTCCATACTCCTCTGCTGCCACTCCCAGCCCAACGGGCAGCTTCTCCGCTGCAGCAAAGGGCAAGCCTGCTCCGCCACCTCCACGGGCGAAGCCCGCGCACCTCAGCAAGCCCGTTGAGACGGTGGTCGCTCTCTACGATTATGAAGCCCAAGCGCATGGCGATCTTGGATTCTCTGCTGGTGATGTGATTGAAATTGTGACCCGGACAGACAACCAGAATGAGTGGTGGACCGGGCGAGTCGATGGTCGGGAAGGTCAATTCCCAGGTAAGGATCTTGTCGCCCAATCTCTGTTTGAGTTTATGCACTTACTGACAATCTTCTCCAGCAAACTATGTCCAGTTACAATAGCATGTGGAGGACATCCCATGTGTTTCGTTTTTAGCTCTTTCGCTTTTCTCTTCTGATTGTGTTGCTCTTCTTTTTCTTGGCGCATCCTGGTTCTATAACATAGAGCGTTCCGTGTGTTATGTACATAACCTTCGTTAATGTTTTGCTAGTTCAGCCTTGCGGATATGGTGATGAAACCGATGCGACGTCGGACCCAGTTATGGTTGGAGGGTACATCCTACCGACATAATCAATATCCATTTATCTCTCCTGACCACTGACACACTCTCTTGTGGACCTTGTCTCATCTTTTCCATCTTATCAATGCTCGTCTTGCCCACGACGATCAACTGCTCTCTGGAGACTTACTTGTGCTTTGACCCGAAAACTGGTGTCTTCGTTCCCCCACCTAACCCCGCTCCATCGGCATCAGCCATCGATCTCGAGGATCGTATTGTGGCTCCCGGGTTCTTAGATCTGCAGATAAATGGCGCTTATGGATTTGATTTTTCTGAAGGTAGCGCCAGCGATCATACTGGCCTGTCGTACACTGAGCGGTACCGGGATGTCCGAAGGAAGCTCATCACGACAGGGACAACGAGCTTCCTGCCTACAATGACCAGTCAGTTGCCAGAAAGATATCATCAGGTCAGTTTCCGTTATTATTCTAGCAGTACAATACACATATTTCTTTACTACATTGAAGAAACACGCTAAAGACGATCATATACTCCAGAACCTACCATTCTTGGGCCCTTCAGAGTCCCGAGTCCCTTGGTGCTCATTGCGAAGGACCTTTCTTCGCGCATCATCGAATGGGTGTCCATCTACCCACTGCTGTCCATGCGTCTGGAACAACAAGTGACCCAAAGCGTGTCTTGGATGCCTATGGAGAAGTAATCTGGTCAATCCGGATGAGATCTCGCAACAGGCCAGCCCCGGATCAATACCATCTCATGTTCGCATGATCACCATCGCTACAGAGCGACCGGGTGCATTGGAGACGATCAAACAACTCAGTCAAGCGGGAATTATCATGAGTATTGGCCGTACGGTAGCGAACTATCAACAGTCCAGAGCTGGCATTGACGCGGGTGCAAGGATGATCACGCATTTGTATAATCAGATGAATGGTCATCATCATCGTCAGCCTGGACCACTTGGAATGCTAGGTGGAGCAACGGATGTGAATCCGCAAAATGAAAATAAAATCTTGGAACAAGATCGGGACGGAGAAGATGCGAATTTGAGTCATCCCGTACGTACTTCAGTCTCATTGCCGATGGTACTCATGTTCACCCGGCTAGTATCCGGTTGGCACATCTGATGCATCTGGATGGTCTCGTCCTGGTGACTGATGCCTTGTTGCTTCTGGGTGGCCAGGATGGGACGATTGATTGCCTTACGCGACGACGTACGAAAAAGGGCGTTTCGGTTACTCTCGAAGGGACTGATATTATTGCAGGAAGGTATGACCCAAATCCCCTCCACCTCTGGTTATTGCCTGCTTCATAATGCTGAAGGAAAATTTTCTAGCTGTGTGACTCTCCTCCAGTGTCTAAATAACTTCCGTCGGTGGACTGGTGCGTCTATACCTGTTGCACTCCAAGCTGTGACATCGAGGCCGGCTGCAGTTCTTGGTCTGTCAGATCGTAAGGGAACATTACGTGCGGTGCCGATGCCGACTTTGTTGTTCTGAGAGAGGTATCTGTCCCGGGTCAATCCACCTCGAACTTGGTTTTGGATCAAGTCTGGAAGTTTGGAGTGAAGGTATACATACGATCAGAGAAGTCCGTGAATAAATGGGTCAGATATTTTGATGAATACTCACTCTCAATGAGCTTTTTGGATATAAGCACGTGTGTGAGGGTAGCTGATTCCGGATAATCCATATTTTCATTCAACAAAAGATTTTGGCTTGCTTGTAGTCTACCATAGGAACGCCACAGAAAGTCAGATCCTCCAAGATGAACATCTCTCCGCTAAGACTTCTTCGGGAACGGCTCATAGCTAAGTGAATACTCTTCCGTCCTCTGGATCCCAGCAGCGCCCTGAAGGATATTCTCGTCACTTGTATTATTCGTGTTATACCTCACCACGGTATCCTTGGGGAACGGCTTCCCACTCGCCTCGATGACAGAATGCTCATGTAACCCCAGTTATTGCCTGTGGTACTTTATAAATTCTAGTTGTTCAGTATGTACACGGCTTGCAATTTCGTGGTATGCTAAACTAGCTAGTCAATTGTAATGCAGTACTCCCTGCGCGGGTGTGCCGAAACCAACGGCAGTACTCTATCAACATTCGTATCGTTCTATGATGTAGTCACTTGGCATTGATGGGGGCCATGAACCCAGTCGGGCGCTCTATCTCCTTTGTCTTGAAAGCTACACACTGGTTTAGAGCCGGCGCTCGGTTCTTTAACTGACCACGAAATTGAGATTAGCCGATTGCTAGTGCTGTTAGCTCCAAAGATTGGCCCCTCCCCCTCGTTCTTGACAAGCACTAATCTTCTAGAAATTCAGTGCATCGCCCCAATGGTGATTGAGGAAGGACATATATAGCAGAGCAATTCCACTTAGTATACCGGTTTCGCCCCCGCCATATACCCCTCGTGTTTACACCTAAAGCGCAAAGGTACCAACCAATATGTCGTCTCGAACTCAAGAGACCATTGCTCTTCTGGACGAAGTCCAACCTGATGCATTTGGCGGCAATGAGGTAGAGCGTCTTCAAGTACGTGCTGCCGCGCGTCGACTGCATGTGAGGGTCGAGACACCCTACGAACGTGCATGGGGCTTCTGCTTTGAGCATCCGGTTGTTTTTGTGGTGTTGCAGATGTGCATTGATGTTGGTATTTGGAAGGCTTGGACTGATGTGGGGGGAGGTGAGAAATCTATTTATGAGCTTGTGGAATTGACTACTCCAACCGTGGATACCAATTTATTGCGTATGTCTTCAAAGTCTGCTGTCGCTGTTGGAGGAGGGCTTACCGAAGGGATAGGTCGATTGTTTCGCTTACTAGCGGCTTTCAACGTGGTCGAGGAGAGAGCAGAGGGCAAATTCAAACCTACTCCATTTTCATATGCTATCGGTGATGATAGTACCAAAGTTCGCGCCTCCCTTCAAGCAGCGTGAGTAAATTCCTCCGAAAAGCCACATCTCAGGCTAATCAGTCCTCTTTATCTAGAACATATCAATACATTGCAGCTGGTCACAACTTGCCCACCTACCTCGCCAAGACATCTCACAAAGAACCCACAGATATCAACGTGAACAACTACTCAGAGGCCGACAAGGATGGTCTCGACTTTTTTGGGCGGCTGCAGAAAAGCTCAGCTTACTTTGAGGCTTTCACCGGGCATATGGAGGCATGGACAGCGTGGAAGACCCCCTGACTGAGGTATACGATACAACGACACTGCTAGAAGGTGCAAAGCTCGAATGATGGATCTCCGTTTATGGTGGATGTCGGTGGAAACACCGGTATCGATATTTCCCGCGTCCTTGAAAAGCATCCAGACCTCCCGAAAGGATCGCTGGTCCTACATGATCTTCTCGATGTCATTGTCAATGCCCAGGTTGATGAGAAGGTGACGGCGATGGCTCATGACTTTTTCCTGCCGCAGCCAGTGAAAGGTGAGAAGGAAAAATCAAACCCTCAAACAGATTGCGCAGAATGAACTCACTCATACTCCTATAGGGAGCCGTGCTTACTTTATGCACGCTGTTCTCCACGATTGGCCTGATGACAAGGCTCGGCTACTTCTTGAAAATACCAAAGATGCGATGGTGAAGGGCTACTCGAAGCTCCTTGTTTACGATATTGTTCTTCCGCCGACCGGAGCGAGTATCAGCTAGAGCACAATGGACGTGAATATGATGTCCTTGCTGTCGGCTTCGGAGCTGATACAGGGGGCGTGGGAGAAGCTACTGACTGAGTCGGGATTCAAGGTCGAAAAGTTCTGGCCTGATCCTCAGCAGTATGAGATGATTATTGAGGCTGAGATTGCTTAGGGTAGGCAGATGTGTATGAAGGGTGGGAACTTCGATCGCTAGATGTCATGTGAAGCCAAACGAAGATTTACCTAATAGTACTTCTGTATATATATCAACTATATTAGCTTGAGGTACTTTTAATGTGGTTCTTAGGCTGGGAATAAAGGAGAATCTATTGCTTATGGCATTTATTCGAAAGTAAGAAAAAGATATTCTGGGTACATAAGAGGAGGGAAAGCTAAAAGCTAATACACATGAAAGTATTGTAAATATCTCAGGTCAGGACTTGAGATCATCAGCAAGAAAGTAATTCGAAGAGAAGAAAAAGAGTGTTATTAAAGGCCCGGGAGCTCTCGCCCCGAATGCCAAGCTGCGTGGGTAGAAACAGTCTTTCAAACCATAGAATGCTTCCGTTGGACAGTGTCAATGGAGATGTCATGCTCGACACAAATTCCATGAGGGTCCAAGGAATCATGCGATCCCTTGCTGAGCATGCTCAAAGGCTGATCCGAGTAGCAGAGTGTCTGAGCAGCAGTGCTAGCCGTCATCCCGGATGAAGTCATATGTTTCTCCGAGGCAGTGTTGTTGAGGGTGGTGCTGTTGACTCCGAATGCAAGACCACGCCAGAGATTGCGACGGTGTAGGGGCTGGGTATCGCTGTGTCGACCTTGGTCGAGATGGGCGCCCGCCCAGATGGACGACAAGGGCAGGGAGATGGCCACGAGAGTCAATAGATTGGAGGACAACTCGGGGAAGACGACAAAGTATTGGGTGATGGAGAAAATGGCAGGTATGGTCAGTGTCTGACATCCACAGACAAAGATAATCTTCATGGGACCAAAATCGCGCACTCCAAGTCGACGGCGCTGGCGAAGGGCAAAGCCAAGTTTGGTGACGAAGACGGCACAGAAGAAGCACACGCTGACGGTGATGACGATGTTGCAGGCACTTTCCAGCCACCAAATTGTGTCCATGTAGGAGAGCTCCATGATTGCGATGCAATTCTCCACCATCCACGCCAGACGGAATGCGATAGTGGCTAAAGCCACAGCAACCGACAGAGCCATCAGTGGCCATCGGTAGCGGCGACGAATGGTCGCACATACCACCTGCACTTGAATTACCAGCGATGCCTCGATGAATGCCACAACAAGCGATTCGAAGACACTGCCCGTAATGGAGATGGCATATGCACTGCGCGGCACGTTCGAGTAGTCCAGGGAGAAGTATGGGTAGAAGTGCTCGAATCCGGTGGTGAAATGAATCAACTGTAGAAGTAGCCGGATGATGTTGAAAAGCAAGGCAAAGGAGTTGAGGAGGAATACGGACGATGCGCGCTTCTCACGTCGGGTCAGAAGCAGGAGGATCACGAAGAGCACGATCGAGGCGCCGAATTGGGACCCGTAGTTGATGCAGATTCGGACATTGTACTGTATGAAGACATCCACATCGGTCACGGACACGGTGAATGTGTGGCCATCTGGATAGCTCAAGTTGAAGCTCTGCGTGAAAGGGTCGAAGTCGGGCAGTCTTTCAGGGTGAGTTTTGGTGTAGGCTTCAAAGCTCGCCATCTCGATGTTGGTAAGATATCCGTCTAGGATTTTCATGCGCTCGCAGCGTTTGAGAAAAGCTGATATTGGAGAATAAATCTTGGTTCATGTGTATGTTCGTCAATGTCAAGGGATGAAGTTCTCGATCAACGTGAACTATATAAGAATTCAAGGAGGACGAGCATGGCTCAGGGTGAAGTAGGCAAGATCCTGAGCAACAATGTTGCAGGCAACGGGCGAGATTGTCTAGCTGTGGCATACTGAAGCCGAAACAAACAATGCCAGATTGAATGTACTTTTGCCTTTGGGAACGATCCTGAGAGGTGGTGGTGGTCAAGGCAGATCGAGGTGGGGAGAACAATACTAAGTGGGGCGGGAGAACAATATCAAGACGGAACAAAGCCAGAGGCTCAACAAGCCAATAGGCATCAACGTAGGCAGAAAAGCTCAGTTTGCCAGTCTGTGAGTGGATGCCTACCGGGTCTGGGTTTTTCCATGATGAGAACACTTCTCATACCAGAGAATCATCGCGATGGGTTCGGCTTTTAGAGTTTGGAGAGAAATTGCATGGTGGTTAACTCTCATATTGTCTGTTGCTGGGCGAGAATGGGATGACAGACGCCAAAAGTTCCATCTTGCCTGGAGACTGATCTGGACAGCCACCAACTCTGTCAATCATCTACTTCTTCCTCTGCGACCAAAGAGTAAGATGTGATAGATCAGCACGGTTTGCAGTTGATGTGTTGATCTGCGAAGTTGCTGAGTTATACTGCATCCCGTGGTAATCACGTGATCTCTACTTGATTACCTTTTGAGGCGGTTTTCAGAAAATTAATTTTCCCCCATTTTAAGCTTATGATTATGTACAATCCATGTACTCCCATGCAGCAGAATCCAGGATATCCTCAACATCATAACCCTGTGCAACTGAATTATCCGACCATTTCTAATCATCATCTCCTCGTACAACCATCGATCTATCGCCCAGTATAATTTCAACGCCGCCACCTCATCATCGGGGGCCAATTGTCCCGACCCACTCTCCTCGGAGACTTTCATATTCTTCAATTCTACGCATTCTACATACTTAAAGAGCTGATATTTTAGAGTGCTGACAAACAGGGGACTATTGAGCTCTGCAGCGAATAGGACTTCTCTCCGAGGCCCCCCAGGGGGGATTTTTCAGTGCCTTGACCATTGATCTCATGAGTTCTTTGAAATCAAACGTTACTATCATAATGTTTTGGCTTGGGACCACAGCGGGTCTCCCTGCCACGATGCCGCAAACTTTTCGTAGCTTAGAAATCAGGATCAACGTATAAAAGGGAGATTACCCTATACTCTCTTCAATATCCAATTAACCAAAATATATCCTCATTTAATCCTTGTCAAAACACATCAATCACCATGACTTGGCCCGACGTCCCCATTGCCGCCGCTGAGGGCATCTCCTACTTCACACCTGCGCAGAGCCCGCCAGCTGGTACGGCGCGCAATCCGCAAACCAGCGGCAAGGCCATTCCTAAGCTGTTCCAGCCTCTGACCATTCGAGGCCTGACTTTCCAGAACCGTCTTGGGGTATGTCTTGTCTTTCTTCTCGTCTTTTCCCCCTGTTTTCAGACTCATCAGTCTCTTCCGAACCATATACTCACATTTACTTTCCACAGGTGGCGCCCATGTGCCAATACAGTGCTGAAGATGGCCACATGACCGCTTGGCACATTGCCCACTACGGTGGTATCGCTCAGCGCGGCCCCGGAATGATCATCATTGAAGCCACCGGTGTCGTACCTGAGGGCCGTATTACTCCCGGTTGCGTGGGTCTGTGGAAGGACTCCCAAATTGCGCCTCTGAAGCAGGTCGTGGATTTCGCCCACAGCCAGGGCCAGAAGATCGGTATCCAACTGGCTCACGCTGGCCGCAAGGCCTCGACTGTTCCCCCTTGGCTGGGCGGTGTCACCGCTACCAACGCTGTTGGTGGTTGGGTTGAGAACGTCAAGGCTCCCAGTGCTATTCCCTTCGCTGAGGGTGATATCGTTCCCAAGGCCATGACCAAGGAGGATATTCAAGAGGTCAAGGAGGCCTGGGTCGCATCGGTTAAGCGCGCTCTGGCTGCTGGTATCGACTTTATCGAGATTCACAATGCCCACGGATACCTACTCTCCTCTTTCTTGAGCCCTTCGTCCAACCAGCGTACCGACGAGTATGGCGGCAGCTTCGAGAACCGCATCCGTCTGCCTCTGGAGATTGCCCAGCTCACCCGTGACACTGTTGGCCCGAACGTCCCCGTCTTCCTGCGTGTCTCTGCTACCGATTGGCTGGAGAACAGCTTGCCCGAGGAGAAGGGCTGGAAGTTGGAGGATACGGTTGAATTTTCCCGTGCCCTCGCCGAGCAGGGTGCTATTGACCTGATTGATATCAGTACTGGTGGTGTTCACGCTGCCCAGAAGGTTACCTCTGGTGTTGGCTTCCAGGTTCCTTTCGCTACCGCCGTCAAGAAGGCTGTCGGCGATAAGATCCTCGTGTCGGCAGTTGGTACCATCAACAGCGGTGTTCTGGCCGAGAAGATCATGAACGAGGATGACATTGACGTGATCCTGGTTGGCCGTGCTTTCCAGCGTGATAGCGGTCTCGCCTGGGCTTTTGCTAAGGACTTGGACGTTGAGATTGCCATGGCTGCGCAGATTCGGTGGGGTTTCACCAGTTTCCGCAATGCATCGGAGTATATCCAGCCCAACTCGATGAAGGCTTCCATTTTTGATTAGATAGTTTTGTTTTCCCCCTTTCTTGTTTTGCAATAGAGCGTATAGATAGATATAGAGCATTATGAACGAACAATGATGATTGATACTGCTAAATCCGGTGCTTACCTGGACGTTTCTGAGAGACTTAACTTGTATATAGGTACATTCATGAGCTCTGAGTAAGGTTCTATCGGGTGCTGCAGGACAATCGACTCTCGCACGTCTGCAACCTTTTTTCAACTGTCCAGAAGTACAGCTACTCCAGCAGCATTGGGCACAAAAACTTTTGATCAAAGCAATTTCTTAGGATGAGGATGCCAAAGACACCTCTCTCAGCTTGAAGAACATACAGAGACCCTGCCTATATCTTTACCTAGCGTTGACACAATCTAAACGGGTAACTACTAGTTACAGTGGAGACCGGGAGACTGCAATAGGGTAACCCCTTACTTAGACTGACCAGGAAGCAGGGGCCTTCTGAAAGGAAAGAAAAAAAGATGCTAGGGCTCGAACTTGAACGATGGACTTCTAAAAAAACAAACCCGCATGGCTGGGAATTATCCTATGCCTGTCCACGCCTTACCAGGGGATATCAATCCCTGGCCGCCTACGACTGGATCGGAACTTTCGAACGTTGAAGGTCGTCATGTAACATAACCGCTTTACCATCGTAACGGGCTGTTGATGGAAACAGCAGTATTTGAAAATATTCCTCAATCATTGGGCAACAGCGTAATCACTTCTGAGCAGACCAGGTCTGTCTAGTTTATGAGAACAATGGCTGTTCAGGCAGAAAGAAATATACGATATCATCTCTGAGTCGAGGTTAAATAGTATCAAACTCGATAACTGTCTCAGCCATAATCAGTTCACATATTTAAACCTGATCATATTAATCATGGTCGTTAATTATAATATTTGCGGACATTGTTCACCACTGTTGTGCTGGAGCAAGAACCAAGAACCCGCTGGATGAATGACGCCAAGAGCGGTTGCGGGGAAAGTCAACGTGGTGCGGAGGACGAGCTTCGCTTTCCCACCTCAATTCCCCCATCAAAATGGCGGTCCCCCAGCGGACGCTGACCTGGCTATACTCAGTCTTGTCCAAGGTATGTACCTGCACAGCCATCAGTCCATACTCAACTGACCCCACTGCAGGACCATCACGACCCTAAACAAACCTACCACGATCCCAACCGGACCTACCACGATGTTGCCAATGCGCTCGCCCAGTACCCCTCGCTCTCCCCGCGGACCGATGTCTACAGTAGGCTACACCACTCAATGCACTATATCACAATAACTCTGACACACATTCTCCTCCAGCATATGAGAATGGCTTCTCGGCGCTCCTCCTCCACCTCGTAGGCACACTCCCGGTCGCCTTCCGGGGCACCACATACCGATTCCCCGTCGCGCTTTGGATTCCGAATACATACCCTCGGGAGCCTCCGATCATCTATGTGACACCTACACAGGATATGGCGGTCCGTGTTGGGCAGCATGTGACCCTGGAGGGGCGGGTATATCATCACTATTTGGCCCACTGGGCGGAGGCCTGGGATGTGAGTAGAGTCGAGGAATTGCCTCTTGAGCAACAGGGATGTTGGATATACAGGCTGACCATATCTCTTTTCTGTCATAGAGGTCAACTATTTCCGATATGCTGTCAATTCTCCGAGAAGTGTTCGCCAAAGAACCTCCAGTTCGATACAGGCAACCGATGGCCCCTCAAGCCCAGCCGCAGCAGGCTCCCGTGCAGACACCACCCCCGGTACCTCCTTTGCCTCCTGGAATGGGACCTTCGACAGCTCAAGCTCCGAGTCCAGCACACAGTCAATCTCCCAGTCGGGCAGCAAATACTCCACCACAGCTGCCCCCGAAACCCGGTGTTAGTGCAGAGGCTCAACCGCCGCCTGCACAAGGCGCAGAGCGATATCAATCCCCTCCTCCGCTCCCTCCATTGCCGCCGAAGGGACATGATGTCTCTCGAGGTTCCGTCTCGGGTCATATGGGTGTGATGAGTCCAGGAAGTCGATTATCTCGGCAATTCGTTCCGGCGCAACCGCCTATACAACCTCACATGCAACCAGTCCCAGCGGCTTATAGCAGAACCCCCGGGGGGCCCATTAGCCCTGGTGCTGGCTATGCTCCCCATGCAGCTTTGCCCCATCAAGCTGGACCGTCTGCTGGACCTCAAATACCGTTGTCGCAACAGCAGCAACAGTCATACGCCCAACCAATACCCCCAGCACATCCCTCTCAATATCCGGGATACCAGCCACCTGGCCAGCATCAACAGCAACAGCCACAGCCACAAGGACCTCCATATTCAGAGCGCTCTTCCTACTCACAGAGCAACTATCAAACCCCACTGCCAGCAGCACCAGCACCAAAGAAAGAAACCCAGGATCTCCTCACATCCCCCTTCGAGCTCGAACTACCATCATTCACCCACACAGGGCCAGCACCTCCCATCCCCCCAAATCCCGAGAAAGACGCCCTACTCAACGCCGTCTCGCAAACCTTCGCTGAGACTCTAAACAGCCACGCCGCACAATCCGACTCGGCGGCGCAATCCCTCGTCTCACAGTCCCACTCTCTCCAAGCCGCCATGGCAACTCTCCAGGCCGAAGTGGCATCCCTCAATGCCCTCCATTCAACCCTCCAATCCAACACCTCAATCTTACAACAAACCATCCACCGCGCAGACGCAACCATCGCAGACGCCCAGGCCCGCTCCGCATCCAGCGGTCCCGGTCACGGTGCCGGTCTCTCTTCTTCAACCACAACTGGCCCTGCAGACTCACACCCCGGTCTCCCTGCTATCGACGAAGTCCTCGTCGCGCCAACGGTAGTAGGCAAGCAACTGTACGATCTCGTCGCGGACGAACAGGGCCTGCAACATGCCCTGTATGCGTTGCAGTCTGCATTGGTGCGCGGTGTGATTGGGGTTGATTCATGGTCGAGACATACTCGTGGTCTGGCGCGGGAGGCGTTTTTGAAACGTGCGTTGATCCGGAAGATTGGGCGTGGGATGGGTTTGGAGGAGAGTGTGACTGCGGTGTGATTGGAGATGGAGATGGAAAGAGGGCTTTTGTCGTGGTAGATGGGTCTGGTAGATAAGGAGAGGTGGGATTTATTGTAGATACCCTCGTTTTCTATTTTATTTATGTTTTGAACATTTTCTTTCATACGTGGCATCTCATCTAGAGATTGGTATTCCGATTATTAACGTAAAGGGGTGATTGAAAGTATGGGTTTCTAGGGTGGAGGTGACAGCTCACATCCAAGGGCGGAAATATCTGGACGGAGATATGCAAGACACATGGTCGTAGTGGCTGTACAACTTCATAGCAGATAAGGTTTACCCACCACCAGTGCAAATCGATTCGATCAGATATCGACGAGATTATGCACGACAATCTAGATACCCCACTTGAGTTTATCTATGCGAGTAGATAAGTTGACGTGCGAGTAGCCTCAGATAAAGACGATGTTTTTTTTAGATGGGCCTGACGAATGTATTTAATGACTTGAACTCAGATTCATAAAATGACCAGTTACTGATTCATTGATTTCAAGACTGTTCCGCCTTCCCACGAGTGCTTTTCTCGCTGTACATAGCACCCAGGGAAATACACGAAACCGACGCCCAACAGATAAATATACCAAGTCCCAAGGTAGTTTCATACGTACAAAGAATGATAGAACGGAAAGGGGAGAGAGAGAGATGTGACAAGTTGGGAACGCGAGTGGGAATGAAAAGGAAATATGACAAAAACAATGACATGACATCACAGGTTACCAGTCGCTCATTTGACCTCGTTGTCATCAGAGAATGGACTCCGTACTCGCGGGGGTGGTGTCTTGTTAGAGTGACGGGAGGTGCGTTTCTGATCTACGGAAGAAGAGTTGGCCTCGGATGTGCTGAGATGGTCCTGGAAAGGACCAGCATCTTGAGTTGCTTCTTCCGACGTGGAAGTGGTCTTGGCCTTGGTTGAGGTGGAGGAGGTAGTTGGTCGGGTTTCATCGCCTTCTTCATCCGAAGAGTTGCCGTCGAATGTGGATGTTTGATGATCGAATTGACGGCTACTATCCGACCCGGCAGTGGTCGGTTTCTTGTCTGCCTCGGCTGCCTTATTGGTGACGGCCTGTCCGTCCTTCTTCTTCACTGATTGACCACGAACCATGACGGGCTTCGCCATCACTTGGCGGGCCACGATGGAGCTGCCGCTCTGTGCCATAGCTCCGGCCTTGGCCAGTTGAGTCGAGGTGATGGCTGGAACGGCGGGGGCATCTCTGGGCGTGATCATGACGGGAACCGGTTGGGTCGGGGTGCTAGCACCAGAGCCACCAGGGCCATTGTGGACACTGACGATGTTGGCCCGAGAACGCTGGATCTGTTGTGCTGGGGTCGCGCTGACGATGGCGTCACTGCGGTAAACGGTGGTTGCCACACTGCTCCGCAGGGTTGGCGACATGCTTTGATGACCCGTCATCGTGGTCCAGGAGGAATCCCGCAGGTCACCCGGCATGAAGAAGTGCTGATCGGGGTGAGCACCCGGAAGGGGTGGCACAGGAGGTACCAGCGTGGCAGGGGTCTCTGGAGGGGAGCGATTGGTGACGCCTGGAATGTAGGCGATTTGAATGACGTTGGAGGCACGGGTGAGAACGGTAGAGGCGATGGATTGGGTGGATTGACGTCCATCCCGGGCGGCATTGAAGGCGCTGTGGTCCTTCTCTTCGGCTTGAGCGTTGCGTCGCTTGCGAATGACAAACCACCAGATGAGGAAAAGGAGCACGGCCAGAGCGATCACACCTCCGACCACACCACCAGCGATAGCACCGACATTGGTGCCTTTGGCCGGGGGTGCAGTATTGGTTGAGGTGGACACACATTTCGTGGTGGAACAGCTGTCGCAAGTCTGGGCGGTCATAGTACAGGTCTGGCCATCAGGGCAAGCCGGACAGGTAGGGACGGAGTCACATGTTATGCAACTCTCTCTCTTCAAGCGGGAGGGAGTGAAGCCATCTATGGTAAATGTGTTAGTAAAGGAAGTCTCGGGCATCTTGGATATCGATAGAAGGAGAGACACGGGAGGAGCGAAAGGAGGAACGGAAGTGTTCGTACCGATGGGCGAGAAGGAGGAGGGGCGGACGGGTTTGAGAAGCATAATGGGCGAGGAAGACGTGGGATTGACGAATGAGGCAGAACAAAGGTTTGATATCAACAAAGGCGACCGGTCAACGGGCGGCGAGGGAATGTGCAGAGGAGTCGTGAGACGATGATAGTGAAACGAAAAGAGAGTGTCGGGCTCAAACGGCGTCAAGTCGTGAGCGAAATCGCTAGATCATGGAAAAAAGGGACAACGGTCGAGGCGAGGTCGACGGTCGCAAATCGGGAAACGAGTGTGTGATGAGAAGAGAACCGGATGGAGGAATTCAAGGATAATGGACGGTCATCGTCCAGGTATCCGCGTATCGAAGGCGACCGGTGGGATGAAAAACGGAGCCCGATACGAGTCGAGAACCGGTGAGGGCGAAAAGAGGATGGGGAGAGGAGAAGGGGAAGAGTTGGTTGTAAGAAGAGATGAAAATCTCTCGGGAAATGAGGAGAACAGAACGGGGGGGGGGGACAGATGGGCTAGACACAGTCACGGGGGCCTTAGCAGGACGTGGACGGGGGTTCCACTTTGAACCGGTCGGATTGCTTGAATGGTTCCTGGATGATGACGGGTGTGTATAGGGGGGAAAGTGAGACGGTAGTTGACGATGGAAAAGAGTTGAATTCTAAAAGACTATATCAAGCTATGCTATGGGACTATAAAAGAGAGAGTTGAATTCTCATTGACGAGGCTGGCAGTGTTTCAAGTGGTGCACCTTGCATTATCCCCAACTCTCCTTTGTCTGCTTGCACCAAGTTTCTGGGCGGGACGGCGGGAAGAAGACGGGAGTACCTGGACTGACCGGAAGGGAAGAATCGGTTTCTCCGGTGTGGCAGGAGTGGAAGGAGCGCTAAAAGTGGAAAAGGAACCAGTCTGGACTCGGAAAAGAGTCGGCCCGGAAAGAACGGGAAATGAGGCTGAGGTAAGCAGTCATGTGAAGAAACTCGAAAGCTCATTGGACCAGCGGACACACCAGACGCTTACTGTGGTGTTTCTCTCGACGACTGTGTACTAAAATGTGCGGCTGAACTACTGCACATATATTATGCCAGACCAATTCTGAATTGCGCCATCAAATCACTTAACCTTTGGGCTATGCTAATCTTGATCCTCACGGCTGAAGGGCTGTCCAAGCCCTAATCCCAGTCAAGGTGCAGATGGAACCCTTTCTGCGGGAGATGAAGGCCCCCAACCTGAGACACGCCAGACACGGGAGGAGGCGAAGCCACCAGTCCCGGTTGGCTGGTGGCTGTGGCAAAGAGTGTCTGTGCCATTTGTGTCCCGTATTTTGCATTTGGTGGTTACGGTTGATGATGTTGATGTTAGCCAATGATAATCGGGGCAGAGGGCAGTCCCTGTCAGCGTGGTCCAGCCCTGTCCCTGGCCAATATTACCTTATTCGGTATGTGGAGTATCTCGTTTGCCTGCCAGTTGTTGTTCATGGTACTGTATTAGTTAAGTAGTACAGTGCTGTTGCTCATCCAAATTCAGGCACTGCTGCATTGTACTCCCGACACCATGAAGAATTATGAAATGAAGGATGACGGACCCGAGGGAGAGTCCGTGGAGGCGTTGACCATATCTTTTGGGGACTGCATAGGGCTGCCGTCCATATATATCTTTCCGCCACTGGCGTCCATCAGCCACGCTGAACTAGGTCTCTACCCAAAAGTACCTGGATATCACTCAGGCTTACGCGATATATATAGACACTTCTACAAATGTAGATACAGATGAAGAGCAAATATGACATACTTCGCAGGTGTAGTCGTGGTTTGCAGTGTACCTACAAAGTAGACCGACAAGTAATAATTGGAGGTACGCAGAAATAAAGAAGAACTACCAAAGAAGTATAAGAGTAAAATAGACTGCGACTATCGTTCAGATAAGCTTCTCAACAGAGCGCACTAGTTGCTCTGTACAGTACCTACAGATAGAGATGATTAAACGGCGTTGTACCTCGATCGGATGTCTGCAGTCCTCTCGATGCTGTGTCCTCTCTGCATAGCCGATACCGTCGTGGCGACATACCACACGGCATGAGGAATGCAGAAATCCTGGCACTACTGTAGGTACAACTGGCAACTCTGGAGGGCAGTACCGACCGTAGAGAGACTCCATAACCAGGAAATTCGTCCTCTTCACTCTTTCGAATCCTTCTTTGTTCCCATCTAGCCTCGTCTCTCGTATCAAAGAAGATTCAAAGGACCCACAGAACAAGGCTGAAAGAGCTGAGGGAGTTTGACTGATTCATTAGCTCATGCTCACCGACTGTTTCACCAGTGGAACTTGGTGATTGGGTTGCGTGGGGCTGCCCTATTGTGGTTAAGCGTGTGTGGAGATCTGGAGAAAAGACTAGTGGTGGAACCAGTGGACGGAGGGGCTAAAAAAAAGACTAGAAAAGGGAGGGAAAAAAGTGACTAGGGGGAGACTGTCGGGGAGACTTGAGTCTATGAAAACTAGACAGCTTAGTATGGAAGATGTTCTAGCTTACAGTTATATATTCAAAAAGAGAGTATATTCCCTCGCCAGTATTGAACTGGAAAAGAACAGAACCAGCCCAAGCGGAGCAGTGGATCCCAGGGAGTAATCCGTCCTGACCAGTCAAGGGTCTGTAGTCCCTGAGTCCCTGAGTCCCTTTCCAGTCCCTTTTCTGGTCCCTGATGGGCTCCATTCAGGGTTGCTTCTCCATAGTCCATACCTCGAGATCTTGCAGAATCTCCCGCCTCGCGCGAGTACCTGGCCCCAAGGGATGGAGTATGTGCATATTTTGTATCATGCATAATGCACCACCCTCTCTGTTCATCTCCCCAATGACTCTAGAATCCTTGGTCCCGTGTCGTCTCCCGAGAGTATACCTGTCGGAGATCAACTGTACATCCCACGCCTCCCAGAATCATGCAGCGGCGTGGCCAGGGAGGCCACCCTGGTATTGATTGGGCTGGAAGATGATAATCCAGACCAACGAATCATTGATTGAGACATCACGGTAGCAGACTAGTTTGCCTCGGATTTTTATTAGATTCCTATATAGATTTTTTACCTGTTTGTGATTGATGCGCGGTGATCGAGGGTGGGAAGCTAAGCCCACTGGGGGTTAGAGACGGTCTATTTTTGCCCTGTCTCCCTTTAGTTTTTTTTCCCTCCTTCCCAAGCCAAAATACGATCGCGCTTCGTCTCACCAAGAAAGCCGCTCCTCCTCTTCTTCTCCTCCTTTTTCTTTCTTCCTTTCGCATTCCCTGCCTTCTTCTTTCCCATCCTTCTTTCCTCCCACCCGACCCAAGTCTTATTTGGTGTCATCTTACTTTCTTGGTCGGGAGTAATTACTCGACTTACTTAATTCACCTCTCAACCCCTTTGTTCACCAAGGGAAAACACCACACTGTTAATTCAAGCGGAACCCTCCCTTTTTTCGAACGGGAGACACAACTTGCCAATCCTCCACACCCTGGAAACCCTCGACGCGGTGCAAGAGCCCCCAACCCTTACGACCTGCAGCCCTGGTGGCTTTATTCTTCCGGCTCCTGCTTTGATCACCACGACCTCCTCTTTCGACACTACCCCTCTTCGGATTTGGACCACAACCGCCGTTTAATTTTACGTGTTCCCTCCGCCGCGCGACCATCATGGCCTACCAAGGGTCTGGCGCGCATTCGCCCAAGTACGAGAGCCATCAAGATGCTCCCGCTCAAGTACGCGCCCCACGGTTCATCACTTCCTTGTCCGGGGATGATTTACTCAACACTCTTTCTTTCTCCATCATGAACAAACAACGAACCACAAAGAAACAAACCCAAATGCTAATCTACTCGCTAGTATCGGGAGGATGAAGATGCCTCGCACGGATTGTTGTCCCACCAGCAGGGTCCCTTTGCGACCCCTTTTGATGACCCGCACTCTCGAGGGGTCTCTCCCGTGCGCCCGGCTTCGGGATACAGTCTGACCGAGACTTATGCCTCGGATTCAGCCCCCGGCTACCATGATCCCTATGCGACGGGCTCTGTCTACTCGGGCCAGTCGGAGAGTCCCGCAGCTGCCTTTGGCGTCCCCGGCCGCGTTGCCTCACCTTACGCTCGCAGCGAGACCTCGTCCACCGAGGCCTGGCGCCAGCGACAAGCTCCTGGAGGTGGAAACCCCGGTGGTGGTAACCTGCGCCGTTATGCCACCCGTAAGGTGAAGCTGGTCCAGGGTTCCGTCCTGAGTGTCGATTATCCCGTGCCCAGTGCCATTCAAAATGCCATACAGGCTAAATACCGCAACGACCTTGAGGGTGGCAGCGAAGAGTTCACTCACATGCGATGTAAGTAACGTGAACTCGTGGACCGGGATCTCTGGACCCAAAAAGTCCATCAAGCAGACGACCAGGCTCGTGGCTAACCCGCTTTCTCCCTCGTCTAGACACCGCTGCGACTTGCGATCCCAACGAGTTTACCCTTCACAATGGCTACAATCTGCGTCCCGCCATGTACAACCGTCACACCGAGCTGCTCATTGCCATTACCTACTATAACGAGGACAAGACCCTGACCTCGCGTACCCTGCACGGTGTCATGCAAAACATCCGCGATATCGTCAACCTCAAAAAGTCCGAGTTCTGGAACAAGGGTGGTCCTGCGTGGCAGAAGATCGTCGTGGCCCTCGTGTTCGACGGTATCGACCCTTGCGACAAGGACACTTTGGATGTCCTGGCCACCGTTGGTATCTACCAGGATGGTGTCATGAAGCGCGATGTCGACGGCAAGGAGACCGTGGCCCACATTTTCGAATACACAACTCAGTTGTCCGTGACGCCGAGCCAGCAACTGATCCGACCCACCGACGATGGCCCGAGCACCCTGCCCCCTGTTCAGATGATGTTCTGTCTCAAGCAGAAGAACAGCAAGAAGATCAACTCTCACCGTTGGCTGTTCAACGCTTTCGGTCGTATTCTCAACCCCGAGATCTGCATCTTGCTCGATGCCGGAACTAAGCCTGGTCCTAAGTCTCTCCTGTCCCTCTGGGAGGCCTTCTACAATGACAAGGATCTCGGTGGTGCCTGTGGTGAAATTCACGCCATGTTGGGTAAGGGCTGGCGGAACCTGGTGAACCCGCTGGTGGCGGCGCAGAACTTCGAGTACAAGATTAGTAACATTTTGGATAAGCCTCTGGAGAGTTCTTTCGGTTACGTGTCCGTGCTGCCCGGTGCTTTCTCTGCCTATCGATTCCGCGCGATCATGGGTCGTCCGCTCGAGCAGTACTTCCACGGTGATCACACCCTGTCGAAGCAGCTGGGTAAGAAGGGTATCGAGGGTATGAACATTTTCAAGAAGAACATGTTCTTGGCCGAGGATCGTATCTTGTGTTTCGAGTTGGTCGCCAAGGCCGGCTCCAAGTGGCATTTGTCTTACGTCAAGGCCTCCAAGGCCGAGACTGACGTGCCCGAAGGTGCCGCTGAGTTTATCTCGCAGCGTCGTCGTTGGTTGAACGGTTCGTTCGCCGCCGGTATTTACTCGCTGATGCATTTCGGCCGTATGTACAAATCTGGCCACAACATCATTCGCATGTTCTTCTTGCACATTCAGATGCTGTACAATATCTTCAACACCATTCTCACCTGGTTCTCCCTGGCCTCCTACTGGTTGACCACCACTGTCATTATTGACTTGGTCGGCACTCCCAGTCCGAGCAACGGCGACAAGGCTTTCCCCTTCGGCAAAACCGCTACCCCCATTGTCAACACCATCGTCAAGTATGTATACTTGGGTTTCCTGCTGCTCCAGTTCATCCTTGCCCTGGGTAACCGTCCCAAGGGTTCCAAGTTCTCGTACCTGGCTTCCTTTGTCGTCTTCGGTATCATCCAGGTGTACATCGTCGTGGATTCGTTGTACCTGGTGATTCGTGCCTTTACCGGCGGCGCCCCGATGGATTTCGTCACCAACGACGGCGTGGGAGCTTTCCTCAAGTCTTTCTTCTCCTCGTCTGGTGCTGGTATCATTATCATTGCCCTGGCTGCCACCTTCGGACTTTACTTTGTCGCCTCCTTCATGTACGCTGACCCGTGGCACATGTTCACCTCGTTCCCCGCCTACATGGTCCTACAGTCCTCGTACATCAACATCCTCAACGTCTATGCCTTCAGCAACTGGCACGATGTGTCTTGGGGTACCAAGGGTTCCGACAAGGCTGATGCGCTGCCCTCTGCCAAGACCACCAAGGACGAAGGCACGAAAGACGCAGTCATAGAGGAAATTGATAAACCGCAGGCCGATATTGACAGTCAGTTTGAGGCTACCGTCAAGCGCGCGCTGACCCCTTTCGTTGCTCCCGTTGAGCATGATGAGAAGTCCCTGGAGGATTCGTACAAGAGCTTCCGTACGCGTCTCGTCACCTTCTGGATTTTCAGCAATGCCTTCCTGGCTGTGTGTATTACTAGCGAGGCAGTTGACAAGTTCGGTTTCACGGTATGTCCATCCCTTTCCCCCTATGGTCTGCATTCTGTTGGAAGAGTCTCCATACTGACAAAATTCCTAGAACACTGCCACCACTCGTACCGCTCGTTTCTTCCAGGCCCTCCTGTGGTCCAACGCCGTCATGGCCCTGTTCCGCTTCATTGGTGCCTGTTGGTTCTTGGGTCGCACTGGTATCAAGTGCTGCTTCGCCCGCCGGTAGACGGATGTGCGGACGTACTTGTCTTCTGCTATATTTTTTTCCCTTCCCTTTTCGTTATTGATGAAACACCCCCTTCTTGGCACATGTTTTTCCTTCTCTCCGCCTTCATCCTGTTCTTCTTCATTCTGTCCTTTTTATCTTCAGCTATCGTGATCTGTATTCTACCTAAAGATGCCCGTTACCTTGGAACTTTTTCTTTTATTTGTGATGCCAGTATGTATTGTCGTGGAAGGTTGACTAGCAACCTTGACACTCCGTGATACTCTTCTTTTTGTCGGACCAGCGATGCAATGGGAATGCATTCGGGGCGCAATGAATCCTTGTGAGATCTGATTAAAATCAACTGCCTAAATACTTTGTATTAACTTTGTATTCGGATAGTACCCTGTTGATTATTGTGTAGAATTTGGTGGTGTCAAAGTACGTCATGTCCCAGTGTAAAGGCGGACAAAGTTGGGACTCTACCGGGCGATAGAAGGGACCCGCCGGGCTTAGAAACGAACCCCCCGCAAGTCTTCTCCTCCTTCACCACTCAACCTCAGACTACTCGCCACCACCAAGCTCGACTTTACATTCGACTTGTGGCATTCCTGTCTGGATCGCTTTTCCATCACCCTTTGCGCCCCTCTCCCCTTCCTCCGGACCCACTCCTATCTCGCGATCTCCGTCATTCCACCAGGTGGGGTGGTGACTCCCAGCCAAGATGTTGAAGATCTGGTCGATGGTATGGCTACCCTGTGTATTATGAAGGTCTCTAGTGGATGAATCAAAGACTCACTCCTTCTCCTCATACAGAAGCAGCAGCAGGCGCAGGCTGAAAATGCCGAAGGCGCAGCTGGAAAGAAGAAGAAGAAGGTTACCGCCGCACAGCTGCGCGTGCAACGAGGTCTGTTTCTCTCTGGGATCTCTCGATCGATGGCCCTTTTACCCTGGTTTTTTCCTGAAGATGACTTTTACTGACTCTTTCTATCTATCTCTCCTCTACAGACCTCCAAGAACTCACCCTCGGAAATACCATGAAGATGTCCTTCCCGAACCCCGACGACATCCTGAACTTCACTTTGACCATCGAGCCAGACGAGGGCATGTATAAGGGTGGTGTCTTCAACTTTAGTTTCGCCGTCAACCAGAATTTCCCCCACGACCCGCCCAAGGTCAAGTGTACCCAGAAGATTTATCACCCAAACATCGATCTGGATGGGAACGTGTGCTTGAATATCCTGCGCGAGGACTGGAAGCCCGTGTTGAACTTGAATGCGGTTATTGTGGGCATGCAGGTGCGTTGTGTCTGGCTGTTTTTCTCGATCTGCGATTCGTCATGGACTAACAGGTTACTTTCCATTCTCTTGCAGTTCCTCTTCCTCGAGCCGAATGCCTCTGATCCTCTCAATAAGGATGCCGCAGAGGACCTCCGCACCAACCGTGAGGGCTTCAAGCGGAATGTGCGCTCCTCTATGGCCGGCGGGTCCGTCCGGGGCGTGAGTTTCGAGCGGGTTCTTCGATAGAACTGAGAAACCCTGGTCAATTCGTTGCTCTGCTCTGAATGGGGGTCTCGCCAGTCTAGCAGGGTCTCTTTTCTCTGAATGCGCCAGGATGGGTGATGAGGGTTGCGGCTGAGGGTTGAGACTGGATTATGAGAGACGCGAACATGATGATTCATGGCTCTACAGGGTGGACTTTTATCTCCGAGGCAAGGAGTTTCAAGTACATATAACCGGCGTAATTAGCGTTTGAATTCAATAGATCCCGTTCGATCAAAAATGGGATGAAGATGAGTGGTGCATGCGGAAATGGCGTAATGCATCTGGTAAAACCCGGAGGAAGGATCTCGATCTAGAACTACAAGTACCTTAGAGCCGTAGGTTATAGCCCATTCGAGCAGCGTACAAACCCGTGAGACATGAAGAGAGCCTGGAATAAGAAAGGACCAGAAATAGAAAGAAATTGATCACAGGCGTATATGTACAATCAGTTCCAACACCAAAAACCCACCCACACTCGACCAGGAACCCATCGACGCATCTCGCTCATGGAGAAATACAAAAAGACCCCGGAATTTCCTTGACACAAGGGTACAGTATAATTGATTGATTGCATTTTTGGGGAGGATAGGATCTCAGTTCACAAAGGGAAACGCAGTGATGCCGATGGGCGGAAATGATGAGATGGTCGAGGGGATGCGACTAGTGTTGACTGATTTATGCGCGCTGGGCGGCACGCTCCTGCTCGAGACGAGTGTAGTAGGTATCACGCTCGCGGACACGGGGCAGGTGGTAGCCTGGAAAATGGGTGGAATTGTTAGACTTGATTGTTCGCAGGCTGTCGGGGAGATGGTTCATGATACGTACCGTACCACCAGAGGTAGCCGAAGGTGGTGCCGAAGCCTAGATGGGAAGATGGTGGTTAGTTACTGGTGATATTTGGCGAGTATGTATGCCCATATGGCTGCCTGTTGCACTGCAGACAGCTGGAATCTCGAAAGAACATTGCGCCGCGAGCAATTGCCGCATCCCAAATCTCAGTCCATCATGCGATCATGCCACTCATATCCCAACTCCAAAGAAACAACTCAGTCACTCACCGAAAGCGGTGCTCAGGTCCAGAACGAGACCACGGCGAAGCATCTACAAATAAAACAACATGTTAATCAATTGTCCAGAGCTAGTCAAGCACCCGACCAGTCCGCTCGGGGCAAGCCGGGTCTCATGTGGAAGGGGGGTACACCTACGCCGGTGATGGGGGGGATAGCGGCGCCCATTGTAGCGGATAGACAGTGTCAGTCGATACTCGGTGGGATGTTGACTGGTGTTGGACAGAATTGATCCTGCCTCGAGGGGTTGCGGGGTGAGCAAAGGTGGAGGAGAGGAGAGTGACGGAGTGAAGTGGACGGGAAGTGAAGTTGAAGCTTTCGGGCGGACTAAGCGAGGCTCCGGATTGGTCGATGGGGTCTGGCGGGCACCTCACGCCATTGATGATTGATGGGAGGTTGGGTGATGATTTGGGATGATTTGGGATGATTTGGGATTTGAGAATAGACAAATTATTGCTCTTCTTTCTTTTCAATTCCCTTTTATTTGATCTACTTTCTACCTCGACTGATTCCTCTTTATGTAGCTCTCACAGAAAAGTAGATGCCTCAGGAACCACGCACGTGACCCAGGCCCATCCCGACGGGGCGACCAGCTCGTCTCTCGTCTCGAAAGCAGCTTTCGTCCTCGAAATCACCCTTCCAGAGGCCATGGCGACGTCGGGCCAAGTCAAGCGCTCTTCTTCTCACCTGGAAGCTGCTGACAACAAGCGACCCAGACAATACTATCACCATCACCACCGCCTGGCCGAACCAGTGTCTCTGCCGCAGGCTTGCGAGCCTGCTCTGCAAGATGAGGACAATGTCGAGCATATGATGAACAGGGCGATAGGGCATTTTCTCCGAGATGCAGGATTTGACATGGCCGATCCAGCTGCGTTGTCCAGTTTCCGCAGCGCCGCGGAAGAGTGTATGTTTTGACCAGAATCGGGAGGTTCATCTCAACATGGGGAAGAATTGACCTAATCTGACAACTGCTCGTGATTCGATCCAGACTTGCTACACATCTCCAAATTCGTTCGCCAGTCCATGCTATCCGCACGACGTGTCCAACCGATCGCACCCGACTTTGAATATGCGTTGAACCACCATCGCATCACACCCGATGACCTCCGTCCCTATCTCAAGTTACCTCCAACTGTCACGCCAATCCGCACTCTCCTTCCATCTCCACCACCCGAGGATGAAGTGAAACGCAAACTCCCCTTCTTGAATGCCCTCCGAGGCGAAGAGAGCGAGACCAACCGGTCATACGTGCCCAAGCACTTCCCCGATTTCCCCAGCAAACATACCTACTCCTCTACCCCGGTGTTTACCGAGCGCGACAACGACCCGCGCAAAATCCGCGAACGCGCCGCGGAAGATGGTCGACATGGTGAAGAGGCATTGCGAAAGCTGGCCAGTGCTGCGTATCGCGACAGCCCGACTGGCGCGATCGGCCGGGATAAGAAGCTCTGGGGCAGGCGGATGGAGAGCATGGAGACTATGTTTGAGAAGACTGTGAAGGGATTGGCCAAGAAGCTACACAAAGATCCGCTGGCTGCTCCAGGCTTGAATGCTGCTGTGGGTTCTGCCATGGAGATTGATTCAGGCCCGGTCTTGGGCTTGGACGGAGACGCAAAGGCTCGAGCCAAGGTGCCGTGGAATCAGGAGATGGGCCCGATTGTCAATTGCGAGCGAGATTATTGGCGACGAACAACGGCGGCCAGCAGACGAGGTGCAGATGATAAGACGCCAAAGCCGACTACCGCTGTCGAGGCTGTGGATGGCCATTTGGGCACATGAGCAATGACGGCGTGGAAGGGGATCAGGCCTGGACAAGACTACATTATCGGCGTTCTCACATTTCCTTATTCTGGGTCTTTTTGGGTCATTTCTTGGGCTGGCACTTTCGTGTATGTTTTCGGAGTCGTTCTTGAGGAGATAGATACCCCATGGCAGTTGCAGCATGACAATGATTGTTTGATTTCATCCTCGTCCTTCGTAATTCCATAACTCCGCCCAATGCAAAAAAGCTCAATTTATACGTATGCGGTGTCCAGAGAGACCGTGATCTATCACGACTTTTTGTCTGTCGCCTTCTTCTGAGCTTCCTCCGCAGCTATCCTGATCGGCTCCCATGCAGTACTTTCCACCGTCAACCCTCCGGCGCATCTAGAGTGACCACCCATTAGTCGCCATAACATCCTATTTGCAGTGTTCAAAGTCTCACCGTCGAAACAGCCGTGTAATCGGCTGGCACGTAATCACACCTGGTTGTGGAATTTCTCCTTGAGGCGGATTGCAGGAGTATTGCACCATCTCGAGCAGCTGGCACTCTTTCAGGTTCACGGCTGGACCTTTGCGACGCTTTTCTTGGAAGTTGCGCTGGATGGTGTGGACATGATCGGGGAGGTTTTCTGTGTGGAACACATGGCATAAAGGTGCCATATTGGAAGAATTGGGACAAGATTTGCCGGTCTTTACGTGGTCGAGGGAATTCCGGGGAGTTGAATGGGGAGATTCGAGGTTGCGCAGTTGAAGTTCCCTCCAAAAGTCTCCGGCCGCGGAAGCTTCCGTGCCCCCGAACTACTGCAACAAATCGACTTGCTCAGTCGTTGATGCACGACAACGCGTCTTGCCAGGAGTCAATGCAACAGTACCTGCAGAGAACTGCATGTATCTGATCTTTCCAGATATGCATGATTTATAAGAGTGCAGGCTCCTGACCGTCATGGCTGCCAGCTTAGGCGACACGTCACTGGCTGACATTCATCACGAAGGGCTGGATCAGGTATCTAAGGAAGTTCCACAACATAATATCTCCCGGCATTGCTGACCTTGTTCACTAGCTTCTAAATGATCTGGCCAATGTATACCCTACTAGCCCTGGTCAGCAACAGCCGCTCTTGGGTGTCCCGGTCATCGATGCATTGCTGGAAGTCTTTATGCAGAGATTACCGGGCATGTCGATTGAGACAGAACGGCAGTTAAACGATACTGCATTGCCAGAGCAAATAGTCACAGAAGATGAGGAGGTTCTCTTGCGCCACGAAAATCTGGATGACGAGACCGCCGCTCCTGGGGATCGACCTGCTCAAGTAGGACGTGATTCATCCAATGTCTTCATTTCAAGCTCCACCCCCAGACACAAGCGACCATCCCCAGTCGTGGAAATTTCCAGCAGTCTATCGGGAGCTGGTAAAACGCAGCTGCTATATTATATGACTGCGCGTGCCATCCTGCCGAGAAATTATGGCGGCATATCAATCGGAGGACTTGAAGCAGCTATGGTCTGGATGGACGCTGATGACCGGTTTGATGTCTACAGACTAAAATGTGTGGCTCGAGAACTTCTGCGACAAGCACGAGAATCAACAGATGAAGATATTCTCGACGAAGACACTGAATTCTTCTCAGATGCCCAACTGGCAGAATTGTTGACTTCTTCCATCCAACACGTCCATGTCTTTCGTCCACAGTCATCCACCGCCCTTCTTGCCACGCTGTGTACCCTAGACAAGTATCTTTATGACTTGTCTAGGCATCACTCTGCCTCACGGCCCTTGCACATGCTAGTCATCGACAGCGTCACTGCATACCTCTGGAAAGACAAACTGAGGGACGAACTGGCCCGAACAGAAGAGATTGGGCGTTCTCGAGCAGAGATCGATCAACAGCGGGCACTGAAACAAACCTTTCACCTTTCTGATCTATACGCCGAGATTGTCAACGACTTGAAGCGACTTCAAGGTCGGTTCGGATGCGCTGTTATTTATACGACAACAGTCTCCAGTGGCCGTCCGTCAGCTTCGAATACCGGTCAATCGGGTCCTCCTGGCCCATATGATCGCCTGCCTTCTAAGACACCATCTCTGCGGCCTGCATTGCCAGCACCATGGGGCACGTTCCCAATTCTTCGGTTGGTTGTTCACAGGGATGCAGTACGCCCGTTCCCACCAGCCATGAGTGCACATGATGCCAGGAGGGATGCTTCGATGCGCCAGAGCGTGGTTCGTCAAGGCAAGTTCTCAGCCTGGGTCAACGCTTGGGGTCGCGAAGAGTGGCCTCGTCGAGTGATAGATGGTGTCAACTGGTATAATGGCGGGTGCTTCCCGTTCTACGTGCGAGCGACTGGAGTTGAAATACCACAGCCAGACAATTGAACGAAGCATATACTCTGTATGACATTGTTCTCAAAATTCTAGGAGAGTCTATTCTATAACATATCAACCATATAACTTACTGATTGCCTCGACGGTGGTATTACCACCGCTGAACACAATGGCCATGTCCCATCCCTCATCACCGCCCTCTCGTTCAACGAGACGTCGGAAATCCTCATCGAAGAGACACACAGCAAGACCGACAACGGCACTTGGCTCAACAAACACCTTCATGCGTTCCAACACCAGGCGCATCGCAGCCTTGATCTGCTCCTCGGTGACCGCATAAACCCCCTCAACCTTCTCCTTGTTGGAGATCACCTCCCAGTTCAACAATCCCACCGGTGTCCGCAGACCATCCCCAATGGTCAGCGTGGACACTGCCTCAACACGCTTGCCAGCCAACAGACCCCGACGACAATCATCCGCGCCCTCGAAGCTAGGCTCAGCCCCGAACACCTTGGTCTGCTTATCGGAGAAGTACGTCGCGACGCCAGCGTTGAGTCCACCTCCGCCAATTGGAGTGATGACTGCATTCAAGGTCTTGGACCCAGCTTGCTGCTCTGCATACTGGGCCTCCAGTTCCAGCGCCGTTGTTCCCTGTCCACAGATGATATTGAAGTCATCATACGGAGGCACCAGGATAGCATTTGTCTTGGCCTGGATCTCTGCGACAACTGCCTCGCGCTCAACACTCGTTGACCCGCTGAAGATCACCTCTGCGCCGTGCGAGCGAGTCCCCGCAATCTTGGACGGAGTGCTGATGCGCGGCATCACGATATAAGCCGGAACATTGAGCGTGGAGGCCGCGAGAGCGAGGGCTTGCGCATGGTTTCCTACCCAAAAAGAAATTAATTAGTCTCCTGTCCCCAATTCATAGACCCATTATTCACGACCAATGTCCATACCAGAACTATGCGTAATAACCCCACGCCTCTTGACCTCCTCCTCCCCACGCTCCTCAATCAACCGTAGCAAAGCATGAAAAGCACCACGAGCCTTAAACGCGCCAATCCGTTGTAGATTCTCACACTTGAAAAAGAAATGGAATTTAGGACATGCGGGTGTCTGTCCCTCGAATGGCGTGCCCACGAGAGCCTCGGGTGTCTGCGGGGTTGACGCGATTGTGTCGAGGGTTTTGCAGGTTAGGAGTGGGGTGCGGTGGATGTAGGGTTGGATGAGGGCGTATGCGGCGTGGATGGCGGAGGGAGTTAGGGATTGGGCTTTTTCGGCTGGGGATGTCATGATGGATGAATGGTTTTGTGTGTTCCTGTTGTGAGGAGCGGGAGGGAAGAAGAGAGGTGTTGGGAGATCTGAGTCAGAATCAATTGAGGAGATTATTTCGTCTTTTCTCTTCCCCTCTTCTCCGTCGGGGTTACCCCGAGGACGGCGATGGCCGAGATAAGAAGAGAAAAGATGATCACCGAAGGACCAAGCCAATTGACCATGCAAAATTACGATCACAACTACAATGACTCAATGAACATGATTGATGGCAAATTCCAGCTTTGCTTAGCTGTCAATGATATTTCGTTGTTATACCCGAAGCCCAAAAACAGTATCATAGTACATCATAACTTTTGTCCGAATCTATCCCCTATGGTATCAAGATATTATTTATTTCTGGTTCTCGGGACGGAGCGAGCTGAGAGAGAGAAGAAATGTTAGCAATGATGTTCATCTGATCATGAGATAAAACAAGAAAGGTGTGATCACATACCGGACAGCCTTGCCGGCACGCCAGATCTCGAGGCTGCGGATCTCCTCCATCTCCTTCTCGTACTTCTCACGGTAATCCTTCTGGGAGTTGTAGTCGAGGGAGCGCTGGGTCTCAGTGCCGTCACGGACGCTGTCGTAGAGCTCGTTGAAGAGGGGCTTCAGGTTGTCCTTGAAGCGGCTGGACCAGTCAATGGCACCACGGCGGGCAGTGGTGGAGCAGGCAGCGTACATCCAGTCCATTCCGTATCCACCGATCAGGGGGTACAGGGACTGGGTAGCCTCCTCGACGGTCTCGTTGAAGGCCTCGGAGGGGGAGTGGCCACGCTCACGGAGAACCTCGTACTGGGCGAGGAACATACCGTGGATACCACCCATCAGGCAGCCACGCTCACCATACAGGTCGGAGTAGACCTCCTTCTCGAAGGTGGTCTCGTACAGGTAGCCGGAACCGACGGCAACACCCATGGCGATAGCCTTCTCCTTGGCCTGGCCGGTGACGTCCTGGTAGACGGCAATGGAGGAGTTAATACCACGGCCCTCCTTGAACAGAGAGCGGACGGTACGGCCGGAACCCTTGGGGGCAACGAGGATGACGTCGACATCAGTGGGGACCTCGACCTTGGTGAGGTCCTTGAAGACGGGGGAGAAACCGTGAGAGAAGTAGAGGGTCTTGCCCTTGGTGATGAGGGGCTTGATAGTGGGCCAAGTCTCGGACTGGGCGGCATCGGAGAGGAGGTTCATGACGATGGTACCCTTCTCAATGGCGGTGTTGACATCGAACAAGTTCTTGCCGGGGACCCAGCCGTCCTCAATGGCCTCCTTCCAGGAAGCACCATCCTTGCGGACACCGACGATGACGTTGAGGCCCTGGTCACGGAGGTTCAGACCCTGGCCGTGACCCTGGGAGCCGTAACCGATGAGGGCAAGGGTGTCGTTCTTGAAGTACTCGTGGAGCTTCTCACGGGGCCAGTCAGCACGCTCGTAGACATCCTCCTTGACACCAGCGAAGTCAATGGTCTTGACACCACGGACGGGGGTGATGGGAGCAATGGCACGGCGGGCGACGCTAGCCAGAGCGGGCCGGGGGAGAGCAGCGGTAACAACCGAGCGAGGAGCAGCCACGCGGGCGAGGCGGAGGGCACGGGGCAGACCACGAGCAGCCATTGTGTGTGTATGTGTGGGGGGGGGGAGGGGGGGAGGGGAGGGGAGGGAAAGAGAGAGATGGAGTGGAGAGTTGAATGAAGAAGGAAAGAATCTGGGGAGGAACCTGGGAAGGAGGAAGAATTTAAGTAACCGGGAAAGTTTGGGGGGAGCTCCGTTGCTCAGTGCAGTTTCCTAGTTGGAGTCATCCTTTTGCACATGACTCCACATGACTTGGATCCGGAGAAGGACACCAGCTCCCCGGCCGACACCGGGGACCCGTTTTCATCCTCCGTGATTGGTTGCCGCAACCGGCGCAGTGTCTGGCCCAGTGGCCACCACCTCCAGCCAAACCCGCCAAACCGCTTAAACAGCCCGCCGATCGTGAGATCTCCGGGCCGATGGAGGCAAAAGACAGAGACTGCTAACTGTTTAGGGGTGGTGGAATGTGAGATTGGGGGGAACTGTTGACTCATGGGGACCCATTATCTTTAGTTTTTGTGGAGTTTCTCTATTGTTAGGATGTAACCATGTCTAATCGTCTATCGATAGCTTCATGAAACTGGGGACGAGCACGGACTTGAGCCCATTTGCTCCGGACCATGAGGAGGTCATGCGGGGGTCACTCTGAGATTACTCAATTGATCCTGGCTGAAGCTAAGATAGCTGTTTGATCACATAGCGAGCTGAATTGAATGGCATTGGCACGACCACTTGGACTTTCATGTCTGCTCGTGACTCGACTTTCGAGTCCTGTCCACTTGAAGGCCTTCATGCCTGATATTTCGGGTGTCATTATCACCGGGCCGCAAAGTCAGCTATTGACGGACTCCATAAGTCGCTGTAAAGGTTTGGCCTGTGGGGTCGCTTTAATTGTTATCTCTTCGCGTTCAACCCTCATCTTTTTGGGTTAGCATCGACTACTTTGTGCCTAAGGGTCTCAGTGTTTGTTGACTGGATGGGGATCCTGCAGCTCACGCCCAGTCGCAAAATATATATTGGACCAAACATGCAACGAAATGGATGCCTACGAGTCCAAGTCAGACATAAACAATCGAAGCACTAGCGCCTTAAGTACCTGATGGCTAAGTGGTCCCGTAGATTGTCGATTCGCATTGAAAAATCGAAACAACATCTAGATCAACAGCGGTCCTAGTCTGACCACCACCTAGTACACAAGCCCTGGGGTAGTAGTGCATTTCAATTTTTGCACTCGGAATTAAGGTTCCTGTTCGATGCAAATTTGACATTTTGATATCTTGTCATGACACTAAAAGGCCCTTTCGAGCGCTGACAATGGCACGATCATAATCATGACCATTTGGACCACTGCTCGTGACTTGATGCTGGCTTTTGGCCTTACGGCCTTATTGCCTGATCCGTCAGGTTTTAATCTCCACCCCTCAAAGCTTCCCCGCGACACCAACAAAGTAGCTGTTGATCGTTCCATTTCCACTCCTCCGTTTATACTGCACCGCACCGTGCCATGTCGACTCGACAATGAGCTTCTTTTCGTTTGGCGATTTCCCCGCCATTCAGACCCGCAAGGCTTTGCTGCTTCTGGACTTTCAAAACGACTTTGTCCGCCCCGCTGGCGCCCTCCATGTTCCCAACACGGCTGATATCCTGGAAATCCTCCCGCCATTAGCTGCAGCGTTTCGCCGCTCTGGCGATGTGATTTGGGTGCGCTCGCAGTATGAATCTCCACAGCCGACAGAAGATTGGAACTTTGGGGATCGTGTCGTCTTGGAGAAGGGCCCGCCGAAGCCAGCACCCATGCCCACCTCTGATGTGATCGAGGTCTCGTCGGACCGAGACTCACCAGAGCCTGTGGATAGCGAGGCTTTCCTGTCCGGTCGATCGGCTAAATGCTGCGCCGCGCAATCGCCTGGATTTCAATTCCCCGCACCAGTCCTCGCTGCTATCGATGCCAATCGTGATACCGTGCTTGACAAGACGGGGTACTCCGCACTGGAGTCGGATGGTCTCGTGCTATCGTTTCGCACGCGCTTTGTGACCGAGATCTATTTATGCGGCTCGCTATCGAATGTCTCCGTCTATGCGACGGCCCTCGATGCCGTGCGCAACGGCTTCTCGGTAACACTCGTCGAAGATTGCCTGGGGTATCGGGACTTCCAGCGGCACCAAGAAGCTATGCGCCGCATGGCAGACATTCTGGGAGCAGCGGGGATCACGGCACAAGAGTTGAACCAAGAGCTGGAGTGGCAGGAAACCGATGATATCGCCCGACAAAACAGGACGCAGCCACCCAGACGAACGACCACTACGGGTGCTCCCGTGGGCATCGAGGATATCATGGACAGTTTGGATGTCATGCCCGTGGACTCCATTCCAGAGGAGGCTACGGATGAAGATAACTACAGTTTGACGCAAATTGCCGCGCAAACGCGAGCGCAGAGGCTCGCAGCCGCCTCAAATCGAGTGCCGGTTGAAGCGAAGAAGCACCAAGTTCGTGCACGAGTGCGTCGCCCCAAGCGTCGCGAACCTACACCTGATGTAGGCACTGGAGAAGAACCTGCCAAAGAGGCCTCTGATGACAGGCTTGGAGAAGGTGATTCCCGCATTATTCCAGAGATCGATCTGCCTTCTGACGCCTTTGAACGTATTCGGGCGGAGGTGTCCTGGCAGAAGATGTACCACATGTCCGGCCAGGTGCCTCGACTTGTGGCTGTCCAAGGTCATATCAAGCCCGATAGCTCCATTCCTATCTACCGGCACCCCGCAGACGAAACTCCACCATTGAAACCCTTCACGCCGGCCGTTGACCAAGCGCGCATCCTGGTCGAGCAAATCCTCGGCCATCCTCTCAACCATGTCCTTATCCAACTTTACCGTGACGGATCAGATTCAATTTCCGAGCATTCTGACAAGACTCTCGATATCGTTCGTGGGTCCTTCATCTGTAATGTCAGCCTGGGTGCGGAGCGTGTCATGACGCTTCGTACGAAAAAGTCAGCCTTCGAGTCTTCTGAAGGGGCCGAATCAGGTCGTCTCAAACAACAAATCCCACTGCCTCATCGATCTCTCTTCATTCTGGGTGAAAGGACCAATATGCGCTGGCTGCATGGCATCCGACCTGACAAACGCGCCGCATCCATCAAATCCCCAGCGGAACAAGCCTTTGGTGGCGAGCGCATCTCCCTGACTTTCCGACACATTGGCACATATCTCAACCAAAACACGAATACCATCTGGGGACAAGGCGCCGTCAGTAAATCACCTGATACGGCGCGGCCTGTGATTCATGGTGAACCCACAGAAACCGAGCGACTCATCCGCGCGTTCGGTCAGGAGAATCGGGCGACTGAGTTTGACTGGGATGCCTTTTATGGAGCTGGGTTTGATGTGGTGAACTTTGTCACTACATCTTCATCACAATTAGTGCTCAGTGGAGACCCGGTTGCGGATCTACGAGTGCAGCTAGCCTTGGGTGAAAATGGTCTTCGATATGAAATCGTCGACAGCTCCGAGCCCCACACTGGTGACAATTTAAACCAACGACCACTGTATATAGACTCGGATGGAAGGACGATTGCCGGGAATGTGGCCATCTTGATGCAATTGGCCGAGCGACCAGCGGACTCAATACGGCCGGGGGTGGAACCTCTGCGAGGTGGCAATGAACTTGAATGGATTGAAGGTTTCCTCGGAAGATGGCGTGAGCATCGTGCCAGCAACCCTGGTGCGCCATTCGAAACCAACCTGGATGACTGCGAACGTGCACTAGAAGGAAGGCATTATCTTGGAGGCTCGGCGTTCAGCATCGATGATTGCTCCCTCTGGCCAGTGCTGCGCGAGATTGTCTTATCTCAGGGGCTCCTCGATGCTCGGCTGGTGAACCTCAATCAATACTACAATCGCGTAGAGAAACGAGGCATCGTGAGGGCCATTTTAGAGGGTTCGCAATGAGGCTTTTCAACTTGCATATAGCGCACTGAGAACGCCCAAGTCCAGTGGGGTTTGATAAGTTTGAAACTATGACCAATTTTCAGAATCATCTTTTCAGCCACGAGTTGAATAATGGGCTCCAAGATGATACCTAAGCCATCAAGAAATACGATTGAAATGCCCTTTAGAAAGATCTCTCAAAGAACAAGAAATGGAAGCATACCTATTCGGTGGTTTCTCTGGTCTTTAGACTCGGACTTGTGAACTACCACTGTACTTATGACTTGGTCACTGCATATCCTTTTATTTTGCACTGTTCTACCACTGTGGACATACGACGAGACATGAATAACTTCAATGGTCAAATGCCAGCTTTTCAGGACCAAGACGAAAATTCCAGCTATTTCTTGATATTTGCTACATACTTTCCACACTCCATCACCTTCCAAGACACGGTCCTGAGACACCGCTTCAATCTCGCCTTCACAGACATTTACCCTCGAAGCTCTTAGTGTTCAAGAGACTCTCCAGCCCGACTCCTCCACAAACCACGGCCTTGAAGAATGCCTGAGCCACGACAGACGCACCAGCAGGGCTCGTATGGGTATGATCGAGCGGGAAGTACGCATCGACAACATCAGCACCCAACGACTCAAAGATGTCTGCCACATAAGCACCATGGTCCACATACGAGACACCGGCGACCTGGGCTGCCAGCTTGGCATATCCCACAAATCGCGAGGGGGAGTATACGAATGTACCCGTCTCCCACGGGTTGTTGGGAGTCTGACTGGAGATGAGCACATTGGCCCCCTTGGCCTTGAACGTGTTGGCTGCATTTTCTAGATATTTAGGGAATGTCAGGACAGTCTCCGTTACGCCGTTATAGGTCGTGGTGCATGTCTCATCGCCTGTGCCGGAGCAGTCGGTGCGGCCGTTGTCCGTGGAGAGCGAGCCACCGTCGTTGTGGCCGAATTCGATGATCACCCAGTCTCCGGCTTGGACTTTGCTGGCGATGGTGGCAAATCGGCCTTCGCGAGTATAAGATCGCGCGCTGCGTCCGGCGACGGCTTGGTTGGAGACCGTGGCTGATGTGTAGGGTGAGACGTACTCGCCCCATCCTGGAGGTTGTTAGATGTAGCCAAGCAGGTGGTGTTGAGCTTTGTTAGAAGGATCATACCTGCAGTACCGGATCCAGTGCCTCCCTTGGCCATGGTTGAGTCACCAGCCAGGTAGATAGTCGTGCCTAGCACACTGGGGATCATAGAGAGCAGAACAGCAGACTTCATGGTGGACAATGGTTTGATTGAGAGAAGTGTATACAAAGAGAATATCCTTTGAGAATGTAGATTCGAGGTGATCAACACTAGAGTGTATATGAAAGAGAATATCCTTTTAGAATTGTAGAGTCAAGATGATCAACACTGTCATTACTACTCCTTCTTAAACCAACAGCATACTATCTCGCCCGGGACTATCTACACCGAGACACGGAGTGTCACAAACGCGATTTACCCCTGTCAGAGACAAATTATACGTGGAAAAAGCCTGTCTCCTCTCCCATCCTCCCTTCAAGTTTATGACGGAGCATGACCGATGAGAAAGACATGGTCTTCGGATCAACGGAGCTTTCCTTATGGTATTACTGTTGACCCCTGCTGACGGCGGAACTCGAAACCTAAAACCAAAGCGCCCCATCGTATTTGCTATTTGCGGGGAAGACGGAGATCGTCGCTGGTCTTTGATTCATGGAACTTGCATTTCTGCGCAGTTGCGCAGGACTTTTTCGGTATTCTGCCTTTTGTGATCCGGAGCTTATTCCAGATCGTCACTATGTCCCGATGTGGAGGTGTGGAGTGTCCGGCTCAAGGTTCTTCACAAAGAGCAAGACTTGGATGAGGGTGTGTGTGGTGAACCTGATGAAACTGTGCGTGTTTCGGGATGTTTTTTTTCTATTTCGACTTGACGTCCATGGTCTGCTGGCCCAGGTGCTCACTCTACGAGTCTAAAGGCTTTTGATGGGTGGATATTTTTAGTTCATTCTCGGAGAAGAATACAATTCTGACCTGATATCATTCTCTTTTGGACATAGTTGAACAAGTTCATTTATATACAACACCACCTCCATCAGGCCTCAACCACCGCGAGGACCGAAGTGGAGACAAGTCAACGTAAATATAGTAACACACACAGCCACAGCCAATCAATTATTTACCTACAACTTCTCAAAAGTAGGAGTGCGCTTCTGTAAACCCGACAACAAAGCAGCAGACACATCCCCCGTCTGCAGCGCCGCACTATTCCACACACCCGTATACCGCAAACCATCCTGCACCGAGTGATCGCGCGACCAGTTCAAAATCTCCTTAGTACCCTGCACCGCCACAGGACTCTTCGACGCAATCAATGTAGCCAACTTGAGCGCAGCCGCGATAGTCGCAGCGCGATTCTCATACACAGAGCTCACAAATCCCACACGCAGAGCTTCCTCGGCCCCGAAAATGCGCGCGCTCAAGGCAACTTCCTTCACCCAGCCAAAGTTGCCAACGACCTTGGGCAGACGGCTGAGGGTACCGATGTCAGCGGCTAAACCGATATCGACCTCCTTGACGGCGAAGCGCACGTCCTTTGAGCAGAGGCGGATATCGGCTGCGGTGGAGAGATCAATGGCCAGGCCGAGGGAGAAACCGTGCATGGCGGCGATGACGGGCTTCTCGCAGCGCTCGACGGCGGTGATACAGTCCTGGAATTCGAGGACGTGCCGGCGCAGGTGGACTGCCTTGCGGGCGGGGTCGAGATTGGAGTCGCTGGAGAGAGGGCCACCCTGCGAGGCGGCTTTGACGTCTAGTCCGGTGGTAAATGCCTTTTCGCCAGCTCCACTGAGAACGATGGCGCGGACGGAGGAGTCTTCGGAGAGTTGAGTGAAGACCTGGCGCATTTCGAGCCACATACTAGTTGGTCACCATGGTGTTAGTGATGAGTCTTGTTTGTTTCATGGAGGAGGAGGAGGAGGAGGGAGAAGACCTACGCTTCGAAGAAGGCGTTCATCTTGTCTGCCCGGTTGATCTCCACATGAGCCACATATGGGCTCTCAGCTGGGAACTGTACGGTGAAGTATTTGAAAGAGTAGTTTTGCGCCATGGTGAGAAAGGTGTTTGGTGTATGGACGTGGAGTTGCACGCCGCGGTAGAAGAGGTGGTGGATGGAAGAGATCCCACGAGTGGATTTACTTCAGCTGATTACAGGAGAAATGGATAGCAGCGAGAAGCAATGAGATCCGTGAAGGCAACAGTTACGAGTAGAAGAAATATGAATTTGCGAATTACTGATTAGTGATGGGTGTCAGTTTCCCGGCTCCTCGGCTCACATGCCTCGGCTCAGATAAGCGGGCGATAAGCAGACAGCTCCACTTTGGAATTTGCGGAGAGACAAGCACAGTGATTCTAGTCCTACTGGATTATACGTTGAAGAATGATGGAGACAGTTGGAGCCATTAATTGTTTTGAGTGAACTATCTAATAAATTCCCATCCCAGTAAGCAAGATAGCCAGTGGATCATCCGAGCCAAACGGGCCATGCAATGCCAGTGACAGAGCAGGTCCCGACTGACCATGTCCAGGCAAGAAAACGTGTTATACAAATGTTGAAGTCGTATCTCATGAAAAACCGTGTCGTAAGGCGAGCACCTTGATGACCATCAAACTTACTCGATGGTAATCTTCTTGGCGGTGGGAACAGGCGACTTGGGAATAACGACCGACAGAATGCCGTTCTTCAGGTTGGCCTTGACATTGTCCTGGTCGACGCGGCCGGGGAAGGTAAAGGTGCGCTGGAACTCGCCAACGGAGCGCTCACTGGCCCAGTAGCGGTGGCTGGGCTTGGTGGTCTGGGCCTGGTCGCCAGTCTCGGCCACGGTGCTGTCATCATCACCAGCAGGCTCGTTAGAGTCGGTGGTGTGGTACTCGCGCTCGGTGCGACCCTTCACGACCAGGGTGTTCGGGTCGGTGAACTCAATGCTGATGTCCTTCTGGGCAATGCCGGGCAGCTCGCCATCCAGGTGGTAGGAGTCCTCACTCTCGCGGACATCGAAGCGAGGGTGGAAAGCGCGGTTGGAGGTGGTCTGGCGGCTCGACCGGTGCAGGTCATAGTCATCCAGCAGACGGAAGAGAGGGGCGAAGTCACCGCCCGAGGGGAAGCTGGTGCGGAACAGAGACATGATGTTGAGTTGGATTGAGGATTGTTTTGAGTGGTGAAGAGACTTGAAGATTCGAAGCTTTGGAGCTTTGGGAGATGTGTGGTTGAGAAGGTGGAAAGAAGAAGTAAACGAGGGTGATGGAAGGGGATTTTATATTCATCGACTGCAGTAGCTCGCTGCCAAAATGGTAAGTTCCTTCCATGTTTGCTGGAAATCTGGAACTTGCCAGCAAACAGTAGCAGTTGCGTTGTTGTTGCGAGTTCCTGCTTGAGCTGGCCAGTTGGTGCGAGCAGCTTCCAGCGGGCAGTGGAGTCTTCTGCTCGCTTCTACCAGGTCACGTGATGGAAAGTCTGGGGAAATGCAACCAGCATCCTCATAGTTGTCGTCTGTCTTTCGAAGCTTCTGGACCATTCCGTTGGTTAATTGGTTACATGTAAGACGATGGCAGAGAAAGTGGTTGCATGATCTATGAGTATCTATGCGGCTAGACATGATACATAGTGTCGGCCAGAAAAAGCGGGTCATATTTCCATTAGGCCAAAAGATGTACTCAAGTACGGTCTTCGGGCTTTATTTGGATGTATAACAGATCAAGTCGTTCAGGGGCCGATGTACCCCCCACTATATAGGCTGACACATAGCATGGTGACACTGTCCAAAACCAATCCCATTCATTGTAATGACCGGAAATCGCCCTGTTTCGCGACTCTCCCTCACCCTCTCCTTTCATTGTAGCCAATTCGATCAATTTCGGTGGTACCTGCGTGGTAGACGGGGTGGCAATCTCAATGGATGGGGGGGGGGGGGACGAGAGGCTGGAAATTGTCCTAGCTTTGGGAAGCAGAGTCCAGGAAGTGCAATTCGCCGGAAATGTCTCTTTGCATACACATGAGGGTGATAAAAGAATGGGCGATTACAACAATTCAGTCGGAAATCGAGGGTCGACGGCGTGTGATGGGGGTTGCACGAGGATGCAAAACGGCGAGGAAGGCATGCGACGGCATCGGTGCTTCGAGGGAGGATAAAAATGTGTAGCTTGCAGCGGGTAAAAATGCTTTATTCGGATTCGGATTCGTCCAACTGCATGATTTTCTCGTCAAGATCCTGCGACCGTGTTAGTGCGCTGGTTACTGTACCCATGGGTTGCGGTGACAGGAAGATGGGCATGAGTGGTCTCAACGGGGAGCATACATGATCGAGACGGGCCTTCAAGTTCTCCAGCTGGCTCTCCTTGATGACCAGGTGGTTTTCGTCGTCCAGATCCTCCACAATGTAGTCGTGGCGCTCCTCATCGTATTTGAGGATCATGGCTTTGATCGAGGGATCGCACTCGATCAGGAGACCTGGTGACGCAGATGTGAGTGTTGATCCCCGAAGTTTGGACAAGAGCTAGAGTTGATCTTACCACGGACGGCGCGAGGCATGGTGAGTGAGTGAGTGCGTGTGTGGGTGAGTGGGCTGGGGTTGAAGCAGATAGTCGGAGTAATCGAAGGAAGAAGTGCGGAGATCTCAAGGAAGTGTCCCAACCGGAGGTGATGATCACCCGATTCAGGCAGTAAGGCACCAAACTCTGCATCACTGGGAAATACTTTCTACTTCCCACTTTGCTGCTTGGTGGTAGGTTGCAAGAAGCTCAAATGAATCTCGCTTTATATAGAGTCTATGGCTTTTAATTCTGTTTATTCAGACCTCTGGTTCCCCATCACTCTTTCTATCGACCTCTGAAGTCCACCCAGTAGCCGCTTGGAATATAGTAGCCGTCAGTGCCACCAAGCTACCACCCAAGAAAAGCATACGAATCGCATGTTCATACCCTTGTATGGCAACCAATCGTTCGACATCGGTCAGCCGTGCAACTGTAGCAGGGCTACCAAGCAGAGTCCGAATCAAGTCCGGTCGCGGGGGTAAATCATGCTGGGCGAATCCTTTCTCCAACGATGTTTTCAAAATTCGAGTGAAGAAACCACCTCCTACAGCGGATCCAAAACTACCAGCGAACCCCCGGGACATGGCAACCAAGGAACTCACGATATAGTGCACATGGGGGCTGGTGAGATGGAGGACGTGCGACAGAGTATAATTCATTAGAGATCCGGCGAACAGCCCGTTCAGGAACGTAGTCACAACATACAACCATGTCGGAGATTCGGGTGTAGACAGAAGGGAGAGGACTGAAGTGGCCGCGGCGAAGAGGACGAAGATGACTAGACACGAGCTGCATATTTCGATTAGTCTCTTCATCCGAGTTTCGGTATTAAATGGGATAGAACTCACGAGTAATAACTGGTTGATTTGCGGATGTGTAGCCATCCGACGAGTAGCCCACCACTTCCAAATCCAGCGTTGGTTGGCACCAGAATGAGACCAGCAGAGGCAGGAGACCAGCCTCGGACAGCCATGGCGTAGACAGGCGTGTAGAATAACACAGCCCAACGGGCCATCATCAAGCCAAGCCCCGCGAGACATGTCATTAGGACACTTCTCGATCGTAATAGCCGGACTGGAATCACAGGCTCGGTGGTCCACCGTGATTCAATCAAGGCGAAAACCGCGAAACAAACGGCAGATAATGGAAGTGGCCATATGAGAATCTTGGGTGATGCCAGGCTTGCCAGGAGTAGAACGACGGAGAGCGTCTGTTACTGATTAGCAAAACGATGAAGGTAATCAAAAATGGAATGAATGATCATACCAATGCCAACGCGCCCGCATAGTCAACTCGCGCTAGGCTACGCAACAGCGACCGCGTGTTCAAGGGTGCACGACCACCCGACGAAGCTGGAATCGCTAGGAACAGTAATGGGCCCAAGACCAGCGCGGCCGGCGCTTGTATCCAAAAGATAAGACGCTGAGCGGAGACGAAATTAGTATATTTGACGCGCTTCAAGAGATAACATGGTGCGACATACCCAACTGAGCGGAGAAGTCATCAGCCCAGCCAGAACTGCACCAGAGGCAAGACCTGTAGTATATCCAGCATTGATCATGCCAATGCATAGTCCTCGGCGTTTAGGGGAGGCAAGATCCACGGCCAGGATGATGGCAATGCTCATCAATCCGCCACTTCCAATACCTGCCACTACGCGTCCTATCAGGAAGGTAGTCAGGGTTGGTGCTGCAGCGGAAATGAACAAGCCGATTGAGAGAATGGCGCTGGCAAAGATAACATAAAGCCGGGGTGTAAATATTTCTGCAAGCCGCCCAGTCAATGGGGTAACACTCGATGCAGCGATCTTCAAGTTATCAGTATTCAATCACCGGGTTTCTAGTGGTATTTCATTGATCATACCAGATATGCAGAAGTAAACCATGTTGCCTGGTCAAAAGCATCTAGATCGGCCGCAATGGCGGATTGGGCGGTTGTCATCATAGAAATATTAATAGCTGAAAAAGCGTGTTAGCCATTGGCGCTGTTCTTGGAATTACCAAGGTCTTCTAACGCACTCTGTATCAAAATCAACAGCTCCATAAAGAAAGCGATCGCAACACCCCTCGGGATGCTCAATGGACTTGGAATCGACTCATCATCGGGGTGCGATGACGGAATCAGCGGGGTTTGCTCGGATGGCGAGGACACCCGCCCTGCTGCCATTATGATGGATGATGATGGGATGTCGGTCGCAAAGAGCGTCGGAGACTATTCATTGGAATTGCAATGGTAGAATAAATGATGAGAATGGACTGAAGAAGAGAAGGCCGGAGTGGACGGAGTGGACGGAGGGGGATTTCTAAGCAAATCATCGGAGATAAGCCCGTTTTACCTGGCTTAGTCGCAACGGTTGGGACGATTCCGGGGGTGGAGAAGTATACACTCCACAACAGTAATGGGTGGATATGATTGGAAACTATCAAAATGACCTCAGAAAAACCAGGATGATGTGCTGATCGTAGCAATGAGCTGATCTAGTAGTGCCTCTAGCATTGTACGACGCGGGCGGCGTAGACTTCAAGTACTGAATGAATATCCGCCAACGGGGAATATAAAAGGACGAGATTAGACCGCTCTATTGCTTAGATGCATAGTCGGCAATCTCACTATTAGGCCCCTAGAGTGTGATTTGGTTGCGGGCATTATACTCTAGGAACGACGCTTGAGTATCGTCGCTATCTGCCTACGACCGGGCCGATTTGATCCCTAAAGATAATCGGAAGTTGCTATTAGTGAGAAGAACATTATTAAGATCTCCGAGGAAATCGATCACTATTTTGCCTGTCTTTGATAGAGAGTCTGCATCGGAGGTATTCCAAGATGATATGAGACTTTGATACAAGGGAATAAACGCGTTGGCCATGACTTGACGCGTTACATCAACCATATCATGTTGATAGGCTGGATTCGTCCATAGATTTGGTTCGGAGCTTGCAGCCTTATAGAGCTTTTGCCAGGCATGCAAAACTACCGTCGGATCGTAGGTAAGTTCAGTGCTCTGGAAACCGACTCGGATATTCTCCAAACTCGGACGAATTTCGAATGCGGACTTGATCACCGAAGTAACTGAAGTATTCGTGTTGTCGTAGAGGTTCGCAGCCCTTCCCATGCTTCATAGAGCTCCTTGGGCATCGATCCACAGCCGGAGTATTGGGTGGTTACCCAATCATGGAAGTATCGCTCAGTGTCCAAAGGTGTCGCTGACCAAGTCTAATCCAACAAAGCAGTATAAATGATCTCATTGCTCTCTTGCCCTTCCATTGTCAACCCGTACCCGACCATCGATGAAGACTCAATTTGTGCTTGGGTCGCATTCACGGTGATGTTTGTAAGTTGTCCGTAGAGACCCATGTTGCCTCCATAATCGTGCACCTGGCACCAAAGCCACGGCTTCCCGGGGTATGACCGAGTTCGGCGCCATTGAGGTGCGGATTCAGAGAAGAGGTCCAGAATAAGCATGTCGTTGTTGTCCTCCACACCCGAGAGGAAGGCTTCTATCCGGTCTTCAGTCCAAAAAGCTGACTGCGCGTAGAAAGGCCAGCCTTGCATCATCCAGATTGCGTCTGGGTCTGCTTGCTTGAGACTCTTCCATGTATTGAGGGTGACGTTGCGAAGATAACCTAGATCTCCAGAGTATGGAGAATTTTCAATGTACTGATCCAAGGTGTAGATATGACTGATGCTGCCATACGCGGCACGCTGTTTGCTAATGAAGCTGGATTGTAATTTGGCAAAGTGATCATCAAATGGCTCTAGAAACGAGTCATTTGAGTACTGCAGGGGAAAGCTGGCTCATTGTGATCCTCTAACGATCTGTGCGTCTCGAAGGACACGAGTGATGTTCATGGGCATATATCCCGTAAATGAGGGCAGAACAGGTGTCATGCCCAGTTCCACTATGCGTGGTAGAATCTTCTTCTGCAGGGCAAATTGCTGGTCAATCCAAGACCGAGGGAGATCCCCGACCCACGAACCTTGGTTGTTTCCAAATCGGTTCCATGCCTTAAAGGCGGGTCCACTGAGAAACGTTGCGATCTCAGCGTCGGTAAGACCAATCTCTTGGAATACATCCACAAGAATCTTTTCTTGACCAGCCCAAGCTAGAGGCAGATTGACACCGTGGAGGGCAAGCCAGTCTGATTGGGTTTCCCATTCTTCCCATGTCCAAAAGGCCATGGTATACGAGAGGGTCACTGAAAGGTGATATTGTTAATTTGAGGGCTATGAGGACGGTTTGGTCTGGGAGTACCTGTATTGAAATGATATCTCCAAGGCACCGTGCTGGACCCGTGGAGGGGCTTGGTGAGATGAGGGAGCTTGGAAGGAGCCTGATCCAAACGGCTACCGATAAACCAGTAAATGTCGACGTGGGCTACGTCGGCCAAGTATCGATGCAGTCTATCGAGTCAATAAGCGACCGAGGCACCACAAAGAACGATCTCGACGTGGATACCCAGATGACAGTGCCGATATGGAATTGCCCTTGACCAGGATTGAGCCATTTGGCGCACTGGAGACCACAAATTGGTCATAACCCTCGGTGCCTGTAGATTAGACTTATCTATGGTAAAGTGGATATGATCGATATGATTTGGCAATCGTCTTTTAACGAGGCTGTAGAGACCCTCGGTGGACTGGGCTGGGGCAGATGCCGCAAAGAGTAAGAGATAAATAAGTGACTTTAACCACTGCATCTCTGGAATTGTTTGGGGTGTTGAATAGAAATCAACGCCTGGTAAAAAAGTTCAGAGATACCAAGATCTCTTATATAGAGGTTGGGCAATGGAGTCAGCCTCGCAGAGCCAATGGGAAAGCCACGGGCGGTTGCATCTTCAGCTCCCTAGGAGAAATTGTCCCCCCGCACTGGCCGCATACTGCCTCGCAGTTCGCGTTGTAACTGTGCGATCCTACATGTCGATCTCTGAGTGAGACTCCCGCGAAGCTGAGAAATTTAGGCGGGACGCCTTTGACGCGCGACGTGTTACCTAATTCGTGAGAATTCCAGAACCCTGGTAATGAGCTGTCTATAGTGGAAGTACACTGAGAGCCACCCGTATTTAGTAGTCGTATTACTGTAAGAATTATGGCTACCCCCCTTGAAGCCGGAAAACATGTGACGCACAGCCATCAGAGACTACGAGGGCTCAGTTAGAGCTATATTGAGAGGCATTGTATCTAAACAGCCCAAAGACCCCAAGATGCAGCTCTGGCACAAGAGTGATATATTGCTATAAAAGCACTTGAATTCCAAATTGAGCATCATCATACTGAGTTTGATATTGAGATATCCTCAGGATCTTATATCACTATATTACATATGTATCTAAAGCATTGAGGGAATTCTATACCTAGTAAGCTGAGCAAAAGGCGAGGTTCGTGAGGGTAATGAGAATGGATGTGCGGTATGTAGTCTCCCCTTGTAGTAATTACAGTAGGGACTAAATGACACGAAGGGGATTTAGGTACTTTAAATCCGGCAACGAGGGTTTTTTTTTCTTTTTTTTCCATCTTATGCCTATCCACGATATTTACCTCTTATTCATCGTCTTTACCCGCCCCTTCTACTCCGTACATCCATCAAAATGAAGGACCTTTCCAGTACTGCTACACCACCACCCGTGGCTGCCTCTGTTTTTATCTGCCGCGGCTGCTAGTTTTAACTACTTGAATCGGTACAGAATCTATATATGCGACCGTGCCTAGATAGCGGTGAATGTATCTCCTGCGACCGTGTGATCAGCGGAGGTTATATGGTATGGCCCTGGTATGGCCGTCCTTTCTGTTTGAATTCAGATGAAATACAACTTCTGATTGATTATTTCTACTACAAATGCCACCGGCCGCTAAAGAAGCGATTAAAGAGAGCAGTTGGAAGATCTGAAGAAGAGTTTAGTCCAAGACTTGAGCACTCAGGTGCTCATGCAACAGGGCATGAGGGATATTTAAGAAGTTTTGAACTAAGATATTAGTCAAGGACAGGCTGGACAGCTCTAATGTGAATTATTTGAGTCACTACCCAAGAGTATAATCTCAAAAGTAGAACCTCCGAAAAAAAAGTAATCTTTAGGGACCGAAGATATTCATGTAATTCAAAGATTCTCTGTGTGGAGGTTTCGAGTGTGACCTAAAAATAGGTCGACTGATCATTTTATGGGGAACTGGGTTCTGAATGAACTTGACTTCCAGGAATAATTTTATTTAGAAATATCACGAAGTAATAGAGTATCGCCCGTTCGAGATTTATGGATAACGAGGACAATGAGTATGTGAAGATCTGCGGCCGTGGCTGTTCGGACTTCATAAGGACCGCCAATATGGTCTACGTGACCCGAACACGGTCCCTTAAGTTGACCAAAATGCATGACAATATACAGGTTACATAGTCACTGGATAATCGTGTCCGTCGAGGCAAGGAGGAGCGCTTTCATTTCTATTCTGAATTCTTGCCATCACAAAATGTAGCGGAACCCGACAGCCCGGCTTTCAAGGTTATCACCAGGAGGCACATCTCCACTCGACTCAGCAGCTTCAAGTCGCTTGTTCATATTCTTGTGGACAAGACGGATCACCAGGGCTATCAAGGCAACCAACAACGCAATTGCAGCAGTCGCACTGCCACCAGGAATATATCGAGGACCGGACGAAGACGGCCACATGTAACTACCGTAGATTGAAGCTGTGTTACCCAGCATATTGGCAATGGCAATTGCAGCAGAACGTTTGACCAAAGGTCGGGGGAAAGAGTTGGCAACCCAGGCAATGATGATTTGGTATGCGGATACAGCTCCCATAGGCATACTAAAATGGTTAGTGAGGCAAAGGAGATGGGAATATGGGTAGGAACGTACAGGAACATAGCAAAGAATTTGGCGCCAGTGTTAGTAGTTGCAGTGCAAATGATACCGCCTACTACACTGACAAGCATCAGACAAATAATGTGCAGGCTGCGATCATTCGTCTTGCCAGATGTATAGGTCACAATTAGCGAGACGATGAAAGTGGCGATCCATACAGGCGCGGTAATTAGTAGGGTCTCGATGTTGCCGTAGCCCAGAGTCTTGACGATGGTTGGGAAGAAGTATTGGAAGTTCTGGGACAGCAGCGAAGTGTGCTGCAGCAGAATAAAGAGGTAGATGCGCTTATCGGCAAAGACCAGAGCCAAGGCCTCCTTGATGCTGTTGGAAGAAGCATCGTCGGCTTCACCGGCATCATTCATGAGGCGCCATTGAGCGTAAGCACGTTCTTGATCGTCTAACCAAGAAGTTGTTGCGGGATAATTAGGAAGGAAGATCCTATAGGAATTTGGAGGTTAGACAACGACATGCAGCAACCCGGTCAAGAGACTTACCCTGCTAGAACAGAGACTCCCACCGTAATGCATCCCTCGATTATGAACAGCCATCGCCATCCGGCAATGCCATGCGCTCCATCCAGGTTCCCGAGAACACCTGCACCAATCAAACCACCAAAGGCGTTAGCCAGAGAGCTTCCTGAATAGAACCAGGCAATACGGTGACTCAATTCCTGTCGAGTGTACCAACTCGACCTGCATACATCGGTCAGAGGTTGAAAATTGTGCAAGAAGACCGTGCATGGGAAATACCTACATCAGCATCACGGCACCTGGGAAGAATGGCGCCTCGACGAATCCAAGAAAGAAGCGAGAGACCACAAGTCCGGCGAATGACTGGGTAGCTGCCTGGCAAGCTGAAATGACACCCCTGCATAAGAGATTAGCTTTGTAATGAAGAAAAGTATGATAATACTAGGAATGAAACTTACCAAATTGCCATTGCAACACCCAGGAATCGCGATGGACGAATGCGAGTGAGTAGCAGATTAGACGGTAATTGCATAAGCAAGTATCCGACAAACAGGATACTTGTTGCCAAATTGTAATCGGTGCCTTTCATACCCAAGTCTTTCTCAAGGGATCCAAGACGTGCCTGAGATAGGTTACTGAACGATGTCAGTGCTTGGAACATGGTGTGGACGTGGTGAGCGGAGTGTTACATACTTGCGATCGAGAAAGTTGAGCAGGTACATCAAAACGAGGAATGGCAATAAATGGAAATCCACTTTGCGGAGAAGGGTGCGAGTTATCTTCTGATGCCATTCTGGGCTCTTTGAAGCATATGCCTGATAGAGGACATCCTGCTCCGAGTCCAGGACCTTCTTGGAGGGTTTCAGGTTCTCGATTTGTTCTGCCCCATGTTTAACCATTGTTTGGAATAAGGATCGCCTGGAGGTGCTCTGCTTGCTTTTTTTTCCCCTTTCATACAACAGGATGCGGCCTTTATAGGGTCACTGTAGGGTGGCACGTTGACTCGGGGCAAGTCCGAGGATCCGCCAGGAGGCCCCGAGGAGCCAAGGCCGGGGAAGACAGCGACAAGAGATGCGACGATGACTGCTCTTATCGGAAGAGCGTGTGCATAATAGAGGCGGTCGTAAATGAATAATTGGCTGGCCCGTTCTCAGGGAAAAGTGGAGGATTTTGCCTGTTTACCCCAACACGGTAACCCGCCCTGTGTCCCCGCGTGTCGTGGTGTGGGTATGGGGAAGCGAGTTCCGCTCGGGCGACTTTAGACCGAGAAGCCATTCAACCGGCTCTGTCCAGTCGATTCCGGCCATGGGTATTTGAAACTTGGACTCTTCTTTGCGTGGACTCAAACTGATACCGGAATGACTGAGCATTATTGAATTCGTAAGTCTAGCTCATGTACGTTGGCGAATAGACTGAAAGACTGAACATAACATTAGGTCGGGGTGCTTGGGTGAAGTTCTGGGCTCTCAACAAATTTTCCGAGGCGGTGGAGTCTGCCAGCAAGATGGCATGACTCCATTCAGTCGGCGGAAGGCCGAGACCACAAGAAGTACCAAGTAGTCAAGAATCCCGGGAAGGAAATTGAATCAGGAAGGCAAGATGAGGATCCTTGGGGAATATTCAATGGAAGAAATTGCTAAATCGACGGCACACACCTTACTCTACTTTAGCGTAGTAACAAGACATATTACTATCTTCTTCAATAGGGTTCCATATCAAATAAGAGTGATTGAAGCATGCCTAGCTGGTCTGGTTCTCTAGTCTCTAGACTCAGCCTTTTGGGCTACAGTACCATAATGATATCTCAATCAGAAAGTGGCAATACCATCGCTACGCGAAACCAGACTAAGGGGTGTATCGTCGCTTTAGTAATTCTCTCCAAACATTCTTGGATCGGTCAGCGACGGTATGCGCGGGCGATGAGAGTAAAAGTCCGAGATTGTTAGCTGTGCCCTCGGCGGGTTCTCACAAACGAATCTCCATGCACAGGGCAGGGGCCTGGGTCTATCGCTCCGGTGTTGCGGGATTACGACAATGATCCTAAAAAGTGGTCTTCGGCCCGCTACACCTGTGAAATCACAGTGATTCGAGGTTAGTGATACAAGACATGCACGTCCAAAATTTCTAGCGTGGACATTATTAATGATTATAGATTCGGCAACCAGAAAAAGAAGATAAGGCCCGACGGCTTTACTCTGTGGTAACGGATGTGGATTAGCCTTCAACCTATGGACCCCATGCTTATAACTACGGCGCCCAATGTGCCAGACTGGGGCTACAAAGTGCCCACAAGGCTGCGTTTATTGAATTTCTCGACGCACTACTCTCTATGGACCTGGACACTCCGCCGGTTGTTGAGCTTGTTATATCCTCGGATACCGGATTCCTGACTAACATCCAACATATCTGTGTTCGTTAAGGAGCTCGACAGGATGACCTGGCGCTTCGTGGTCTTCGACAATATATCTATCTAGTTCACTCGAATCGATATCTCCAGCATTATCGACGATTTACATAACCGGCCGACTGCACTTGATGAACAAATGCTGGCTTTCGAGGCAGCCATCAGAAAGGCCAATAACGCACGCGAAGGCGTAACTACTCTCAAAGCGGATCTGGGTCATCAAGGACGAAACAAAGCCGCCTCTCCAGATCGTCCGGAGCTTGAGAAAAGTGACCGACAAATTTCGAAAGACTGTAGAGCATAGTCGGCCGGTTATGGAAGTGCTAGATGATGCTGGAGACATGAATTCGAGTGAATTGGCGTGATGTATTATTGACACAGCTGCCTCAACTAGCCTCTACTCCCATGTCGTCAAGTGCCACAATAACATGGAGAAGAAGATGTCGTCTGGTCAATAGAGCAATTGGACGCCTGGGGTTTCAGACAGGAACAAAACAGCAAATGTGCTGCCCTGTTGCCTGAGGCATTCAGGCAGGAATATGTCTTGATGCCTCAGGTGTGAGTGGAGCGAGTCCCAACATGACGTCATGCACTGCCCCCCTCTTCCCCCTCTCTTCTCCTTTTCGAACCAGCCACCGCGGATAAGCCACTTTTGGACGAACCAATGACAACCCTCACGACCAGACGCGATCAGAAATGATCCGATCGGCATCGATGACCTCAGATCCAAGCCCGTGAGTGGGTGGTGATCTGTCCATACACGGTGATAAAACGGACACCAGTGGGGCAGCCTCGATTGTTGGTGTCCATTTGAGGGCAACCAGACGATACCCACAGCGAATCATTTTGTCCCTCGGATGTGGCCGTGAACACGGAAGGTTCAGATCGTTCTTTATCATAGAGCTTTGGTCTCTTATAAAGACCGTACCTGCCATTTACCCCTCTTTCGTCCTCCATCCAAAGTCTCCCACCTCCTAGCACCCAATTTGAGCATATCCCTCCCTCTCTTTCAACCATGGACAAGCTCTCTGGACTCGCTTCCAAGTTCGGCGGTGGTGGCAGCAGCAGCAACAACTCTGCCCAACCCAACCAGGCTGCTGGTAACGAGGACTATCTGGACAAGGGTAAGTTGAACCTGGAGAACTTGCTCGAAATCTCCACCCCTTTATACTGACACCGTTTCAGCTCTGGACAGCGTCGAGCGCAAGTTTGGCGGTGGCAAGGTCGATCCCAACAACATGCGCTCCACCAACGAGAAGATCACCGACGGCGCCCGCGACCAGTTCGAGAAGCTCACCGGGTAAGAGAATTTCTGTTATGGCTCGAGTCTCCAGCAGTGGATTGCTAACCATTTAATCTTCTACTTGATACAGAAAGAAGGTTCCCGAGAAGTTCTCTAACTAGAGAATTCCCGGACGAATAACGCCAATGGCTCTCGAATATGTTGTCATCTTTGTATGCCTTCCACACTTGTGACATGGGCATCTAATACCCATGGGTAGATAATGAATTGAATACCCCTTTTTATTATTCCTCAACACTTTCAAGCATGTATGGGCCATACATTTGCATGATATACAGCCAAGTCTTTTGAGACATGGTGCTTTCGACCAAAACTTTTAAACTATATAAAGACTCTCAGGTCTAATACTCTATCTAGCCTTTAAACCCCGGAGTTAACGACTATAGTAGTCTTTTAGCGCTGTCTTTAGGTTCGCCTTGAAGTTACTTAATAAGCTCCTTAAGGTCTATACCCATCTTAATAAGGTATACCTACTTAGAGGTATAAGTAGGCTTTACTTATATATTAGGGAGATAGCGCGTATACCTAAGCTCCCCCTAATTAATTACGCTAATCGATATATCCCTATCTTTATTCTCTTCAAGGTATAGGATATTCGAGGTAAGCGCACTTATAGTTAGCGACTAGACTACGGAGGTCCATCCAAAAAGTATTGCACAGCGCACGTACCACCATTATTATACCACTTAACGCTTTACCAGGCGAATACACACAATCCCCCTGAATAGAATAATCTTCTTCACAATACTACTACTACCTGCCTACCTACCTACTATCGTTACTATGCCGAAGCAGTCAACGCACGCTGATCGTGTAACCGTCGTCGCATTAAGGACGTATACGACTAAAACGTCTAGTGAGATTGCGAAGATAGTAGATCTATCAATTACTACTGTCAATCGCATATATACGCGTGCAATCGAGCGCTGTTTCGATCCGATCCATACAAAGATCTCTGATGAACACGTACAAGATGCACCTCGCTCTGGTCGGCCAACTAAGCAAGATCCTAAGACGGTTGAGACTATCCTGTCGAAGGTGCGCCTTGATCGCTTTGGTCGAGAGAAAACATGCGCTGATCTTGCTGGGGAGCTTAGCCAGGAAGGAATAGAAATATCATCCTCTACTGTGTGGACTATCCTCAGGAAGGCCGGTTTACGGAAAACGAAGCCGTCGAGGAAGCCTGGACTGACGAAGAAGATGCGCGCTGAGCGATTAGCTTGGTGCTTAGCTCACGAGCACTGGACTCTTGAAGATTGGAAGAATGTGATTTTCTCTGATGAGACCTCGGTGATTCTTTTACATCGTCGTAGCGGTTATCGTGTTTGGCGCTCTAAGGATAAAGCTTTTCTACGCTCGTGTATTCGTGAGCGTTGGAAAGGTTCTTCTGAATTTATGTTTTGGGGCTGTTTCACCTACGATAAAAAAGGCCCTTGTCACTGTTGGTGCCCTGAAACTACTCTACAAAAACGTGAAGCAGAGCAAGAGACTGAAGCTCTTAATCAAGAGATTGAACCTATTCTACGCGAGCAGTAGGAGCTAGAGACTGGCGTACGGCGAATTAATCTTCGTCGACAGCCTGCTAGTAAAAAGCCTACATGGAGATTTAAAAAGCAAAATAGAAAGCTTTCACGAGGATCTAAGTGTGGAACCGATTGGTATCGCTATCAAAAGATGATTCTTCTGCCAAAGCTTATTCCTTTTGCTAAGGGATGCGCTATTCAGCGACCAGAAACGATCGTACAGGAAGATAAAGCTCCAGCGCATAACCACTATATTCAACAGCGAGTATTCGATACAGCTGGGGTGCAGTGATTGCTTTAGTGTCCGAATTCGCCTGATCTTATTGCAATAAAGCCTGCATGGCCTTGGATGAAGCGAAGGACCACTCGAAAGGGAGCCTGCCTTAGTGCCTGATTTATCAAAATTCAGGCATTATTCAGGCAGATTTCAGGCATTGGGGGGGGGGGGGGGGGGGGGGACTTTAACAATCCTCTTGTGAGATTGATGTCAAACTTATTTTATTTAGCTAGGGAAACAGGCAGTATTTATAACTTTAGGTACATAGCAGAATGTCACAGGAAAAGACTGATGAGAATCCGAAATAACATAGGGGCATACGAGAGTGTTAGGAAACTCGTTGCTCTTTCTATCCGATGCAATAGTTGATAATCAACATCGTATATCATGAAGCGGTGTATCGGGTATACAGAATTATGCATACGATTGCATTAGCGCGCGTACACATGCACGCGCTCGCTTATTGCAGAGATATGCACACACACATGTTGACAGTTATTATAGTAGGTAACGATAGCGCTTCGAAAGGAAAGACTCCTACTAGAATAGCTACTAAACTAGACTTAGATAATAAATGTGATAAGACGATTTAAAGCCCGTGCCCCTTTAAGGTCCGTAACACAGCGTTAAACCTTTTATAGTGAAGCAGCTAAGGGATAGAGGAGGTAAGTTAACAGATTGCTAACGGTCGCTAGTTTGCTTAGTTAATATAGAGCCTTCTGGTTGTCCCTGCCTACAGAGATCTGTATCGGTACAAAATCAGGTACTAGTACTACGTATAGTCATAACGCGAAATTTACGCGATGTCATATTAGGTTTATCACATCCCGTGACTAGGGTTGCATCTCTCTGTCTCTAGATATAGAAGGCAATAAGGAGCGGCTCTGTAAATCCATAACGTGATGTAGATGTATTTTGGTCTCGCATTCCTCCTGCGGTCGCAGCCGGGATACGAAATGCAAATTTTTTGCAATCTACTTCGAACCAAGGCAGAAGCATTATCGCGACAAACGTGCACTATAATCGAGCTATATTGCGTACTCGAGTCTGCCTTACCTCAAGGCACCAGCGATACGAGCTTTCAACTTAATTGGGAGGCCTAGATACGAATCAACATGAAAATGATAAATCCACTCCGCAGTAGACTGTGACAAAAATATTATTCCAACTTTCTCGTAAATTTGAAGGTCTTGAAACCATAAAGTGGGTTAGAGATAGTGATCAATATGGCAGTCACTGAGGTCGGCTGTATGGGCGTCGAACCTTCACTTGATGTCACGAACGACAATACATCAGAAGGTCAGATTCTGACCAAGCTATACAACTATATTATTACCGCACCTGGAGGCCCACTTGGGGTGTATTGGGGCCTCGAGGCTGAGAATCCGACTTACCTTTGGGCATTTTTTGACTGGGACTCGATTGAGGATCACGAGAACTTTGCCAGAACGTAAGTATGAATCCCTCACAGTCCTGTTTGGGCAATATAGTAACAGAATCATAGTCTTGGCCAGGAAGCCGTAAAGCATATGTCGAAAATCCTCAATCGCGGCTTTTTCACAAAACACGTTGAGGCCACACCATCTTTATCCGTTGCTTTGCAGTCTCCTGTAACGGAGATTATCTTGGCCTATTTTGACCCGAGTATTTCACCAACTAAGAGAGATTCAGCTATTGGATATCTCAAAAGTCTCGAAGACGAAGACCTCAAGAGCCTCTCAGGTATCCAGGCATTGAGCTTCGGGTGGGGGGTGGAGAACGACTTTCCGTTAAGAGGTGGATCGGACGATCAGAAAGCATCTATTCTCACATCCTTCATTGGACTTGATGGTACTGGTGCACAAAGGAAGTTGAGAGACTCGTTTGTATTTGAGAAGCTTTTACGCTTGTTGCGGAGCGTGGAGGGGATCATCAAGGTGGAAACTTTCTCTCTCAGTTTACGAACCTTGGTCAGGAATACGGAGACAAGAGAGTTTTAATGGTATCTAACTTCTCTGTTGAAATTGAACCCCGCAATCAAACCTCTATCGTGGTTCGATGATACAGTGTGTAATATCTTCAATGTGCAGGTTCCATATCTTCGTATTCCTGGGCCTATCGGGCTCTCATCCAGGCACTAAGGTTTGAACAGGAGGCTGACGTCTTCATCAGCTGGTCAAGCAATCGTGGTAATTCGTACTTAATTGAGGACATCCGTAACGAATAGAAGCAATTGGTTTCTAAAATATCTACATCCCTGATTGGGACCCGCCATAAGTCAAGGACGGTCGCGCCAACCATTTAATTCTTATGGCGGCATCTGCGGCTTCTATACCATCTCTTATCTCCCTCCCTCCACAGCTCTCCCTCCCTCCACAGCAGATCTTAAAGAACGGATGCAAGATAAGACACGCTATGAAAATGACACCAGTAAGCCACATTCAAAAAAGAAATTGGAAAAGAGGGACTATTATATGTGTTTCCGGTGGAAATAAAAGCCAACGCAGCCGAAATAGTTAGTCGTAAGTTACCATAACTTGACGGTTAACGAGAATATCAGCTTGGCCAGGGTTTTGTCCATTTTCCAGTATGACCTTCTGGCTATCGCCATCGCTCAAGCTGCCACGTGGGCCGCGGTCGACCTCGGTGGTGGTATGATTAAGGTGCTTTCCGCTCTCGAGCTCATAGTTGCGCATAAACATGGCACCTCCGCTACGGGAGCCACTCAAGCCGAGCGACTTGTGGTAGTTGTTGTTGTAGTCGGAGGTCTTCCCGTCGCGAAGGATGCGGAAAAGCGGACGGAGAGTTGCGATGTTGCCGACCATCATTCCAATGCCATTCTCGGCGAATCCCCAGATGACGACGTTTGCGACTTCGAAAAGGTAGTCGGTTTGGCTGGTAAGAGCGACTGTGTATTTTAGGCGGATACAGGCGGAAAGTGATGCGCTAGAGTAGAGAGACAATGTAAATTACCGCTGCGGCAAATCGAGGATCAGGGGATAACGAACAAGATTCCAAGGCCCATCAGTCCCATAATCGAAATCTTGGTGTTGCGATTGATCTGCACGTTCCAGAGCAAAGGTACCGGGCTGTGATATTATTGGATCGGTATCATTCACATAGTATAGGTAGATGTGGTGAGGACTTACAGGAAAGCAGTCACCCAATCAGTAAATATGTTGACGGCGGTACATGCGTAGTAAACGTTGGCGAGGACATGGCTGGGCTGACAGTGGCCACCATGTTTGAGGATTTCCGTATCCCAAGCAGCTCTAATATTGGATTAGCATGATTCTTGCATAGGATTTCTGAACAGGGGGTCATACTGGACGGGAATGCAGTTGACCAGAATGAAGACCAACGCGATGATGTTCATCAAAACAAACATAGCAATGACGACGTATTGCACATGAACATACGCTTTTCTTCCTTCCGCCACACGGATCAACATCCAGCTGATACTGAGTTTGATTGGGATGATAGCAGAGCAGTAGCCAACTTCGAAGATCAGAAAGAACTAGTCAATTAAAAATTAGTATCGCCGGGGTTTGCAAGTACGATCAGAGTGATAACCACCTTCTGCGCCTCCGCTGAGTATTTCTCATTACCAGGCTTCGCAAGAGTAGTAGTGTGAGCACCAATTCCATTGAATGCCCCTCCAAGACATCCAGCAACAAGGACGAAGAATGGCGCCTGTTATTACGTTAGATGAATTCTATTGGGCTGCATGAGAGGGTTATGGGGGAACAAACAAGTGCTGCCGTCATGATCCAGTCCTCGGGTCCCCATGATCTCCGGCTGAGTCTGCAGTAAGCGCGCAAACCGAATGTAATCAGTGCCAAAGTCGTGAGCAGAATCGTTGTGGCTGCCAGCCCTGGGGCTGCATCAGTGTAGACTACCATGACTTCGCCTTGTTAACCAATTTCCACACCTAAACGGCTATGTGATACTATCAAGAGTCGCTAGGCAATGAAGTTAGACATAAGCATTGAGCGTAAAGCGGAGTGGAATGGAAGGAACAGGATCGTACGGGGTAGAGCACGAATTATTAATATCTGCCAGGTCACTTCCGATGTCGAGAAAGTTGGCTCCTCATGTTAAGCTAGCGTGATGATCTGGTGGCGGCGGACAAGCGCCGAAAGACAATGGTCAGCAGGTGGATCTAGATCTTGTGGATTACAATACGAGGATCGTGTACTATGACCATTGTGATTCGCTATCGAGTGCTAGTATCTGATAGCTTTGACATCCAACAAACCGGAAAAGCCCTTGACCCTCAGGTGGATCTGTTAGCCTTCGGAGATGGAAAACATGAATCTCCGCACACCAACGTGGAAGCGGCAAAATGCCGTCCCAAAAGCCGGTCCATGGTATTGAGCTGACACTTACTCCGTAATTCTAAAGACCTAAGGGTGAATATACCGTGTACTCCGTAGATGTACTTCTTTGCAAAGCAGAACTTGCCGATATCCAGCTGGTCACCGTGGATGACCCGCCAGTGTCAAACTTGGCACTGACACAACACGCTATAATGACAAGACCTAGCACACTAGACCAAAGACCAGGCATGGAAGCGGGAATGACGGAAGGCGCCTTGTTCCTAAGCTAAACAATAATTTTCAGACCAGCTCTACTCCGTTAAGGCCCACCCCATTTCACCCCTGCATGAAGCACTACTGCCTTTGCCGCGAAACGAAACGGAGGAACGGGCTAAGAAGATGGTGAAAATGCGCAAAAGCTTCGGTACTAAGAAGACAATCGCGATGAGAATCGATTTTTGCTCGATGTCGTTGATTATTCCCGCAATCCGCGCACGATAGTCATCGGAGATCCCTTCATAGTGAATGGAAGGAAGATACTCCGACTGCAAGACTGCAGATCTAAAAACTTGCATGAGTCAGTACCTGCCATAGATTATTTTGCAAGGTACGGAGTAGTTTGAAGAGTATTACTCGTGGGCATAAACCCAACCCACCCTAATTGAACATAGTCCAATCGAAAACCTGACCTGACCAATCAGCGTCGAGGGGGTCTTTTCTCGAAGCCTAGCCTTATAGCGCGGTCTCGGCATTTCCGCACGCAGAATCTAGAATTCAGAAATCATTTCGCTTAAGCGGCTCGCCAACCGTCCTGTTCTCCACGTCCACGACCGTGCACCTACCGCCTTTGTCATTCGGCGCTGCTAGAGCATCCTTCGAGAGATATGATTCGATTGATCTGCAAGCCATGGCCGATCTTCATCTGCCTTTACTCGGCTAATTCGCCTTAGTTTACCTTTGTACGGAGTAGAATTTGAAAATAGTATCCCCCCCCTTAACGACACATGGGCTTTCTTTCCTGATGCCGCCCTTCCGACCGCGCTAGATAAAATTTAGCCGGGAAATCTCCACAGTTCTTTTCTGGGTGTATTTCTGGTACTCCATACAGCGGTGTTGATTAGTCTTCGTCACTCTTTTTTCTGCCTCACCAAGCCTTTTCTGCCGGCCCTGAGAAACCTCGCTAGTCTTTACATGAATTACCTACATCTCTCAATACTTAGTATACTATGTACCGACAGAAAGTAGTGTGGGTGGGCTGAAAAGTACGGATAACGATTTAGTTCTTGTGTGGTTCGCTCGGTGACCCCTACCGACGAGGCCCTCTCAGAGACATACTATTGCACGGTAGTGCCACTCAGGGGGCACGGGAGGTGCTGGAGTTCTTAGGCTCTGGCCGCCTGTGTTCCCCCAGACTCAAGAGTTCTGGAAGTTCCTGGGAAGGAATTGATGACTGCAAGATGGGGCGGTCGTTGCTTCGATGTAAGAATACTGGATGCATCGTAGTGGATTATTTGATAGAGTGTGGTGCGGAAATGCTGCAACTAATGCAGAACTACAGAAATCGCTGATCAGGGGCGAATCGGGGATTCGTGGAAGCGTCTGGGTGGACATTGGGGGTTCTTTTGATGTGTTATCACAGTCTGAGCGGCCCGATGGGTCAAGACTACAAGGAGAGAGGGACTGCCGCTTCTTAAAGACTGGATACGGAGGAGCTGCCTTGATGAAGAAAGAAATTAGAACATGTTGCTTTATTGTATCAAGACTTTATTCTGGTTGTGGGATCCCCTATGGCGAAGACAAGACACCAACATCCACGCCCAGGCGGAAACGGCGCGGGTGATAAAGGTCCAGATGGGAGATTTAAGGTGCCTTCCCCGGGGTCAGAGAGTCAGACACAAACGATGGGTCATGTCAATAATAAATGGTTCATCAGGACATCGCCTTGGCGAACCAACATGCCGACACGGACGGATTTGCAACCGCCATAGGGGGAATGACGGTGCGCGCAGCCGAGCACACGGGCTCTGCTCCCATGGAACATGAGAATCCCGTGTTGCATATAATCGTCTGTAATCTCCTCCCGAGGCTGATGGCCCACGTACAAACGTCCCTTTGAGACCCCAGCGTTTGAGGATTTCATCCACTGGTGAAATCAGCTGCTTCGCCGGCCATATGGCTCGAAAGGGAGAGCTGCCGCCACAATGGCCATCACGATGTACAATGCGGCACAAATGAAGATTGGCACAGGTGTTTTTGTCTGTTGTCGGTCAGCGTTGGTCTGATATTCTCATCAAAAACATGGAGCAAAAGGTCAAACTCACATTCGCAGCCTGTCCAACCACCGCACTCACGATGCCCATGATTCGGTTCAGACCGATAGCCACCCCATTGCCCGTTCCGCGATGCGCAGAAGGGAAGACCTGTGCGAGTGATCCGGGTTAGTCCAGTCGAAAAATAATTCGCAGCCGTAAGTGAAAGTGGAGAGACCATACCTCAGGCGTGTAGGCATAAAGTGTGCCGTAATAGATGTTAAGGCAGAACGAGATGGCACAGGTAAAACCCAGATTCTGACTCGCCGTGCGCACTTGTGTGTAGCAGAAGAAGAAGACCATGGTGACCAAGGCACCGATGATCATGGTTCCCCGGCGACCCCAAAACCAGCGAGAACGACACATGAAGCCTGCCAGAACTGGACCAAAGATGGAACAAGTGTTGTTGATGGCATAGTTGCGCCAGGTGATGTATTGGCTGGATTCTCCGAACTTGGCGCCTCTTGTAGCCAGGTAGGAAGGAAGGAAGACATTATACAGGGGATAAGCTAGACCGATTAGAAGCCAAGAAAACCATACCAAAGTGGTCGACCAGCCCATTTTTCGGGTTGCATAGAGGCCATGCAAGTGGTGAAGCACTTCCTTGGGTGAAATGAGACGCTGGGAAAGTCCCGTTGCGGTGGTTGAGCGGGTCTGACTCATCCCACAGGCTTCCAACCGCTCGACAGTGAGACTGCAAGGTCGTTTGTACTTTGTTGCAATGTTTTGCAGTACTCGGACTGCATCGGCATCTTTACCCTCGGCCAGCAAAAACTTCGGGGTCTCTTCTAGTCGAATGATAGTGATTCGGAGAACGGAGAGCACAAAGACAAATGCACCCGAGGTGTACCAGATATAGCGCCATCCTTGGTTGTTGGCTCGCGTACAGTTGGTGTCATCCTCACATGAAAAATTTGGAAGGAAGCCCCAGGCAAACAGACCGGCAATCAACTGGCCCAGACCTGTCGGATGTGAACAATTCAGTCAGTTGAAACTCCCATCAAGTGCGTGGAACGAATTATCCGACACGTACCCCACCAGGCTGCCATCAACGTTAACAACCACTGGTCCCGACTGGGCAGATATTCGAGAAACACAGTCGTGTCGAGAACCAGGTTTCCTCCCGCCCCGAAGGCGCTCAAACAGACAAAGAGGCCCAGCGTGACCCAGGATGGAGAAGCACCCGCGACAACGGTAAAGACAGACGAGACAAACAGTGAGACGTTGAAAGCAAAGCGGCGCCCAATGATGTCTGCAGAAAAGCCCCAGAATATGGCGCCCACGAGCATGCCCACATAAACTGCAATAGTCAGACCAGTCGAGTATCCTGGGTGAAATTCCTTCTGAGCTTGGACAGAGATGATGGACTGGATCAGCAGGATCAAGGAATCGACAGCGTAACCGAAGCCGTTGAGGCAGAACAGTTTCCAGTGATGAGGGGTGAATCCAATCTCATCGATGGCCTAGATGGTGACAGCAGATTGCACGAGTCAGTTTGAAGTGCCCAGTCAACATGACAAGAGAGATCATCAGCGCGTCCACAAAGACTCACATCGTTCACCAGAATCATCTTGGCCGCGAGCACCGCGTCAACTTTCTCCCCGCCGAGCAGATCATTTTCTCCATGGCCGACGGATCGGTCCTCATCGAAAAAGCGATCACTTTGCTTCTTCTTGCCCACCTCGGCGGCCTCGGCCGCGGAAAACATGCCGGCGGACTGTTCGACATCCATATTGCGCAAAGAGTGATATCACTCAGGCAGAACTGGTGCACGGTGTGACAAAAGCAGCTCTCTTCAGATTTCAAGACAACAGTACATGTGCAAAGAACTCAGGACTCACGCGAGCGGGCCATGGGGGGGGGGGGAGGGGGCAGATGTCCTCTGCATTTAAAGACGCGATGCGAGCTTCGCGCCATGCCTCGGAGGTTGCCAGGGGAGTCTTTTTCCATGCTTCATGCCGATGGTTCCATTCGTCGCGCTTCGCACACTGCTATCAGGAGCCCACATTTTTGCACGCGGCATGACTCTCCAGTCTTCCAGGGGCAGGCCAAATCCATCTCTCTCTGGGAAAAATCGCAAGCTCAGGGAGCCTCCCAGTAAGGTCAACTCCCCCACGCGGCTTGCGGATTGGCGTTGATTGGCGTGGGACAGTTGCAAGACAGGGAAAAGGTGGATCGGAGATGGGCGATAAACCAATCAGAGATGAAGATTCCATCCACCAGTCCAGAAGACGATCAGCCACATGGAGGAGCCCATCGGAAAAACGTCCGTGCGGAGGCCAAACCCCCAAATCGGGCAGGGATCATCTGGGTTGCATTGTACATTGAACTGTGGTCTGTACTGTGGATAGTTCAACCAACTGACGTTAACAGAGTGGCCAAGTCGCATTTACGACTTCATGGACAACTTGAGAACTCCCTCTCCATGCTATGATGATCAGAGGGAACCTACTGGTCAACGAAAGCCACAAGTTACCACCTGACATGGTCATCCTGCCTCACTCATGCTGCATGCTGCATGCACATCAGCCGCATCCATCTCACTTACCTTGGGGTCCTGTGCGGTCATGGGCCGTCCAATAATGCACGTAATCTTCAGAGATACGGTTTTGAACTTTGGCAGTGTTAATCTTCACGCCGAGGGCCCACATACCCACACATGCTCTGAGAATATATTGTCAACGGCCATGAATGGCCGATAAAACATTGTTAGGTCAGTACAGACAACACAGAAATCTTTCATGACTCGTAATCAACTCGTGCCAACCTCCAGCTTACCACATTCATTGATAGCCCTGGACAGATCAACGGTGGTCAAAAGAACCTTAACCCCCTGCATACCACGTGGGACTCAGCGGGCTTCAGCTTCGGCATCGGCATCGGCCTCGGCATCAACATCGGCACTCTATCTCCACGTGGAACCCAGCCCGTGGTTCGAGCATCCACCACGTGGGCCGCGAGATGTGGGAGTATTTAAGTTGCAAATATTCTGGAATGGAGATCCATGAAAGGACCTCGCGGTATGTTCTCATCAAGAAAATCATCGCCGGAACTTGGTTCAATGTGGGTGTTTGGATGTGAATGCTTGCATTCTGTTGTATTTGCCATCCCTACAGGACCTTGCTTGGGAAATCATACAATGGGGAGGGCAACTCATCAATGCCAGGACCCTTTGCGACACTCTTTGGGAATCCCCCACACACAAATTGAATTTAGGGATTCGGTTGCCATGGGCATTGGGTCATAATGGACATCTTCGCAAGTAGATACACAAGAATTCAACAAAACTGATGCCATGCAAACCATGAGCAGGCCACACACAGCTACCCTTCTCTGCTGGGATTTCTCTTCTCCATCCTCCTCCTTTTCCACCGTGCCATATCAAATGACAACACTCAGCTCAACCCACACATCGGCCCAAATCCTTCATGTCCTTCGATCGATCATCAACATTATCGGCCTCTCATTTGTGCTGGTTCACAAAATCCAACAGCGCGGCGTTCACCTCTCGAGGGTGTGAGGCATTCAAGAAGTGCGCTCCACCCTCGACTGGGACCAGAGTTGCCGATGGTGATCGTGTGAAGAGTTGGATCTCTTCTCTGGCATTCGCAATGGTGTATACAGCGTCCTTGGTGCCCTGCAAGAGATCAGTGTTGAGCCAATTAGTATAAATGATATGGGAACTTACATGCAACCACAGTACTGGGCACTGGATGTCCGACAGTCGAAAATGAAGTGCGCCTCTTTCTCCCAAGTTGATCGCGGCCATGCGAATCCGTCGACGGCCCTCATCTCCCTGATAGTTGGACTTGATTGTCTTCCGCCAGAATTCATGCACCTCGGGCGTAACTTGGTTCAACCCAATACCAATCACCGCATCACAGTACACATCATCCGGCTCAAAGTTGGGCGTGGCCTCGCTGCTGGCCCACTGTTTCAGAAACCTTGAGACAATCGCCGGGCCATTCCAACAATCAAGCTGGCGAGTGCGCTCCGATTCACAGTCCATGGAGGTTCCCATTGGGATGATACCCAGAATCTGACGGGGTATCACAGGTCAGTCTCCATCCATTCGAGCGTTTAACCCATAAAAATGAAGTCACCTTTTCCGGGCGCAGCAGGGCCATCTGAACGGTGACCCAACCACCCTGACTGGTTCCCAGAACAAATGCACGATCAATTTTTAGAGCGTCCAGTACCTGCAGGTTCATCTCTGCAGTGTCCCAGTAAGTCCAGTGCTCGCGTGCTGTTCGTGTTTGCCCATGACCCAGGAGCTCGATTGCAACCAGGTTCATCTTGTCGGTCAATGATGCATCATTGAATTGGTCGCGGTAAAGCTCCGAAGACGTGGTAAAAGCATTGATCAAGACAACAGTCGGCTTTGCAGGGTCGTACTCGCGAGGCACCTGGTATGCCACATCGATTCCTCCCAGATGGGAGACGCGGATCGTCTTAGTGTTGACCATGACTGGAGAATTCAACCTTCGTTCTTCGGTAGAATGCTTTTTGTTCTGATCGAGCTCATTTTCTCTTTTTATTGTCACTCCGACGGACTTTTCGGCTATTCATGGACCCCTCACAGCCTATTTTGGCGGGGTATTCGCCCTTTCCGGAGCAAGTCTCAAACTTAGTATTATTGAAGTAGGGTGGATGGTAATTCAAATCAGAGGGAACAGATCTTCAGAGGTTTCGGGTATATGTCCATTAATACTATAGCTCCGAGTTTGTTTGGTAGAAATCCTGACGTGTCACTCTTAGAAGCCTTCAGCCAGCTCCACCACGGGGCCCGTGAATCGTTTCTTTCCGCCGAACACATAATAGTAGACCCCGCCGATAAACATCCAGCCCATCGTGACCACAACACAGTAATTCATGTTGTCGGGCGTCACCGGCTGCACGGTTGGGAAAGTACTGAAGACCATCGCCAAAATCAACCACAACAGAGCAATTAAATTCACCACGGGGCCCCAGCGAGAACCGAGGTTGAACATACCCGGTCCCAAACCCCGAACTACCTCGGCGGTGGTCCGCCGACCATAGATGAGCATGAACAGAATGGGTGAGAAATAAGACGCATACATGCCGAGGATGGCCATGGACAGCACCGCATTGAACGCGGTGGAACTCCCCAGATAAATCAGACCCAACAGCATCTGCAAAAACGAGACCACCAAAATCATGCGCACGGGAACCTTCACAGTCGGATTGACAGTAGACAGGTATCCAGACGCTGGCAGTCCGTCATCGCGAGCAAAGGCCCATGCTGTGCGACTGGTTGAAGTCAGTCCGGCAGCATTGGCGGCCACGGCGATCAGGGTAATACACAGGGCCAAGATGGATGCACCAGCCGGGGAGCCAGTGACATTGAGGAAGAGTTGCATGAAGGGAAACCCGATCTGGGACGTCAGCAGGCTCTCCAAGTCTCCCAGTGCGAACAGGAGCACGATGGCATAAACGAGGCCGATTAGTCCGTTAATGGCCACACTGCCCACCATGGCCAGTGGCACGTTTCGAGAAGGCTTGGGGAGTTCTTCACTCAAGTGACAAGCTGCATCATATCTGTGGCAAAAACGTCAGTTCATGATACCAGTCTTCTTCCGGGACTATGAGGGAATATACCCGAGGAATGGATAAACAGTGCTCAGCAATCCGACCAGCCATGAAACTCCATCATTACTCCATCCACTCGTGTTTGAAAATTCCGTAAAGACATACGAAGCGGAATGTTTCGAGGACATGGAACCAAGGACAGCCACAATTGCAATGAACCCGACAACATGAAGAATACCTGGTTGCGGAATGTTAGTTACACCTTATCCATGCCATCTCGATGTGATGATCTCTTACCAGCAGCGGTATTTGTGTGCGGCAAGATCTTAGATCCCCAAATGTTAATCGCAGTCGAATACGCGATGATCAGCCAGTAGAACAGCATCCCCTGCCATCGCGCCGGAATGTATGAATCGGGGTTGTTGAGTGTGATCAGAGCTTGCAATTGCAGACCAGCAGCAAAGGCTGCGGATGCGGCGAGCACCACTTGGCCTCCGATCGAGATCCAGCCAGTGAACCATGATGCTGTGGCGCGGTACGACGCCGGTGTCAGGCAGTGAACCCAGTGATATTGCCCTGGAACATATCCGGTTAGTATTCGATATTGAGAAGGTAAAACAAGTGAAAACGGAAGCGAAGTTGGACAAAAAGAGGGCAAGGTGGCTTTGGTTGAGACTCGAGAAGCAAAAACATACCTCCAGCGGTCGGATAAATGGAAGCAATCTCGCCCAGCGAGAGCACAATGAAAACAGTTCCGACCAATGCAATGATACTGTTGTGAAGGAATTGTCAGTCAACTCTGGACACACGTTCATCGGAGTTGTACCACTCACTAGTTATAGAACAGACAAGGGGCTCCGCCATTGGTCAAAGCTGTTGCCACCACAGAACTCAATGCCTCCCATGTGGCCATCAAGGAGATCTGGAGACACACAATCGACCACAGGGAGAATTCTCGACGGAGCTCTTGGACATGGCCCAAGGCAGCCAGTTGCTCCTCATCGCTGATGGGTTTCTCGGGAGCCACCTTGGTGTCTGGGTCGATGATAGAAGTCATGGGTACTCACAGTCCCGTTCAATTCCAGGTCAAAAATGTGATGTTGTTTTGGAAAAATCGGAATGAGCTAGAAATGCCCAGACTGTCTCATTGCATGTTGAGGAGGGTGATCCACAAAATATATAAAGACTGAAAGGCCAGCCAGGGGGTCGAGATACGCAGGATTAATTGATCTTGTGAGCCAGCCTCAGCAATATGAGATTCCGCGATGGCAGATATTGGCTTTTCCAGCATCGCCAATCATGGTGTCTGGTATGGTTGCAGCCCGGGGTTGATAGGACGAAGGGCTCGTTCTTGATTGTCCTTTTTCTCCACCGCTTATCTTCCCCGCATTTTGGTCCAGCTCCGATGGCGGAAAGTCCCCGCTTTTGGTCCCATGTTGGTAACTTTTTGATGGCAATGGCAGGTATTAAGGCTTGATTTCTGGGCAATAACCTGGAATAAAACTTAAAAGGAAAGCCCGACATATCTTGAAAATGGTCAATTACCCTCTTTTGTGCAAGTGTTCGCATGTTTAATCTCGAAATGGGGTGTCGGAAGCTCGAGGAAGTGATGTCGAGACTTTAGGTGCTTATCGCTGATCCACCTGTTGGCCAAGGCCGGAAATTCCGCGTAACAAAACCACCTGTACCGTTTTGTGTTGGGCATTAGGTTGACCGCCTGCTTGAAAGGCGGTCGCCGCCTTCATTAACCATCTTTTAATTGGCCAGATTCGAATACTGCCGGCCGTACGCGCCACCAGGTCATGTGGTTTTCTGTACCGCCCTGTTCACAGAATGCTGAAGATTGCGCTCGGAATGGCATCGGAACGTACCGACCTTCATGTACATTGGTGGAGATCAGAGCAGAGCACTGCAACACAACCAACAGCCAACATGGTTGTAACACTACTTAAGACTCCCCGTATACCCCTCTCCTTCTCTCAAACGTCAAACCTGCACACATCACCATGATTCATCCCCTCGCCATCCTCTCCGAGGCTGAAACAAACCTCGCCCGGGACGTTGTCAAGGCAGCCCACCCCAACACAGTGATCGACTTCCGGGAGATCTTCTTGCAAGAGCCACCCAAGACACAGCTCGTGGAATTTCTTGCACTCGAACATGCCGGTCGCTTGAGCCCAACCACGCCTCGGCCACTTCGTCTGGCACTCTGTCAATACGATGTGATTGGAGCCGATCGTGTTCCCCAGTTCCACGAATCGGTGGTCGATGTGGTTGCTCGCAGTCGCGTGAAGCATACCGTCGTGGGCAAACAGCACCATGCCAGCTTGACATTGTGAGTGCTGCCTCACAACATGGCGACGAATGGAGAAACCTTGTCAATTGGTCGTACTCACACCTTCCATCAGGAGCGAATTCGATGTGTTGGTGGATCGTTGCATGAGCTCGCCCTTGTTCCAAGCAGCCCTGGCCGAGTTCAAGCTGCCCGAGGGATTTGAAGTCGTGATTGAGCCATGGCCCTATGGTGGCCTGGATCATACCGATGAGAACCGTCGTTATTTCCAGGGACTTTGTTTCGCTCGCGATACTCTGTCGGGCAACCCAGACACGAACTTTTACTCCTACCCACTGCCTGTGATTCCCGTCATGGACGCACACACACAAGAGATCATCCGAGTTGACCGACCGGCAACCGGTGGTAATGGTGATGGTCTGACCGAGCAGACCTTCAAGACAGACATCATTGGACATTGCAAGCCCTCCGAGTACATTCCCGAGCTTCTGCCGGAGGGAACACGCAAGGACCTCAAGCCTTTGAACGTGGTGCAGCCCGAAGGACCGTCGTTTAGAGTGACAGATGATTCATTGGTAGAGTGGCAAAAATGGCGCTTCCGTGTGGCTTTCAATCCTCGCGAAGGTGCCACGATCCATGATGTCTGGTATGATGGCCGCAGTGTGATGCATCGCCTGGCAGTTAGTGAAATGGTACGTGTTTCTTCCTTCATTGGCTTGGTATCGTGTGCGTCAGAAACTGACCTTCGCTCCTTTCTTTGCTCAAACAGACTGTCCCTTATGCCGATCCTCGACCGCCATTCCACCGTAAGCAGGCTTTTGATTTTGGTGATGGTGGTGGTGGAAACATGGCCAACAATCTTTCCCTCGGATGTGATTGCCTCGGTGTGATCAAATACTTTGATGCTGTGATCACACAGGCCGACGGTTCCGCCCAAAAATTGCCCAATGCGATATGTCTCCATGAGCAGGATAACGGAATAGGCTGGAAACACTCGAAGTGAGTAAAAGTGAAGCCCTGGAACGGCTTCAAACATTCGCGACTTCAGGGCATACCCGACTAACAAATTTCTATAGCTGGCGGACCGGTCGGGCCGTGGTCACTCGCCACCGGGAGCTCGTAGTCCAGTTTATCATTACTCTGGCCAATTACGAGTACATCTTCGCCTACAAGTTTGACCAGTCTGGCGGTATCACAGTGGAGGCAAGAGCGACAGGTATTCTCAACGTCGTCAACATTGATGCCGGCAAGGTCAGCGAGTATGGCAACGTCGTGAGTGGTGGTGTCCTGGCACAGAATCACCAGCACATCTTCTGTGTCCGTATTGATCCTGCTGTGGACGGCTCAAACAACTCCGTTGTCGTTGAAGAATCCCACCCGGTCCCAATGAACCCTGTGACTAATCCACATGGCAACTTCTATCAAGTCACGAAGAAGATTATTGAACAAGCTACCTATCTCGATGCTGCACCCGAACATAACCGCACCATCAAGATGATCAATCCCCACAAAACCAACCCCATCAGCGGGAACCCAGTCGGTTACAAATTCATCCCCCAGGCGACCCAGCTGCTCCTGGCGGATCCCGAGTCTGTTCAAGCTCGCCGTGCTCAATTTGCCCAACACCATGTCTGGGTGACCAAGTATCGGGATGGGGAGCTCTACGCCGGTGGACGGTACACCCTGCAGAGCCAGTTCGAGGTCGATGGTGTGGCTGATGCTGTTCGTCGAGGGGACGCTGTTGCAGACACCGATGTGGTGGTGTGGAACTCCTTTGGTATCACGCATAACCCCCGTGTTGAGGATTGGCCGGTGATGCCTGTGGAAATTTTCCAGTTGATGATTAGGCCTGCGGACTTCTTCGTGGCCAATCCATCGATCGATGTGCCATCGAACAAGAATGGTTCCTCGCGGTTGGCCGATTCGGAATGTTGTCGAAAGGCCCATATTTAGGCTGATTTCTTGGTTGACTAGGCAATTGCAGGCCCATTGTATCATCATTATCCTCATTACAGGATTGCACATATATCATCATTGTCTTCATCTAGACTTGGAAAATATAGTTGGTCATTTTCTGCTCCCCACTAGGTATTGGTCCGCAGACAGCTTCTCTGTAGTTCCTTTGATTTTGAATTTGTTAGAATTTGAGGTGCAGTTTTCTAGTACCTCTCCCGCCAATCTGGTCCCCATTCCAATACATGGCCGAGTTGCTATTAGAATCAACTTGAAACTCCCTTCTCTTCTAGTGTGAACCGAAGCAAAATTCAATCGTTCTTCCCCAAACATCTTCTGCTCCTCATTTAAACTTTAACACGAAGGTTTGACTCCACCAGCGGAATTGCCCAATAATTTCCGCTGCGGCGATATCGCAGCACTTTCATTTCTGCCTGGTGTTATCAACGTATCGCCCCTTCGGCTTATCGCTAGCGTCTTGGTGTCTTTTCTCCACATCTTCCCCACTTCCTTGGCTTTTCACTGTTTCCGAGCTTCCGACACATCTCTTCCTTCTTCTTCTTCATCTCATAGCACCGACAGCCGCGAACACAGGGGTCATCATGGCATCTGCTTCAGGAGGAGACACGGCCGATTTAAGCGAGCAACGACCGCGAAAAAGGGCCAAGTACACTCAAGTTGCATGGTCAGTCATACTCCTTGTCTCTTCACAGTCCATGCACCCGCTAATGATATCAGTAACGAATGCAAGCGGAGGAAGCTCAAATGCAGCGGTGGAACAACATGTTCACGTTGCACGCGTGATCATGTCCCATGCGTTTACAATATCATTGCTAAGCCAGCGGCATCCACTCCGTCGATCGACAGCCCTCCGGAAGACAGGTAGGAAATGGTTCCGCTGCTTCCTTCAGTCCTTTCCGAACGTTTGGAAAATGGGGAACTCCGTCTCGGCCAGCCACTTGGAGTCCTGCTCGCCTTTCCCCGCAAAAGCTCAGCAATCAGAGGCCCCGTTCACTAATGCTGGTTTTGCTTTAGGCTCGCGACGCAGTTTCAGACCGTCCACAGGCAGATTGAGGCACTTCAACGTGACATCCAAGTTCTGTCCACCAGATTAAGAGGAGTCGAATCATCGTCCCGTCCCAAATCACCTGCATTGCCGAGCAGCGCCGCAGCGGGGAGTATACATCGGATTTTGAATGCGCCACAGTCCCCCTCCTACATCGGTCCCACCAGTGCCGAATTTGGTCTTGACCGTCCTCGCATTGCAAATGGAGAATCCCACAACCATGGCGAAAAGGATCATCCCATCACCGGCGATGATGAGTCGTGCTCATCCCCCACACCCCAAAGCCGGGTGCCTTCCAAGGACGAAGGACCAGTGGCACATCAGGATCCGTTGCAGGGTCTAGCTTTGGAGGAGACACTGCGTCTGGTCCAAGTGTACGAAGATAATGTGGCCACAATTTACCCCTGCGTTGATTTGGCTAGCGTTCGCACCTTTGTTGTCGAGTCCCATCTTTCCCGCAGCTCGCGAGTTGGGGACTACTCCCGTCAAACGCCAGCAGCCCATCCAGCCAGAGACTGGTTTCATGCACGTGACATTCAAGTCTTGAACATCTTGCTGGCCACGGCTCTCTTGGTTGAGTCGCATGGTAGAAGCGAGTTAGCCGCTGAGCTGGCGGACTGTGTGGAGGATCGTTTCGCTAGTCGACTGAAAATTGCCCAGGTTGACATGAAGGAAATTTTGATTTTGGTATTGTTAGTACGTGAACCTTTTCGCGCCAGTGTTGGAGCAACGATCATCGCGAATTATTTTACTGATCGACCACTGTAGTCCATTTTTCACTCATACCGCGATGATGAAGTCATTGCTTGGCGATTGATTGGCATGGCGGCGCGTGGAAGTATGGAACTGGGCTTGCATCGCCAAGAGACATGGCAAAGAACGGGAGGAATATTTCCAGGTGCACTCGAATGGCTGTGGGCCAGTCGTCTCTTCTGGGTTGTATATGTCTTGGATCGCAAATGGTCATGCGGAACAGGTCTACCATTTGCGATCCAAGACGCGGATATGGATACCAATCTGCCAGAACCCGGTCACTCGACCCCGTATCTGACCTGCATGATTTCTTATGCTCGCCTCAGCTCGAAGATTTGGGGATTGATTGTCGGCTGGTCGAATCGCTCTCGAGCGGCTACGTCAGAAGGATGTGCCATGCTGGACGCGCAAGTTCAGCAATGGGTGCGCTCCATTCCACGGGAGCTTCGCTTCGATCCCGGCCAGCGCGCAACTGCAGGACCTGGGCATACTGATAGGAATATCATGCTCCAGGTACTGCTTGCACTCCAAGCTAATCAGCTGCGGATTCTCGTCTACCGGCAGTACTTGATGAGCAGTGAACGCATTGCAGAGGATCTGGCCGGGGCATCGATCGCTGTGGAAACAGCAAAGAGCACAGTCCACATGTTGGACTACTTTAGCCGGGTTTCGAACATCTATTTCCAGCGACCAGAGCCATTCAATTACTTCTTAATATCTGCTCTTGCGGCTTTGTTCCTTGCCGTGCTACATGCGCCATACCGATACAGCCAAACCTGTCGACCCGAGTTCTACACTGCCATCGACATGGTTCGCCGCTCAGCGACTCATACTCGGACCTCACGGCGTCTTCAAAAGATCATCCGCAGCCTCAAACGAATTCAGTTGAATGTTCAATGGCACAAGTCGCGGGGCCCCACATCCCCAGTTCAGCATCATCACCGCCCACCAACTCTTGCGAGGAAGGTCCCCGACGCTGGCGATAGTCCGTCCACATCAGTGAAACAGACCTCCCTCGCGACTCGCAATCTGTTAAACAACACGCCACTTTCTCTCCCCACGGAATCTCCGCCCAGTCAAAGGCATCCTCGAGTAGACGATGGGCCCATTCCGCAGTCATCTTCTGCAACACTGTGGCCATTGTCACCAGGCACCGCCATCGATCTTGAATCCAACGACTGTGCGGATCTTAGTAGTTTCTTTGAGATGGCAGGCGGGTTATATTTTGATCCTGATGCAGATGCGCACTTGGCGAGTGGAGTGGGGATGGGGGTCGAAATGTCTCACTCTGACTACGGGCGGGCGCCTCATGCGTTGGATGCGTTTCAGGCTGAAGATGAGGCGTTGACACGGGTGATGGCTGGTCTTCTTTGAAGAGTGGACTTTATTTTTAAACAAGAGGAGGTTAGATTATCCTCAAAGCAAATATACATCATCCGATTCATCACAATTGCCTCGCTCCTTGAATGGCCTTTGCCTGTGTCTGGGGCTAATGAAATGGCCCCCAAGTTCAGTGTCAACCCATGATACAATGGCGTTCCATAAGTTTGAAACTTCGGAGGAACTGAATGACAAACTGTCAGTAATGAGTCAAAAACATGATGCTGGCCCGAGGAGGAATGCCCTGGCTGCCGAAGAGAATAATTGAACATCCATGTGGAGTACTATTTGAACGTCTGATCCTTTTCTCCGGCCTCTGCATCTCGGTTTTTCAACTATGACTGAACTTGTGGCTTGTCTGTCACAAGATGACGTTCGGCAGTTCAGGAGTTAACTACTAAACCCCAGTCTTCCACCATTCACTGCCATCGGCATGAAGAAAATCTCCCCCGCATCGCTCCGGGCCTTGTGCCGATCTCTTCATGCATTGAATGATGGTGGCGCACAGAAGAAGGGGAATTCCCACCAGTCGTCGCGGGGTTCCTGCTTGGCCTTTTATTCCATACATCAGTCCTTCCGCTGTCCTGTTTCTAATCCGTCCTTACAACATATACCCCACATGCGATTTAACCGTATTCTCTCCCACACGAGATTCCGGTGTCATGGCCGTCTGTGTCAGTTGATAGTCCCACTTCCATGATTTGGTCCTTAGCTCCGTGTCTCATGGTTACCTTAGAATATTCATGGTGACTACAGTATAAAATCCATTTCCTGGAACGTGCAATAATTCATCCACACCAGAACCAATATTTGGACTCACTCTATTCAAAATGGTTGTACAGAAGCTCGCGACACCAATAGCGCTTTTCACTGCTTTGGTACGGGGATATGCAAACCCTGGCAGTTGCTCGGGTGCTTGCAATGTCCACGACCCATCGTTGGTTCAGAGGACATCGGATAGTCTGTACTTCCGATTCTCCACTGGCAATGAAATTTCGTACGCAAGTGCGTCCTCCATCAAGGGTCCATGGACCACGATCGGTTCCATGTTGCCGTCGGGTTCCTCCATCGATCTTGCCGGTAATACTGACCTTTGGGTAAGTCGTTCGCTGACTGGTAATTCACCTGTCATATTTCTTTTCTCGCGGCGAACCGGAGCTGACCATATTGCGAATTCATTTGACAACAGGCCCCCGATGCGCATATCGTCGATGATCTCTACTACGTCTACTATTCCGTGTCGACATTTGGATCGCAGTCTTCTGCTATCGGCCTGGCGACATCAGCCACCATGGAATCTGGTTCTTGGACCGATCACGGAAGTACTGGAATCGCTTCATCTTCATCCAAGGCCTACAATGCCATTGATGGCAACCTGATCGACGTCGATGGAACTTACTACATGAACTTTGGCTCCTTCTGGCACGACATCTACCAAGCGCCGATGAATTCTGCTGCAACCAAGGTCGCTTCATCCTCGTACAATATTGCGTACAACGCGACTGGAAGTCACTCCGAGGAGGGTTCTTACATGTACAAGTACGGCAGTTATTACTACCTCTTCTTCTCTTCGGGTACCTGCTGTGGCTATGACACTTCCAGGCCTGCGGCTGGAGAGGAGTACAAGATCATGGTTTGTCGGTCAACGTCGCCGACAGGTGGCTTCGTAAGTGAACCTTTGGATCTTTCGAAATAATGCCGAGAATATCAAAATAATGATTGATCATCGTCCAGGTCGACGCGAGTGGTATAGCTTGCACCAGCAGCGGCGGTACAGTCGTGCTGAGAAGTCACGGCACCGTATATGGCCCCGGAGGACAGTACGTTATGACCGATTTCCTGCAAGAACTACGACCCGGCTAACTATTTGCGTCCAGGGGAGTCTTCACCGACCCAAGTTTGGGCCCCGTCCTCTACTATCACTACGTCGACACCACAGTCGGCTACGCAGACAGTCAAAAATTGTTCGGGTGGAATCAGATTGATTTCTCCTCAGGTTGGCCCGTGGTCTGAGAGTGGCTCGCAACCGCATTGAGAGATGATGCGTTGGGGGAAACAAATTGAGGCCATTTGGATGGGAGCATTGGCACCACAATATTTTCCAGTCCATGATATGGTCTTCCGACTGGAGTGACTGGCAGAATGATGTTGCCTTCACCCGTTCTTTGCATACCCACACTCGTTGCTTGTTTAGCCTCCAAACATCGAATATTCTGGCATTAAGACTCCCCAGGAATTTCCTAGAGCCTCAAGACATTGTGCCCTCTGTAGAATTCCCGCAATTATGTAACTCCTTTCGCTCCTGCCGATGCAGCGCAAGGAGATCGAGCAACTTTGCAGTGTTGTCAAACATGGCGGGAGATGAGAGGTAGCCTGCCACATGGTTTGGCCCGATAGATGCAGAGCAGAACCAGTTGTAGTAAGCTCGCACCCTACCATGGCATTCATCTAGCCAGATTCGCGGATTCATCTTTCCCATATTCCAGCTCGAGTTCCTTCCTCAGAGATCTTGACGGCCAGCGCACACGCCTCTGACAGGAGTCCAAGAGATCCAACAAGGCAAGTCGTTCATGAGGGGTATACACACACATACCAGCTGCAGACAACACGAAGATAAGTTAGCGGCCATCCATCAGCGAGCCATCAGGGTGATCAAGGGACTTACCACCAAATACACAGTGAAGAGAGACAATGCTGGCCGCTTGTTCTGACTCATCAACGGTTCGTGCAATTCCGCATATTGTGTTGACTGACAAGGTCAACAGCTTTTGTGCTGCTCGGTAGTCGTCGAGACCACCGGAAGAAGGACGGTGAAGAATAACCAAGACCCTTGCCAGACTATGGATCTGCAACGCAGCCGCATAACTTGGTGGATGAATCCAAATGTGTGGGAAGACAGTCGTACCAGAAGCCATGGGAAGAGGGCTGTACTCTTCAGGTAGATGATCATACCATTCCTGAAGCAAGAATAGCAGCTCGCTGCCCCGTTCAAGGCGCCGAGACAAATCAGATGTCTCTTGCTCTTCCTTGGACGCGTAGTTGACGCATTGGCCAAGAAGATAGGTAGCTCGAGTAGCCAGCTCAGGAGCTGTCAAAACTGACAGTGGTCGTTTCGGCTGCCAGAAGCTAAAGACGCGACGCCGCTCCCTCATGGCCACCCATACATCTTGCCGAAGCCAGGCCCACCACACAGCGGATCGAAGCCCACCGGTCTCTCCATCATTGTCTTGGAATCGTTGGATCCAAAAGACGCCCTTGAGGTGCCGCTCCCAGTCCTGATTCGACCCGTCAATCATCTCATATGTGCTGATGAGCAGGGAAGTTGCAATCACTTCATGACTGCGGGCATATGAAGGATGCCGCATGGCTCTGTTGAGGTAGTGCATTGTTTCATAGTAGTATTGGACCGCCAGGTTACGGTCAATGGCATGGGATCGAGTCGAGGAAGTATCATCGGGCGCCACCGATGCCGACATCGCCCCCTGCTCTCGCATCTCCATTTCAAGAGACAGGTGCCTTGTGGAAAGGGCCAGCAAAGCCTTCATTAACCCTACATTCCGCAATGCCAGATGCGGAACCACAGAGGCAAAGTGCTGGAGCGGATCATAGAAATCTAACCACTTGCTCGAAACGCGCACGAAGTGGGTAAACAAAGAATGTTCCAAACTGGATAATTGGACGGGAGAGGAAGTGGTCCAGGAGGATGGACCATCCGAGATCACCGAATCTCCATCCCCCGTAGGCTGCTGGGGTGCAAGTCGTTGCTCGATCCCAGCGTCGCGTCGGAAGGCCGCTGCATAAAAGCTTTCGCTTTCCCGAAGATTCCGAGGCCGCAGGTTTGAACTGTGACGGGGATCTTCCCCGGTTTGATCGCGATCCTCTGGATAGTCGACAGGATCTCGATGGGTGCGCGGGAATTGTTGCGGCGGCGACAGAAGGAACCGATCGTTGGCATTCGCAGCATCAGTTGCTAAAAGCTCAAACCAGCTGAGCGGTGCTACTCGAGTAGATGCTGAGCTTTCCGTTCCTGGAGAGGAGACATAGCCATAAGGGGAATTGGCGGAAGGAATGATCGGGGAGGGGGAGATGGGTGCAGCTTGATACTGCGATTGCTGTCGTTGCTGTATGTCAGGGTAGAGAAACGATCTTTCAAGTCTCTCGATCCTCTCACGACCGTCGTGTGGTGATTTCTCGTCTTGCATCGGCTGCTTCTGGTGGCAGGCATCGACCAGGACTTGCAGGGGCCCATGTTGCTCTGCTGTGGTATAATGCGGCTGTGCCTCCCCTCTGGATGATCTTGAGCCGAGTTGCGGCGTGGAGACGAGGGGCGTCGCTGGTTTTGAAGTGGTTGTGAGAATGGTGGATGTGGTGGCAGCATCAGTCGTGCTTTGGGGTGCGTAGATACACGGTCGCAGGCCCTTTGCACAGGGACCACAATGGGGTCGAGCCTGTAACAGGAATTGAGATCTCAATTAGCCATTGTGTTTATCAAGGCAGGCCGAGACAATTGGAGCTGGCCAGCAGGATCACCAGATGATGTTCAGGCCGTCTGGGAACGGAGTTCAACCCATACCTCGTCACACTTGACATGTCGTCGTTTGCAGATGACACTATGATGGATAATTAGCGATCGGCTCGGTCGCGAGATGCCGTACAGCCTCGTATCGTGCACTACAGTACTCACCACCCGGTTGTCGCACGGAGGCCCCGGCCACGGGATTTGCGCTTTGGCCGTGGCCCCGGTGCCTTTGCAATTGACGCCAATGCGATGGATAGACTGCACGCGAGTGAAGAGCCCGTGCAGGAAGCCGAAGAGCAGAGGATCGCGTCGAGGCGTCGGGGCTCATCTCGGGCAAAACTCCAGAGTCGAGACGGAATAAAGAGGGGGATAGTGGATCTGCATCAGCCAAGTTGACCAGTGAGAGAACTGAAAGCAACCAAGACCGGCACTTGGCACAGCCGTCAGAGGCCAGAAAACCCGGGGGAAACTAGACAAGTTGGGGTTGGATCGAAGGTGTTTGATTGGCTCAACCGATTTCCACTCGGTGGAAGGCCGAGATTTTGCCGGTGTCCAGAGATGCCCCGACACGAGACACAACACACACACCCCGCGCAACCTTCGTCGCGAAGCAGAAATTGAGAAACACGCATTCAGTCATCTCGCGTGCAGTCCCGTACGTTGTCTCTTCCGATCAAGACCCAACGTTGAGTCAAATTGACTTTGGCTAACCACCAGCCAACTGCAATCCTCCAGGAACAACAACATAAACGCGGTCCGCACGCCAGTTTCTTTTTCATCAGAACAGCAAATCGAGTGCTCGCATCGCTACGTTCATTCAAAATGAGCTGGCAAGACAGCAACCCAACTTACAGAATCTTGACGGCCGCCGAGAAGGGCGGCTATGGAGTCCTAGCTGCAATCGTGTAAGTTGTGCAGTGTATTCAGTCTTCACGATGGAGTGTGATCTGACAATATGGAAATACCAGATACAACGTCGAGCACATCACGGCTTTGGTCCAAGCCGCAGAGCAACGGCGGTCCCCATTGACCATTCAACTCTTCCCATCATCCCTTAAACAGAAGCCATCATTGGTCTTTGCGCTAGCCGCGGCCGCGAAGAGTGCGTCTGTGCCCATCTCCGTTCATCTTGATCACGCCCAAGACTACGAGCAGATCAAGTATGTGGCCAGCAATCTGCCCTTTGACTCCATCATGGTCGATATGAGTAATTATGAAAAGGAGGAAACCCTGGCAAAGACTCGTACCTTACGCAACTATTGCCATGTGCGAGGGATCACCGTGGAGGCGGAAACCGGTCGCATTGAGGGAGGTGAGGATGGAATCGTGGAGACTGGTGATCTTGAGGGTATCTTGACCAACCCAGAAGACGTGGAGGATTTCATTGCGGCCGGAGTCGACTTCCTCGCCCCCAGCGTGGGCAACATTCATGGAGACTATGGGCCCAACGGGACTCAACTAGATATGGATCGGTAAGTGGAGATAAATCGAGAACCTAAGAGACAGTTCTTCGCCATCGGACTAATGTGAAAACTACGACAAGTCTCCATGGTGTCTTCAAAGCCATTAAGGGCCGTGTACGACTTGTGCTTCATGGAACTAACGATTTCGATGCCTGTCTTACCCAGGATTGTATCAAGGCCGGAGTGACCAAGGTCAATGTGAATAAACTGGTCCTGGATGGCTGGCATGATAATTTGCGGGCCAATGCCACGCGGCCCTTGACGGAGCTTATGGATACTGGCATCGAAATTCTGACGAAGGAGATGGAACGATGGATGGATATCGTGGGTAGCAGTGGTAAGGCATAAATCTAAAAATAAAAATAAAAATAAAAAAATTACCTATAGATAGCGAATCAATATATTCCCCCTTATGAACAGCTTTATGATCCCTTGGGTGTTGACCCTATTGGTGATAACATTGATTAGGTATGGCTTCCATTTCAACCCCAGCGTCATAGGTTAGCTGGTATGTTTGCGCGGTAAATACAGCACAGTGCAGATCAACCCAGGTATCACTATTTACCACTTCGGCACTTTTGTTGGACATCATCGACGCCTCGTGGCTAGTTTGGAAGGGAGACTCGTTTGTTTTGCTTCCGAGGACCAGATTCGAACTTTTACTCGCCGCTCTGGAAGGTATCTTTGCTGCCCTAGCGCCTATAGACGCCACTGAAGCGGCTCACTTGGTCCACGTATTCGTCGATAACCCCGACGGGGACTCCCTACGCAAATGTGTTATCTATAAGCCCTCAGAAAAGCTGTCTACTCCTGGAAGTCATAATATCAAATTGACGTAGGCGGTTCCCATCGGAGACAACATGGGTGGTCAGTACGAAAGGATCGAGCACCGAAATGCCCAGACACGGGAACTGCTCGAGGGAGGTATTGTCCAACTAGACTACAGTGATAAGGGGTGGGTATAGCAATAGCACAAGATAAAGGAAAGCCTCGTGTCTGCCCGTTCGCTGCCTATCAAGGAGGCCTATGAGTTTACCGGCATCCCTATAACGGGTCCCGAAGAAGCCCTAGTGCTGAGCATCGATAGTCGATATCAATCTAAGACTATGCTCTAACCTTAGTAGCCTTTAGCTATCGCGTAGATAAAAGCCTATAAGAGAGCACCCTGATTCACAGTAGTATCACGTGGATACCTATGGTTTAGGTAAGACTATTGATGGAGATCCGATAGGGATCTCCCTCGAGGGAATCCCCCAGTCGGGATTCTCCTAGAGGATGATTCCAGGGCCAGGTTGATTGCTTCGGCCTATATAGGCCTTCCCTTCCTTTGTTTCCTTTCTTCTGCAGAGATAGTTCTCCAAGTATTCGAACTAGGTTGTTCCTCTCTCCTGCTTCCTTGCGTAGTGGCGATAGATCGCCATCAACTATCTCGGCACTCTGCCTGATTTACTTCGCGACAATATGTTGCAGGCAGAGTGGGCTAAGCGAACCAGGAAGTTACGGCCTAGCCTAAGTATGGTGCTAACTAAGGTTTTTAAGGACAAGCTGAAGGTGCTTGTCTTTTGGGGAAATTCTGATCACGTCGGTGATAATTCTAGAAATACGCTTACTATCAGCACTTAGGATAAGCTCTACACTAAGGTGCAGGGTTTAGACTCGGGTGCTCTGAATTTAGGGTTCACGGTAGTGAGCTCGTCCTATCGAACTTAGGCACACCAGACGACCGAAAACGAGCGAAGAGATACTACAGTATGTTGGGTTTTTCTTTGCATTCTTAAGTGGGCTGAAGTTAAGGGTCTAGCTAGATTCTAGCTAACTGTTTCTTAGGTTGATAGTCCTAATGATAAGGACGATAAGGACGACCTGGACAACCTTTCTCGTTGGCTAATACATTCTACATCAACCTCACCGGCTGGGATTCAACTGGGAAGAATCCAATACAATACAGACGGCGAGCCTCAGAAGTTCACACCGCCGGAGAAACCTAAGAAGCTTCACTCGCTATATACCTCACACTGTATACTCCATTTTGCGTCAGTCATTGTTGATAAATGTCAATCCGGCAAAAATATCAGAGGTCGTGCCCGTCAGATCATTGAACGGGCACCTGGGGTTGCCTATTCCAGGATCAAATTGGAGGGTGCGACAGCTGGGAGGAGTGTACCAGCCCTCGGCCCGACTTTCGGTCCTTATCACCATATATCATGGAACTCTATGCAAATTTCTATATTTTGATCCTGATTGAGAATGCACCAAACTCTGAAAACATAGGCAAACAGGCGAGTCCATCGGGTTTGGCGACGTTAACTGCAGCGAGCGTACAGCGTTTTGAAAGGGCATTCTATCTGTCGATACCTGTATTACAACAACTTCAAAAGCATGACGCCGCAGATCATGTGGACTTCCCAAGCTATATTTTCTGGGACAACTCTGTATTGTTGAACTGGCGAGCGGTAAAGCCCGGTGACTCCTGAGTATCACTCCCGCGCCTTCCTTTTCGGCGCCTGCCTTTTTCTCTCACATTTCTCCATCACTTTACTTTCCTTCTTCACTCTTCTCTCATTTCTAATGTGCTGCTCATAGCTTCAATTCCTTCACAATAACCCTCCCTTCGATCCCAGGCCCACTCACAGGAATTTCACTTACCGACTCTGGATCAATACGCTCTCTCAGTCCGAAGGTTCACCTAAAATCACAGGCTAAGGAACTCCTCGGTGAGTTGATGAGATTCAAAGTATTAGTGCAGGCTGTCTCACTTGATGCTAGTTTATATATCAGCATGACGCTCAAGCAAGCTCGCAGGGGAGAGCGCTCTCTAGCTCATCCTGATGGGGTGATATTTTCTGCACGACACTCATCAAGCAATGGACCCCAAGGATTGCTCATCTGAAGCAGTGCGTGCAGTCTATGGACCGAGACCCCTAGCGGGTTATAGAATTCGTCATCTCAACTGAGACAGGTTTCTTAGCTAACATCCAAAATTTCGGTGCATTCTTCGAAGAACTTGAGACGGTAACCTGGCGCTTCCTGGTGTTCGATAATACATCTACTCGGTTCACTGGAATCGATATTTACAGCATTATCGAGCATTTCTATCACTGGCCACCCGTTCTGAGCGACAACACATTGTCCTTCATTGCAACAATCAAAAAGGCGAACGACGCCCGTGAAGGGCTCTCTCGTCTTAACGCAGATCTCGGTCCTCGAGGGCGTAACCGGGTCCGTGCTCCAAGTCGACCAGAGGGTCTTCTTGTGTCTCGCAGTGATTAGGGCCCTGAAATGGCGAGTGGAATGTTGGGGCTGTGAAAATGGATGTAACCGAGACACCTGAGATTCTGCTCGCTCCTCCCCCGCTCTCCCCTGCTCCTGTTCAAGACGAAGATGTGGATAGCTTATCAAGCCGAGAGTCGAGCCCGTCGCACCTGGCTCACAACCCTCCGACTACGCAAGAACCCCAGCCTCCCTCTGCTGATATTTCAGTCTCCCAGCTTCAAACTTACCCTGTGCGTCCGATCTGGACTTGCTTAACCAGTGATTGGCGCTTATCTCGAATGCCGCTCCTACGCCCCAAAAACCAACCAAAAGTTGGCCATATGCACCGAGAAATCGGCGCCGATTTGACGAACGACAACTTCATTTACGACCTGGAAAGATTTACCCTACGGCTGTTGACTTATATGATATTGACGCATACTGGTGCAGAATGATGGATAACCAGAGACTGGGAAATCCAGTTTGAAATTGTCAACCCGAATGGATCGGCGCTCTTATCACAACATGCAACATGCAGAGTGACATCTACCTGCATGCATAAGATAACACTAAAGTATGTCTGCCCAACACAAATATGTTGCAATTGGGCATCCCGGATTTGTAACAGCCGAGGATCCCCGTTATCGTGTAAGCTCATGGGTATTTCAACCCCTATGAGCACCCTCATTTCATGTTCCTCAATCAATCAATCATTCAATCACTCAATTCAATATCAATCTCCCCTTTTTGATTCCGTTGCCCTGATTGGCCCATTTCCAAGTACTTCGCAGCTGTCACATTGTTGATAGAAATTTAGGTCTATATCCGATAGTTAATATAATATCTTAGTATGATTTTCTGACGAACTTCCATCACTCCTTACCCTAGGATATGATGATAGTCAATTAGTTATGCAGTAATAATAGGCAAGATAGACGTACCGCTCCTTCCGACAAAGCACCATTGAATACTAATTGACCTTGATGAATAAAGGACCAGGGTGTTAGTTCATGGCTCTAGAAAAACGTTCACGACACTACATGCTTTCCCTTTCATGAAACCCTTTTACATCGCCATCAAAGGGTACATTGGACACCTACAGAAATGGTATAGGTCGTATTGTACATTCCCGGTTATGAAAGTGCTTGATCATACTATGGACATCGATTTGAGTGAATCAGCTAGATTTTTTATCCAAGAATAGGAAGCGCTAAGTCACCGTGTTGGGTTCTTCCACAAACCATCACAGTGCAAGATATCTATCGGGGAGGGCTCTGGTCTCGGGGGAGATAATGAGCTCCAAGCCGGTCGGATACCGAAGAATTAGGACCCTGAGGGGTACGATGACCACTTGACCTGCCCCATGGGCTACATTCGTAACAGCTACCGTCACCTACTAATTTGGGATAAAGTCCTTGTCAAGTCTCCTTGAAATTTTCGATGCGAAGAGTTTCTGAATGAATTTCATCTGGTCATCTGTAATTAATACAAATGATCCACAAATTTTACAGCGCCATAAAATACTCATCGCGTCATTGACCGCAAAAGGCCTCCGTACAGCGTCGTTGAATCATGCCCCAGCCAAAGCCTTTGTGTTTCGTCTGAACCAGATATGCAACCCACTGAAAACGACTATTCCTACCACCAACATTGCAGATATGACGGAGAAGCCCTTGATGTATTTGGGGCGATCTGAGTTAGGGAAGAGATACTGTAATTCCATACTGGATCAGCCATTGAAGTCTTGAGTTGCAGATGTGTTTACGTACTGAGCCATAAATCTCAGACAAATTTCCAAGGACATTGACCAGCGCCAGACTCACACCGCGCGCCTGGGCATGCATGCCAGCAAATGCGGACGAGGCAAAGGCCAGGGTACCAGCATTAGTTGCCTACAGACCAGCAGCCATAAGAACCAGGAGGACGTACCTGGCTGTGAAGTCATATACCACACAGATAACGATCGAGCAGATCAACGAGAATGTGAGCCAGCAAGCGATAACCAGACCTCGCCACGCTGGGATCTTGTCGCTGAAGTAGGCAGTGATAGCTGTACAGATAAATGCAACTTCATAGATTGGCATGGTTAGGAAATTGATTTTCTCTGTGGACGCATTGCCGAAAAGACCCTTGACGAGTGTGGGGTAAAAGTAAGTGAGCGTGCTGGAGCCAACAATTACCTGGCAAAAATGAGACCCGAGGTTAGAAGACTAGTAATTAGATATGTAGGGACCGAGGAAGCTTACCATATATCCGGCCACGAGCGCCCATCCAATCGTGGCTGCGCCCTCGACGATGAATAACCATCTCCATCCCCGAATCCCATGCACACCTTCGAGATATTTCACAATCAAAGCGGCCAGCAAGCCACCGAATGCACCCGAAAGAATGGCCGCGGAAATGTAGACACCGAATCTCTTAGACTGTTCGGTTCGCTTGTACCAGGATGACAGCACAAGAAGCACACCAGGGGCAAAGCCAGCTTCGACACATCCAATCAAGACACGGAGAACCACGAGATGCCTGAACTCCTTGACAACAGCCATGAGACATGTCAGAGTTCCCCAGACAAGCATGATGCTGGGAAGGGATATGGACGGGCGTGTGCGACCTAGGACAAGGCTTCACAGAACAGGTATCAGTATGCTTTCCATGTCGGTCAGAGGATACGAGACATCAACTCACTTGCTTGGTACCTCGAAAATAACATAGCCGACGAAGAATACCACCAAGGGAACTGAATATTGGTTGGAGGACAGGTTGAGATCGGTTTGCATTCCGGAGATCTTTGCATTTCCAATGCTGCAAGCCGGAATCATTGTTAGTAACTTATTCTTGTGATGACACTTCTGGACGGACAACAACGTACTTGGTTCTGTCCAAGTAGGAAAGCAGGTACATGACCCAGATTGTTGGCAATAGGCTTAAGTCTATCTTCCTCACCAGAGCCTTCTCCTCCCCCGAGGAGAAGGCCTAGTGAATGCTTGGATGCTCGATCTCTTTGGATGAGATGTCGTTCTTGAGTTGTCTTTCAATGTCTTTGGAAGTCATGATTGCTGGTCTCAAGGGAAACCTGATGGGAGCAAGTCGTGATAGCCTTTCCTTCGCATGCTCCCAGCGCAGGATATTTATGTCCATTTGTATAAAAGCTCAGTCTCGTGCCATGAGCGATGACGGTACGACAGTTGTCGACTCTGTATGGTCACCCCACACGGTTGATAGGAGCCGAAAACCTGTTTGCCTGGGGTAATCCACCCCCAGGAACGCCCATCGTCGGCTGGGCGGTTTCTCCACGTCTGCTACTTTTAAGTTTCCTAGTGTGGGGATGGCCTCGTTACGAGACCCTCAAGTAAGGTTTTCGGCTTTCTCCTCTTGACAGATGCTCTGGCTTCCTTGGCATCCGCGGACTTGGAAACTTTATCGATGCAATGCCAGAAGAAATGCCAAAGAGCATTGCCATGGCGATATGTCCAGCAAGAACAGGCCTCGTGAAATTCTTCGGGCTGTGATATTCGCATTGCTCACTCAAGGATCGCAATGAACTCCATGTGCCTCGATGGCTGCCAGTGACTCTGGCCGTCATCTGCGCGAGCTTACTTGACCTGCTCGGCAGAGTCCCGACAATGTTCTTGTTGCTTTTTGCGAGTTCCGCAGCGTCAGATTCGCAGAGGTAGCCGCTAAGGTTGCGGGAGTAGTGCACGACCCCAGACAAGGCGCCAAATAGGCTTTGGTTGTTTTGATTCCATGGTCTGATCCTGACGCCATGTCTGTCGGGGTTCGGATCAAGGCAACCTGCTCGGCACGATGTTCATGACTCTACGCGAGCCCCGCGCGGGCCACACAGCGAGCTTCATGCGAAACGACATCCTTGACGCGACGCGCCAGATGGGGCACATGGAGGGGTTCCGATCACGACAATGACGATGATGCGGGGATTCGCGGTGCCTGGAAATTTATTAAAGCTGGGGTGTCTTCTGCAAACACCTTCTTTGAATCTCCTTTCTCTCTGTATACTCACACTCTACCAGATCCTCTCTGAAACGAGTTCTTATTCACACACATCATGCCTCCTGCTGCCACCGAAACTGCCGCGTCCAACGGGACCAAGGCCGAGACGCCTGCTCTTTACCTCACCACATGCCTGCCAGTGATTTCAGCTGGCAGATCACTCTAGCCCAAAAGGTCGTTGCGATCACTGGGGTTAACCGGGGAATTGGCCTGGGCATTGCTGAAGTGTGTCTCGCCAATGCTGCCAAGATGGTCTACTCGCTGGACATGATGGAGCCCGTTGAAGAATTTGAGGCCCTGAAAAAGCGATTCTCCAATTTTCAATACCTTCAGACCGATGTGTCACTTCGGAGGAAAGCATAGAAAACGCTATCAACAAAATTGTGGAAGAGACTGGCCGTATTGATGGCTTGGTTGCCAATCCCGGCATGACGAAGCACCAGCGAGCCTTGAACTTCGACCGTTCTCAGCTGGACAAGCTGTTCAATCTCAATGTAAGTGGATCTGTTGTTGGTTGTTGCGAGGCCATTATGCTGACCGCCATTTGCTAGGTCTATGGTGCCTACTTTTGCGCCCAGATCGCTGCTCGCAAGTTCATCGAACTTGGAATCAAGGGATCTATTGTGATGACCTCGAGCATGACTTCCTACTGACCCAACAGGGTAAGATAGCATACCTTTTATATGTTGAAACCGTATTCAGGAAGCTGACGGTGGACTTTTGCAAGGCCGCACCCTCCGCACCTTACGGCGCTACCAAGGCAGCTGGTGAGTTGAATTGGACTTGGAATCTTCATTATGAAAGAAATACAGCTAACTTGTGTATTCTTTTCCACCGTGCAGTTCGCAACATGTGCCACACTCTCGCCATGGAATGTAGTCAACACGGTATCCGCGTCAACAGTATTTCCCCCGGTTTTGTCCGAACAGCCATGACCTACTACGTCGAGAAATCTCCGGATTGGGATCTCAAGATGCAGTACTATGGTGGTATGCCTCGTTTGGCCGACCCTCGAGAGCTCGGCGGTGCCTACGTCTACCTGTTGAGCGATGCCAGTTCATATACCACGGGTATTGACATTCCGATTGCGGGTATCGTGGGTGCGTGGTAAACGAATTGCATATGAAAGGATGACCATCATTTCAGGCGTTGTGTTTTTGGATTATCTGTTAGACAAGATGGAACACCAGGCAGGTATAAGCGAACTTGATACGATACAATGAATTAGAGTTTCTGTTAGTACTGTCCTTGCAAGGTATAACCGAGTCTTTAGTTTGGATTGACATGGTACGAGAAATAGAGTTTCACTATTATGGTCTTTGCAAATTTTCCGATAGTCATGGAGAGTCAATCATTCTTTTGTCTTCGACCATCGGCGACACCCGCCGAAAGCGATGCCTGAGGCATCTCAGGATAGGTTCCAGCAAGGATCTCCGACTGTTAAGACGTGTGAAAACCTCGGTCGGCTCAACTCTCCACGACAAGTGAGAACGAAGAAAACAATGGCGAATCCAGGAGATACAAAAAGTGCAGCCCAAAGCAAGGGCCCTGCAAAGTACAATGTCGGCTGGAGACGAGTAGTCCGGAATTTCAGTCCTTCGTGAGTTTCTCTCAGGACCCGGTCGGCTTGAGTGCCTCGCTAACCAACACACAATTCATGGATGACCAGCTGGTTTGCAGCGACAATGGGCACAGGAATTGTCGCCGTGTTGATGAACTCGGTGCCTTTTCACGCCCCAGTTCTCTATTACCTGTCTATTGTCTTCTTCCTGCTCAACGTGGTGATCTTCTCGCTGGCGTTGATCATCTCCATCCTTCGATACACCTTGTATCCGGAAATTTGGCGAGTCATGATCCAGGACCCAACCAACTCGCTCTTCCTGGCCACGATCCCCATGGGGTTCGCGACACTCATCGAGATGTGGGTCTTGATCTGTGTTCCGCGATGGGGTCCCTGGGCCACGTCCGTTGCATGGGCACTATGGATGGTGGATGTCATTGCGGCAGCCTCGGTCACTCTTTCTCTCTCCTTCGTTTTGTAGGTTCCAGTCCGCTTGAAGCGTCATGGAAATCCCCAGCTTATCAAATCCAACTAGGATCTCTCAACGATATATCACGTCGCTTGACCGCATCACTGCCCTCCAACTATTGCCCATTGCAGCGACCATCGTTGCGGCCGGGGTCGGTGCCAAGGTCGCTGATATCTTGCCAAATGAACAGCATGCATTAGGCACTTTGCTCGTTTCTTTTGTTCTCTGGGGAATGGGCACCCCGTTAGCAGTGGCTGTGCTGGTCATCTATTACCAGCGGTTGGCGGTTCACAAACTCCCTCCACGAGAGGCCATCGTGAGTTGCTTTCTGCCTCTGGGGCCTCTTGGCTTTGGTGGCTTTGGGTGAGACGTCCTCTGCACAAAATTATTTCCGTCTGATGTCTTCTTTCTTACACTTCGCAGAATAATCTATATTGGGAAAGTTGCCCGGGGGCTTTTGCAAGACTCCGACATCCTGGACCCCATTGCAGGCTCCATGGCCTACGTCTTGGGCGTGTTCATCTCCCTTCTCATGTGGAGCTTTGGGTTGATCTGGCTCGTCTTTGCATTGGCAACGGTGCTCTACAGCTCTCCATTTCCGTTCAACATGGGATGGTGGGGATTCACGTTCCCATTGGGTGTTTACGCGGCGAACACGATGGTACTGGGAGTAGAACTGGACATGATGTTTTTCAAAGTCTTCGGAACAGTTGGTTGATCCCTGCCCATTCATTGATTCGCCCGCTGATATGATTCTCCTTAAAGATCTTGAGCACAGCAGTATTGTTGCTATGGGCCCTCGTTGCATCCCGAACGGCGGTGGGTGCCTGGCGTGGCAATCTGTTCTTCGCCCCGTGTCTCCAAAATTTGATCCTGAAAGAAAATGACGAGGAAACTGATGCCGCTCAGCATCGAGCATGATGAGGATGAAAAATTGCGTGGAGTTTCTACTGTAAGTTGTCATCAAGATTTTAAAATCTCAAAAGTCCTCCTTACCAGTCATGAATTGAATGATATTTGAATCGTCAAGCTAGATGATTTAAATATTCTCGATCTCCCAACCGAAAAAGGCGAAACATATCTTTCCAAAACGCTTCTCTGATTCAACCTTCAACTTTCTCTGAAATCTGCCATCTAAAACCTTTCGCGTACATGGGGTCTAGGATACCATGCAGGGCACCCTGCAGGGCTGTCACCAGGTCCCCCCACACGTAATTTCAGCACAGCCCGAGGAATTCCAAACGCCTCAGCCGTGGTTTCAGGGCAAGTTCTGCCGATTGGCAGAAGCTGAGATGATTGGCTGTGTCCGAGATAATCCTTGTCAGTACAAACGCCAAGCACCCGTCTGACCGCAGGTCACATGTGTGCCATCAATCGTATTTGGTGAATTCAAGCGAGACTAGCTCTTGATATCGCGCCTGAGTTCAGAAACTCTTCAAACATCTTTCCTCTACTCTGTTGGCACATTCTGAGTTTCCTACATTTGCTTGTTCAGTATGGTATGTTAACCTACAACTCAATATGCGCTTCAGGAGTCTCACAATAAACCCAGGATCCGACAGAGCACGAGTTTCCATTTCTAGAGGAGGTGTATACTCCTCAAGAGGCTCATAAGATCGAGTACGCGATAAGCCTCCGCGCCCCGCAGAACCCTCTCGACGATTAACCTCTCTATCCCTCAATAGCTTCATCTTCGTCCATGGCCTCAATGCACGAGGTCGAAATGACCATCCATTCAAGACCTGGACCCATGATAATGGGAAGTTCTGGCCAAGGGACTTCCTGGCGGAGGATATCCCATACTCGCGAGTATTTGTGTATGGATACAACGCGAACATCACCAACCCACAGACGATGTCAACAGCAAGCATCAAAGACCATGCCAACACTCTGCTGAACTTGCTGGACATGGAGCGCGGTCTGCAGTTTGTACGTCCGTTTTTGAAATTTGCATTAACAAGGCCTTGTTGATCTAATGAAATTAGCAATCTCTGCCGCCCAAAATCATTTTCATCGGACACAGTCTCGGAGGGTTGGTTATTAAACAGGTTAGTCTGTCTACATACGCGTGTACCTCCCGGTTGAGCTGACTCGATCGCTTCTTCTATTTTTATTAGGCGCTCCTGAATGCCAAAGAAGATCCCAAGTACAACACTATCCGCACTTCAACATCCGGTCTGGTTTTCTTTGGCACCCCACACCGAGGAGCGAAGGCTGTCGAGTTGGGTAAAATCGCCGCCCGCGTCGCCCGATTTGTCTCCAAGGGCCATGCCAGCAACGACTTATTAGACTGTTTGGAGCACAACTCGCTCTTCACACGACAAATGTCTGATCGATTCCGTCATCAACTGGAAGACTACCGCGTGGTCAGTTTTATCGAAGGCAAGGAAGTCTTCTTGGGGGCCGCCGGACCCGCCTCACTTAGCCATGTGAGTAATTCACCTCGTACGAGAGTATCAACAAAATAGCCGAATTGTTCCAGCGATGCTGACTCCCGGTAGTTGGTGGTTGATGAGGAATCAGCTGTCCTTGGACTGTCAGGTCTTCGCGAAACACAGCTGAAGCTCGATGCTGATCACTCGCAAATGTGCAAAGTGGGCTCTCGAGGTCCAATGTATCGCCTTATCAAGGGAAACATCAAGCAACTAGTCGACCAGGCCCTTTTGTCCGAGCAAGGCTTCATTCCACAGCCATCCCCTCAGCCCTCAATGGGGTACAATGCACCTCCACTTCCTCCTCGCATGCACTCCAACAGCAGCGCACCATATGCTCCTCCTGCTCCTGGACGAGCGCCTCAGCCGGCCCAGAGGATAAGTGGTGCGATGTTTGCTCCGTTGGATAACGATCCACGATCCATTCGGGCAGCAGAGTTGAAAAATCGTGCAAACTGGGACGAGGCTCGAAATGTCGAATACGAGATTTTCCAGGAGCACTTACGAACGCTGGGCGCCGACCATGCCAGTACTCTCGCCGTTGGATACGATTTGGCCGAAATCGAGCTCGAGGCGAGTTACCTGGAAAAGGCGAGTGAGTGGTGCCACTGGGTCACCGATAACTCTCGTCGCGTGTTTGGGAATAGTCACACGCTTCCCATGCGATCAGAGAGTCTCATGGCTGAAATTCTCTGTCAAAAAGGCAAGTACCAGGAGGCAGAGTCAATATGTGCAAATGTTCTGGCCCGCCAGCAAATGAGCATTGGTGAAGATCATCTTGATACGCTAGATACTCGGCGCCGGCTCGGTATGGCTTACAACGCCCTCAATCGCCGAGAAAGTGCCATCATCACCGCTGAAAAGCTGACAGACAGTCTGAAACGTTTGCTGGGTGACAATCATGTCCGCGTATTTTGGGCTTTGCTGGATGCGCTGGAATATTTAATTTACAATCATGGAGATGAAAGAGCAGCTCTGGTGAGAGCGTTTGAGCCTGAGGTGCAGCAAGCATTCGAGCTCTTGCCACAAGTATACGAGGAACTGCGGGCTGGTCTGGGTGATAAGCACCCCGTCACAATTCGAGCCTTGTCCTTGCATGGTCGAGGATTGACTCGTGCGCATCAAATCATGGAGGCCTCCGAAACTCTCCGTCGAGCTCTCGCGGTTTCAGAAGATGCATTGGGACCAGAACATCCTCTAACCATAGACATCGTTGGAAGCATCGCTATGATGTATACCCTTCAAGGAGCTTTGCACACTACTGGTAATCCACCATCCGAGGCCATTCCTTGGATGGCGCGGTACCTAAAATGGGTCGAGCAGCGAAGGGGCCTCGATAATCCAGAGACGCAGACCTCCCTCGAGATGCTTGGGAATCTTCATCTCATTGCCGAGGAATATGAGGTTGCTCAAAGATATTTTGAGCGTGCTCTGGCTGCGTGTCGCGGAGCTCAGGCCACTGCAACGCAGGAGCGCTTATCGACTCAGCTTCGGCTCTGTCAGGCTCATACTATGTTTACTACTCGTCGTAGCCCGGGGTCAGGGCTTGGGGGGTTCTTTTCCCAATTGCAACGGTTCTAGTCATTTGTTTTAGAATACTCCAAATTCATGATATTTGAGTACTATGGGAACTTGAAGGCTTAGACCGGGCAGTCGAAGAGATAAGCCTAAACGATCAATTGCTATGACCTGCACTAGCTATGTCAGCGGGCAGAAATCAACGGTAAGTCCGAAGCCCTCTCTTTCAGCCAGTGTAGGGAGTCGAAAACAGCAGGTGAAACCATGGAGATTAGGAGCCACTATGAAGTTTTGCTGTAGCAAAAGTCCGGGCATTACAAAGCAGATAACAGGGAAAGCGGCACGGAGGGTAAATTTGACGGTGGGAAGGGGGACGCCAGGATACCTTTCGTCCAAAATTGTGGAAGGCAGGGACTCGATAGGTCCAATAGCGAGCTCCTTGGGGGTCAGAGCAGGCAGCTCGGCAGCATCCCGCTGCTTGTTGAAAATGCTGAGCAGGAGGCCTCGATACTGCGGCCCAGTCATGGTTCCCTCGCGAGGAATGGCCACGGACGGGAAGCTCACACGGGACGCGCCAAGGGTCTTCGATAAGGGGTAATCGTCGTTGTAGATTGCGTAGAACCCGAAATGCGAGGACCGTGGACATCGTGGCCAAAATAACGGGCGACTACATAGAAGAACTCCAAGAAAACTCCCAGATGAGAGCCACTGTCAGAGCCTCAGAACTCACAGCGTAGATGAGTACGCTCACTTTCGTGCTGGGCAACGCTTGGTGGGAAGCCCGGGCAACCCCCACAAATGCATTGAGCGGCAACATTGGGTGACCACGTTCATCTGGGAAGAGCATGGCCGGAATGAACAGAAGACTAGCATTTCCATCCTGATCGAATAAGAGAGTTCTGAGAGAGGAAACCTCATTCACGATGCCGGAGGAAGCTTGATATCCGGCGTGAATAGCCTTGATATCACCAGCAATCTTAACAACGCGGCGGCCAGCCTTGTACAGATTGATCATTTCGGAAGTGTCAGTTTGTCATTGATTCCAGCCTTAAGTTGATCCGCAATGGCTGCGCCCATTCGGGTGAGGCGCTCGTCATCCGGATCTTGTGCAGAAGTACCAGCACTCTGGCAGTGAAGTCGTCGATGGCCGCACGAGGGTCTTTCATTGTGGTAGCGTTTTGATTGAAGGAAGCAATGCTTTCAGAGAATCTAGAAGGTGTTAGATGTAATGAATAGAGGAAACGGGAGTCAAGAAGGTTGCTCAGTGTTGAGTGAGAGTAGTTGAGGATGCGATGAGAGAGGATTAGTCGGGGTGACGGAGGAAGTGAAAGAGAAAGGAAGAAGGAGCTTCATCAAATGAAGGAATGTGGGTTTGGCTTTATTCACAGTTAACTCACCAAGAGATGCTTGAGGTTGAAGTTAAAGCTGAGAATTATTAAATATGTTGAGAGTAGTAGTGTGGAGCGAAGGTTGGTGATTAGTTTTGAAAGAAAGAGAAATATAGTTTTCTGGAAGGTAGATGATCTCCGGCCTTGGTCAAGACTGAGCGAGATGTGAGGATCGAAGTTGTCGGAAAAAGGATGTGGTAAGAGTGCGTAATAACAAAAGTTGAAGGATTCTGGAAACTCGAAGATGGTAGGCTGTAGGAGAAATTATCTAGCTAGATATGCTTCAACTTACTCTCTTCGGGACCATCTTTCTGGATCTCATTGGAATCATCATTCTAGATAGTCAAGGCATCGTGTCTGGGGTTGTCATTCAGCACATATTTGTGAACGCAATACTAGCCCTTCTACAGGGTTTCCATTAGGTAAACTGTTAGCCCGTAACCTACATTACACAGCGAGGAGTTAGTTACCGAGCCAGTGGGGTTCTGATTATTGAAAGGAAGAAAATGCGGTCATCCTAGTACTAAAAGAACATCAAGGCTAAAGGTGGCAGTCCATATTAAGCTTTCACGATCATTTGCGATGATATGCACTAGCTATGTGAAAGATTAAGAATTGGTGCTCGTGACGATAATTCCAAGAACTTCTTTCAACCACTGTCCGCCGCGAGAGTCAGCAGATTATCTCAAGGGGATTGTGGGCGGCAATTGCGGTTTGCAGTGGGAGACTATAGGGGAGTGACGGAAAACGATATCATGATAAACTGGGAAATCGGGGCAGGTGGGAAGAAAGAGGATTCACTTCTTGGAATGCCCACCGAAGCACTACAATCAAAAGGCTTTTCCAGAGGGGGTTCGGGGAGTGCGAAAAGCTACACCAGGCGTTTCATCCTAAGCAGTGGATGGCGGGGGCTTAATGGGACCAATCCCTAGATCCTCGGGAGTCAGAGCAGGAAGGTCGGCGGCCTTGCGCTATTCATTGAATACTTGAAGAAGCACGCCCCTATACTGGCCGTTGCTCATTTCGCCGTGGGGAGGAATGTCAACGCAGGGGAGCTCAAAGTGCGAAGCACCGAGGGCCTTCCAGATGGGGCACTAGTCATCATAGAGTGCACGGAACTCCGGATCGAATGGCCGATGAATATCATGACCAAAATAGCCAGCAACTGCGTAGAAGAAGTCCAAAAACACTCTCAGATTGGAGACTCCATCTGACACGCAATGTTCGCAGCTCAGGGTTGTCCGCTGGTGCTCGTTGCGGACGATGCTGTCGGGAAGGCAAGGGCATACCTCAAGGAGAGTGTTGTAGGGCAACATAGGATGCCCGTGCTCATCCGGTAACATAATCGAGGGAATGCATGTTGGGGTGATCTTGCCATCCTCGTTGAACAAGAGGTCCCGGAGACTGGATGGGTCGTTCAAGTCGCACTCGGCGGCTTGATTTCCAGTGCTCATGTGCATGGCTTTGATACCATCGACGACTTGGAGGACTGAAAGGCCAGCAGCAACCAGATTCGGGTCAAAATCATTCGTGTTTGGGTCTTGCTGGTAAGCTTTGAGCTTCGCGGCAATGGCCCGGCTCAGATAGGTCAAGCGTGTGTCATCAGTGGCGTTTTCAAGGAGGGCTGAAGCCCTGACGCTGAAGCCGTCTAGTTCGGCTTGTGTGGCCGTCATGTTCGGGAGGTTAGGAGTCTGTCAGCTGCGAATGAGAAGGGAGACAACGGTAGAGAAGGTTGCTCGGAGTTAGGTGAAGGATTTGGATTGTGATAGGAGAGGACCCACAAGGATGGAGGAAGGTAGGCGAGGAAAAATACGAAACTGTCGCCCCGTAAATACAACGGCGAGTGATGATGAGGTATCAGATGATAAAGGAGCTTCGTAAAGTCAACGGACGAATAAGGGTTGGCTGCATTCGCTGACTCACCAAGCAATAATTGTAGTTGATGTTGAATATGGAGACGAGCATTGGCCTTAGAAAGGTTGTGGGTGGTGTGGGTAAGAAATTGTGTGGTGAAAGTGACGAAGAAGGAGGGTTTGAGAAGGATGAGCGGATACCTTGATCAAGGCTGATCGAAAGGTAAAGATCGTAGGTGTTAGAAAAAAGGATGTGATGAGAGGGAAAAGGAATGAAAATTGGAGGATTCTGGAAACTTGAGGATGGTAGCCTTGGAGGACAGTAGACTCGGAGTGTATCAGATGGATGCTACGTGGAGAAGCTGCAGGAAAGATCACTTTGCAACCTTCTATGGATTCGAGTGTATTCTCCTCTAGAGGGTCGCGCTTTGGCTGTTGCGACCCGGTTGGCAATTTGAGTACTACGGCGAGTTTGGACTTCTTTTGTATTTCTGTATTATAGCAATTCACTCCCAAGTTCTCGGAATAGTCTGCAGCAGGGATGGATTGCATTTGGTCCCTAAGCACTTCGAAGCCGATCATAAGGTTGAATGGTATCAGTTGTTGGTCATCCTGCAGCGCCGGGCGATCTCTTCAAGCATGGACCTTCACCGGAGTAGGCTTTGCTCATGCAATTCCATTCGGCGAGTAGCTCAGCTGTCAGGTTGCCGTATCTGGTCGCATTTTTTAGGTCGATGGCCGTAGACCCCGGCAAATGTCTGCAAGAGGCAAGCCGTATACCCATGGATGGAACACAGCGGACTCATGATGGCGTCAATCGGAGGTTTAAGAGCATCAATACGCAAAGACCTACGAATCGAATATAATTTGAGGATTGGCTTGTCAACTGATCTTCTCTGTAGAGTAGTCTTGGCCTTCTACTATACAAAGAACGGCTAAATGCTGCCCTCGTGTCAGTTCTCTCTGCATTCTAATCTTTTGCCTCCGCCTAAATCCCCATTGTGTCATGTCGCCCCATTTTTCCTGTTGCTATCAACCTACAAATTATCTCGCCCCAAGCCATCCGAGCTGGATATCTCACCATGAATCCATCTTATCTTTCAAAGTCAGCTACTAACTCCGATTATATACCCACCGCCACGTGCTTCTCCTGTCTCGTCTCGCCACCTATGTAAACAACCTCCACCGACCTCTCTACAACTGCTTACACTGCATTTGTCCATCTCGGTATCTCAGCACCGACGGGCTCATTTCGTCTCTAGTCATGTAACAGGTGAACTTCCTGAAGATGACCTCAAACAGCGCTTTGATGTTTCCTGGTCTGGACCTGCCCACACTCCTGACAAACAGGCTCGGTTCACCACCTACTATTCTTGAGGAAGCAAGATGCAGCAATAAGGTCACCTACCTTTTTCTGAAATGTTATCCATAGTCTTCGACGCCAAAATAATTTCATATCGTAAGGCCCGCCATGGATCAAAAGCAAGGTGAGGAAAACCTTCAAGAAGCAGAAACAAGCCCGACAAGCTACTTTTACCCATCAATTTCTTTCCTATTCTCCTTCATTCACTTTTCTTAGGCAACGCTGCTGTATTCTTAAAGCTCGACTGGTAGAATGCAGACCAAGTACGAACACTATTTTATGTTTCTGTGCATTCAATAAACTACAGATTTTCAGCTAGGAGCCTCTGAAGTGAGAATATGCTCAACAAGGACATGCTTTGCTGGATGGTGATAGCCACAGATCTCTTTCGACGAGCCCCCGCTTGCTGTGTCATTACTTTGTCGCTAGGATATTGGGCCTTGTGAAGGTCGTTGTTGTACAGGAGAGGATTATATCTAGGCTGTCAAGCCGATGATCTAAGAGATGGGGATGGGTGGTACACTGTGAATGTATTGGCACAAAAGGGGGGCCCCAAGGTCATTGGCCGGCTACGGTGACGTCTTATTTCGCATGTACAAGACTGGCATAGACAAGCCTGTAGGGTATGATGAACTATCTTTCTTTCTTTCTAGTTTGACCGTATGTTTCAGACATCGCTAATAATTGGCTACAACTTCCCAGTTCCCGCATTGGCCTTGACAGATGCGACGACGCCAGACACTGCGCTGGCAGCAAGAATGCGATTGGCGCCTGCTGCCGCCAACTGCGTCAGCGCGGCGGTATTCCTAACAGCAGTCAGAGTTCCCGAACCGCCAATAACTTGATTAGCGACACACGCGCGCCCAATCACTGAGGTGCAGGTTGATTCGGCACCCGACGGCACGTTAAAGATGGCGTTCGACTTTGTGGTCGACGCCGCGGTCATGGGCGTTGTTACATTGCTGAAGACATTTCCCTCTATGAGCGACCAGGTATTTGCCTCAATGTCAAAGGCGTGGCCGGCCATATCCTCAAAGTAGTTATTGACAGCGTGGAAGACGTTCGTAGCGTCGTTGTTACTGGTCCCGTAGTGTGGTGCACGACCAGACAGATGATGCAGGTAATTCCCCGAAAACGTGTAGTAATCTCTCGCGCCGATGAGCAGGAGAGTCCAGTAATGCTCGTTGTTGCAGGTTGCGGACCAGTACGTCCGACCATCGAACTCGCAGTTAGAGATGGTGACGTGGCCTGCCGCATCCCAGCCAGACACGATCATCTGCCGACCGATGAGGCTGAACTTGCAGTGGTCGACCCAGACTTTGTCTGCGTTCTGTATGGTAAGCGCGTCGCCGCCCCAGACATACTGTGGGTTGATGTTGTAGATGTGGACGTTCTGGATTATGACATTGGAGGCACCGTTGAGGCGCAGGCCGCGACCCTGGATGATTCCCTTGCTGCCGACGCCGACTATCGATTTGTTGCTGTTGACGGTGAGTGGGCTGGCACCGGCTGCATTGTAAGTAATTGACGAGACCGCCGTCATCACGCTGCCGGAGCATGAGAGCGTGCCGATGTAGTCCTGGCCGCCGTGAAAAACATCACAGGTTTGGTAGCAGCCGGCTGAGGTGGCGGTGCCCAGACTGGATGTAAAGTCAAATGTTTTGTCGATCAGGATAACACGAGGGGTGTCGTCAGCTAGCCATGACTCGAGTCTGTGATCTCTGTCAATATATTTTCCAACAAGTCCCAGGCAGCATTGGGCCGGTTACATACTGTGCGATGTCGGAGGGAGCTGCTGGAGTGGCACTGCCTCCTCCTGTAGTGCCGGCGGCCATGCCAAAGGCTGTTCCAGTGACACCTGCAGCGATAGCCTTGCTCGCTAGACAAACTGTAGCAAGAGTAATGGCTTTCATCGTTGCGAGTCGGAGGATGGTTAGTTGGATGCTATTCCGACTGTATGCTCAATCCTTCTGGACACGACACCGCTATTTATGTCTTGAAATTGCATATTGCACGTTCATGCCGTAACCTTGTGGGATTGTCTACGCCCTGCTTAGATCGTACTATGGAGCCGGAAACCTTCCAAGACATGCCTTGTAAAGTCACAAAAGGGGGCCAATCAATGGGTCAGGGAATACCTAGGCCCACATAGACCCGTTTCAGGACTGTAGAATCAAGTACAATGGACAGAATTTTTTATCAGTCGGCTAACCTGGGCAAAGCTCAGCTAGCTCAGCTTTACAATATTAGGTAGGAGTCACGCTTCCAACCTGATCTCGGTCGGTTATTCCCTTAGTGGGCCTCTGGACACTCATGGGCTCGACAGGGCTGAATCGGTTGGATGGTGGAGAATAATTCACATGGCATCTCAGGAAGGTAGTTTGTTTCATATAGAATGATACTCGAGGGTACGCCGTTTCTCTTACTTCAAAAATTGAAACCCCCAAATTTTGAATCAACTGGAGGAGTTCCCCACATGAGAGATCATCACGCCAATGGTCCTGATAATTTTCACAAAAAAAAAAAAATGACGTAGTCGTTAAGTGCCTATGTGCCAGCTAAACGGCCATTGAATGGTGGGCAATGGATATGTTGTCGATTATAGAAAGAGGACAAGGTCAAAAATCGCGAGGCTCCCTAAATGATTATCTAGCCTTTAAGGACATCTGGATAAATCGAAGGAAGCACATAGTTACGTTCAACGACTTAACCAGTGGTAAAGGTTTCAGCCCTTTGGCGGAGTATTTGTGCGAGGTATCTTTTAAGATAATTGAACGGAGCCACCTGCTGGCCACATGCACCTGGGCCAGTCAACGGGGCTCGTGACGCGTGTGTTGCCGCACGCGGTGACCCAGAGATGAAACAGGGGCGAAAAGTTACGACCGGTTGAGAGAAAACATGAAAGTCTAACGCTTGGTTTGTTCGCAAGGATGGGCCAATGATAACCTGTCGCAGCAAGTCCCCAAGCAAGTCCCCAAGCAGTATGCTTTAGTATATAAACATGGCGAATGGGGTCAAGGTTGTCTATTGTATTGGTTAATTGGTGTAAGATACAGTCGGTCTTCATTAATATTTGGAACATGGTACATGGCCCACTTAGCTTTTTCCTAGTGGCCGGAACTACTATGTCCCAAATGCTGATGAACGGCCACTGTAGGGGGTGGAGCGAAGTAGATGTGACTCGCAGATACATAGCTAGAGACAAGGGTATTCTAACCTCGACATATGCATACTGAGTTTCGCAGCACAGTACGTCGTAAAGTGAGATGATCAGACGAGTATAGTTGCAAAAGAATACTGTACATCATGTGGTGTGGTCATTCCGTCACCACCTGTCGGGAACAGACGAAGTCAAGACTCCGAAACCCCGAAATTCCGAAATTCCGAGACATGAAGTACGGCCTTTCTGCCTACACCATTTGTTACCGTACGGGTGGGCAGAAAGGCACGGATATTACAGGAGTGGATCTTTTCTGCCTGCCTTTCTTTGTTTTTAATCTCAGTAGCTTCCACTCAAGAGTCGAGACACGGCCGGATTCCGATTCCCGTCCCTCATATAACAGTAGCATCAAGCTATCAATGACAGTCGCCCGAATGAAGTGCATTGGAAAAGTAAGTGGATTTGTTGGAAGCCTGCTCCAAAGGACAGCGACTGATAGATACATCGTGATCTCCAAGTAATCATTATCGGTGACCTACAAGAGAGAATAATATCTCATGCTATTCAAATGTGGTCCTCTAGTGCACCGACTGAATCATTTTTCAGTTGGGATATGAGATTTGCTGTGGGCCACTCACAAGCTGCAAACTGTCTTTACTCCGATAGTCGTTCTGCACTGAAGCAAAGGATATCAACTGCCTAAATCCATATTGTGTAGTCTACAGCGAACTTGGAGAGGTAAGGGGCCTGGCGACCTAGAATATTGAAGCGAGTGCCAGTGAGTAGTTCTAATAAAACGTACGGAGGTTAGCGAGTTGGCAGTAAATTGGGACATGCTGCCTTGGCAATTATGACCTAGTATTGCTAAAGCAAACGTGGAAAACCGAATCCCGCAGAAAACCTGAGGTTAGTTAAAGACAGAGGGTTGTGGTTGAGATCATGTTTCGCGAAGAAAACACTGCTACTGCTTGTACCGATAGAAGGAAGAAGTAACGTAACTAATCAACCATCGACTGGCGAATCTCTACCGCGCCCTATCATATTTTCCCAATCAACTCGGGTCTAGTTCATTGCATATTCTCGCCTCACTAATCGATAAATTGAGATGGACATTCTAGGATAGAGATTTGATGGTGTCCGTGATATACAAGACCATTTGCGACCGCGACACATTGGCTCGGGGCTAGCCACCGAAGCAGTTTGTTCTGCAGACTATCCGAGCTATCCCCATAGAAAACGTTGCACTAGAGATGAATAGGTGTCCAATTCTATGACTATCCCAATTTGGCGACTGTTGTAGTATAAAAGGAAGCTTGATTCTAATCAGTTCAGAGGGATACAAAGAGGCCATATATACAGCATGAAGTCCAAGTTGAATTCCAATCAACTTGGAACTTCATATAGATAGTGCAGGGATTATTTCCGATGTTGCGGCTTCACTCCGGAGAAGCGACAGCCTCAAATAACAACAGGCACTATTGGGTTCCCCTAGTGTACCCTAAGGAGGCCCGCGGTTCAGAGCTCCATCAGCTGCACAGCAGATGAATCGCTGTAGTGAGAGAGTTGCCGGTCGGGCCAGTCGGAGACAGTCGCGCTCTTTGGCCTCATCTCACACCGAGTTCGTGCAGGAGGATGGTCCCATTGAGATACTCAGACAATACCAACAACTGGGGCCATGAGAGTGACAAATTCAAATCAACAAGGCAATAGTTAGTTAGATAGTTGACTTCCCGCTTTGTGAGCGGCTACTAGTAGAACATCCACCAGGTTCATCCCGTGAAGGGCTGAAGCAAGACTTGATACAATCTAAGTAGGCAAACATGCTGTTTACAAAAAGCTTGGAGGAGAAAAGGAGTGGAACAAGCGGAACATTGACAGAAGTAGCAAAAAGGAAAAGGCGGTGGCAGAACGGAAAGTGCGGGGAAGGCTATGTGGCAAGGCCAAATAGTGAGAAGCGGTTTTCTCCAGGTTTGAAGGTGTCTTTCTTGCGGATAATGTGGGCCCTTCATCCCAAGGGTCCACGGTTTGGAAGTCTCTGTGCCTCAAACGCGAAGTGCATTCGACAGGCTAAGGATTTCATATAACGTCCAAAGGGTAAAAGTGTTCGAACGCATTTCGCAGGTAACAAGGGAGTTACTCCTGAATTGGCTTTAGGCGAAGCACCGCTGAGACACCAGCTGGCCCAGACCGATGATCACGGCCTAGTATATCGTGTTGGATATTTGACATTCTGTAGATGATACATCGTATGTGGATGGGGCTGGGAAGCTAGTGAATAATGATAACAATATAAGGGATCCGTTTTCGCTGTCGGCCCGAGGCCTCAACCAAGTCAAGTCGTTATCTTAGAGTAATGCGGTTTGTTGCTTAATCTCAGTGGTGGAAAAAGATGACAAGTCTAGTTCAAAAGAGATCCGATCAGTTAAGGTACTCAAGTTACTAAGAATTCGACGAGATAGAGCTGATTTGTCCGAAAAGTAACAGGCAGAGGCTTGCAGACGAAACTCCGAACACCGTAATTTCGGAGCGACGTTTTAAGATTCAATTTGTTCTTCTAAAGAATCCTAGAAAGAAAACATAGATGTCTGTTACAGGCCCCAACTTTCTGCTTGGTTACAAAAATGATCACGCAAGACCAAAACCCTGTGGCAAATTCGTTGCAAACAAGTCCATCAGATTAACTGCTTCTGAAAACTCATCACTTGCAGACAACAAGGTCTCTTCGAATGAATCATAGCTTTCGGAAGACTGATTCTCTCCAAAGATCTGGCTCATCGAAGCGATATTTTCCTGGGATCTTCATGTCAGTAAGATATCATGAGACCGGAGAGGGTGCATCGCAAATCTCACAAATGGTGTAGAAAGGCCCTCAGATGTGTGCACCGACCGATCAGGTAGATCTTGAGATTGTGAAGGGTGAATGGCATCATTTCCTTCAGCCTCCTGCCGCAGTCCCGAGTTTCGAACGTACGTCTGAGCAATCTGGAATATATCGGTTAAGAAGGAGAGTTTCAGTGTGCCCCCGGAAACATAATCTAAGCGACAGAAATACCCGACCGCGACCCCAAGGAGAGGGAGGTTATGTATAGATTCTGAGTGGGTTGGATTGTGTATAATGAAGTCAAAGATCAGAAACAAGGCCGAGACAGGCACGGACAGTAAGACCCTGTTCCATTTTCACATCAGAGCGGTTCATATTCAATAGAAACATAGAACTGACCAGATTGGCGTGTACGTGTCGGTGTCAATATACTTCGTCAGCTCAATGATTTTCCAGGCGGAGTTCAAGAGCTTTAGCTCGTTTTCTATTGCCGGACAAGAGGAAACCCCCCTAGAGCTAAGGTTTAGTTCCAACCGAGCCAATGCAATGACAATGCTGTAATAGTGATAGTGGATCTGTAATTTAACAGCCAACGGGGTAGGACCGAACGGAGCTAATCCCTGGAACGGACTATCAGGTCGGCATTCCTCAGCTATAGATGCCTTCCAAGCCTCTAGCTCAGCTCTGAATGCAGCAATGTCTGCTTGAATTGAAGCAGCGGAACTCAGAGCGGTGTTGATGGAGAAAAGAGCGACGGATATCCGAGAAATCAACCGGCTGAAACGACACATTGCATAAAACCAATTGAATTCCCCAATCTGGGCCTCGGGGGGTTGGGAGCCGGTGTGGCTATGGCAGCATCTACTATAATCTGAATCCGAAGTCAGTTGCTGTTTACTTAAAAGGACAAATAAATCTCACAGAGTCCCTGTCACATCGAAAACAGAGCGTCTTTTCCAGGATATATATCGTCCAAAAAGTCCGACGGCAACTCTCTATATTTTCGTGGCCATAGATAGCTCTGTTGAGACCGATTGATTGTGCCATTCTTGCTGCCTCAGCAGTTAACATGTTGCCCAGCTGCACACATGACGAATTGTGGGCAAATATAGCCTATAGTAATGTTAGCTCAAGTTTTGGCAGTCAATACATCATCGATTACCATTGCAGTTACAGCCTGAAATATACCGTTTAGCTAGCCTGCCAAAAATAATTTGATATGGGTAGACCATACTTGCACGCAAAGCAGTGTTTCTTTCGGAATTATCATATCTGGAAACAACCCTAATGCGACTTGAAAAAGCTGCCATGCTGATCCCACACCTGGTTCGAATGAACCACCTCCATGATATTGGCATCCCAAAGCGAGAATTGTGTGATAAAGGGCTGAAAATGGGGGCTTGTCTTGAAGAGTTTGAAATAAATCATTGTTAAATGCTTTTTCTTCAAATTCTCCCCGGTCCAGGAATGGGTAGACCCGGTGAAGATGATCGAAAAAGGCTGATAAAAAAATGTCAATACATGTGAAACCTGAGTGCATAGTTCAGAACGAAAGGCTTTACCAGTGACATATCTTCTGGCACACTCATGCGAGATTAGGACCGGAGTTGCCGGGGACTTGAGCCGTATTCGAGTAGACTCAGGACGAGTATTCTGACTCATCCTGGTATTTATAGCCTTTGAAAACGTTTCCAGGACATCACTGAATCTCTCGTGTCCTAGTTTACTGGAGATGGACGCCAATCTCCATTCGGAAAACATTGCTATTCCAGAGCTTCCAACTAGGCCAAGCTGGGGTCAGTAAGACGAGAGGATTTTGTCGAAACCAAACCTACCCAGCTTATTATGAACCTAGATTGAATTAAATTTTAGTGGCTTGTATCACACATGGTAATAGAATATTCCCTACCTTCGGTGGTGAGCTGATCCCTTGACCTCCTCCCGGCGTACTTCGCTCGTTTAGAAGAAGATCTATGAACATATTCGCCGAAGACGGACTTGCTTGCTGTTGATCTCCATGTTCTATCGTGTTGCCTCCCGCCGTTAAGGTTGCCACACTGTCATATGTTGAGGATGGCATTGTGGATCGTGTGGCTGCAGTGTTTCCAGTGATTCTAGGCTCCTGCCACTTAGCTCGTCTCTTTTTAATCCCAAAATGGCAGAGAAGACCTCGATTCTGGATACCAAATCAGTCTCTTTCGGGACAAGAAGGGAGGGCGTATGCGAGCGTAAGCTCCGGCGGGCCTTACTTTGCAATGCTGGCAGAGAGGAATGTGCGAGTGTGGGACTTCTGGATATACTAAGTTTAAAACTCTTGAAAATGGAAAAGCCGAACAATACGTACTCACACACCGCACCTTGCGAGACTTGCACTCGTTGCAAGATTTGGAGACTTTTGGCTGCATTGTCCAATACTCCAAAGTGTTTATATTGAATGGGCGTTTTGAGGGGCTGTTTGGACATTGATCGAAGGTAGATTGCGCCTGAGGCGAAGTTCTCAGGGGGCGCAGGAACCGGTTATATACAGAGCGGATTTGGCGGGCTTAACTCCGGGCTGCCCCACTCCTACTACAGTAAGTGCGTAAAGTTTCAAAGTGGGTAGTGGCAAGTTATCGCCTCATCCGTAAATATTTCATAAAATAGCGTTTCCAATGGTCCTCGCTCCCGCAGGGCCCTATTCGCCTGCTTCCTCCAATTCGTTAGACACACCATAGCAAATAAGCCAAGACGACGTAAACCATGGGTCAATAATTTACGAGTGATTCTGTTGACATCATAGACATAACCTAAGGACACCTAAGACTGAATGAATATGCGTATGTTACCTTACTCCTTATTGTCAATACCATCCAACCCCTGATTGCAATTCTCTGCCCTCTGAGTCGTCCCGGGCGCGTGCCCTTGCACTTGGTGTGCATCGCCCGACCCCGCCCTATTGCCCGACTATATTCGTCGCTGCCATAGCAACCATTCTAACATAATACTTTTTGATCGCTGTCACGAATTCGACGTGTCGCGCACATACCTTGACCCCCCAGGGCTCTCAGGGGCTTGTAGCGAACCTACGCTAGCTTGCGTCTCCCTATAGAATCCCAACCCTCGAAAGGATTTGACCGCTTATTCATCTACTGACACCCTAACCATACACAAAATGGCCGGCGGGAGCTTAAGGTTTCAGGGCAGCCCAGCTAGAGAGGTGGAAGGGAAAGGAGATATTTCGAGGGTGTTCGGTGTGCACCCTCCTCTCACACGTCTCAAACACGCGTTCCTTCCATCCCGAACCTGTGCCATCGCACTTCCGCATCCAGTTACCGTCATGATCGTCACATACACTCCATTTATATTTTATACAGTAAACTCCCTTTTTCAACACGCCCAGGTTAGGACATTTTTCGTTAGGCACCAAAATATGTTGGATGGATACACTTTTTGGGTTTTGCTATATAAAAGTCCATCTGGCACACTCTTGTCTGCCACACAAGATTCTCTTCACATTTTGCTTAGTCATGTTTGACCAATCAGAATGCAGGATTTGACCCCTTGCATTCCACCATCTGTCGCCTTCTCAGCCAGGCTGGCTACACCCTAAGTCCAAAACACACCCTAGATTTTCTGGCCAGAACAAACACCCGTTAGCATCTGAGTGGCCTCAATTAGATGTGTGTTTCAAGACAACCCAACCTACGAGTAGGGGAGCTCACTCCGTGGCAACACTTAGTGACTGACTTAGTTGGCGCACACTCTGGCATGTTCTGCAAGATACTCAACAGGACCCGAATCCGACGTAAGGCTTCGCACAGCAACGGTACGGTTGAGGGATACTCTTGGATTCCGAGCAAGCGATACGGAGCCGTAATCGGCTGACAGTTGGTAAACATGGGTAGTCCTAGTTTACAATAAGGTATTACCATTCCGCATCTCGCTAACTCACAGTGACCAGCAGGTTCCGCGTCAGACAAGCCTGAAATAACTATCACGGCACACCTAATCCCTGCATTACTTCAAGATGCAGCACAAGCACAAAATATACTACATATCAACCCGCGCCAACTTGCCTTTTCCACCTCTTCTGTCAATAACACCTCAGGTTTCAGATTTTATCCCCTTCCGTGCTACAAAACTAGCAACGACGTCTCAAATACCTAACAAGCACGAAGAATATCCTTCCACTACCAAAGAGCTAGGCATAAGCTTTCAGCTAGATGATTCGATCAAGATATTAGACATGGTATTTTACAACCTATGCTAGTAGACTCAGACGTGGTCTAGTGTTGCAGGATCGTCGATTTCAGCTTAGTGAGAATCCTAGTGCTACGTCGCTAGCATCATTGGTTGCCCAATATATTCCCTTAAACAACAAGCAACAATTTGTAGTGAAAAAGATATTGGCCGAGGCTTTAACTTGGCGAACCATCGATATGACTCATAAAACTCGTGACCGACCTTCTGGCTACCAGTGGAGCGCTTTTTTCTTATGGGCGAGCGTCGAGGCTCACGTTGTTGACACCTTCGAAGCTCCCTTCAGGTCAAAGGCCACTAGTGTGACAATTCTCTGTCCGAGCCAGGTCCTGTCAAACGCGTAGTAAGCACCAGCAGGGCTTGCTCCGGTGTACATCCTGGACGTCCTCCAAACTAAATGTCGAGAAGAAGTCCGTAATGCTCGGCGAAGTAGGACAGCCGCATGACATCACTGCCTCTAGCAGCTTGCAGAGCGCGTTGAGCAGTGAGATCGGGCAGTGCGCATCCGGGAGCGAGTAGTCTAATTTCTGGTTTTCCGAAGTACCAAGACTTCGGAATCAGATCGAGTCGCCTCTGCCGTTGATCGATATAGTCTCCGGGCGTTTTGGTTTACGTGTGTTCGATATGTGGTCATGTATGGTTCCTGGATAAGCAGCACGTCCAGATTTTGGGTCTGGTGATCGCTGATGAGGGCCTCCATGCCCGCCCTCGACTTCATGATGTTCAGCTGTAGGATTCGGAGATTGTTGTCTAACATTTCGATTGGGGAACTCTCGCTCTGAGACAAAGAGTATCTTCAAGTATCCGAAATACCGAAGTCAAACTCGCTTCCGAGATACTGGCGACATCGAAAACAGATCCCCCTACGGATACTCCGTACTACACTCACGCTTTTTCCGAACTGTTGCAAAAATGGACATTGCATGGGGCTGAGTCGCGCTTGCCTGAACCCGGGTTTAGCCAGCCATTTCGTGGACAGTTTAGTCGCGCGGGCCGTATTTCATTGAACGTGCAGAACCAGCCAGGAAGCTAATGTAAAAAATATGACATTTTCTCTGTAGGTTATTCGTTACCGACGCTGTTCCAGGGCGGAGTTTCAATACCAGACAGAGCTTCGGTGCTTTGGAGGTTTTCACTTGAGACACTTCTACCCTACCGGAGACTTGCGGCCCTGATTGATTCGGCACCTTTGACAACATAAGTCTGAGTCCTTCTTCAGCTTCCTGGTTCTTGAATTTCCTTCATAGTATCTGGTACATTATGATTGTTACCAGGATCAACGCCTTTCCGTATCGGAGGCTCGCGGGGCATTCGGGTCATTCGGCGTGGGTGAAGCTCCCGTAGTTCCATACGGATTGGAGAAACTTGGCTAACACCCAGCGTTAAAATTGTTTGTCCATCCTGGTCACAGTACTTTTGACGGTCAGTCCGACAATTTTTCATATAAAGGTAATTTTGCTATTTCTCAAGTGAGATAATCAACACTATTTGGAGCCTTGGGTTTTATTCAAGCTATTCGCTTACGATTCTGTGAGAGTATGCAAAACCGATACCGCAACATTCAAACCATCAACTCAACGAGTTTGCAGTATACATTTGGTCAGGACGAGTCCGTGCCTTTGGGAAACGGTGGAGTGGTTCGCTGTAATATGTATCTCTTTTCTTCTCTTTAATCAATCAACCTTTGCATTCAAGACTGGTTCCGCTTGACCCTATCCACCATCCCATTCGCCTACGAGGAGTACTAGCCATTATTGTCTCAGCTTGCCCTAACAAATATTCATCGTCCACCCAATCCCCCTAGTATTTGTATAGAGGTCTAAAGTTTGCATACATAGGGAATGAACGAGCGTACTCTACCTCAATGTATTTCTACAAGCGTGCTCGAGCTCTAATGCATTATCTCTGATATTGAAAATCATACTTATAATTCTATTTGGTTCAGGAGAGGAGGCCCGGATGCGTGGGAATGAACATCTGTGCCAACTCTGGGAAATTAACTGTGGAAACGAAGGAAGTTTGAATAGCCCTCTGAGTAAGAGATCTTACCCTCAACGAAACGACTATCTGTAGTACAAGAGAACTGTTAAACAGTACATTAGCAGCGGTCAACAAGTCCAAATCCTTAACAGACTTCATATCAACGATTATACGCCGTGACGGCCTCGAATTTGATCGTGGGTAATGTTACATGTTCCAGCTCCAAAGCGTCCACAGGATTTTATTTCGGATTTTGAACAACCTGGCTCGGATGCCGTAAATTGAAAACCACGCAGCAGAAAAACATCAGCATTGTATCCAGGCAGTATAGAAAGACTTCAGAAGTTTGAAGGACACTTGTCTGCCCAGCACCAAATTCAGCCAACCTGAAGATGGACCGAATCATAATAAGAATAGAGACAAAATAGAGGACCAGGATGTATTGCTTCCAAGGCAAAGGAGTTTCTTCACTCGCTCTAGTCGGCTGACTGTGGATGCGACGATGGAAAATCGAAATTACGAGAATGAAGGCTGCGAAGAAGAGTATCTGAACTCCTAGGCCAGCTAGAATAACGTTCTGGCCTCGGTCAAGCCCGTCTTTATCATCTGCGCTTGACATCATTCCCCCACCTTTAAAATTGAGTTAGAAAGTGTTTTCTAGACACCTAGAATATTTTAAGGACGCACCAATGCCCTGGACAGCAAAAGAGACCACATCACCGAGCACAAAGAGCTTGGTCAGCCATCGTGTTCGAATAATAGAATATTTCTCGGCATCCAGTAATCTGATAAGTCGTCCCAGTATCATGTAAATTGAGGCTGCATATAACGCCGGGGCTAAGAGAAGAAGAAGTAGCTGCATAGTCCATGGACCGCTGGACCAATTTGGAGATTCAGTTGCATTATACGCGCGTGCTGCATGACCTGCGACCTCAACTATAGCACAGCAGGATTAGTAAACCAAAGAAAAGTCCTGGAGTTGATATTTGTGACTTCCCAGAATCGTTGGTGGCAGAACTTACACAAGATTCCCACCAAGAAGGCGAGAAAATACCATGTTCTCCCTTTAACCAGCTGACAGACGTGAAGAAGTCCAGACAGGCCGAATAGAGCTGCGAATAGGATTGCAGCTGCGAGTGAGGGGTTGTAATGATATTTCACTAGTTCAGGTTTAGCCATCTTGGATATGGTCTGGTTTTGCGGAAGTTGCTCGACTGGCCGGTAAGCGCAAAGAAAGCGTAGAGTGATTGCTTGGAGGCTATGGGTAGACTGACTGCTATATATAGCCAAAACCCGGCGCTGATAAGCCACTGCGCCTGAACAATCTGGCTTTTGGCAATCGGCGCCTTGTTACGACGCGTAACGCGTAAGTGTCTCACTGGGGGCAAAATTAACAGGCCAATTGAGAAGCACGGCGACATTGGCAGGCTGTGATAGTACAGGCTAATGATTCACCTGCTCAAATAAGCAACCAGGTAGGGTCACGCGGAGCAAGTCTTGGATGAGGAAGTGGTTGATTGAAGAAAGATGCAGCTGAAATCCGTCCCTAGAGGACTAACATACACGGGATACGGTACCAGAGTTGTTATACAAGAAGTAAGGAAGGTGAATCCCATATATCTACTCCATTTAGACCCCCAGCACAGTTGGGACCGTACGAGAGATGGAGGGCGTGGAAAGACAGGGGGTGGGGAAAGATAAGAGGAGGGAGTCTGCTCTCCGCCCCAATAACAAATTCTGGCTATTCAATCAACACGCCAGTTCCATCGTACACAGTCAGGACCTGTTTGTAGCGAAGCTCCGCTTCCTGGAAAGATTGTGACCTGAACACCTGCCCAGACTACGAGACGTGAATTATCCTAGATTGGTTCCGAGTTCCCCACCCCGTCTAGCCTATAACTAGTTACCTTTCGGCTTAATCTCTGATGTGTCAGCGGAACATTGAGAGAATTGTACTTGGCACAGACAAAACTAGGATTACGGTGCAACGAACCAGAAATGGTCGAAAAACTCTGCACTCACCAGCCAATACTTTGTCTCTGTGACTTCCCTTTGAGACTGACGCCGGTGCTACTCGTTTCTGCATTTGGTGCTTTTACTACCGAGCTATAGAGATTGGTATGCATGTCTAAGCTTTGTGCTGGAGACACCGAAGGATCTTCTGAGCCGTAACATGGTTCATTTTCAACCCTGTTTTCTGCAGCGAATTGGCCAGATATATTTCAAAATTATGCACCAGAAAATTTGCATCTCGGTGAACAGGGTCTCGAAGAGCGATTCAGTTACAGAAACAACCCCGCTATCCTCGATCAGGTAACTGCTACTAAAACTCGAAATGCGAGAAAGGCCTACTTTAGTGGGCATTTGACATATTCTGATCCGTTATCATCGCCTCGCCGACACCGTGAGCGCAAGGATGCCCGAGACGCCCTCTCGTTTTTACTCCTCTCCTGTGAATGAGACAACAAACTTGAACCCAGTTCAACTCTATGGTCTACAGAAGCGTGAGCCCTCCGTCATCGAAAAGTCCAAGTTTCTCCAACGGGCAAAGGATGCCCTGAGCGATGCAAAGGACGACTTCTTACTGCAGTTAAATCTCGAAACTGGCGCCACTGAGATCACTCAATGCAATTGCCTGATGTTCTGCGACTGTAATTCCCACCCTTTAATCTCGGTTAAGAAGGATTCAATGATGTTTCGTCGGTCGGAGCGATCGCAGCTCGCGCCTATCAATCCCTTCGATGTCAACTTATTTCGAACTCTGCGTCAACAACTAAGCAAGAGGTCCACCTGGCGGTCCTTCTCCCTCGTGGGATCCAAGAAGAATTCTGACTCGAAGAGTGTCAATATGTCTCCGGCTGATGTCGTTTCCGTCTCCGCGTCAGTTCTTTGGAAACGACTAGGTGGTTAGATCTCTTGTCTCGACAGAGACAATGGTTTAGGTAAGTTATGTTATAAGAGATTCCCGGTGCTTGAGCGATCCCCATCGTCTCCCAAGAATACCACAAAGTTTGTTCTAACAAACTAGCACAGGGTTTCCTAGAGCAGAACAATTTGAAAAATATAAACCTGCTCATCACGGCAGACTACCCCGGCCGTCGATCCACCTACCCATACTAGTCATTGATAGCAGGGCTGTCGATTTGATCAGAATCATCCATATTCGCACATGCTGGAGCTTTTTCTTCACACAGCATGCTGAAGAGGTCGAAGATTCACAAATTCCGTGCTAAATGGCCACTCCCGTCAAATTCCATCATCGATTTTGCTACCCTCTTCGTTCCTGCTCATATACCTCGCTCCGATAACAGCAAATTGGTGAAGGGCGGTGGAACTGTGGATGCACATATGGCACTCTGGTGGAGAGTACTCTTCCCCTCTTTAGCATAAGCACACGTTCGGGTCTATGCACGGCATAAACGGGCTTTGTTTGAGAATGTATAATAATCCATCAACTACTTTTGCCATTTTGGGTTATAAAAAGTACTTATTTAGGTCTTGGGCTGGGTTTTGGTGGGCGGGTTTACAGTCCAGCCAAGAGACTGCTTCTTCTACGGTCAGAGAGTTTGTGGATCAGCGAATTGATGCCTAGTGGGTGCAGCTTGCGGCATCGAGTCTCTTCGCAGCACAGGGTCAAGAATATTGTAGAGATTGGTTGGGTTCCAAGGTAGGTATAGTCTATTGATACGACGATTGGCAGATCTTTTATGGCGTTTGTCTAATATAAGGTCAGCATATGGTTAGCATATATGTAACATATGTTACTTATATAGACAAACATTTTGGTGAACTTGTTTAGCAGTACGATACACAGGGTTCTGAGATCGCCTGATCTCATCCCGCACATTATCTATATGGTCACGGAGTAATCCTGATGCGTTCTTGGGATGCCTTATGTGCTCTTGCCTCATAGCGAGTTCCTATTGTTGATGTTTCGGCAGTCTTCAATGCCACCGAGGCCTTACGAATTAGTAGACCGTTCTCCTTTATGCACACTAACCTTATATGTTAAAGTGGACAGGTGGGAAGCGTATAATCACGCTTCCCCTCAGGGGGCATCTTAGTCTTGGACATCTTCAAAATAATACTCAATTGCCGGCATATGCTATCGCTCCGTCTAGATCCTATCCCTCATCACAACAGATTGATAACATCAAATATGTTTAAAAATTGAAATCACTTCAAGCTATGTTATATTCTGATATTTGGCCAAATACCATGGGCTATGCACTACTGCCATGAACTATGCCGGCCGATACTACGGCAAACGTAGCAAGATAATATTAAGACCGACTAAACGCAAAAATTACTACGGTCTTGACGGGTGGAGGATTTCTGACCGGTAGTGGGTCTCGGTGGATTACCAGTTTTAGGATATATAAGTCAATTCTATCAAATTTCTGCTCTGCGGTACGTCCGCTCGTTCGATCGATCAATCAATCAATCAACACTCTATTAACCTGTTACAGCCTAACTAGTGGCGTAATGGCTATGCAGGCGCTCCCTCCGGCGGAAGCAAGAGTGATCCGAACGCCAGACTCGCGCATAAAACAGTAAATACATAGCAAAACGGCGTATTGCTATAGAAAATCAGCCCAAAATCAGCCCAAAAACAGTACCGAAACGCCCTCCAAACCCTCAGTCCCACGACATATCTCTCAATTCGCCCTCACATTAGCCTGCCGCTTCCTCTGCACCTCTATCCCCGGTATCTCTCCTGCTTCGTTCTCGATTAGTGGCGTTCGTCGTCGACTGGCGTGTTGACTTGGATGTATTCTTCCACGACCTCTCGGTGGCCGTGGGTTTAGCGTTCCTCCTACCTAGCGTCTTCACCCCCTGTGCCGTCGCTAGATCATCCTGGCGGATCGTTTTCTTCGCCCTGCGGAGGCTCTGGCTCGATTTCGACGTGCCGGAACTGTCCTAGTAGGCCTGTTTGAAGTATAAATTCGGCTACGTAGCGGGTGGCCTGCGAGTGCGATCTAATCGTATCATAATCCGTCGAATCCCTAAGATCGGTTATCCGGATCTTGTCAAGGAAGGTCTGCCTTAGATCAGCGTACAACGGGCACTGTATTAAGATATGTCTCGGTGTTTAAGACCCTTCTCCACAGTAGCACTTATCTGATCCGACCGCCTTGATTTTGAACAGAAAGTGGTTTAGTGTAATACGCATCGATCGCATCTGAATCAACACTGAGGTATAAGGCTTCGAAAGGGATTCGAACAGCCGAAGCACCTTTTTGTCTAGAAGCTTTACCAATCGCTGATTTAGCTTACTAGTTCGCCCTTTTGCCTACTCTTGTGCATATCTCTGTTTAATACGCCGCCGCACTCGACGCTTCGCGGTCGATGCTAGAAGGACGCGATCGCTAGGGGATCTACTGCTCGCCGGATCACCGGCTTAAGGTTGATCCGACCCGTACCCTACCGCACCTCTAGTTACCGCTAACTTTGCTTCAACGTCAGTAGTCTCGTTGCTAGGAACGCCTACGTATACAGGGATCCAACGGACCTCGATAGGAATCTAATTGTTATGATATACCCAGGCATGAGGTTATTCCCAAGTGTTGGTGCCTCAGGCTTCCCGGACCTGATAAGCCGGCAGGCTTTCTGTGGAGGTTCGCTGGGGCATCGTTATCAGTATGTGAACGAACTCCTGCAGGGAACACCCTTGACAGAGGTTACATAAGCCTTGTGTTTCACCCTGCTCCCATTTCCCTACTAAGGATATATCTCCTTCCTGTTTGAGCGATAAGACTGTATATAAATTGACCTATGTTGAAGAGGTTTTACGATCCTCAAGAAACAGTCTTTGACCTTTCTACACTATTGACTTGGCTCTATTCCTCCTACCTGATTGACAGGCCTCTATCCTGACTTATAGAGTATATCTTTACACTGCGCTAGTGGTAACGATAGTTAGTAGTCCTGATCGCCCCTGTAAGCTTTAAGCTAACGCTCTAGATCTCTTATATTGACCTTATCTAGCTCGGAGCTAAGTTCTAATTCGAGCTGTTCCTAATTGGCCTCCTCCGCTAGCTCTGTTATACGTGCTAACTTCCTCGTACTATCGGTGTTGTTACTAGTCTTTCTCTTAGCAGCCTTCCTTGCCCTAGCCTCGCGTGCCTTCGCGGTGCGGGCCCTAGCCTTTTCCGCCCTCGATTAGGTGCTAGTCGTCTGCGAGCTAGGCCCTTCTAGTTAGAAATATCTCCTACGGTATTTAGTAAATTCCCCTACACACTCAACCTCGCGCTAACAAGCCTTACACTCTGCACTCTACGTAGTATACACGCCCTCGCAATTAGCGCACTTATTCTCTAGTGTATTGCTGTCCTTCTATAGGCAATCCCGAGACTAATAGCCCTCAGCGCAGTACACATATCTACTGTTGTTAGCATAGGTGAATCCTATATATTGTAGTGGGGGAACCGCTGCCAGAATATCATTTTCGGGCGTGCTGCTAACGACAGTCTTTTCTATTTGATTTGGTCGATTCCTTCTGCAAGAGCTCTCTTTCGGTATTATCATGTTTTACTTGATTGTTTTGTTCGTTTTGTTTGCTCCGTTTGCACTGTTTGGCCTGTTTGTTCTGTTAACCCTGGCTAAGGCTTCATGTATGAGAGGATGAGGGGAACGAGGGGGATAGACAACAAACTGTCAGTCTAGTCAATTGGAATCGCAATACATTCTTTTTCGGTTTTATGACGATTTTTCATTCCAGTCGGTCGTACCGTCTCTTCACTTCTACCTGACGGCCTACAGTCCCATTGGCTAGTAGGCGGTTGAAGTCATTTGTCGATTTATCATGGACTAGAGGCCTCCAGTCCATCACCGACTATGTTGCTTGGGCTGTTTGTTTCTTGTGCCAGTTGCTTACCCCTTTCGTGCCTCGACCTGTCTGTTCTGATCAGACTGCCATTAGTGCACCCCATTGTTTAATATCTATATTATTAACAGTTAAAGCACTGCCGCACACAAGCTACCCTGTTGTATAGCACGGCTATCAGGCTATCGCAATCCCAGAGAATCCCCTTATCAATCGCTACGTTAGCCGGCATTAGAGAGGTAAACTCAACGATAAGCGGGCCCGATTTCCTACTTAGTATACGCAGCTAGCTAACTTTCGCGATCTCCGCTTCCCCCTAGTTATAGTTATTCGCCGCTAGAAGATCCTTAATAATCCTCTCCTATAGCAGCGTATCCGAGGCCTTGTTGATACCGAGCGATCTTATATCCATATCGTGTACGATAACACCCTAGGTCGGTATATAAACTGTCAACATGAGTGGGTGCATAAGCCTATGAGAGCTATCGAACTTGACAAATGCGACGGAACGTACACATAACGACGATCTTCAACGATTGACATCAACAGATTGCACACATAACGAAAGAGCTTCAACACTCTATATTTCTCCTGATTTCTATGAGATTCTATTCTCACGTATTGCCTTGATTTCATAAAGTTATAAATACTGCCTGTTTTCTATAGCTAGTTGAATCAAGTTTAATGATTGTCATGAAGTTGGAGCATTCTTCTATCATAAGTTAACTTCCGATCCTAAGCCGAATCATACGACCTGACCTGACCCTTTCGACCTGACCTATACGATTCTTCGCCAATCGTATACTGATTTGACTGACCGTGCACACTCGCTTGCTTGTGCACGTAGAAGGATTTATGCCGACCCCGTAAATCCGACATAAACAAACCTAGTTTTATATGGGCCCTTCGCCCACTTTTCTCGGTGAATTCTTATAACCTCGGCCTCCCTCGTATCGCACATTATGAAGCGGAGATTACTAGACTTTAATTGACGTGAGGCCAGCACTATCACCGATGCGAGGGGCGCCGTATCAGTCGAACGTACCGCTTTCGCTCTAGTCTGATTCGCGCGCTTAGTGAGCTCTGCGCTAGTCAGACGGCGAAATACACTGATTTACGAGCGGCCACCTAGGCACATTACGACCTCGCGGTCACGTACTACCTCCGCCGGGCGGGTTAGTGAGCTACTCGATAAGCTGTAGGAGGAGAGAAAGTGTACCGGCGCTAGCCCTCTAGCAGCTGCTTTGGCGAACGATCTAATCGTCTGCCTTACTAGCGGTTCGACGGCTGCTTTAGCGGCCTAAATCTCCTGCTTCAGGTCTCTGCGTAGCGCTTCGAGCTCCTGCTACTAATCGGTTAGGGGCGTCGACAGGAGGTCCTTCGTCAGGTCTTCTACCTACCGGAGGAAGTTGACGACCTTAGGGGCTAGTCTAGCTACGTTCTGACCCCTTCCTAGCTCTTTGAGAAGGTCGTGTGCGCCGTAGTTGACGTTCAATACGCGCTCTCTGTTCGATAGCAGAGTTTTCAATAGGCCTCCGGAAGCCCCTAACGGGACCGGCCTAACGCCCTTTGACGCGCGCAACATCGCGATATCGGTCGAGGATGTTCAAAACCGGTATCAAAATATAGCGCAGGGAGTTAGATTAATTTGCCGTTTACGAGAAGTTGCCAACTGGCGTGGTTCCTGAGATATTTCAAAAAATCAATTCGGCGTTGAAGTTGTTGTTTTTTACTACTTCCGCTCGTTGGTGAAGCGCCGCTTCCCGCGGTAGCTCTACCGATACCTGAAAGCTTCTAGGATTTGAATTTTATCAGCCCCTATTAGTTGCCTTATCTGCACCCATCAATAGAAGGCCGAAGGTTTCCTGTGATGGTTACCTTCAACTTGCTCACCCAAAGGTCATTATGAAACCTAAGGCTATCCAGTACTCAGCTTCAACTACAATCTCGGCTGTCGTTCTCGGCGTACGAGTTGTATATTTGCATATACGACTCCCCCAATACCGACTACACTTTTTTTGAATTGGCTCAATGCATAATGCTATTGATCTGTTCCGTTATGAGCTTCGCTTTGGCCTGCAGCAAATCGAGTGAAAAGAGGTTGCGATCTTGAAAGCCATCATTCGATCTTTATACCGTTGCATGGGTAATAACTAGGAATATTGTGTTAACAGATTAGAGTTAACTGTTGCGACTTAGTATTACCAAGTGAAGTTTCAATTGCGTGACTCTCCTTCTTGCGGCTGGCATGGTAGACTTTGTAACTACTTGAATGACTAAAGTCACTGCTGCCATGATAGGTGATGGAGATCCCGTAGGGATCTCCTCGGGAGAACCCTCGTCGGGATTCTCCTAGAGGATGATTCCAGGGCCAGGTTGATTGCTTCGGCCTATTTAGGCCTTCCCTTCCTTTGTTTCCTTTCTCCTGCAGAGATTGTTCTCCACGTATTCGAACTAGATTGTTCCTCTCTTCCCTGCTTCCTTGCGTAGTGGCGATAGATCGCCATCAATAGGTACCTTCAATCACCCCTCAATGTGGTTCGTTGTGGCATTCCTGCTTTGTGTTGACCACCTACCAATGTCTTTCTTCTACTGGTGGTTACATCAGCGTAGCCTGCAGAAAGTTCTGAATATTGTGAATGTACCCACACCAAGAGTTCTAACACCGAAGTCGGATCAAACAGCTATGCATCAACAGTGTATTGATATAAAGAATTACATTGTGAGCTCTAAAGTTCCGCGAAACTCCCGGCAGGCTGCGCTGAAAGAGAGGAAGAACAGGATAGGGCACGAGTTCTGGGCATGGCTCTCACACTCTGTTTTCCCTGGCTGAACCATCTGTATTATCAATATTCCGAGAAAACAGTAATCATTGACCACAGTATTCAAACCCCTGAACACCGTAAAAAAGGCCTTTGAATCACAATGAGTTTCAATGCTTCAATCAAATCAGTAACCGTCTTTTCATTGCAATTACATTGTGTAATTTCCTGAAAAAGCATAGCTTTGGCAGCGAAATGCAAAATTTGTCTGATAATGCTGGACCTTCGCTTGTCTCCGAACCGTGCACGTCCAAAAGATACTCACTGTGAGCCTCCCCACTCCTCACTGGATCATCCTATTCACGGTCGATGTACCAGGCCTCCGGCAGCCAAGCCAAACCCTGCTTGAGATGCCGCAGTGGCTAAAGCCCATCGGCCTTCGTTCCCAGCTTTTTGCAGTTCGGCTCCATACCAGTCTGGTATTATGAGGCAAGGATATGTGGGCATTTGGAAGATGCACCCGGTAATGGCTCATACAATTGGCTGCCAGGCAAACTCTGCTCGTCGAGCAGCCGAGACCCGTGGCACCTACACCATGGCTACTTATATCAGATCGCCTGATAAGTTTGAAAGCGACCTTGACTCGCTCAACCGGTACCAGAGCTGACATCGGTATTGTCACTTAAATACTCGGTTACACCACCATGGGACAGCTCAACCTGCCCCTTTTCTCATTCATTTGAATATTTTTCCTTTTTTAATCAATCACTCTTTTCTGAAGGTTTCGGAAGTTCTCATTCGTCCATTTGCATAGTAGTCTATACCGATTCAGTTCGCTTTGACAGTTTATTAGTTCTGATGATTTAGCGGTTTTACGAACGCCAAGGCCCCCCCCATTTATGCTAAAATGGGGAGCCCAGGTGTGCTGTGTTAATCAGGCTGCCTCGAAGTTTGCGAATTTACAAGGTGTGAATAAGTGTCCGTGGAAAGACAATGGCTTAGTTCGTGACGCGAAACCTGCGCCTATCGGGGAGTCGACGGATCTGGCGGCTGGAGAAGTCAATTACTTACAGTTGGGCCGGTGGAGAACAGACCGACGCCCCACAGATACTAAGTCGGAATTTGGGTTATGCGGTAACGCGGTACCATGCTGGCCCACTGTCGCCACTCTCTCCATCTATGCCACTCAAGTATCTTCAGTGGTCATCATCGCCGTGTCAGCTTTGTCAGCGGACAATTATATCTTCAAGAAAGGCTAGTCTGCTTCATGCTCAGAGGTCGGTTAGTTCCCGGCCTACACCCGAGCAAGAATCTTCCTCAGAGTCCTCTTAAGGCTGGCGGTTAGTACAAAATACAGCTTAAATACCCGAGATCATCTCACCTGCCAGAGTGCCCAACGGATTGGTACTTTGGCAGTGATTGAGTTAAAGTATATGAACTTCAATTCATGTACTAGTCGCACCTACTGCCCAAACAATATTCGACGAGGAAGTTTTGACAGCTACTAGCGTTTGCGATAAAATAAAGATGACACCCAACGTTCATTTTTCATCTGAGGAAGATTGCCGATCTCTCCCGGCGTACTTCAGAAACACTGGTGACACTCGTGAGGCGGTCATTTGCAAAACAGAAGGGGCCTGGCCCGAGTGGCTGAGCGGGACATTCGTAAGGTATCGTCGCATAAGACACAATCCAGTGTCAAAACCAAGCTCTGGATGCTGATTCAAGAAACTTACAGGACCAGTGGAGGGTCGTGGACTATCCCGCTTTCTGAGGACGGCTCCAAGCCCAGCGCACAGTTGCAACATTTTTTTGATGGTCTTGGAGTTTTACATAAGTTTGAATTCAACGATGGTGAAGTGAAATATATCAGTCGGAGCACCGCTGATGGTCTTATCCGCAAGGCCAAAGAACAGGGTTTCCTCAAGGCCTTGGTGTTCGGCTTGAATCCAAATACAGCTCTAGAAGACGCCCAGGACCCATGTTGGGCCAAATTTGGGAAACAGGCATGTCTTTCTCCAGTTGTGAAATGGCTACGAAAGCTCACATTTAACATTTGTTGAAACAGCAATCCATTTTTCTACCTTCCAATGAGAGTGCTGAGCCCGATGAGTACAATGTTAACGTGGTCCCCAGAAGGGGTTTCCACGTCGCTGCCAACGGCAACCCGAATAATCGGGGGAAGCCGGCAGCGAAGCCCGAAGAAGAAGAGGTACGTGGAGTGTCGGCACTGTCTAGGATTTCCTACTAACATAACAAGATTATTATCGGCTCTGATGTCAATGTTCTGCAGATTTGTGACGCAAAAACCTTAGAACCCAAGCGACTGTTTACGTGGGCGGCGATCGATCCCGAGCTTAATGGGTTCGGGATCTGTGCTCACCCCGTCAAAGATCGGCAGCGCCACCACATCTACAATTATTTGATATCTGAGCAGGGAGTGATGTATGTCTTTGCTGTCGATTATGCCAGTAACCCAGCGAAACTGGTTTGGAAGACTGCTCTGCCTTGTAGACCATGCTATATCCACTCGCTAGCTATTTCCCAGGAATATTGCATATTTATCAGGAACGTAAGTTGAACATGTTTGTCTTTTTGAAGACGGCTAATAACACAAATTAATAAGCCATTGCATATGGACACCAGTGATGTCTCAAAACCGGCATCTCAAATGCTTACGACAGAGCCGGGTGAAAAAACTTTGTTTTTCGTCATTCAAAAGACCACAGGGACCTTGTAAGTCCCCAGAATTGCATACTCCGACCGAAAGGCTTCCTAACTTTGGCTAGGGTCGCTACATATGCAGCTCCGAACTTTTTGTTCTTTCACTCTGTCAACGCTTACGATTATATTGACCAGGGAACTGGATTTAAGAACGTGCACGTCGATCTTATTTCATACGACGGAGCTAGCTGTCCATTCCTGGAGTTCAACTTCAGCAATTTACTCAGCCCCGGAGGACCGTTTACAGATGGCACTCTCATTCGTTATGAGCTGTCCGGCGTTAACGCTTTACCTAAGTTTTCTGAAACGCAAAGACGGGCAACTGTTGCGCAGATGATGCCAAATTGCCCCATCGAGCTTCCGAGAATCAACAAATTTTACTCGTGTAATCCGTCGTACAGATATGTTTGGGGCATAATAGAGAGTGGCGGGACGGCTCCTGGCACCCTTGTTCCGCTCGCAAAACTGAGCAACGGGATTAGCCACCCTTCTTGCGCATTTAGTGCCGGAATTGCGAAGGCTGATTGGCAAACTGGAAAGGTTGAGATTTGGCGCCCCGAGAACGGTGAAAGTGCGCCATGTGAGCCGGTTTTCATTGGCCGCCCTGGGGCGTCTGATGAAGATGATGGTATAACCCTAACCATCGTTGTCAACCGTGAAGGTTCGCATAGTACACTTGTGGCTCTTGATGGGAAGACTTTAGCTGAGGTCGCGAGGGCCTCTATGCCCCAGGTATATGGAATGGGCCCCCATGGAAGTTTCATTGAGAAGCCGGGCCTTTATAGCCAAGCAGACATGAACCCCTGAACTCGTATCGTGGTTCATTTCCAGGGAATGGAAGCTTGATACTGACATAATTGCTTTGTGAATACGCTACAGAATGGTACTCGTGCAAATTGAAATTGATGTTTTTATTGTTGGCTGTGTTATCTCTCTTTCTGTAATATAAAACACAGATTATGCCTCGGCACAACAAACTAGGGCAAACAACGAATTCATGGCTTGCATTGGCGTACTTAAATCATGTAGTAATCGGCTGTGTTTTGGACTATTCATACTACAGCGCTATGCCAATAAAGTCATGTAGAGCAGACAGAAATTGACTCGGGAATCTTTTCTTTCATTAACCTACTCGATTTACCTCACTACCTCCCGCCTAGCTCAAGGCACCTTTTCGGACCCTCCCTGATATACGGTGTTGTGTCTTTGGTAAGGGAACATCCGCATCACTGTTTCCATCATTATCTTCATTGGTCTCATCCTTATCCAGCTCAGATATAAAACTGCTTCGCCTTTACCGAGTTCTTCCTCACTTAGACGCTGAACAGACGGCTGTGAATTATATCAAGATCCCTCTCCTTTTTGTTCAGTTCCTCTATGCTGCCTGTTTCTCCTGATGGGAGGGATACTCATTAACCAAGATATGTCGATCTTATTCGACATCAAATTTTGAAGTACACATAAAAATCTTGAGATCCCTGGTTATTTCATACTTTACGGGACCTCGACGATAATATGCCCAAGCAGTGTTAAAGAGCCGTTAAACGCCTGCACCAGTTGCGGGAATTGAGAGAATGGTCACGTGCAAGACATGCAAGTGCTGACCCAAGAAAAAGCAGCAAAAGCAAAGCAACCCACGCAAGCAACCTTAGAACAGAAGTAACCCTATCCCATTGTGGGGGGGTGTCTGCGTGGAATGGGGTCGATTCGATGTATTTTGTATTGTCCCACATTTCCGAATTTAGTTTATTCCCATCTAGGTTTTGCACTCCATTCTGTTCAACCTTTCCCGTGAGCTACGGTCTTCAGATTCTCATACTTTAGAGAGCCAGTGGTGTTATACCGAATATTGAAAACTGAGAGCAATTGAGGTTAAATCGAGGTTGGGGTGAGGTTTTCAAAATGGAAGATAATGTTGAGATGAGGAGATAGGAGTAGGAGGAGCGATCGCATATGCCAGCAACTGGGTAATATTGAAGATGTCTTAGTCTAAGATAAAACATGAGTGGAAGTGTGCTATACACACTTCCCCAAGATCTACGTTACCGTATAAGACTAGTGTGCCTCAGGGAGCACTACCTGTTATCTACTAAGGCCCCAGCGGTATTGAAGACTGCTGAAACCTCAACATCCTTCAACAGAGGAAGATCCAAGTAAATATATATTTGTATAATCACTGATCAGAATATCGAGCTTCTAAGTTCAGCTCCCCAACCTACGTAACCTTAACATTTCAATAGGTAGTTCGCTGTAATATAGGTATAGCCTAATAGAATATCAAGTTATTTCTTGAATTTTCAAGTCATTCATACTGCGAGCATATAGTGATAGATAGTATAACCTAGAACAGCTGTAAAAAAGGTATATTATTAGGATGACTGAGCAGCTTTACGATCAAAATTATGCAGAAGTTGATCAAGTTGGGACTTAATGGGTTCTAATGGAGCCCAGCATTGCGTCCAGGTCGGGTTTTGGGTCGAGACCTTCGACCGAAGTTGGATTATGCGGAAGTCTAACTATTGATGCAATACGGGCCAAACGGGGAGTTGAAATTATATGATTTGGCTCTTGGTCTCAAAAATATCGATCGTTACTTTTCACAAGTTATTCCTACGTTCAAAATCCATCCAAGAACCAGATATCTTGCGAGGGACCTGTTAGCACATTCAGACCTCCTTCCGATGCTACTTTTCCATGTGTGAGCGTTTCGAGGCAAGGATATGTTTTTCTATCCCAGACCTAGAAGGTTTTGCGTTTGAACCATCATCACTGGATCTATTATGAGAATGAGTTATATTTTTCCCCTCAAGTGTCTCGTTGCTAATTAAATACCATTTTGTTCTGCTTGAAGATTTTACCTCAGGTGTTCCTCTTAGTCCTTAAACCTCTTTTCCTAATTAATAGCCATATTTCATCTTGTAGCCGCTTAACAGGTATGTTTGAAAGTACCGAGCATTCAGTTTATTAATGATTTTTTTTCAACTAAAGATAAAATAAAGAAACTCGGCAATATCAGTAGTAAAAGATAAGGCCCACCTCCTTGAATATTTACTATCATTTCCTGCTTCCAAGACTATCAATGCTATTCGAGACTTCACTAATTAGGCATCATACCCGGTAAGTAGGTAACTTATATCCTTATAATGACTAAATCACATATGTGCTACTTCGATAGGAGAAACATGGACCATGCCTATAAAGTTCTTCCTAGAGGGTGAAGTGCCTAAGGCGTATTGGTAACAGATCTGAATATTGTAGAGGAATGGTTCCAACTTAGTTTCTAAAGTCTATTAGGTAGGTATTATAATATATAGCAACATATATATGTGTGGGTTAACCTGCACTAGTTAGCTAAGCATGCCGGCCTGAATATGTGGTAACCTCTTCCTCTTGAAGAAGCTTATCCCTACCAAAGAACCAATAACATGCTCCTACCACTCCTAAATTGAATCGTTCAAATTATTACCATCGATATAATACCGAATCGCCGGCAAGAGACTCAACACCTTCGCGTCCGACAAAAAGTAACGAGAGTCCCAGAGAGGGGTTGAGGCTTGCGCTTAGTACCCGCATCTGTAGTTGATTTTTTTTCAGCTAGTTTGATTGATTGATTGATTGACATGTTGGGAGGAGGTTTGTAATAGGGGCCACGCGTGTGAAAAGCACACGTCGCAACTAGTGAGGCAGGTATCTTAGTCTGCTCGTAGTGTTTGATGAAATCTTTTATTAATTACACTAGTTACCAGCGCACTAAAATGGCAAGTAGACAGATGAGGAGATAAGCGAGTGTCATAAGGTCAAAGGATTTGGACTATTCTTCTCTTAACACTCCGACAATATATTTGTAGTTTCCAGCGAGACTAAGTAGGAGGATTGACTCCTAGCCTAAGTTCACTAAAAATTAGTTCTCGTGTTACTTAGGCGGCCAACCTCTTTACGCTGTCGCTCTGCGACTTATTATGCGGTGCTGGAAGGCATCAGTTTGCGAGTGATTTGGGCACTACAATTTGGTGCAGAACCAGTTCCCGCTCCCCGAGAATAGGGTCACCTACTGACGGCGTTCTACAACCATTTTTTTGCGACCGAGAACCGGCAACCCGCGCCATAGCTATCTGCAGTTATAAGTTAGGCTCTATGGCATCCAGTCTACATAAAAGTGTTCACCAGCGTTAACCATCTGAAGAGGGCAGGCGGCAGCGGGGGTCGCCACAAATACTATTGGTCGTGTAGGCCACCTCACACAACGCCAACCGGGCCGTTCTCCGCACGATCATGATCTGAACACACATGCAGGTGACAAGAGTGGGCTAAGAATTTGCCATTTATGTCCCTTAGGCCAGAAGAGGACCCTCCCGTGCTATATCCGGCTTGGCGCCAGGTTGACAGCGTTTTTCCAGTTCCCACCGGTGCGAGGACCAGCACTGTCGAAGGATCCCAGAACTGGCAATGTTGAATATGAAGATGGGCACCCCTTATGGCATCAGTTCAGGAATGTAATCAATTTAGATGAGCAAATGCGCCAGTCTACGGACCCGTCATTTCGAAGTCTCCTCCATCGGGCAAAGACAGCAATACCTGTTTAACTCTAGAGTCATCGGTTCCTTGGTAGCCCCTCACCTAGATGCTGCCACAACGGCGGTGAAGCTGAATTCTCTTCGACACCAGGTTAACCATATTCATTCCTAGTTTTCCCGTCGATTCAGGGCGTCCGCGTGCGGAGCTTGTGGAGCGCGCGTCACCGGTATATGTTTCGTGGTGGTTAGTGAGACTGCCAGAGGCCCATAGATATTGGAGGCGAAACTGAGAGCTAATTCCCGATAGTTGGCTCGCCGTGTTTCGGTGTTATTTGAGGAAGCTATTACCACATTTGCCCATCTTGTGGCCTTTCCGATTGGTTGAATCCCCGAAGAATATTAACAGCGTGAAGGTTTTGGCGTACTATTTTCGTTTTTTTCATTCGTGGTGGTTTGGGCTTTCTATGATTCAAATAAATCCTGTTGAATTCGACTGGGACCTTCCGTAACTTTACACGCGCTCACACTGTGCTGTCACTGCCTCGGGTAATCCCCCTAGGTCAGATAATGTCGACTATGACCTCAGTTTGTTAGTGATATGTCTTCCGGATAGTAGGCTTTATCGTTGTCGATATCTAGTGTAAATACTGTACTATAGTCTGTATTACCAAAAGATCATAAAATTGCAAACATACCTGCAGTTCATAAACAATCACCGACTCTATATGTTAATAAAGCTGATAGAGAGCTTCGGTTTGCAGCGATTCTAGTAAATGAGAAGTTTACTAATAAATATGAACAAACGCCTACACCCTCTCAACCTATAAGCTTTATTGAGTAATTAAACGTGTAACAAGGATAATCATTATAAATGTGAATAATGTTGAATTTCTGATTGTGTGTTATGAAGAATGCTGATGCTGTGTTAGCGTGTGAATAACGCACTAATCAACCATTCTTAACATCTTCCATTATATGTTCTACCGAGTTAAATGCTTCCGCTACACTAGGTGTATAGTGCATAGCGAATGTAACGCCTGCTACCATTTTGATAATTAAACATAAACCTAATAATAGCTGGTGTAGGTTCATCAATTAAATATGAAATTGATATTTTCAATAAAAGATTAATTTTTAAAATCCTCAATTTTATTTTGTTTTTACTAATTTTTTATCATGTTTAAATTACTCTAGGTGTAGGGTCTAGTAAAACCTTTTTTCTCTGTAAACCACACCACTCTTACAATTCCCCCCAAGTAAGTGGAACACTGCCCAGATGCCGCTTTCCCTAGA